TCATAGACAATATTCAGAATAAATTTTTAAACGAAAGTAAATTTAATTTTTAAAAACCAACATTGCAATTTTTATAGAAAATGCATTGAAATATAGTAACATTAATTGATAACAATATCTTATCTGTTAATAATTTTATAAAATAGCAAGAAAAATTTACTTAAACAAATATTAGTTACTTCAACTCTATCCCAAACTCAAATCAAATTCCAGAAAAATGCACTAGGTATGATATATAAATAATTTAAATTTCATGGTCTAAAACGAAAGATTTTGCAATATTCATCACAATAATAAGGGTAAATTGTCGTGCTAATCATATATTCAATCTCATTTATATAAATAATAAATAAGTTATATCTCAAAGACACAAGAATTAACAGATCACTTAAATTTATCTATATTTTGTTTGAAAAGTAAAATTTTTCTCCAAAATCGATTCTATCGAATTTCAACTAATCTATCGAAATGATAGAGTTATTAGTAATAGACGCAGATTTAAAGCAATATAAAAAATAACTATATAATTTTTGGTAAAAAGAAATTTTTCTTTTCTTCTAATATTTATGTATATATATATTAAAATTAAAAGCCCAGATCTTCATTTTCTCTTGAAATTGTTTGTAAAAGAAAATATTGCTTCTAAAAAGATTATGTTTTTCACCTGCGTTAATTATAGTATTTATATTTTGCAAATTTATTGGCTATTTAAAAGATTTTTTGTAGCTTTTCAAACATTTAAATTAATTGATTGTTATGATTCACATATTTATGATTCTCAATTTTAAGCGAAAATTATAGAATTAATATATATTTTTATTTAAATCTGATAAGTTATAAATTCTTATATAATAGATGTCAATTTATATATGGTTTGTGTGTGTTGAAGTAATATATTGTGTGAAAAAGATCAACTAAATTAATTAGACTGAAGCATTCATATATTTCCAAATGGAAATTAATAAAATCTTTAGATTCAGGTTGTAACTTTGAAAATATTAAATTCTGATTTAGATATGTTGTGTAATTAAATTAAACATCACAAATTACAGTTTAAATGTGGTTTTGTTATTTTAATCAATTAATAATATTTACTTTATACTAATGAATCCATTCACTTTTGATAATTCAATACCACCACTGAAAAGAGTAAAAGAAAGACTAGTAGGAGATGCAATACTCAAAGTAAATTAGTGGAAAATGATTCTCCTCAATGGGATTCCTCAATCTGATGGTAGTACAATGAGATTAACCCTAAATAAAGCAGCTGAGATAATAGGAATTCCTAAAAAAAGTTTAGAAGATTATAATCAACTATTTAAAAAAGTTTAATTGCTGACAGATGTAAATCAATTTGCAAATGAAAAAATGGGAGTACTTAGAAATTATTTAAGAAAAAATTCGAAAAGACTCAAAAAATTATTAAAAAGTTAGAAAGCCTAAGAAAATATTAAAACAAAATAAAAAAATAAAAATTTAGAAAATTCTGGTTTACAAGGTCAATCAGATATAATTGATTAAGATTCTATCAAATAGAATGAAGTAATTAACGAAATTGGATAACATTCAATGTCAAATTAATCAAATTTTTAAAAATAGGATGAAACTTCAATGATAAAATTAGAAGAGGAGTGTAATATGTTTGAAGAATTTCAAAAAGATTATGAATCTGACTTAGAAAGCAATCCCTCCCCCCTTGGAGTAAATTTCATATTCAGAAAAATGCAAATAGAGTGTCGTCAACATTTTGAATAATTTTGATTAAAACAGTTACATTTAGTTATTATATTTGATTGGTCATATATAAAACTTTATTATGAATACGTTAAATTAATAATCAAAGAATTATTTAATAAAATGTAATTACTCAGAATTCTAATACACCAACACTTATGAATTAATTCTCTGAAATCTAGATTAAGATTAAGAGTATAGTCTGCCATTTTAGCAACAACTCAGATTATTTAAGTGGAAGAAGATTATATCATAGTGATAATGTCTTATCTAGAATTTATAAGCATTCTATGTATGAATATTTGAAGTCTGCAGCAATTGATTAGAAAATAGTATAATTAAATTTAGGCTGGAAGATAATTGCAATTAGAATAAATTTCTAAGATCTAACATCTTAAATTCTTAACTATTTTGAAGCCTCCCATTCAAATATAGGAGTGTAAGATTTAACTAATCCAGATCATCTAAAATATTGCAATAAAAAGATAATTATACTACTTTAAGTTAAACTAAAATTGGGATTGCAAAGCTTTAAATTCATTTTTTGAGGATAAATCATTTTTTAAAAGGATTCTACACAATTCACATAAAATTATGTTAATTTACTCGATTTTAGTTTAAACCTATATATATTTGAATTGGTAATTTTATTCGACACTTACATAATGATAAGATTACTTGTAATTAGATTTGCTTTAATTATTTGGCTTCAGATTCATTATTCAAACCAAAGGACTCTTTAAAAGTCTTAAAAGACAATTAATATTTGCTAATTTCTTGATTTTAACTTGTCATAAACAGTCAACTAACCAAAGGAAGTGTTCTCAACCATCCTTTTATTGTTGGTCTTTGATTTTAATAAAGCTCAAGACTTTTAAGTAAATTAGTTTTTAGAAGGTTCAATTTAATGAAAATTCTTGTTTAAAATCGTAAACGATTTGTAGAATGGTAAAGTTATAAAGTGGTACATTTTCTTAAATTCAATCAATAAATTTTAAAGACAGATCTAAAATTTCATTTCTTGAAATACTTAATTTTACTTAATTGTTTTGAATAAGTCTAAACTAATTTGTTGAATTAATTTAAATAATCTTTTGAATTTCTTTGTTTTAGTGGCTATTCTTGATTGTGGACTCAACCTCAACTAACGTATTTTTGCTAACTTCTTCAAATTAATATATTTCTAGATTATATTAATATACCATTAAAATTTTCAAATTCCATTTTTCTATCTAATTATTTTATTGAGACAAAGACTCTAAATAGTATAATTATCTTACAATTTGGAGTCAAACTTGAGTTCTTAATTGATTAACATTCTGTTATAAATTAAAATGAAATAATTATTTCTGAATTATCGGAAGAATAATGAGATGAAAAAAAACACATATCAAGTATTATCTCAATAAAAATAGTATTATTAAGATTTAATTTCGGAATGGGGAGACAGTTTTATAAGATGGGTACAGTGAGAATGGGAACAAAATAAAAAGAGCATATTTCAATTTTTTTATTCCTCTTAGGACTATTAAGGAAAATGCCATTTACTTTCTTCTTCTTATTTTGTAGGTGTTCTCCTCATAAGCCTTATATTTTATAGCGATACTTTTGGTAATTCAACAATGGTTAGTTGATTTACATAATTATATAAAAATTAGAAAAATGGATTAAATGGTGAATAGTCAAGAAGCAAGAGTGTTAAAATAATGGGATGAATGCATTATCAATAAGGAAATTATTGAAAAAATAAAGGAAAGATTAAATAAGCAAGATTAAAGTGAGAGTAATTAAAGATAAAAGAGCAGATCACAAGTTGATAAAAACTCCTAACTAAAAAAATTCGAGAATGCATAATATCAGAAAAAAGGCACTATAGTTTGTAAATTGTTAACATAATTTAAGCTAATGTATCTATCCCATTTTAGAATATCTCATATAAGCAACAATAGAGCAACAAAAATATCCGAACTGAAAATGCTAATAAATATAATCAAATGAGTCCTTTGATATACAAAGATATGGCTTTAAAATTAAAATAGGTTTAAATCATGGAGGATGATCCATTAATTATTGAATTTAAAAAAAAAGTTCCTAGTATGTTTTTAAGAGAAATAACACCAACTGCATAGAGGATACCTTTGAACGAAAAGTTGAAGAAAATGGAGAAGGATAAAATGAATTTAATCAAAGTCTAAAATGTGGAGAATATAATGATAGGAGATGTTATAATCTTAGAAAGAAACCAAAGAGCACCTTGCGACATTCTTGTTTTGCATTGTAATGATGAAAATTTCTGTGTATAGCATCAATTGTGTGATTATTCATCAACAACAGTCAGAAAACCAGTTGTTTAAAATAGATGTAAGATTTTAAATTATGCTTTAAGCTGATTCCTAGAACTTAGCATAATTTAAGAAATCTTTGACTGGTAATATAGTCTGTCATGAGCACAATTTTTAAATTAAAGGGTTCTTTTAATTAAAAAAAGATCCTTAATCAAAAATATTTGGATTTGAGAATTTTATTTTTTGTTAAGAAAGGTTGTTGGCCACTCCATGGGTTTTGGGAATAGTAGTAAAAGTAGGAAATAGTTGCTTATGTTATGCCAGATTTTTTGGCGAATTTAGATTCGAGAATACTTAGTTTGTACCATATTACATTGTAGTTATGGTCATAATAATTGTAATAATTAAAATAAATTTAAGATTTAAATAATAATTTTCAACTAAAATGACTTTTTAAAGAATTTGAGATCAATTACTCAAATTATCATTGATAATTGTATATTTTTGATTTTGATGGTTCCTCATTTTTATAAAATCTACTATAAAACTTGTAGTATTATACAACTAAAAGGAATAGGAAATATTGATCAAAAATAAATTATGTCTTGTCATATAGATAAATACATTGATAAATAATATCTAACAGTCAGCGTAGATGCATTTATTGAACAATCCTTTTAGCTATAATGTATAATATATGATAATAAATTATGTGAATTCGAGGAATAAAAGTTCTTCTAATTTTTAATTTAAATTTGTTCAGGCATCAAAGCGTAGGGTGAAGGTAGAAATTCTGAAAAAGAAGGTATAATTTAATTTTAATTATCATAGAATAAGAAGATATTCAACAAGGTTCTTAAGTTATAAATTACCTTATGCAAAGTTCATGTTCGGACGAACTGATGAGTTAAAGAGAATGTATTGTTAATTAGATTCCAAAATCTGTTGAAGGTAGATTTATTTTCTATTAACAATCTGAATCAAAGGAGGATTTCAATTTAAATCAAATGGCCCTTATCCAACACGACCAAACATCAAAAGACAAAACTCTAGTTGACAATCATGATGGTTATAATGATACAATCTAAAGAGCAAGCAACCCTATTCGAAATTCAAAAGGATATTAGTCCTCAAAAGATTAATTTAAATAGGAAGATTATTTTATAGATGAGGAAAGGTTATGCAGGAACATGATGAGAAATGATGATCCAGATGAACTGAATCCATTGTTGCTATAATTAGCAATGAATCATCTAGCTTTTTCTAAGTTATTAATTACAGAGAAGAAAGAATAAAAAGTAAAAAATAAGTTCTTAGGATAACTAGATTAGAAATAAGTAAGTTTAGCAAAAGCTATGGGTTATGAATTCTTATGCGTCAATAATGTTTAGTAAAATATTCAATATTATAATTAGGAATGTCTAACATTATATAGTGTAGATTAATGATGAATTACACTCATTCAAATTGGTCATCACTAAATTAGATATTTAAAGATAAAGACTCTTTATGCTATTTGAAGTGGTTGAATTTTATTAGGATAATGATAAATAATTTATTCTCTTCTTGAGAGAAGGTAATGTAAAAAAGAATGAGGGGATAGATGATAAAGTTTGGAAGCATCAATATGATTCACTCCATTACATTTACTATTCATATTGTTATCTGACCTAAGAAAGTGCAAGTGTCTTTTTGTAATCAGTAGAGAGTAATACTCCAGATAATTAATTATATACTTTGATGGAATAGGTGTTCAAATTAAATATTATTTTGGGGCTCAAATATACATTAAAGCCTGAATGCTAAGATTTTATGAAAAATATTAGGAAATCAGATTATCAAATATTTGTATATACTTAAAATCAAGAAATTTTTTCTACCTCCATCTTGTATTAGTCAGAGCTATTATTACAGAATGATTTGGTCTTACATTTCAACTAACAAAACGAGGAGGATTTACGTGCTTATTTTAAATAGAGTCTATAAGATTTTTCTAATACATTTGGTCAGGCAAGCATTAATTCTTCCCAATTTATTAAAATTTAGGCACTTAACTCATAAAAGCAAATAACTGTAGATTAAGTTGAAGAAAAACCTAGAACGAAGAAAATAATTGTGATGATGAACAATTAATCTTTGTAATATATAATGGAAAATCATTATTTCAAAAACAATCTAAAATTAATCCTCGGCTTCACCAAAGTGCTATTTCTTTATTAGGCGACTTAGGATCAACTAAATGCTATCTAAGAAATATGGTGTACTTCAAATAAAACAATTAATTTATTATATGAAAACTAAAGCTTATTGCGTTGTTTCAATGGGTGCCAATTATAAATATTATAGTTACAATAATTTAGTTTATTTAAAAATTAGAAAGTAGAGAAAGTCGAAAAAAAGAACTTCTTCTCATCACTTATTACCTCCTTATAATAGAGATTGATATTTGAAAAATGCTATTTTAATGAAATGCAAATCAATTCAAACACTGATATCATTTTACAAAGTTATAAAGAATTAGATCGCCTTTTATTTTTTTAAAGTCCCCTAATGAAAATATTCTTTAGAGCCTTATATTAACAAACCATTTACAAAACAATAACCTTTGTGACCACTTTTACATTTGTTACTATCATTTATACATGGTATACTCTAGATTTCATGGATTATTTATTGGAAATCGTATTTTACTTCTACATTTACTAATTCTTTTTATTTTCCCTGCAACATTATTCTTTTATTGATTAATCGAAAAAATTAAAAGATAATAAAGATTAATCAATATTATTATAAAAGTACTCATAGCACACTTTATCAATGGAAAGTATTCTCATTATGGTTTTTAAGCACATTATTCAAGGTCTTCTCATTTCATGCATATTTATCTACAAAATGTATGACCTGGAGTACTACTTATACATTTTTATGTCCATTAGTATTAATGATTGGCTTTATCTGATTATTAATTTGAATTTTATTGAGGCAATTATTTTAGCTGCTATTTTTCCTATCATATTTTATATTTATATATTATTAGACATGAATCAAAATAGTGAATGGAATTATTCAGTGGATACTTATGATGTATTTTCAATAATTTTAGGGACAGCCTTCCTATTAATGACAAATCTCGTGTTTGATTACTAGGAGATTTAACATTGCATTAGCATACCTATCTTTAATGATGATTTTCTATCATATTTAAATTATATCCAAATGATGATTAATTCAAAATAAAAAAAGAAAACATTGACCATTTTATAAAATAGAGTGAATGAACTATTTGAAAATATTGAATAAGTAGATTTGAGTATTTAAAAATGTATAATATCAAATTTATTGATTAGTGCTTATCAATTAATAAAATAATTAAAGTAAATTTGGATAATGGCGTTAATAAATATTTAAGAAAGCTCATACAATCTTAATGTGGAAGAAGAAATAAATCATTCAAAGTTTCTAATTGTTATTCTATCATACCACATTTATAATAATAATGTACTTTTATTAGAAAAGAATGGATTTTTTTTTGGTTGACTATTTAATAATTTTTTGTCTCCAAGCATTTTATTTTGCTATATAGATCTTAATTAAATTACAAACAAACCAATAAGAATATTTAGAATATGGAAAGTTCTTTTTATCAACAGCTGCTACGATTTCTATTTTGTTTGTAATGAAATCAATTGATAATATCAATTCTACATTGACAATTTAATACTTTATAGCATATGAATTATCAATAAAATTTCATCCCATCTATGACTTCAGAGTTTATATTACAACAGCTATTGCAACAATGATTGGATATATTGCTTGGTATGTTGTTGAAAATAATTCAAACATTTCAAATTAGATAGCTGTAATACAATTCTTGGTTCTATTTTCAGTTTTGTAATACTTTGTAAAGAGTTATGTAAATAATTCAAATTAATTATAAGTTCATTTAATTAGAAGAAGATTAAGCCTAAAATAAATTAAATTTTATTGAATAAAATAATAAGATTAATGACATATTAGGTATTTTGTTACCCAAATTCATTAGAGATAGATTAAATGAAAGTAATTATCAATTAAATTGTAATAGCTGATCAATATAATATACATTAAAATTAGGGTTTAGTAGCAATTGTATTTTGTGACATTTGTAATTTCGATTAAATGGTCATTGAAGAAAAAGATAAAATTATCACTTTTTTGGATGACATCTTTAGAACATTTGATAAATATTGCTAAATTTACGGAGTTCAAAAGATAGAAACCGTCGGAAAGACTTATTTGGCATCTGCTGGTTTGAAGGCTTGTGAATAAGAATTGACATATTTATCCCAGGTAGATCCTGTTTAAAGAGCCTTAAATTTAGCCGAATAGATGATGATTTATATAAGATCAAAGATGTAAATTTTTGGATTACAATAGGTGGGGCTATAAAGGGCAATAGTTGGTTGGTAAAATCGGTATTCATTATGGTGGAGCTATAAGCGGAGTCATAGGATTTCATAAGCCTCAATTTTCATTGATTGGCGATACTGTGAATACGACCAGCAGAGTTTGTTCAACTGGCTTAGAAGACACTATTACATTATCAGAGCAAGCGTTTGATTAATTGAAAAACGAAAATATTGAGTTTGAAGTTCGAAATGTTGAAATGAAAGGTTTAGGTATAAGACCAACATACATTTATAAATGTAAAATTTAGAACAAGGAAAATCAATTTTCAATGCCACTTGAATAAGATGCTTAAAGTAAAGAAGCAAGAAGTTAGTATGTTGTTAGAAAGAATCCTGAAATATTTAAGAAGGATCTTAAAAAAAGGAAAACCATTCTAACTTAGATTGATACGATGAAGTAGAAGATGGATTCAATGCAGGAATAAGGAGCTCCGAATGTATTTGGAATAAAACCCATAGATCCTACTTATTATTAACCTTACGAGGACAAGTCAAGACATTCAATTCAATTATTATCCAAACAAGGTTCTGATGACAATCACATTAAGCAATCATAATCAAAACCAAGTACATTCAAAAGATTAGTTACTATGCTTTAGAACAAATTTTAACTTGAAAATTATGAACCTGAAATTGATGAACTCATAGATTATGAATAATTATTGGTAAAAATTATGAATTAATTAGAGAATGTCATACTATTAAAGAATGAATATGCACTAGAACACAATATAATTAAAGAAACCTCCTTTATTTAGTTATTGTAAATATCCTATTATAGGAAATAAATGAATCAATTTGTTAGTTATGAATAATATTAAGAGTTTGTAAAGACTTAATCGAAAAATCAAACTGTTCAAAATTTAAGAATTTATGTTCTTTATTATCTAATCAAATTGTTTTGTCAGATTCAATTTTACGGAGATTTAAATTTGGGTTTGATCATATTGTAGTGGCTGTGTAGTTTACTTAATTTAATATAATTTTTAGTCAATAATAAATTGTTTTTCGAAAAGTGGAAATTATGCATAAAATTGCTCTTATGTTTTGAAGCTTTACTTAGTGGATTGGTAATAATTTTGGATGAAAATAATTACTTAAAAAATATTCATGTCTATGAATTAATTTTTATTTAATCATTGTTTTGTAGTATTCAAATCTTAAGCTTTTGGGTTAAAGTATTATTTTGTATTGGAACTGCTTCTTATTTTACAATAGTCTTAGCAATAGATGGAACTCAAGCCATATCTATATATTTTATCATTATCAGTTCTTTGTATAACATCTCTTTGATCTTATTGATAGAACAATAATAAGTTGGATGTTTTAATTAAAAGATTATCTTTAAGACTTAGTAATAAAAGGAATCATAATTGCTTTAGTATTTACTCCCAAAACACATCCTTAATAAATTTTTAGATGACAAAATTGGTAATATTGGGATTTGTGATAAAATTGATGACCTGACAATACTGTTTGCAGATATAGCCGGTTTTACTGAATATTCTAGTAAAGTAAAACCAGAAGAAGTATTGGTAATGCTCAAAAATTTGTTTGTTGAATTCGATCGAAAATGTTGTGATTTGAATGTTTATAAATTATATACTATAGGTGATTGCTATGTGGCTATCGGAATGATTGATTATCACAATAGAAATCCTCATTAGGAGGCTAAGAATATTATTGATTTGGCTTTTGAAATGATCAACATTATTGCATAGGTCAGGAAATAAATCAATTTTGATGGGCTTAATATGAGAATAGGAGTTCATACAGGCCCTGTTTTTGGAGGAGTTATGGGTACAGATATTGTTAGATATGATATTTATGGACCAGATGTTCTTATAGCGAATAAAATGGAATCAAATGGAGTAAAAGGTTATGTACAAGTTAGTTAATAAACTAAAACATTTTTAGAAGAAGATTATGCGAGCATGTTTAGGTTTGAATAGAATGTTACTCTTGAATTGAAAGCCATTGGAAGATAAATCGAGGGTTTTTTAGTCAAAAGGTAAGAAGATGATCATCTTAACCAATAAGATGGCCCACTTTGAGTTTCTGATATTACTATGTGTTTTTAATAATTAAATATTTTTAATATTTTACTCATTATTTTATTGTAGTTAATGATGTATATTACTATGCTGATACTATTAACAGACGCTATTAGACAAACATAGTAGGCCTCTGTACAGTCGTAGCTCTTTATTTGAAATATAATGTCATTCTTTGAGGAGAGCGAGATGAATTTACTTATACTGGCTAGATTATGACCTATTTTGACGTAAAAAGATTTTAAGAATGCATTTTTGGTTAATATCTTCTTTATGGATTAATTAATTTTGTAGTAGAAACAGTAGAAATGCTTTGTGTAGGAAATGCAGTTGGTTTCACTTGTTTTAGTTATTATTATGAAGCGGCTTGATGTTACATAGATAATCTTTGGTTAAAGACCTGGCTTTAGTGAACAGGATATTCTTAAATTTAAATATTCCTTGAGTTTTGAGGTGTTGATTGATATGGGTAATAATTAGTTTGGAGTATCGAATTTTGAACTAAATTAATTAATTACGAATAAACAACTTATGGATAGAATTATATATTTTTAACTCCTCCTTTTTATGATTGCTTTATTGGTTGTTTAGATTATTATTATTGTTATTATGGTTATTGTAATGGCTATTATGTTGGTTGTGGCTATTTAACTAATTGAGGTTATTTTTATGTTGATAATCTATCATTTGTTATTATGAGAGGATTTTATTTATTACCTAAATATTTTGGTAAGATATTTTCAAGGCCTTCCCCAAAATATGTTATCTTAGCCGATATTTCAATCTATTATGGAAATGAAAAGCCATAATCTTTGACCCATTTTTAATCTCGATCCATATATAACTTTTTAGCTGTTTCTGGGGTATCACTTTTTTCTCCTGGAGCATTTTTGATAGGAGCAAACTCATCTTCTCTTCTTACTTCAATCAAACCAAATTATTCTTCAGGACAGAGAGGAAAACAATCAAAGTAAAAGAGTTCAAATTTTAAAGCATTAATACTCTCTGGTTTTATAACTTTTCTCTAATTTAGATCATAGTAATCGTATTTCTTTTATGCAACATGATAACTAATTTCTAGAAAATATTTACTTAGCAGCTAATTTACTTCTAGTTTATGGATCTTCATATATTTAATGTGTAAATTCAACAGTACAAATCATTTAAGCTATTCCACCTGCATCATAAAGCAAGTCTCCTATATCATTTGTTTTATTCAAATCATCCTATATCATTTCACTATACTCTAATCTAAATTTAAATATTCACCTATCATACAAGGCTTATCATTGATTAAGACATGCATTCCTACCTTTTCTTCAGCATAAGCTTTCTTAACAAATTTGCTACAAATAGTTAAATTGTTTGCTTCTGTATATCCAATCCAAATAGGATCACACAATTTGCAAAGAATGTTATCTACTGGACATATATGAATATACTTAATGCCCAAACATTTCATATAATCCAAATAACCCTGATTGTAGAGGCTATTAAAAATTCCTCCATTTCCTATTCAATAATAATATTAGCTTACTTACCATCTGGGCCTTCCAGGATGGATGTGTGATCACTCAATAAGATTTCTCCATCTTTTGACAAAATAGGAAGGGAATCCTGCTGAAAAAAGGTGATTTAATCAGATTGAAGATTGAAATAGTTATTTTCAATAAAATATCGTTTTGTTTCTTCATGATTAACATCAGAAGTCATGATAAAGAATTAAATAGGTAAGCATTATCCCATTCTAATTTAAATCATATTTTAAAGACTTAAAATACGTTCGCAAAAAATTTGAAATAGAGTTTTATGAGAAGGCATACCAATATCATACATACCCTTCGCCATATTAAAACCCAATCTAGTGCCTTAACCTCCTGCCATCATTGCAACGCAAACTTAATAGTTATTAAATTTTATCGATACCCTTTCCTTTTGAAATTAGTTATTCCCCCAATTTTTAATACTGTTGAAGAGTTTCTTGAGGAGTAGAGGATACTTTGAATACATTTCGGATTGGATTGATGTTACAATTCTCATTAAGCCTTTCTTTATAATGACTATAGACCTAGTTTAGTAATTTGAGCTTACATCTAGTAGATTCCTAATATTAATAGATTCCAATTTTTCTAATAATTTCTCCTAATCCTTCTCCTCCAAAGTGCTGAGGTAGTTTAGGAGATGTTGCTATTTGCATTCTTAGTAATCCTAATAGTTTGATACCTTCTTTCTCATTTTGGATATTTATTTATATATTTATAAAAATTCAAAGTGGTTTAGTTATCATGATAGGTTTATATTTATGTGGAAAATGAAAATATTATATTAGTCTTACAGAAATTAAGCTTGATATATCCACTTATCTATGAATAATTTGATTAAAATTTAATATTGATAATGAGCTAGAAAAAAAAAGTTACTATTCAGGAATACATCGCAAATAAAGTGAAACCAGTTTTTGATCAACTCATAGCAAGGATAGTCATCGAGAAACCAGATGATGTGTATGGATGGTCGATAAATTGGTTGTAAAATTAAAGTAAAATTTGATTAAGATGATTTAAGAAAGCGGCGCCTAAGTGTAATAACTTGAAAATCACGATTTGAGTGAAGAAGAAGAGGAAGAGGAGGAAGTAATTTTAGAGTTAAAACAACAATAAAAGCAACAAACTAGAGCAGCAGTTTCCGCTGAAGTTTATGGAGATTACAATAAAAAGGAAGATTTTAAGCCCAGATTTATCCAGAAATCAGAAGGCTAAATTGAAAGGATAAAGAAAAGAATTCTAAATTCATTTATGTTTTAAGCTTTGGATGAAAAAGATTTGAACATAGTGCTAGGAGCGATGGATGAGAAGAAATTTCAGTAAGATTTATATTTACTTATTTAAGAGTTGGGGACGAAGTAATTAAATAAGGTGATGATGGAAATGAGTTATATGTTATTGATGAAGGAAGATTGGAATGCTACAAAAAGTTTACAGGATTTGAGGAAGAGAAATTGTTAAAGACCTATATACCTGGAGAATCATTTGGTGAGTTGGCCTTATTATACAATGCTCCAAGAGCTGCTACCATTAAGGCCATAGAAGAAGTCACAACCTTTGCTTTAGACAGAGAAACGTTTAATAACATAGTCAAGTTTTCTGCAATCAAAAAGAGAGAATAAATGGAAGAAATCCTTAACAAAATTGATTTGCTGTAGTCTATGGATAATTATGAACGAGTTCAATTATGTGATGTTCTTAAAGAGGAAAAGCATCATGCAGGTGAAGCGATTATAAATGAAGTAGATTTTTAAATTAAATAAAGGGTGAAATCGGAGATAGGATATATTTGATTATCGAGGGAGAGTTGGAGGCTTATTGGAAGGGTTAGACTGAAAAGGTCTATGATTACAAGTCAGGAGATTACTTTGGAGAATTGGCTCTTTTAAAAAACACTCCAAGATAAGCTACTGTCATAGCAAAAGTAATTGGAAAATATTATCTAGACTGATGTTGTCTTATTATATTGCGATTTCAACTCATTCAAAAGATTGATGGGTCCCTTAGAGGAAGTACTTAAAAGAAATACGGAAAGATATGAAAAATATTTACAGTAATGATTATAATTAGACACATTTATTTATTATTTATGATATAAAAAGATGTAAACGAAAAAATGATGTACCAATATCCTACTTTGTCAGAGGAATAAAAATATTTATTAACATAATTGCTATCTCAAAAAGATCTATTTTCTTCCCTTCCTCTAATTTAAACTTTAAATGGCTAAAGCAAAAAAAAATTAATGGGATTGGAAACTGCAATTTTACAACTAGATTAAAATTTGAGAGTTTTGTTTTTTTAGAATGCTCTTCCAAAAATGGCTCAATATTCTCTGAACTTACTTAATTCACCTCCTAAAAAAGAATTACTAGTAACTTAAGGGACTATTCAATTCACAAGAAAAGAAATTTATCAATTTTTATCATTATCATTTTTTGGATTACTAAAAATTCAACATGATTCATTTCCTACACCTTGCAATTTACACTATATATTATAAGAGTAGCCTGAAAAAGCAAAATGTTATCTTCATTATTTTATTACGGCTAATAATGATTTGGAACATGAATTAGTTACATTAGAAAGGATAGACTTCAATGTGAATTACCATATTCATCAATTCTTCCCTAATAATTAAGGAATCTAAATTCTTGATATAAAATTGTGGTCAAATTGCGATAAAAATCTTTAAAAAATCGATTTTGTAGATACATTTTTAGAAGAATAATAAAATGCCTTAATTGTTGACTTTGCAAATAAATATGTAGGAGGAGGGGTCTTACATACAGGTTGTGTTTAAGAAGAGATCCTATTTACAATAATGCCAGAAAACATAATTGCTGTTATATTTTCTAAAGTCTTAAGTAACACTGAAGTTATTATTATAAAGAATACTATTCGATATTGTGATTATTTGGGGTATGGACTCTCTTTCCATTTTCTTTAAAGAAAACCTTCTAATTTAAATCAGAACATTCTAGTTTTAGATGCCCTATATTATGGTAATTATCCTACTTTATAATTCTAATCAAAATTTATTTTGCGAGATATTAACAAGGCGTTCATAGGATTTTCATTGTCTTAATCAGCAAAAGAAGAGGACTTTCTGCTACCAATATCAACAGGAAAGTGGGGATGTGGGGCATTTAGAGGAAATTGTGAATTAAAAACACTGATTTAACTAATTGCTTTTAGTGCATCAAGGAAGAGAATAGATTAAAAAAGAAGAATGATATTTTCTACTTTCGAAGATGAATAATTGTAATTTTACAAAAGAGATATTGATCTCATAATTGATAAATTCAAAAGCGTAGGTAAACTATTCGAATAATTATTGAAAATCACCGATTAAAACAATGTTTTTAAGTAATTATTAGGTGAATGATGAAATTCAAAATAAATTATGATGAGTGATTCTATCTATTTATAGATTACCACAATATAAAATAATATAATTGATCTTTGATTAATGTACTAACAAAATGTCATATTGATCATTTTTATTCTTCCTCGTCTTAGCCTACATTGAAATACTTCAATTAGTATGTGGATTTGTCAAGTGAGTGCACATACAAATATTCTCTTAAGGTTTCTTATTTCAAATATTTCTTTGTTAAATATCTGAGGTATCTCTTGGAGAATGGGATTGTGGATGTGACTACAACTTTCTCTTATTCGGCAGAAACAGTGACATCATTACCAAGATTTCCGGTCTTTCCTTAAACCTTGATTCTGGATTGAAGGTAACTCACAAATTCATCCAAGTTCAAAACCTATCATAGGGAATTATGCCACTATGAATTACTTTATCTTCCTTTGGTTCGGCGCAGTCAATGATGAATTTCAAGTTCAAATTTTTGGCTTTCTATTGATCCTTTCTTCTCAAAATAGGCATTCTTAATAAAAGATATTAAATTTATTTAAAATCACACTTAACTCTTTTGATAAATAATCACAAAAAATTGAGTAGAAGTAAGAAAAGAATTTTTGGTTTTCTCATATTATTTTTTAATATGTTTTCTTTCCTTCTATCACACTATCCTTCAAATTTTTTAGTTAGACACTTAATAATTTGTTTCCTATATATTATATAGCTCAAGAGTTGAAAAATCAAAATCGTGACATAGTTCATATTTTGCTATTCTATTAGTTAACCTCTACTTTTAGATGAGCTAAATATTAAATTACAAATTCTGTAATAGACCTAGATTTCTCTTATTTGCAATTTCAGTAGAATTCTAAACCTAATTGGTATTATGCTTAAATTACTATTTACAAAAAATTTTAATATAATTTGAAAGAGGATTAGTTTCGATAGCTAATGATGTCAAATATTTGTTAATTTTGATATGATTGCAGATAAACATTATTTAAAAGTAATTTAATTGGAAAAATTGCAAGAGGAATCGTACCATCTATCCTTTAAGCAGATTTTATGAGGGCTGGTTAATTTTAGTAAATTATTTGAACATATTTGTGTATTTAAATATTGAGTATGGTTTATTTTAATTAATTTAAAGGGGCTTAGGTAAAATTCTGGTTAATCATATAATTTAAATATGTATGTATTGGTAGAAATCAGTAAGAATTATTAAGTTGATGAATAATTTTAAAGTCTTCTTTACAACCAATTAATAATTAAATTAGCATAGTTTTCTAATCTTAATGAAAAGTTCTCAAAAATATTGTAATTTGGGATAATTTTTAGACAACAATCATTTTATCCCAACTCTGACTTCTTGCACTAACAAATTATGCATGAAACCTTAATTATTTGCTCAAGGCTGCAGAAAAATATCCATTCATGACGATATTGTACAAAGAAAGTAAGGTAGAGGAAAAAACTTGCTGGAAGTCTCATAAGATGATGTATGATTTTTGAATTATAGTAAGAAACTGTTTCACAAAGGTGAAGGAAGCATCCATTCTTATAGGAGTCCTAGGAACTGTTTTACTAAGGGTAAAACATTGGTAAGCTAGACTGAGTTGACTAACAAGGTCAGTCCAAGGTTGCTATCTCCAAAATAATAGAAGGAAGTAATTGAATATTTACAAAAAAAAAATGAAGAATTGGCTCTAGAGAACAAACAAAAATAATAGATAATAAATAGATTAATAGAATCTGGTGACCATACATCAAATACAAACCAAATTCAATCACCAAAAAAAGAGTAATTTTTACCTCAAATTCCAAAATCAGTGGAATCAAAGAGAAATAAGGTGAATGACATTAGATTTCCATAAATAAAAACACCAGAACCCTATATTGAACATAGAATAACAAAAAAGAATGTGATAAATGATAACACAAGTAATGAATAGTAAAATATATTCAATGTAAGTTTTGGAAATCAACTGAATTTAAATGATGGAACAAATCAGCAAAATAATTAAATTCCTTGTTCAATTTAAAGATTTATTCCTCTTAATAAAAAATAGACACATCCAATACAAACAGGAAAAAAATCACATTTTTCAAAATTATTATTAAAGTTACCTTAAGAGTTTCACTTATGTAGTGAAAATCAAAAGAAATAAATCTGAATTTTCAAATAGGTTTTAAATTAAAGATTTTGATTATAAATTATAAATTGTGATAAAATCTCCCTATATCATTTAAGAATTTGTTTATTTTATATCAGTTTTCTAAATTCAAAGACATAATCACATCACCAAAACAGAAGTTCTTAAGTAAAATGAATATAATAAGTAATTTAGGAATGTTTGAATATGTGATTTATTTATATATTTATTTATCATGCTTCTTCTTCACCTTCTCCTTCAGCAGTTTCAATACCAACTTCTTCATAATCTTTTTCTAAGGCAGCAAGATCTTCTCTGGCTTCAGAGAATTCTCCTTCTTCCATACCTTCACCGACGTACCAGTGGACGAAAGCTCTCTTGGCATACATAAGATCGAATTTATGATCAAGTCTGGAGAAGACTTCAGCAATGGCAGTTGAGTTGGAGATCATACAAACAGCTCTCATAACCTTGGCCAAATCACCTCCTGGGACGACTGTTGGTGGTTGATAGTTGATTCCGACCTTGAATCCTGTTGGGCACCAGTCGACGAATTAGATGGTTCTCTTTGTCTTGATGGTGGCAATAGCAGCGTTGACATCCTTGGGGACAACATCACCTCTGTAGAGCATGGAGCAAGCCATGTATTTACCATGTCTTGGGTCGCACTTAGCCATCATGTTTGCTGGTTCGAAGGGCTGAGTTTGTGATTTCAGCAACTGACAATTATTCGTGATAAGCCTTTTCAGCTGAGATGATTGGGGCATATGAGCAAAGCATAAAGTGGATTCTTGGATATGGGACCAAGTTGGTTTAGAACTCAGTGATATCGACATTCAAGGCACCATCGAATCTCAATGAAGCTGTCAATGAAGAGATGACTTAAGCAATCAATCTGTTCAAGTTGGTGTATGTTGGTCTTTCAATATCCAAATTTCTTCTGCAAATATCATAGATGGCTTCGTTATCCAACATGACACAGACATCAGTGTGTTCCAACAATGAGTGGGTTGACAAGATGGAATTGTATGGTTCAACGACTGCGGTTGAAACTTATGGTGATGGATAAATGGTGAAACCCAACTTAGATTTCTTACCATAATCGACTGACAATCTTTCCAATAAGAGTGATCCCAATCCTGATCCGGTACCTCCTCCGACTGAGTGGAAGACCAAGAAGCCTTGGAGACCTGTGCAGTTATCAGCTAACTTTCTGATTCTGTCTAAGCACAAATCGACGATTTCCTTTCCGATGGTGTAGTGACCTCTGGCGAAATTGTTGGCAGCATCTTCCTTTCCTGAGATCAATTATTCTGGGTGGAATAATTATCTGTATGTTCCTGTTCTGACTTCATCAATAACTGTTGGTTCCAAATCCAAAAAGACGGCTCTTGGGACGTGCTTTCCTGCACCAGTTTCTGAGAAAAAGGTGTTGAAGGCATCATCTCCTCCTCCGATAGTCTTGTCTGATGGCATTTGACCATCTGGCTGGATTCCGTGTTCAAGACAGAACAATTCCCAACAGGCATTACCAACTTAAATACCTCCTTAATCCGACGTGAATAGAAATGGACTTCTCTCATTTTTAAAGTGCTATGTGATGAAAACTCTCTAAAAAAATTATTTGAATTTCAGCAGTTACCCAAAATTTGAATATCAAAATATCTTCAACCGGGGTACTTTATATTTGAATTATTTTCTTTTATAAGTATATTCATAAATTTCGATCTCTTAATATCTAAAAATAGTAAAAATTGCTAATAGAAAAAAACATTATGCAAATATTAAATTAGATCATATATGAATTAAGAAGATTATGAATATATTTGAAACTATTATGGAATCATAAATTTGATTGCATACTACAATATTATTTATCTTTGGAAGATACTTACCTAAAGATAAAATAACGATGTTAAACAAATTAAAAAAGAATAAAAAATATTAAATCGTGATGAAGAGTTAAATATATTTATTAACATTGTGTATAATTGAGAGTTAAAGGTTAAAAACCTATTTTAAAAAATTAGATAATATTGTAACTAAATTAGCAACAAAAAATAGATGAAGTTTAAATAAATCTCTCTTCCAACCTATGATTACAAGATTAGATGAGAGAAGAAGTCATAAAAATCAATTCAATTTATATATCCATGATATATAATAACAAATAATCAATCAATCTCTGCCATTTCTTTAGAAAGTTCTTTATAATGCTTTAAGGTTGTTTTTAACCTAAGGTTTGATTTTTCTAGTTCAACTATTTAGGCTTTTAGCTTTCTAATTAATTCTTCATAATCAATCATAGACTATTTCTAGGATTCAATCACTTATATCAATTTTACAATTTCCCCCTCCTTAGTTTTGACTTCAGCAATTAACACTGTAATTCTTTCTTCTAATTGAATAATTAAGACTTTCTATTCTCCGTTAAGATGATTTGATTCTTAAAACCTTTTTTACAATTACTAAAGTTCTGATTACAAAGTGTTGTTTTAGTTTTCTACATCATGTATTCTTTCTATGTTGGCATTTAATTATATTGTTAGGGATTAATTTTTTGCAATATGTTCTGCCCTCTCTGATTCTAATTATGCCATTTAAGCCAATAGGTCAGTAATTTAATTTTTTTGTATTTCACTCAAAGATTTGAATTCAGACATACCTTTTTCATGTGTTATGATAAGAATTTCTAATTCTTCTATCTTTGTTAAATGCAATTTAATAGTAACTTAATGGGTTTCTTCTAATTTTAACAGTTGACTTTTGAGTTCATCAATAATTCTATTTTTCTCTTAAACTTATACGGAATTTGTTCTTTCTTCTTCAAATTAAATTTAAATTAATCTATATTATTCTGATACATTGTTATGATCATTAAGTAATTATGTGAATCTTTATTTTAATGAATCTAATTCATTAACTGTTAATTTATGAGTTTCACTTAATTAAATGTGTTATTAATCGATTTTTGTCGATTTAAGTTTAAAATCCTCCAATTCAATAATTAATAATGTATTTTGATTACTTATTTATTAATGTTCACTAAATAGTTTTTATAATTATTCTTATAATGTTTAGGTTTAATTTTAAGTGCTAAGTAGTTGATCTTGATGGAGTTTATATTCTTATTAAATCTTATGTAATTATGATTCACTTTCTTCGAATTATTTTGTTAAGTGTTAATTTCTATCCTTCATCAATAAATCAGCATCTTTTAGAGCAACTATTATTAAATCTCTTTCTGATAAATGCTTCACATACTCAGAAATTTCATTATCTTTTTCTATAATTAGTTATTTTAATTTTTCATTTATTGATAATGCTTGATTCAACTAATCTGAAACTGAATTATGTAAAATTTATAAATCAGCTAACTACTTTTGAAGCTCTTAGATAATTTATGAATGTTAAGAATTCTTTAAATTCAACTCTTCAGCTAATTGAAATCTTTCTTTTTTGGCATCATCAAGTTCTGATAAACGTAAATCATACCTTTACTGAAGCAATTGCAATTACTCTGCCTACTAGATTATTACTAATTCATGATTTTATAACTTCTTTTTGATATCTACGTTCTCTGATGAAAATTTTTCATGTTCCCTCTTAGCAGCCTCTGCTTATATTAATCTCACTTCTAAATTTCCAATGATCCTAAGTTTATCTTAATTCAATTATTGTAATGCAATATACTCTTTATTGAGTTGATTTACTTATAATTCTAATTAAAAAATCTTATATCTATCTTATTCCATTTGTTAAGCCAATTCTTACTCTGATTATCTAGATTATAAGGAGATATTTATTTAATAGTTCCTTTCGCCTTAAGATGGTGTCATCGAATTGTCAGATGCTTGGCTAGATAATGTTTTATAATCAGCAATCTATTATTGAAGTTCTTGATTTTATAAGATTTAAGCATTCAATGAAGTGTATATTTCTTAATTTGATTTCTGTAAATTGTTGATTATATTTTAATTGTCTTCTTAAATTTTATCTGAATATTTCTTTTATTCCTGCAATGCTTAAATTTCTAAATCTTTCATAGATATTTTCTTTCTTAATTAATCATTATCCTCTAAAATTTGTTAATCTACATCTTTATTGATTATTTATAATGGTTAATTTTGTAGTTCTTTAACTTGCAATTGCAATTCTGAAACAAGCTTGTGTTTTGTCATCAAGAGCTCTTCTATTTGTACAATGTATTTTTTTAAAGTCTCCTTTTCTTCATCAACTTATGGTTATTAAGCAATTTGGACTGTTTTTCTTCTTAAATTCTAAAACTCATTAGATTGAGTCACTGAATATATTAGCATTTCCTCATTTTGTTCGTTTTATTGTTAGGCTTTTTAGTCTTTATGAAATTCAACTTTAATTTAATGTGTTTCCTTATTCTTTTCCAAAGGCCTAGATACAATGACACTTTATGTCATTCCATGAGAATGCGATAAAAAGATAATTAGTTTTGTTTGTACATAGTTTTTCTCAATCATAACTGATGTAACCCCTTTCATAATTTAACCTTCTATTTCATCAAATTATTGATTGAATTATTTGATTTCATCAATTGATGTATAGAAGGAAGAAGCCAAACATTTCAAAAAGTTATCATAACCTAATGTGGGGCTCAAGAACATTTGATTGAATAAGAAAAAATTAGTTTACAAAAGAAAGAAGTTAATCCCAAATGGCTATAAGTATCTTTATATTTTATTTCTCATGAAAGGTTTAACAAGTGTCACTTCATTCTGTTTAAGCTTAAAAGCCTGTTCCAAAACTTGAGCTATCTTTTCTGTTTCGCTAAGATAATCATAAGGTGTCTATTTTAATTATGATGGATAAGTATTGAACGGAATTATATCTGAATAAAGCACAGTTAACAAGACATATGCTGATGCTTCCGAGGAAAAACAGAGCAAAAAAAGTGTAATCAAGATTTAATCTGCACTATACCCGATATCTGGATATTGGATTAATAAGGAGCCTAACACCTTGCTAATTTTTTAAGTCAATAATTCGCGTTCGTTATCTTTGATTATATATGTAATGAATTCTCTAAGAGAAAAGTTGAGATTCAACCATAGTTCAATCATGACTGAATTCAACTCTGACTTCATTTTTTAATAATCATTATTCTCTTTTGCAGGACTTTATTCATTTTGTGCTTTTTCGTATTCCTGTTATACTAATACATCTATACTTGATTTGCATGTTCTACTGTCAAACCTGAGGCTTGTAGCCATTCAACGGCAACAGTATTCGTTCCAAAGACAATCTTTTATTACTCAATGAACTTTTTGATCCAATCACTTTCATCTTTACAAGAATTACAAATTCTTCTTGGCCTTTTGCTTGGACCTGTTTCTGTAATGTAGATGATTTTATGTTCTGAACACTATTTGCAAACAGCTCGTCGACATCTAAAATATGAGGTTTTCATGGAACCTTTTGCACTAATGCTCAGGCTTCAACAACCCAAATTCCTTTTGACACAGCTAACATCTCTTGAATTTTCCTCGTGCTTCAGAGATCAGAACCGTCTTAATATGGGCTTGAGCTAGCGATTTTCTTTGAGACATTATTAAAGATTTAAATTAGGATTAAGCTTAACTTATCAAATCTGAATTTGTGTGTTTCAGAGTATTTCATTTATAATGAATCACTATATTAATTACTAATCTAAAAATAATCATTTCTTCAGAAAATAATAATGAAAACTTTATTTTTTTCTTTTTTTCAGAACAATTATATAAAAATAATTAATATATTTTTAAATCTTTAATTTAAAATGGTCAAGATGAACGTTCTAAATGATTGCCTTCGTTCCATTGTGAATGCTGAGAGGTACACTTTATTGTTTTATTAGAAAAGATAAGGAAGAAAGTAAGTGTTAATAAGACCAACATCCAAATTAGTTGTGAAATTCTTATAAGTCATGTAGAGACACGGATATATTGGAGAGTTTGAAATTGTCGACGATCATAGAAGTGGCAAAATTGTAGTAGAATTATTGGGTATCAATTGTTACATATGTAAGGTCGCATTAATAAATGTGGAGTCATTTCACCTCGCTATGATGTTACTCTCGGTGAATTCGAGAGATGGGCTAACAATATTTTACCAGCCAGACAATTTGGATGCGTCGTCTTAACTACTAATGTTGGCATTCTTACTCACGAGGAGGCTAGATAAAGACATATTGGAGGTAAAATCCTTGGTTTCTTCTATTGAGTTTAATACAAAGTACATTCATACACATACAATATAAATAACTAAATTATTATTGTATTTATTTTATTTAACAAAATTGCAAAATCAATTTAACATTTTATATATCGAATAAGTTTAATAATCATTTTAATTGCCCTCCATTTACACCTGTCATTCTTGTTGAACTGCTCTTGACTTTTTTTTTAAATAATTTCTCTTCTTCATCCAATTTTTCATCATCAACTCCTTACGCATAAACCATTTGATCCATATCTGCAATTTCCATTATATCATTGACTTTTTCTTTGAAATATTCGTGTTAATAATATAATGTACTTGTTATTTATTGGTCTTAATAGCTCTCCCAATATGCGCTATGGTTTCTTTCTAAACAATTATCCTTTCTTATTTTATACACCATATCATTTCCCTCAATTTGCATTAAAGCGAAGGGGAAAATACTTTTAGAATTGACTTGTTGCTGAGGGTTCTAGATTTTATAGATGGGGAACTAATCTGATAACACTTAATCAAACGTCAATTGATATTTTCTAGCTTCCAAATACAAAGTTGCTAAAAATCTGGCTACGCTTTCCATTTTCTCATCTGGTGGTTCTTGAGGAATCACAGGTATTTAAGGAATTTAGGGTTGAATAGGTTATTGGACAACTGGAGGTACTATTACAGGAGGTTTTTCTTCAAATTTGAGTTTGTCTATAATGAGATCCTCAATTTGTTTTTCAAATTTGAGAATCTAATCTTCTTTTTTTTGTTTTTCTCTTCTCTATTATTCATTGAAATCTTTCCATTGAATAATTTCTTTTGAAATATTATCAAACATCTCATCAGCCCTTTCAACAACATTAATTGAACATCTATCCTAACAATCCCTTACAAAACAGTCTTTCGGCCATAATCTGATTTCTGAATTATTATCTTTTTCTTTCTTGGATTAATCAAAGAATTCTTTAATGAATTTACAAAAATTGAATCTCCTCTCTATTTCCATAGCCTTTTCTCTTTAAATACTCTAATCTATGAGATTGGAAACAATCAAAAGGTCTCTTTTCAACAATACTATTTTCTGACCCAAATTTTCCATTTCATTAACTCCTCTTGTATTTTAGGCATTTCCTCTTCTTAATTTCATCGTTCTATCCATCGGTTATGTCCTAGGACGAAATGCCAAATGAGGATTACTATCCTCGTAATATGGATGCATTAGGAATCTCGTAAGTGAACGAGAAAAATGTTATCTTTGCTTCTTAAAGTAGTTGTATAACTATTCCTAAAGTGTAATTGTTTGTTAATTTATGGTTCGTGGCAGAATTGGTTTCAATTTAAGAAATTCACTAAAATCTATTTCTACATCTTTCCCACTCTTAGCATCTAGTAATGCAAGGTATAATTCAAAATCTTCGATCGTAATGAGAATTTATAGCTTTTCATTGATAGTCTATAGGAAATGTACATCCTCTTCAGTTAATTCATAAGTTGTGGCATCCGGATAAACTGGTACTTTGTATTGAATGTAATCCTCACGACATCTGGCAGGCAGTTGTGATTTGAGTGTGGGCTCTTCAAATTATTTAGGTCTAAATAATAATGAGTATAATATAAAAATAAATAAGGCAAGTATGGAGGAGCAAGGTCGAGATTTCACATTTGAGAAAGGTGAAATCCTCTCTCTTAAACTCCTCTTTTGTAATTATACAGATGTGTGCAATTTACTTTTCTTTCATGAGTTAATCAGGAGTAATGATTTACTCCGTGTTTTTGATTTCTGTCTCTTGTCCTTCAGCATGGTTGAATGCTTCTAAGGTGCTTATAGTGAGTACTGGCTTTGATGCATCTATCTGTCTTGGTCTTTATTTCATTTTTCTGAGCTGCTGCCAATCGATTAATAATTAAAGAAACTTGAATAATATAGGAAGATACTATCCCAAGCAAAAAGAAAACATTACAAATCAAACAAATAACTCAAGAAAACTCTTCTTTTTATAATATTACTACTCCTCTAAACTCTCTACCATAATTCTATCTTTCTTAATTAATTAACACTCAGAATTTCACACCCTCCTCCTTATATTTGGTTCTTCTTTACCAAAATTCTGCTAACTCAATAATCTCTACATGTTTTGATTATAATTATTAATGTACTAAATTGAATTGTAGATAAATTAGATGACCCTGTTGTGAATTCAATAAATTCATTTGATTAAGATGGTTTAACATAAATTTTTAGTTGTAATAAGATTACTAAACTTAAAATCGAAAACCACTCATAGAAATCAATTTTAAATAAACATTATTTTAGACTACTCTTTAACATTTCTTAACGATGATAGTAAGTAGATCCTAGCATTAGCAATGATTTTTATCTCGGAGTGTAGCATTACTTATTATTACAATCTACCCTCATTAAAATGAATTGTATAATACAAAACCAATAAACTAAACCATCATAGTAAGCTTGAATTTTTGTATAATAAGATCAAGAATATAGTTAGAATTCCTATTTATCAACTTAAAGCCATAAGTAATTTTCATCGTTTTAAATTAAGCTAATTGCCCAAAATCGATTCAAGGATATTGAGAATCTGCTAAGATCCAATTTCATCTCTTGATTTCAAGTTTTTAGAATATTCTAATTTAATTGTTGATACACGAAACCAAAACCATTCAAATTACTGTAATTGAAACATATTAAATCATATAAGTTCCAAATTCAAATTAGAGGTAGTTCTTTGAAGAAAGCTATGATACATTTACATATATTTACATATAATTTGAATATTTAGATAATGATACTTAAATTATGCATAAATAGACATATAAATAATATGATGAAGTGGATTTGGAAAGTTAATAAGAATTGTATTGAGGAGGAGTCTAATTTTTATTTAAAATTTGTAATTAAAATTCTTTATAGAAATACATAATATTCAATAATAATCTTAATTACTGATTTATATATCACAAGTTCGAAAACGAATGTGTTGAACAAATGAAATTTTTTGTTTTATTCTTAGTCTATTTCATATATGTTTATTAATCTAAATAATGTTTGGATAGTGATTACGGTTACTTGTAGATTAAAAATGTAATAAGTAACATAGAACATAAGTAATTGTTATAATAAGACTTCTATAAATTTTGAATGGTTGACTCCATTAGTCACATGAGATATTGAGAATAAGTCAAAAGTGACTCTATGGAGAGATCAATGGAGATTGGGATGAAGAGGAGTGAAGAAAGGAGAAAGATATGGAAAGAAAGTAAAGGATACGTGTTTTAGATGGGTTTAATTATAAGATTGGATGATGAATATAATTATGATGGAGATGATTGAATTTATTTTTATTTTATGGGGGAGAAAAGAATTGACAAATATCTATTCAATCCTAAGGATATCATAGGAGAGGGTTCATATGCCTAAGTGTACAGAGGAAGAGATGAAAAGACAGGAGTAAAGGTGGCTATAAAAGTGTTAAACAAATCTGTGATAAATGCGTATTTTAGATTGATCGAAATTTAGAGATGATTATTTAAGAGAGGGTTTGATCTCAGAGATAAAAGTGATGCAAAAACTGAAGAGTCCAAACATAGTATCATTAATGGATGTGATGGAAACCAATAACAATTATTATATAATTCAGGAATATTGTGATAGTGGAGATCTAGATAAATTGATTGAAAAGTATGTAAAAATGTTATATAATCAGTTATGTGGCATAAAAGAAAACAATGCCTGAGAAGGATGCAGTCAAATTTATGATTGACATTTTGAATGGATTCATATAACTAATTAAAAATGGAATCATTCATAGAGATTTGAAACCAGCCAACATATTAATAGATAAAGGAGTACATAAAAATTAAAATCATATTCTAGACCTTCAAATTAGCAGATTTTGGATTTGCAAAATGTGTCGACAATTTTAAAAAGGATATGCTAGCATCATTAGTAGGAACACCACTCTATATGTCACCATAAATCTTGGATAATAAAAAGTACACTTCCAAGACTGATATTTGGAGTATAGCTTTCATCTTTTATGAAGCACTCTACGGAAAAAGTAAATATTCTCTGTTTTATCAATTATTTAGCTCCTTGGACTGCTAGATCCCCTTAAGAACTTCTAAAAAATATTAGAAGTCAGCCTTTGTCATTCAAAGGACCTTAAATCTCTAAGGAAGCCTAGGAATTTTTAACAGGATGCTTGTAAGCAGAGGAAAAAGATAGATTGTCTTGGGATGAGATCTATCGACATCCTTTATTTAAAGGACACTTTACAGATTTCATTAAAAATGTCAGCATTTTGGAAGATAAAGCTACCTATTTGATCAATGATATAAGACAGATGATTATTAAAGAATAGATTGATATTGGAGAACTATTTGCAGAACTAGATATGACCAAGGATAAAGCATTAAATGTCAATGAGTTAGGGAAGTTCTTATAGAGAGTAGATAAAAATCTGACTAGAGAGGAGATTGAGTATATTTTCAATAAATTTGATGATGATGGAAATAATCTAATAGAGTTTAATGAATTCAAAAAATGGTTGGAAGAAAATGATGTAATTTATTAATTAAAATTAAACATAGTGCAGAATGACTGCATCTGAAGTCAGCAGGACTAAAAAGAAGGTCAGTATTCTTATGAAACCACAATAAGATATATAAGCAGGGTCACTTGATGATAGAGTAAGATCAGTAATTGAAAAACTCAAGATATCTATTGTCAAATACAATATTAATCTTTTAGATTTGTTTAACAAGGTAATTGTTCTTATAATTCTAGTATGATAAATCAGCTAATCATGAACTAGATGCGTCAGAATTAGGCAAACTATTAAAGAAAATTGATCAAACTGTGACAGATGAAGAAGCTAAAGCCATCTTTACCTTTTTTGATCACAATAAAGATGGATCTGTTTCATTTAATGAATTCGAGTTTGTATTGAAAGAATGCTTAGTTAAATAAAAAATCAAGTAATGAAAATGATACATCTACAAATTGTTAAAAATGTTATAAGATCTTTAATTCACACAACTCCTATCAAAGAATTGTAAGTCTTCATAAAAATTATAATTGCTTTATTCAATGGATTAATAACGTATGGTCTTAATCCTCTCGCTAGTGTAAACCAACCAATTGTTTTTCTTAACTTTAGTTTGTATTCTTTATCATTTTCTGCCATTTTCAAATGGTGTTCATATGATGTCCTCGATATCACTTCCTCTCCTAAAAAGTTCTTTATCAAAATTCCCAAATCTAAAATACCTTAATTACATACTTTCGCGGAATGATTTCTCTTCTATCTCTGTTATCAAAGGAGCGTCAATCTAAAATTCCCTCAACAAACATATTGGAGACAAAATAGAGAAAACTATACCTAATTTTGGAAAACTAAAGTAAACATTCAAAAAGTATGACAAAATCACAGAATAACCTATTAAATAACCTATATATGTATGTAGATAATAAGGCAAGTGATCCTGATAGGGAATCTTTAAAGATAAATAACCTGTTGTTATAAAGACCGCATAAAGTAAATAATCTAAATGTTTGATTATCAATTATATTAATGTATTTTCTGGTAGAATTATAACCAAGATGTCAAATAGTGATGTTTGAAGCAATAATAAAAAGCTGAAAAGTAAAGCCTACAATGTTAATTTAACTTAATCAATTAGAGTGGAGAATCCTACATTATTGTCTCTTTTTAAGTTGTAAATCAAAAACTGCCTATTCTGTTTCACATTTGTCTCATATTAAATTGCTGTTTATGTAATTTTGCCTACATATACCAATTACCGAATATTGTTTTCAAGGTAGAAGACAACTGATATGATTTGAATCAACATTAAGAATAGCTTTGGAATTGATAATAGAGACAACAAATATACGATGAAGTCTATAAAAATAATGGTAGCCAATTTTTTGGCAGCAAATTATATTGCTTGCTTTAAATATTTTTAGATTTCAATGCAATATTTGTCTTATTTATCAAAAGCATATCTTCTGAGTCCCTTCATGAATTAGATGCTATCAAATAATCCATAGAGGAATAATATCGATTAAGTTTTTATATATTACATAAAATATTAAATAATAATTGAATACTATACTAGATATTTAGCATTCATTCCCTTTTATACTCAACCAACCGTCCAGTCTATTCTTCTTGATACTATTAAATGTATTCTTTCATGATCTAATTATATTTGAATGAATTTAAAAGGAATCTTAATTAAGATAAGTGGCATAAAATAAATAAAATAATGCACAGTTACGAAATTGTATAAATGAAATCCTTTTCAATTTATAAATTTTGATTTTCTAATATCTTTGCATGAAAACAATGAGATATATTAAAATTGTAAAGTTTATTGAATTTAATAAAATGTTTGACTATTATTTTATCTAATTATTTATATTAACTTATAATAAAAATTAATTATCAAATGAGTCATTAGAATGCAAAAAACTTAAGAGATTTACTTATAAAATAATAACTTAATAGTAAAATTAAATTTAAAGGGGAACCTGTTAATAAAATTCAACTAAATATTAAGTAATCAGGTAATTGGGATAAAAAAGTAGATATAACCTAATGTTATTGTAATTAAAAGAACTGCAATATTTGTGGAAAGAAAAGAGTTGTAATTAATGCATCACCTTTACTTAAGGTAAAGGTAAGCACAAAAAACCAAGTATGCGAACCTGATAGTAAAAGAGAGTTCAAAGTCACTAGCTCAGTTTCAGCACATCAATCCCCTAATCGTGAAAAACAATATCAAATGCAATAAACTTTTTTATAAAAACAAATTTAGAGTCATCTGCAGCAACTCTAAGAATCACGTCCTTAATCAAGACAAGTACCTAAAGACAATAAACCATAATTTTATCAAAACATGGACAATTTTTTAAATAATTACTATCAAAAAAGCAATTTAAGCAGCTCATAGTTATATTAAAATAGTTTTAGCGTGAAATCAAAGGTAATTCCAAAAAGAATTGAATCCAAAAGTCATGTCTTAAGTAATACTCAAACTTCGTTTAAATTGAAATTAAATTAATAAGGACCCAAATTTTCAGTTGTATCTTATTGAATTTAAATTAGATAATCAATTCTGGATTGGTAGAATCAGCTCCAAATTCTCCAAAAAATAATGAAAATTCAAATAAAGGCAAAATAACTCCTAATGATTCAATGACAAAAAGCAAAGTTAATTAGAACGAATCTAAATTAAGTGATATCAGAAGAAAATCTACAGGTGAGATATCAGAAAAAACTTAAGTTTTAAGTTAGAAGATAGAAGAACAAGTAAATAGAGTGCATTTTAAATTTCTGTATGTAATTGGTAAAGGTGGATTTGGAAGAGTTTGGAGAGTAGAAATGAAAAGGAATAAAAAATTGTATGCACTAAAAGAAATGTCAAAGGCTAAAGTAATCTAAAAAAGAAGTGTTAATTCGGTTTTAAATGAGAAATACTTATTAGAGCATCTACATCATCCCTTTTTAGTTAATATGTGGTATGCATTTTAAGATAGGGAAAATCTGTTTTTGATTATTGATTTATTGACTGGAGGAGATCTTAGATTTCATCTAGGAAAAATGAGAAGATTTAGTGAAGCTTAAACTAGTAAACATCGCTTTATATTATTATAGAATTCTTCGTGGCTTGCATATTATTGGCGTTAACTTATTTGCATTAAAATGGGATTATCCATAGAGATTTGAAACCTGAAAACTTGGTATTAGACGAGGATGGATATATGAGATTAACAGATTTAGGAATAGCTAGAATGAATAAAGGAAATAATGCTGGAGATACATCAGGAACACCTGGATATATGGCACCTGAGGTAATGTGTAGAATGGATCATTCAGTTGTGGTTGATTATTATGCACTAGGTGTCATAACATATGAATTGATGCTTGGAAGAAGACCTTACAATGGTAGAACTAGATAAGATATCAGAGAATAAATTCTAGCGAAATAAGTTCAAGTTAAAAGGGAAGAGTTGCCGATAGGTTGGAGTGAGAGTTCCCTTGATTTTGTAAATTAGGTACATCTTGATTGATGAAATTGTTAGTTAATATTGAGAAAGCCAGAAAGAAGACTTGGGAGTAACGGGATTGAAGAGATTTTGCATCATTCTTGGTTGAAAGGGTTTCCTTGGGATGATTTATTAAAAAAGAAAGTTTAAGCTCTTTATGTTCCAGGGGTATTGAATTTGTTAGAATGATTAGGCTGTTGATGATAATTTCGATTTTCAGAATTAAATATCAGAAGAGACTCAATTGAATGAAGAATAGCTAATGGAGAATCAGGGACTATTAAGGAGGGATACTGTGTAATGTATGAAAATTTGTAAGTTGTAGCTTTGTTTGATGGGTATAGTTTTGATGTTGAATTAAAAAACATTTAACATTAATAAACATAAAAGAATTACACTTAAAGGAAATCACAACCTGTTTCTCCAGAGAAAAGAGGATGACATTGAAAATTATTAATAATAAATGATAGTCAACTTTTTTTTAATTTAGATTTCGATAGATCATCTAAGAAGTCTTCCTCATAAAGTTTGAGGGACATTTGCTTTTTGAGTGTTTCATATCTTTCATCCAATTCTCCATATTTAAGAAGAAGATCATCGATATAATTATTTTTTTAGTCGATTCCTTGCAATAGTTCTTCGCATTTCTTTTGCAATAATCGAATGACTTCTTAGTTTTGAACTAGTTTTTCTTATTCGTAGAGTTTTGCCTTGAGCAGTTGGATTTCCTATAGGCTTGACTAAGACTCATACCCTTAGGTATTTGTTGTGGATCTCTTTGATATCATTTTCAATGCGAGCTTTGAGAGTGTTTTCGAATTGCTTGTTAAAGTCATTAATAATAAGTTAATTATTGGAAGTAAGTTCATCTAATTCTTTTTTCTTGTCATTGTACAACAACATTAATTGTTGGTTCTCTGCTTTTAAGGAGGATACCAATTGATTGAGTTGTCTAAGTTCTTTATCGTAGTTTTCTTTGATAGACAATTAATCTTCCAATTATTATTTAAAATGAATCAAACTGATTTGACAATCGGAAATGAATTGTCTACATAAAAGATGATATATATACTTCATTTCATTGATTTGTAAATATTGATTTTCAATGATTTTGTCTTATTCTTGACATTTGGATTTGAATATTCTCAATTCTTCAAATTGGTTATAGATTTGTGGTTGAAGAGTTGGATGAATGCTATTGTGTTTGGAAGTGGAATATTTCTATTCATCCTGTAGGAAAGTGGCTGTCGAATGAGATTGAGTCCGTAATGGAGATTTGCTCATAATTCGTTAAAATGACATGATAATATTAAATTCCAAATTTATCTGGAATATTAAAATAATTGTATTTAAACAAATCATCCTAATGTGAAATATTAATATTTATTTTTAAAAGTTTAGGAATGGATCCAAAGTATGTGTTATAACTTAAACAATTATAGGAAATAACCTCAGCCAAATTAACCTAGTTAACCCAACTAATCAAACTAACCCAACTAATAGGGATAATCAGAAAAAAAGGATGTTTCGACAGCTATTTTGGACAGAAAGAAGGCACCCAACAGATTGATAGCAGAGGAAGCCCTCTAAGATGACAACACAGTGATTCAATTGTCTTAAGCCAAAATGAAACGAGTTGAAAATTGTTTAAGGGTGCACCTGTGTTATTAAAAGGAAAGAAGAGAAAGGAAACAGTGGCAGTGCCAATTCCAGATAAGTTGGATAATGAAAAGATTAGACTGAATAAAGTCATCAGAAAAAATTTACGCATTAAATTAGGAGATGTTGTGACCATCAAACCATTAGATCAAGTATTATGAAATTCAAAATTTACATAGGTTCCAACTTTAACTAAAGTACACGTGCTTCCCTTTGACGATTCAATCGAAGGAATTAAGGGAGATTTAGCATAAACATACTTGATTCCTTATTTCAAAGATGCTTACAGACCTGTGAAGAAAGGAGATTACTTTATTTGCAGAGGAGGATTCAAGGCAGTCGAATTCAAGATTATTGCAACTGAACCAGGAGAAATTGGTATCGTTGGTCCAACAACTACATTATTTACTGAAGGTGAACCTGTAAAAAGAGAAGACGAAGAGAAATTAGATGAAGTAGGTTATGATGATGTTGGTGGTTGTCGTAAATAGATGGCTCAAATCAGAGAAATGATTGAATTGCCATTGAGACATCCCTAATTATTCAAAACACTAGGAGTCAAACCACCAAGAGGAGTTCTATTATATGGACCTCCAGGATCTGGAAAAACATTGATTGCTAGAGCTGTTGCTAATGAGACAGGAGCATTCTTCTTTTTGATTAATGGACCTGAAATTATGAGTAAGATGGCAGGAGAAGCAGAAGGAAATCTCAGAAAGGCATTTGAAGAAGCAGAAAAGAACAGTCCTGCTATTATCTTCATTGATGAAATCGATTCTATTGCACCAAAAAGAGAGAAAGTTAGTGGTGAAGTCGAAAGAAGAGTTGTCTCTTAATTATTGACATTGATGGACGGTTTGAAGGGAAGAGGTCAAGTCATTGTTATTGGTGCTACCAATAGACCCAATTCAATTGATCCAGCATTGAGAAGATTTGGTAGATTCGATAGAGAAATCGATATTGGAGTACCTGATGAAGTAGGTAGAATGGAAATCTTAAGAATCCATACCAAAAATATGAAATTGGCTGAAGATGTCGATCTTGCTGCCATTGCCAAGGATACTCATGGTTTTGTAGGAGCAGATATGGCTGCTCTTTGTACAGAAAGTGCATTGTAATGTATCAGAGAGAAGATGGATGTCATCGATTTGGAAGATGAAAAGTTAGATGCTGCTGTATTAGAAGCCATGGCTGTTACATAAGAACACTTCAAATTTGCTATGGGATAAGTTAATCCCTCATCTTTGAGAGAAACTGTAGTTGAAGTACCAAATGTTAAATGGGAAGACATTGGTGGTTTAGAAGAAGTCAAGAAATAATTATAAGAAATGATCTTATTCCCAATTGAACATCCTGAAAAATTCCATAAATTCGGTATGTAACCATCCAAAGGTGTTCTCTTCTATGGACCACCAGGATGTGGTAAAACATTGTTGGCTAAAGCTGTTGCTAGTGAATGCTCAGCCAATTTCATTTCTATTAAAGGACCTGAACTATTGACTATGTGGTTTGGTGAATCAGAATCCAATGTCAGAGAGGTCTTTGATAAAGCCAGATAAGCATCTCCTTGTGTCTTATTCTTTGATGAATTAGATTCAATTGCTGTCTAAAGAGGTAGCAGTGCTGGTGATGCTGGTGGTGCTGGTGACAGAGTTATCAATCAATTGTTGACTGAAATGGATGGTGTCAGTGCTAAAAAGAGTGTCTTCTTTATTGGAGCTACCAACAGACCTGAAATCTTGGATGAAGCCATTATCAGACCTGGTAGATTAGATTAATTGATCTACATTCCTTTACCTGATGAACCATCCAGACTTAACGTATTTTAAGCCAATCTTAGAAAAACCCCTGTTGCTAACAATGTAGATCTTGCTTATCTTGCTAAAATTACTGATGGATTCTCAGGTGCCGATATCACTGAAATCTGCTAAAGAGCTGCCAAGGCTGCTGTCAGAGATGTATCTATTTATCATTATATATTATAGGCTATTGAAGCAGAAGCTAGACAAAAATAAGCTCTTCAAATGGCTCCCAATAAGGCATCTTAACTCATCAAGGCTGATCCAGTCCCAGATCTGAATCGTAAACACTTTGAAGAAGCTCTTAGACATGCTAGAAAGTCAGTCACAAATATTGTATCTACTTCTTTCTAAACATTTAGGACTTACAAAAATTTGAAGACTTCAGAAAGAAATTTGATCCTTCATTCAACAAAGGAAGCAATTAAGGAGGATTTTCTTTCAAATGGCCTGAAGCTGGTGGCTAATAATTTGGAAGGAGTCAACAAAGTAAAATCTAGGAAGAGGATGATCTTTATGGAAATTGATTAGTATATATATATAAGAAAAGTTATCATATAATTAGATATCTCCTTTTAAATAATAATTTAATATTGCAATACGTTTAAATGTCTAAAATAATTCATTTCTTTACAGGTCCCTTCTTTTTTCCTATATTCATAATTACTCATTCTAATACCATCTTTCTTTTACTCTTCTTCATACTTCCTTTGATGATCTAATGCTTATTATTTCAATTATTCAATTGCTAAACGTAATGCAGTTATCTGTGCTTACTTCAATCTATCTGCTTCCTCTAATTAAACCAACTAAGTTAAATATGGCTTTAGCATTTCCTTAGCTTCATGTTCTGATTGATCCATTCTGTTTTATATTAATATATTAAAAAATATAATGATATAATTAACAAAAATGAAAACAACAATTAATTCATCATTAATGTGATGGATTTAGCCTAACATCTCCATTTTTTGTAAAGGTTACTCTAATGCCTATTAAATATTTATAATTGTAGTCCCTCACAATTTCCTTGCAAGTTTATTAAAGTCTCTTATGATGTTCAGACTTTACTGCAATATAAAATCAGTCGCATTTCAACTTTATAACAGATTTTGGTTAAGCAACACTCTTAATAAATTTGATTCAGACTTTATTTCTTGTTTTAAAACCCTAGAATTGTCATGAACCAACAACCTCAAATTTAACTTGTAATTTTGATATTGTATAAGCTAATCCACAATTTCTGCTGTCTCTTTCTGTGGAAAGACTGAGATCATCAAAAAAGAATAGACTTTATAATATCCATGTTAACTAATTAGCATTTTATTAAAATATAAATCAGATCATAAGGAAGATAGAGTTTAAAACAAATTATTGTGTTAATGCAATAACATATATCATTCATCTAGCAAATTATTAAATTCTTAATCTGAAAGCACCTTGTCCTTTGATTTTGCTCTGAGTAAATCTATTTCAACTAACTTCTTTTTTTCTTTTTATTTAGCCTCTTCTATTTATTATAACACTTTATCAAGTTCCTTTTGTCTTGCTTAATACTGATTTTTGGTAATTGTCCCTGTTCTCCCTTTTGATGATTCAATATCATCGACTGGATTGTATGGTGTATCAACTTTTGGTTGAAAATCAATCGAATACCTATACCCAATATAAAAACTTGCTCCTGCAAATCCAATCAACAACAATATTTCAAATAATATTGCCATACGTGTTTATGAAAATAATAATAATAATAATAATATAATCAAATATTTGACAATAATTATATGTAAAAGTGTTTATCATTCTTAATGCAATTAGTGGAGTCTCCCTATTCAAGGATCATACTAACATAACAATATGGTGAATATAACATTCTCTCCTATTTTTTAATAATTGATTTAATTATATTAATATATATATTACAGTTAATGAATAAGTCGAGGGATTGGAATATAGTGGATGATGAATTGAATAGAAAATTGAAACATTCGTAAGAGTTGAAATCGTCCCTTGATGATTAATCTGCTGAATTATTACTTCAAAATAAAGATCAAAATTAAGGTATGAGAATATTTTATTCAAAATTAGAATATAATAATGACATCAATTACTACAAGGAATTCTGGAGATATTATCTACTAAATGAAATGACTATAAAAAAAGTGAACGAATTGCACACATAAAATTAAAAATTACATGATTTGATAGCTGAAATCGATGTAAATATTTATGGTAATACCTAGAAATTGCAACAAGAATTGCATCAAGCTTTAAGTTATCGACAAAAAAAGAAAAACAGACGTACCTCTTAAGAGATCGAGAAATCTTTTATTTGTCCATATGAGAAATGTAATAAGTAGTATGGGAGTGATGTTTCTTTAAATTTACATATCAAGTTGAAACATGATGGAGGAAACAAAACAGACAGAGAAAAATTTGCTGTAAAATCTGTTATTTATTGATTTCATCTAGAAAATGATCATTGAAGCACAACAAAATGGAGAAACAATAACTGATTTGAATATCAACATTAAATTTCCTCCAGGATACTTGGATGTACAATTTATTTAATTGTAGTAATTTAAAACTCAATTTTTGTTAAATTAGTAAAATTAGTTAAACTAAGAAAGGTAATCAATCGAATAAGATTGACATAATTGAATTAAATACAATATAATTTTCGTTTTTGCTAATCACGATTTAAATCAGTCAAGTTTCTTTCATTAATACATTCCAAATATGAGACCACTCCATTTTAACTTTTATAAATTAATATTAAAAATTATAATATGAATTTAGGAATTGAGTAAATAATACCTAGTTTGTAGAATAGCATTGTGAATCACACTTAATCAATTATTTTAGATGATTGTATATCAGAATTTCAGAAATATTTGGAGAAAGTAATTCCAAATTATTTTTAAGACTCCAAAGCATAGAAAAATGTATTTAAGGACTAGGTGACTACTAATGTGATAAGTACACATTTATATTATCGATCATAGGTTCACTGTTAAATTTGACCAACCAGTCAGATTTTTTAAAACCTTATGACAAAGAAATAACTCTTACAACTCTGACTAAATTATATAAAATAGTATAAGAAATATAAGAGAATGGAAAAATTCAAGTTTTTATTAATCAAACAATTTGGAATATCGAAAGAGATACTACTAGATAATTACAGGATTTATAAGATTTATTTTAATTACTTCTCTCCTCCAAATCTTGTGGTAAAATGATACTTTTAAAATAATTTGATTAATATGTAAGAAAATTGCAATAATAAACATATTTCTGGGAAAGCCTAATTTTATTAGAAAACTAACAAATCCCAAAAATCTCAAGGGAATCATTGGCAAAGGAAACAGATCTAGTAAATAAAATTGAGCTTTGGAAGTTGATTCTAATTTAAGAACGAAATAAAACTCCATCCTCTAAAGGTACCTCACTTATTTTAGAACAATAAAAAATCATCCAAACCTAATGTCTCCATTAAAAGACTATCCTTAAAGCTTTGTAGCAGTATTGTGGATTGGGACTTTAAAAGAACTAATTATAATCGATTTAATTATTTGAAGAATTAGCCAGATCAGGCAACCCTTTAGCTAATGCCATTTTGGGATAATTAATCTTGGAAGGTTAAATATGTGAGCAGAACTATGAGAAGGTAACAGTATATACCTGACTATTTAAATAGGCCTATGAATACTTTTCAGAGAGTGCTGACTAAAACTGTCCGATTGGGATCTACTTTATGTCAAAATTAATATTAGTAACCATATTAGGTAAACTATATTAGGAAGGCAAAGTCCAGAATAAGATATTTGGAGAAGCCTAAAAATCTAGTAGTAAATTCAATAATACAAACAATTCTAGGATCGAGGAATGCCAATTCGCAATTTCTATGCTGAAAATAGCTTCGGAAGCAGGAAATGTGGAATCAATGATTTATTTAGGAGATCTTTATTCTTAAGGATACAAATTAGATGATTGTATATAGATAAAATATTCAAAGTCACCCTGGATAGTGATTATTCGACATCTGAAATTTATTTCAAAGAGGCTAGCAAATAAGAAAGTGTAGAAGCCAAGTTTAAATTAGCTAAGCTCTATTAAAAGATGTTTAAAATTTCAATTTATAAAGTATAATTAATTTTCGATGTTTAATAGAATAGGATATAATTCGTACACTAACTATTATTAGAGGCTAAGAATAACGAGTACTTGCCTGCTTATTATGATATGGCCAAACTCTTAATTGAAGGTATAAAGGATGATTTGCAACCTAATTAAATTATGGCAGAATTGATATTAGAATAGGGAGCAATGAAGGGTAATTCAGACTGTGCAAAACTTATTCTAGAGATCAAATATAACAATCTAGTCAATAACAAAATCAACCTATAAGAGTTTCTACAATTATTGGATTCGTTAGATTAAGTTTAGAATAAAGTTGAAAATTTAACTTTCTATTATAGAGGGAAAATTGCTTAAAATGGTTTGTAAGATGAGAGCAATTCTTAATTTGCCAACTAACTCTTTAAGTATTAAATATGGATTTTAATTAGTTTAGGATCTAATTTAGGATGCAGTAAGTGTAAATAAGAGTTAAGTTTAGGTGCAAAAAAAGAGTTGAACTCAAAGAAAGAAGTAGTAGAACAATAGGAGAAACAGGAAAGGTTTTAAGCAAGTCTTGGTTTTGTTTAATAGTTTAAATAAACTGATTGGAGATCAAGATTTAGAAAGCAAAGCATATTTTCAAACCCATTCAATATCTCATTAATAGAAAATGATCAATCAACAATGTAAATTCTACATAATTTGATATAATAGATAAGCTAGAATGACATCCAGTATAATTAAAACAATAGAAATTAATGATGCGGAGAATAAGAGGAAGCGAGTTATATCAGATTATACAGGATTTACTAAGTAATAACCTTCAGATTAAAGTATATTGCTGTCGAATTTGAAATTGAACCCGAACGATCAGCAATAGTTGAATTCAAACTATTAGATTCAAGAGTAAAAGTCAAGAAAATCATCATTTTATACAAAAAAGGAAAAACCAAAGTTTTTGAGGCACTTGTCGTAACATGCAATCCATTCATAATCTTCAAATTTACTAAATTTTTAAAATACATGAGAATAGTTTGTATTAATATCATCTCTTTAAGTATTCAATAAAATTAAATACCTCTTGAAAATATTACAATATAGTTTTATTCAAAAAAAATGGTTGTAAAATATTAATCAATGTTTTCAAAGTGTTAACATTTTTTCTCCTTTCTTGTAAATCCTTTCCTGTGTTTGCTAAGTTTAGAGACCTAAAATCTCATTCATCTCTTCTTCTGACAATCTAACTTTTTAATAAATAGAGGTAAATTTATGTTTTTGCTTTTCTGATTTTCTTATAGGTTTAGATGTCAATTATTTCTTGTTTTTGATTTCTTAATCTCTTTTAATCTCTAATAATGACAATCTTTTTCTTGTTGTTATTGCATAAGTTTTAAGATTCGGAGGTTCGTTAACAATTTAAATCACTTTATTTTAATCATCGACCACACTCCCTGGCTTTTGATTCTATTTTTATTTAGATTCAAAGACCTCCTTTGCTTTATTAATCTTAGGTTTATTATGATTAAATTCTTTTATTGGATCTACTTATTCTATTTTAACTTCGTTTTTTTACTCTTAATTTTGCTTTCTACCTTATTTTTTAACCTATTTTTATTAATATTAATTAGATTCTTTTTCCTCTTCTTTTATATAACTCTTAAATCTAAGTACATTTTCAATATTAGAAGTAGAACTCTCTTCAACTGATTAAGGACTTGTGATGTTTTACTATTTTTATTATTTAAATTTGGCTGTGCATTTAGGGTTTTATGGCTCAGATTAAGAACAATAGTGGTAGGAACAATTTAGATGATCTTAAGAGGATAAAATAAGTTATAGAATATTAGTATTGTACTTACATTAAACCTAATAGTATTTAACTTTGTCACATTTTAAACATACTACTTTTTGTTAATTTTAATAACAACACAGAAATACTTCTTCTTTACATTCTTCACAAAAGCAATGTTGTCTCATTGAATAATTTGTAGTTAGCGACTAAATCTTCTTCTATTTCTGCAAATCACTTATTAGCCCAAGTTCTTAAGACAGAAACTCCTTTAGGTAGATTCTCAATTATTCGTTCTGATGATGAATGAAAATATCCAAAAATAGATTTTTTAGAGGAAGAATAGACTATATTTAATATTTGATGTTGATCTACTATCTCCTCATCATTTGTTGATATGAATATGAATTCATAGCCAAGAAACTCCATCCAGTAGTGATTGTTGTAGATAAACATTCAATTTGATAGAAGGATCCAGCTCCTAAAATAATTAGATCGCCAGGTTTTTAAATGAATCTTTTATAAGGGATCCCATGTTTTTTTAGAATTTCTCTTTTCAAGTAATAATTACCTTCTTAATTAATAAAATGCTTTTCATTTTAGAACAACTTTTCCATGTGTTCTGGATTAATAACTATCCATAAACAATCTCCAGGTCCATTATTTAAGTTAAGTAGATTAACTGCTCCAGGTTCTTGCTTTGCCCCTTTCCAACTTCCTTGAGTCATGATATTGAGGGAGAGCTAATTGACATTTTTAATCTTTGATCTTAAAAAGCTCAAGCCATCCTCCTTCAAAAAACATTAGGGCAAATATTCATATAATTTATTTGCCTCTTCTTCCCAACCCTCAATTTATAGGTCAAATAAGGAAAGCAATTTATGAGCATTGTATTGTTTATTTTTGCGAAAGAAATCACTTGCATCTCTGATATAGTCAAGGTATTTTGATAAAGTCATTGAAAAAGATGATTTTTCTATATTGTCTTGGGATGGTTTTAGTTATTGAGTTACTATAATGGATTCTGAGCCATGATTGAGTTTTATATTTTATAATCTAAAGTATCCTCTATTTAATTGGTCCATGACATCTTGAGGAATTTCCCACAAAAAAAGAGGTTGATCGACCCAATCTGATATTGGAAGATGAAATCTGTTGAGAGTGTCTTTAATTTTAGGTGGCTAAGTGCTGTTGAAGGAATCTAAATAGTAATCTTGTAACTCTTTAAATTTGGATGGATTGACTTGTTCATTAATAGGTTTAGTTAAGTTCTCAATATTAAATTCATCTAAAAGTTTTTATTGTTCAGCCGAAGGGGAATAGTGAAGATTAACGAATTCTGCAAATAGGTTCATGTTTTATGTATAATAGTTATTTTAAATTAATTTTCATGATGATATTAAAGTAAAATCAATAATAAATGAGCACTTAAATTTAGTCGAATCCCAACAAACTTCATTTTTTCAAATGCTTCATTATTCAATTTGCCCCTTGTTGAAGGTAAAGGATCCAATTTAATTAGAGAATTAGTTTTACTTATTGGTTTATTATTATCTATCTCATCCATTATTTCATCTCTTTAGAATACTAACAAACCTAAGGATTTACTTTCAAATCACATAAGAAAGTCTTATTCAATTTTGGTTAATTATCTCCTATCTGCAGAGATCTAGAGATTATTCTGGGTCTAGAACAACATAAAAATAAACTCACTTTATCTTTTCACCTCAATTTAAAAGGCAATTTCTCTCTTTCATTGAACATAATATTGGCTCTAAGAATACCATCCTAATTTATTTCATTAGAGAATATCTTCTACTCTATTTTAAGCCATATTTAGTTAACAAGTTTGGGTATATTAACATCATAGATTATTTTCAAGTTTGTAATTCCTTCCATATTGGAGCAATTGGTTATACCTTATACCTGTAATTATAAATGCTATGTACTTATCCAATATTATCTACAAGAAAAGTGTTAAGCATAATAATAATTAGAAATTTATTTTTGATCTTCAAGTGAGTCAAGAAAATTGTTTCAATATAGTTAAGGTTTTAATTGTGTTATCTGTCATGTTTATAACAAGTATTAAATTTCTTTGAATTTCATTAATAAATCAAAAAGGTAATTTAGTTTGTTAAGAATATAAAAATTAGATAAACGAATAATTGTACAATTAAACTGCTATTTAAAATAGAGTCTAATTTTAATATATATTATAATAGATTGAAAAATTTAAATGAATGAAATTAATGAAGAGAAGATCAACTGTTAATTATACAACTTATCAAATTAGAATGTTCTTAATAGTTTAGAATACATAGCCTTCAATTCTAATTCCACAATTTTATTAGCAATTTAACAGAATATCATCAATTCTTATTACTTTAAAAACAATTATCTAAAACACATTTCTAGTATTAAAGTGCTAAGAAAAGGCAAAGATCATCTAGAATAACTTGAATACTTAAAAGGTTCAAACTCAATTTTAACAACAATTAGAAATAACATCCTAATTGCTAATCTTAGTTGTTTAAAGTCAAGAAAAATTTTATAGAAGATTGGCCATCGTTTATATAGTGGTTGTTAATAGATGTTATTTAATTAAAATTAAAACAACCTATTTATAAGTTCTGATAATTAAGTCCTGTTTATTGAAAAGAATATCGAAGGGTGGAAATAAACTCAAAAAATTTAATTAGGTTATAGGGATTATGTGATTTCAATGTGTTTAAATCTTTAAGAGGATGAGTTGTAAATTTATGCTGATGATGGCTATAATTGCTCAGCTTATATTTATATTTACCAGAAATAAACCTAATAATAAGAAATTAATTGGATTTTAATACAGAATATGCGTTTCGGAAATGGAATAGGAAAATTATGGGGGGGATTTGTAAATTAACTACTCTTTTTTAATGAATTTTCTCTTGATGTTTATAAAAAATCAAACTAATCTTAAGACTACATAGAATATGTTTCTTCTTAGATTCAGAGTCGTTCCTTGATCTTTTGCCAGTTTTTGCAAAATAAATTGGTACTGCTTATTGAAAAAAATAACACCATTAGAGTTATGAAATTAAATCTATAGTAAAAATTAGAGTTCGTAAAATCAATCGAAATAGATATGTCTGCATTGATTAATAAATTCTCTTATTATTCTTCGATAAAAGCTACATTAACTTAAGATGAAAACTTTTTAATAATTTGGAATCAAGAAAAAACTTTAATCATTAAAATGATTTATATTTGATCTTCAGTTTATTTCTACACTAATAATAAATTGTTTAATTTTATAATAAATTAATTATTGTATTTATACAAACAAAATAAATTGTTATAATAGTAATTAATTTAACTGTTATAATATTCTATCTTTTATTATTGCACATATTTAATAACAACACAATATCGTCTGCTTAGGTAGAAATTTTTTGAACTCCTTTTAACCAACTTTATTTTAAAGGTCATGAATAAAAATTGTCTAGATATATCTTAAAAAGTTGTCGGGATATTGGAGAACCCAACACAGCTCCATTACTAAATCAGTACTTGCTATTCTTTTAGGTAGTGTCCTTATAATGTGTAATTTAATGAATTTTCTAGGAAATCAGTCACTTCTAAGCTCAGTATTTCCTTTCTTTAAGGATTCCATAAAGCCTTTTCCTTATAATTGTATTGTAAGTGCTTTGAAAATCAATGAAAATCAGATCTAATTTGGATTATTTATTGGTAGAAAGAATTTACTTTAAAGATATATTGAATATTTTATTAGGTGTTTTTAATGATAAATTATCAATTTTCATTCTTAAATTATTTCGATTTAATTCTAATAATACTATTGAAAATTATTTATGCAACAGATCTATATCACTATTTCCTATAATATAAAAGAATCTTAATTATTAGATTCTTTATGAAAAGTTGCTTTTTCCTTTGTTTACAAAACCTTTTATATCATCAATATTTTCAATTCTTTCAAAAATTTATAAAGCTGAAGATATAAATATTAAATGTAATTTTTTAGATTTACTTTATGTATATTGATATGAACTGATAAATCAAATATAAAATAGGACTTTTTATTTAACAAGGTCTGGTAAGGGGAGGAACTTTACTTAATCCCTGTCATCATAGTTATCTCCAATAAAGTTGCAAAGACAATGAGCATATCTGACAGGAGCAGGGATTTTAATAGAGCCTGTAAAATTATAGAAGAGCCAGCATAATTTGAATGTCAAAACTTTGATGTCGTCATCAAGTCCTAGAATAAATAAATTAATATACCTGCTTAATCTGAATGAATTATTTTATATAAGGAAGGAGTTACAGTTCCTTACCTAGTTACTTGTGAAATTAAATAAAAGTTAGGATTTGATTATTCAACTACTTTAGGGTTATCAACGCATGTTCCTGGTTAAGGATTATCAGGTCTAGCATTTCCACCAGTATAGAATTTAGCTGAAACTCTTTTATTGCATACAACCAATGAAATTTTAGTATCTGTAATTTGTAGTTCTTCCAAGGCTTATTTATATTATGGTAATTCATTAGCAAGAACAACTGCTTATTATCCATCTCCAACCCCATCTCTATATATAATAATCAACTTTGGAAATATTCCGTTCTATTCTTTGAAGGCCAAAAGTGATGCTTTGAAAACTTGTTAAAGATGCTAACTGAATTCTCCAGAAGTAACAACTTGAGAATAATATCTACTTAAATTTCTATCAACAGTGCTACAGAAAGCTAATTAGTTTTTTCTTCCGCTTTTAACAAAGCAATCGGTTCCGCAAATCATAGTAGGTTGATTTTAAAAAGTAGTTGGCAAACTATCAATTGCCCAAGGAGTACCTCCAACTTTAGCATTTAGCTGAATTAATATTTTATTAACAATCGACCTTGTATTTTTGGCAAGAGTTTTCTCAACAACCACTTAAGATGCACAACCAAACTTTTGCATTGAAATCTTCTTAGCTGTTTTATACAATCTTGCCTTTTTTTTTTACCCAGGTAGAAGGAATAATAAGAATCCAACTTTGGCTTTATTAGCTTCAGCTTACTTTTAAAAGCCATCAAGAACCCTTTCTAAATCCTCATCTCTATCCTATTCAATAGGGAAAACCTTTGGAGCCATGAATGCTTAAAACTTAAAGTCATTACAAGCGGCTTAAAAGTTTTACATCAAAGAATCCATAGTTTATTGTCCAGTTTTTTTATTGTAGATGATTCCCAAAATAAGTTATTAAGGAGGAGTTGAAAACATTTAAGTTTAAGTTTATCTATCTAGATTTGTTTAAGGACTTGATAGATCTAATTTTAACCCATTTCCCATTAACATATTTCCTGGGTGGATTCTTCTAGCAGGTACATCCATACTTCCAGGATTAATTTCTACTCCCCACTCTTTGAAGATTTATCTCTTAGTTCCTGATCCTTTGTTAACAATTTCAGTGCTGGCTAACTAATTAGCAAATTCTTAAGCCATCTTCATTTCTTTAGTCAGCTCCTGGTTTGGTAACAACAGCTAAATTCTTCATGGCATTGAAATCCTAAGATTATTAGAAAATTAAGTACATTTCTTATTGCATCAGTTAAACCTGTTAACTAACATAATTAAGGGATTAAATGAATTGTTTTTTCTGTTTTATCTTATTTGCTCCTCACAGTTGCTCTGATTAATGGTTAATTTCCATCAACTTTCACTTTATATCTTTATTCATAATATTAAGCAAATGAAATAGTTTCTCCTTTTTCATTAGTAAATGTGCTTGCTGGTTTAAGATTAACATCAACAGCCTCAACCTTATAGAACTTCTTATTGTAAGTAGTCATCACAATTTAATCTTGAATACAAGCTGGATTTCTAGTTTAATTCAATTCTTCTAAGGCAGATCTATATCTAAGCATTTTGAATGCGCAATCGATGACTAAAGTTGGATTTTAAGCTCCACCTTCTCCTGGTCTAAAAATACATTCTACACCTGGCCAAATCTATCGATTAATTTATTTCTTACTTCTAAATTCTAATCTTTAAATTGCTATGCTCTGCTTGACCAAAATAGTTTCTATCCTTTGTTACCAACTGAAACCATTTGCATTTAGCTTCTGATGACTTATTTGAAAAGTCTTGAGATAATGATATTTAAGTCAGCTTTGTTCTCAATCTTCCCTACTAGTTTGAGAGTTGCTGTATCTTGATTTGTCTCATTTCCACTCAACGAACCTAAAACTAATCCATTATCAGCTTCTTAGATAAGCTTTGGGGAATAAATGTTTTAGTTCAAGCTCATAAATAAGATCAATTAAGTCTAGAGTTAAGGTCTAAATTTCTTTAGTGCCTCACTTACTTTCTCAGGTGAGGAATCTGTAATTTCTAATTTGTATTGATAAACTGGTCTGGATGGGTTCAATCTCATCTCATGGAAGTTTGCTTTAAGTTAAATATTTTGGAACATTTTGTATTATATACATTTATTACTTTGATTGAATCAGTTCATATATTCATTTTATAAAAATGCACCTAAAACTTTTAGTGTGAGTAAGATGTTTAGTACAATTTATGATTGAAATTAATTTAAATAATTTATAATTAATTCACTTCAAATATTATATAATAACTCTAATATTACTTGTAAAATATTGTTAAGTAGCAATTGGAATGGCAAATAGGAAGACTTATTTATTGAATTATATGTGAGGATGATAGATGGTTGTTGTAAATAATAATTTATTTATCAAAAAATGGATAATTGTTTTATTGAAATCTCTTAAAAATGATTTTCAAGATAATTAAAATAAAATCTGCATATTTATCTATTCATATCAATCATAGATGTTTAAATATTTGTATTGGTATAGCGAAAAATCAGAACTCATATTAATGTAGTTCTGCAAATTAGATAATATATAGAATGAAATTATAAAATAAATTAATTTCTTTAGATGTCAACTTCTAAATCTATAATTGATGAGACTTACATCAATGTTCATTTGAAGGGAGGTAATCTCCATTCTGAACTTCTACACATTGAAGCTTCTTTCAACAAAGGTATTACGATGATTCAATTTAGGATAATTTAAGGGATAATCTATTCCTTTAAGATGTCAATGGTTTAATATCACAAAAGATAAAGATTTTGTAGAAATAGAGGATGTATCAGGATAATTTTATCAACCTTGTATACTAGATATTGATACCAAGTAAAATCTTCAATATTCTTTTAAGAATTATGGTTTAAGCCATACCAATTTTGGATTTTGACTATAATGGAATGCCTTTAATGGCAGAAACAAATTTTTTACAAGCAGATTCAAAAATTTTCGATTTAGTAGATTAATACATTAAAAAATTAGGTTAACTAAGCATTTAATGAAGGAGAGATGTAATTAAATTGTAAATTAGAAAATATCTAAGCACAAGACAATCAATCCTTTAACGATCTTAATTTACCTTCAATATGCACTTTAATTGCAAATGAAAATGGATTGATATTGAAAACTGATTAAAATAAGACAATTGTGAATATTGACAAATATGAATTGAAGATCATTAAGAAAAATAACAATTAGATTGAGATCTTTAATTAAAATATAAAATTATTGGCAGCCGTAACAAACAATATAGTTCGTGATGCCATTTTTTAATTTAGCAAAACCTTAAAATCAAAAAAGACTCATCTAAGTGACACAGCGTAATTGTATGTTATCCTCTCTGATTAAGAATAAAAGATAGCTTAAAAGGACAACGAGATTTCTTCATTATTAGACTTTAAGCAAAAATTGACAAAGAATCTGAGCGAATTATAATAATAATACAACTTAAATATCAAAAAGATGGAATAAATTGATAAATAGTTAGCACAATAAAGTTAGGTAATAATAAATAAGGACAAGGAAATACTAAATTTAAAATAATAGATTGATAAACTAGATGGAAAGACATAAATTTATATATAAGAAATTAAAGTTCTAAAGAGTTAAGTAATTTTATTAGAAAATACTAATAAAAAATACTAGCATGAGATTGAAGAATTAAAAAAGAATTAAAACTAAAATTAAGACGAAATAAGAGAAATGTTTTACAAAGAAAAGTTAGAAAGTTTGAAATAGCAAAATGATGTATATATAATAAATATTTAGAGAAATGCATAAAGGAAAATCAGTAATGGCAACTAATAAATGATTAATTAATGAAAGAAATAAAGAAGCTTGAAAGCAATAGTACTTTTTACATTGAAGAGAAAGAATTAATTTAAAATGAATTAAATAGTTTAAAAAAGAAGTATGAAAGCTTATTATAAGAAATGGAACTCAATTAAAAGAAAGAGAAATCAGAGATTTCTTCAGAAGTAATTCTTTATTTCTAGAGTTTTAGAGTGATGTTCAATCAAACAAGCAATCCGAAATTATAATCTGCAATCCAATTGTATAGAATAACAATGTATCTTTGGAAGAGATAAAAAGATTGAAAACAACAATAAATAATTTGGAAGCAACAATTAAAAAGTAAAGATGTGAAAAATTTTAGTTTGAAATGTGATTATGAACAGGATATGCTGAAATTAACAAATAAACACTTTTTAAAGAGCAATACCTCTCAAGAGATTCAGGTGTTGTAAAAATTAGTAATAATGAAATAATCATATTAGGCTAATTCTTTGGCTGAGAGTTTGACAGATAAGGAATAAGCTTTATAAACTTAGAGAAATATTAATCGAGAACTACTGAATAAAATATCTGAATTCACAAAGTGATTACGGGATAAATACATTGATTAATATTTATTATATTCATTAATCTTTAGGCGTTAATCCAAAATATTTATTTTACATATATAAGGGAAGATGCAATTTAAAAGAATTAGAAAACATTTTATCCATTTAACAAAATTTAGATGATGATGGACTAGTTTATTATCTGGAAGTAGTTGAGTGTATCCTTCTAGTTTATGAGATTTCCGTAACTTATTTTTTTAATAATTATCGAGAATTATCATACATATAATCAGTGCTTTTTTTAATTTCTTTTAAATTGAATTTTTATTATTATTTCAGTGCTTTTTCCTCTTATTCGTTCATTTTAGCTTTAATTGTAGGCTAAGATGAAAACAATTTTGATAGCACATTACAAATATATACATTTTATTTTGGCGATTCATAAGCTGGCATTTCAGATTTTTGTCTTTAATCAAGAGATATTTTCGTGTTTCTAGGACCTTTTTTAGAATCCTACATAATTTACAACTCAGTTCTTTATCTTCTATGCTTTTCAGATGTAAATAATTACGTAAGTAATGTACTCTAGTTTATATCGGCTTTTGGTGATTCCAAAGTTAAAGTAAGTTCTCGAATTTTTTTATCAATTTACTGTTTTTTGCTGCTAATCTTAGAAACATGGGTTTTATTTCTTACTAACACAGTGGATTATAGATCTTCATCGGTTAGTAGTTTCGGATTAAGTTGTTCTTTGATTTAGGCTCGTTAAAGAATTATTTGTTTTTCTGTTTGATCTATAAAGTTCTTTTCATATGCTCGAATTTGTGCTAAGGCCTATTTTAGTTTATCTTCGTTTAAAGAATTTAAGCTTTAAGATAAGGGAGGATCATTATATAATACTCTTAAGAAATCTCTCTTTGATACATAATAGACTGTGTTGGATTCAAAAGTTGAGACATAAGTGAATTATCTGCATAAGTCAGGTTATTTTAAAATTTCTAATTCTCCAAACATCTCACCTGCCCCAACAAATTTTAATGTCATAATTGATTTTGTATCTCTTATGACAAGATTCCCATACTTCTTTTTCTAATATAGCATATCTATTTTATCTGAATTCGATAGACTTGGTTTCGAATAGGCAAACCTATCTTTCAAATTTTATAAATCATCTTAAGAATTATTGTCTGCATTTAATTAAGGGATTCTTAATGTCTTAACCACCTAATGATATGATTACTTAATAATACTTTAAATTAACCAGTTGATATAAAGTAAACTTCATTTGAAGGATCCCCTTCTCTAAATATTGGATGATTTAGTCCATATTTGCTTTATTTAATAACATCAAATAAGGATTTAATACTTGCAAATTTCCAATCTCTAAAGATACTCAACCTAGCAAACTCTTCAAAGTACATTTATCTTTGTTGGTTAATCTTATTTTGAATTATTTAGGATTACCACAGTTTTTTTGATAGCCATATAATCTTCAGCTTCTAGAACTGCTAAATGAGTTGGAAGTATGGCTTTGACTGAAGCTGAGCGGGGCTCATTATTTTCAAGTGCTAGTTCTCCAAACGCTTATCCAACTTACAATTAGATTAATTCTTTATCTTAAATTTCATCTTAAAACATTAATCGTTTGTGGATGGATACTTTCCCTTACAAAATGATATAGAAAGTAGTACCAACATCACCTTAAACTAGAATCAAAAAATACCTTCTTTAAACAATGTTTAACCATAAGAGAGGAATGTATAACTCATTTTTCTTAGGCACCTTTCCCATAATAAAGGGCCTTGATCTTTTTCAATCAATTTTTAAAAATAGTCTATATGAATAGTAGCTTTTTTAAGGATTTCAATTTCTGATTGAGTTCTATGATAGGAGGATTTAGTTAGAATTATGCATAGAATACCAAATATTTATTCTTATGTTAAAGTTTCATAAAGAGATGGGTTTAGTTCCATTTGAAGAACATATTATTTGAGTTTTTTATTCTCTTATTCTTTAAGAGCTTATGTATTTAATGAGCTTTTGCGAATTAATTTATTCATTATTATTAATATAAGCAGGAAATTGGAAAATCTATAATGAAGGGGCAGCAAACACCAAGTCGTTTTCCAAAAATTAATTAATTTGAGACTCAGTTCTCTCATTTATCATTAAGCAATTTCTAAGAATAAAAACATAATCCATCTATTTGCAAGGGAATGTTGAGCATGATTAATCCTAAACCTCCTTGTGAAAACAAAAAAATTAAGCAATCTAGTATAAATCTTAAAGAATAGGTCAATTTGAATAGAAGGCACATTGTTTAAAGAGATGTCCATAAGAAGAAGGCACCAGTTTTGATTTAGATTTGACAGTGTTTAAAATAAGACCTTGTTAAAGACAATGTGAACATAATCATAAATAATGTCCATATATTCATTCAGAAAGTGATTTAAGAAGACCAGGCACATATTATAAAGCAGAATTGTGTCCATACAAAGTAGAATAAAAAGAATGTCCTCATGGTTACAGTTGTTGTAAAGCGCATAATCAATATGAATTGTTATATTAAGAAGACAATTATCGAAAACTATTTTGTCCTTAACCATAAAATTGTTGCTTTGGTATATATTGTCCTTATGCTCATTTTGAGAAGGACATCAAATGTGAGTTGATCCATCTATATCAGCACGATTAAGACTATTATATGTTTCATTATAAAACAATTGCTTGTCCCTATTCACTTTTTAATCATAATTTAGTAATCTATAATTTAATTAGGTCAACTTGTGATTATTATCATAATGAGAGTGATAAACGCAGAAAAGTTTAAGATATTCAATATTAACCTTAATAATGTTCAAATTGGGTGTAAAATAAGAGTTGTTCCAATGAATGTTCATTTTGTCATTCTATCTTTGAACTTTACTTTCATCCTCACATGTATAAAACCTTTGAATGTACATAGTAAAATTGTTATCGCGATATCTGCCCTGGATATCATGATGAAACTGATTAAAGGTGAGATTTTTTAAATTATTAAAGATAATTAAATCCATTAGTTAGAAATGGAATTATGAAAATAGTTCCAAAAAATAGATTTGAAGAGAAATAACCAAAAACACAGACTATCAAGTTTCCAAGTATATATTAATGAACTGTTTTTACAAATTCATATACTCTTTATAATTTAAATAAATTTTATGTCATTCTGTTAAGAGTAATTTTTTATTAATATGTGAAGACCCAAAGTTGACTGTCAATACCTGAAATCCGTTATAAAGAATCTTAATACCAGATTACACATATTAGAAAGCACTAATCAGAATTGTGAATTGAAAAGTAATGAAGTCATGGATTAAATTACTGAGGATTTAGTTATACCAAAACTCAAACTAAACAAAATCCAAATTGGATTTATTGAAAACAATGTTCCCTAAAAGAAAGTCTTAGTGACCTTTGGAAACAAAGAGAATTTCAGAATGGACAATTGTGATCAAGTTGGAGATAGAATAGATTAAAACATTCTTGCTATTAATTAACCCTCTCCTCAAAAAAAAATCATAACATAGTCATTGTTAATGAGTTAATAACTCCAAATTCTCAAATAAAAGGATAATAAGTTAAACAATATTAACAAATAACCTAAACTCAAATTAGTCAAACAGGATTCCAATCTAATCCATCCCATTTTCTCAAAAAAGAATTCTGATTAATAATCATTAGGGACTAAATTCTATACTCGAAATAATTCAATATAGTCAACTCCTGTTAAATAAATTGCTTATAATTCATCATTAGGAACTACTCCTTTGAGAAGAAAGAATTCTTAAAAGAATAGCGATGTATTTATCAATTCATTATAAATTGATGATATGTTGCATAATCAAAGCAAGTTTCTTAAATATTTTCAATAAAATTACGGATCTAATAAATAATGTAATACTTTTGATAATGCTACAATAAATTTATAGAGAAGAACTTCTTTAAAATCTTAAAATAAGATCACTCTGGTAGATGCTTAAATTATCAATATTTGATTTTCATATTATTCACATTTTCATATTACTTTATTTGATGACAATTGAATTTTTTGTTTAATAAAGAAAATTAGTAAAAACGATATATTTATTAAAATAATGAAAAGCATAGTAGCTGTAACATTAGTTCTGTGTCTCCTTTCGAATCAAGTTATCTCTAAGAAGCATAACTAAGATGAAGAGCATTCAGCTTTTGAAAAAAGTACAGCATTATATATAATAATCAGGCCATAAAAAGCTAGCTCTCTCTGATGATCCAGCCTATGGAAAATTAGAAGAAATTTAAGATCATCCTCTTGGATCTAAGATTCTTTAAACCATTGCTCTTTAATTAAGAGGAAATGAATCATTAAGTGCTGTTAGCAAATTATTGAATGATTTGAAAGGTGATCTTGAGGTAATTATGTATTCTATTCAAGGGTAAACAAATCGATGCTGATAACGAAAGAGCTTAAATTGGATCATAATGCAAAAAAGATCTTTAAAATTATAGTCAAAGAATTAGTTTATCAATCAATGAAATCAAGGATGCTGAATTCAAAGCTAAAAGATTGAATGAAGCCATCGCTGTCTACCAAGCTGAAATCAATGAAAAGGCTAGATAAATCAAAGTCTTTTAAGCTAAAGATGATACCTTAAGAGATATTAGAAGATAAGACAACTTAGATTTCTCAACCAGAACAACTTAAATGAAGGAGATGGTACAAGCCTTTGAAGTCATCTTACCAAAACTTCATTAAGTTTGGGATGTAGCTGCAGCTCATAAGGCTGGTTCTTTCATTGAAGAAGAAGCTATCAACGAAGCCTTAGTTCAATTAGCTAAGATTGGTGAAGAAAATCCAATTACTGCTATGGTTGCATTGACATCCACCTTAGAACCAACTGCAGTTTAGACTTTAATCGAAAAAATGGAAGCCATTAGAGATTCCATCAAGGAAAGTATCTCTGCTGAAGAAGAGGCTGAAGCCAAGAATGCCAGAGTATTATCTTTTATTTATCTTGTTTAGGACACTGACACAATATTGGCTGCTATTTTCAATGCTATTGAAAGTTTAACCAGAGAAAAGGCAAGTGATGAGGAAGCTTTATAAGAGACTATTAGAAATAGAGATATTCAAGACAAGAGAAGCAGGGATGCTCATGCTGTATCATATTATGTTATAATTAGGAATTCAATGCTGCTAAGAATGGAAACTAATAAAGAAATCAATAATGTTAGGAGTACGAATTACAATATTAATAAAACACCATTGAAAGAGATAAATAAATTGCCATCATTAAGGATGTCTAAAACATCATAGCCACCAAAATAGAAGTTGTTACATGCTTTGTTGAGGAAAACAATTTATTTTGATATTAATTATATTACAATAAAACAATAATAGAAAGAATTCCTCTTCATATTATATTTCTAATTCTTCTAACTAAAGTTTTTATTGCTATCCACAAGTCTATTGACAGTTGCTTTGTAGCTGTAAACAAATTCTTTATTAAATTTAATAACCCTCTTGTTATACTGACAATCAAAGTCCACATTGGAGTCAAAAGTTAATCATAAATAAATGTTGTAGTTAACCTAATTAATCTTATTAAACCCTAAGTATAATATTATGATTACATTATACAAATATTTACTCAAATTCCAAAAGGGCAATAATAAAAATCTATATACATTAGTGGAGATGATTCTTATAATTGATACAAGAATATTGTAGAGTGGTCTTAGGATATAAATATAAATATTCCTAAGAATCAACTTATAAATTATTTCTATTATGATCCAAGTGGAACACCTATATGTATTCACACAGATTTAAGAATAAATGAATTCACTTATCTTAGCAATAATTTTGTATATCACATCAACAATGATAAATCGTAAAAGTTAACATATTTTGATTATTAGAATCTCATAAAAAAAATCTATTACAATCCATCTGACTGCTTTGCTGGTTGGAATCAAAATTAATTTGTATAGAAAGTCATATAAGAGAAATTTTACAGCCTTATATGTGTATGTTAATACAATTCTATACAAAAATTTAACCAGTAGATATTCATAAATATTGAGTAAAATATAGGTGTAAAAGTTGCTAATTACCCATCTCAACCCTTTGCAGAAATTAATAATAATGGTTTTGTAGAGGACATCAACAAGCAGGAATCTCATAAAACGCAAAGAGCTCAATATGACATAATCATAGAATGGTATCAGTATATAATTGACTGTGAATTCATAAAGATTTATTATAACTATTCTTATGATTTGCAACATCTTTGTCACAATGTATATAATGGCAGTCTTAGTTGGATTAAAGATGTTATTATAGAAGCACATGGCCAAAGGTACAATAATCTTTAACGACAAGGGGATTGTAATGAATGAAGTGAATTCTTGGATTATTGATCTCAAATGAGCAAATTTGAAGATCATATTAATGATAAATATTGCATACCAGTCCAGAATATATTTAGAGCATCTGCCTAAAAAATAGATAGCATCAAGTATTTAATTGCAAATAAAAGTCAAGCAGGTGTAAATATAATTGAAAATGATTGAGAGTATATGAGATAACCACGATAAGCATTAAGCAATTTTTCCATAAATGTAGAGTAGGCAATTATAGATTTGATTGGTGCAGCAATCAATTATTAGATTCATTGTACATTAGAGTAGTCTCCACATTAGCACTACTGGTAAGAGAGGCAATGCAAGAATTAGTTTTAATGCTTTGACTAAGATGTGATCACTTCTGTTGAGTAAACCTCCACAATACTTTTCATTTTCATTTTAAATGTCTGATGATTCATTTTATTATCTTTGAGAGTTTGGTTCATGCAGTTCTTATGGTTCTTCTCCTTATCCTTATGGTTAATTATTAATGTCAGAATATTAATTCATGGAGATTTATTAATATATTTTAGATTAATCAATAAAAATAATGGGAATAATTTTAGGAATTACTAAAATGATGAAGATGTATAGACAATAGAATTCAGAATGTTGAAAATAATTATTTAATCCATAAATAAAATTAAGATTTTAATAAATTATGAGTAAAAAGGACCTTGAAATCACAGTTGGATGCAACATAATTATAATAGAAAATACCAATTAGAAAGGCAATTCCTTAACATATATTTTCAAAGAATGTGTTACGATTTTTAGTTTCTGTAAGCTAAGCTGTTAGCAGCACATTATTGCTAACATATTTAGCTTACATGATTTGGTTGGCTCTACCAATTTGGGTGGTATATGCTTTTTTAACAGGAACTGTGGCCGCAGGAATATGTATAATGTTATGCTAAAACTTAGTAGTTCTCAGTCATGAATGTGGACATTTTGCGTTCTTAGATATCAGATGGTTGAAAGATGGACTTGGTTGAAAGGTATATTACGATATTTATGTAAGGCGCTTTATGTACTATTGATAGAAATTATCCATTATGGATTGATGATTTACATTTCGAAATTGGTACAACTCATGTAGTCCATCATGTCTTTTCTGAATTACCTCATTACAATACAAGATTTTATTATTTTGTTATAATTTACAGGAAGCAAATGTCTATGTAAAAATTGGAGATTTATATAATCAAGATGCCAAAAAATATGGACATCCCCTTTAATTCTGCAAGTCTTGTTGGAGTAGAACACAAAGGAAATAGAGTGTGGAAATTCGATAAGGCTTGATTATCATTTAGTATATATTGATCGACACATATTAACATCAAATATATTCTTATATTACAAATAATTTAAATCTTTAAATTATGAGCAAAAAGGATAAAGATTATACAGGGTAATTTGTTATATAGCATTCATTTAAGCTTTCCAGGTGATTGCAATCAGACTCAACTCAAGGCTTTGGCTGATTTCAGAAATATTGTCAATAGTATGGGATTGAACGAGAAAATCTATGATGATCCATATCTCTTGAGGTTTCTAAGGGCAAGGAAGTTTGATATTGCTAAAACTCAAGTTATGTTTAACGATTTCATTAAATGGCGTAAAGAAAATGATGTTGATAACATTATGGTAATATTTAAATAATCTTAGACATATATGTTTGATGAATTACCATAAGTAAGAACTCACTACCCTCATGGTTATCACAAAACAGATAAAATAGTATTCAATTTCTAATCTATTTTAGGGAAGACCAATCTATATTGAAAGGATTGGAATGTTATAATTGAATAAACTTTTTGAAATCACTTCAGAATAAAGGTTGATCAAATATTACATCTAATCATATGAATTATTGCTTAAAAGAATATTTCCAGCATGTTCTTAAGCAAAAGGAACAAGAATTGATTAGACCTTCACAATTTTGGATCTTAAAGGTGGCTCAATGAAGATGGTTTCTAAATAAGTCTATAATTTTATCCAATTAGCATCAAATGTTGGTTAAAATAATTATCCTGAAATATTGGGAAAGTAAAATTATCTTTAAATATAATAGGATGTATATTGTTAATGCCCCCATGATGTTCACAGGTATTTGGGCCATGATCAAAATATGGTTAGATGAAAAGACAAAAAATAAAATCACTATTTTGGGTTCAAGTTACAAGGATGAATTATTAAAACACATAGACATTGATAATTTACCTGATTTTTTGGGAGGAAATTCAAAATGTGAAAATACAGAGGCTCTTTCCTTAAACATTGGTCCTTGGAATCCTGATGGTACTAAACCACTCTTTCCAGTGGAATAACCTGCTTAATAAGAGTATTCATTTGTTTTATTTAAATAGATAGGAGACTCAAGAATTAACTTAAACATAAGAAGATGAAGATTAAAAATAAAAGTTAGATCAATTGAAATCAGCATTGGCAGATATGTAATTTGCATCTCCAACTGAAAAAGCTCCTCATAATCCTAATAAGTATGAAGTCACAACTTAAAACAATCATATGGTTAGTGATACACCTCTTAATACAGAAGTGGTAAGAATATAATGTTTACATTTAGGGTGAAGAAGACAATCAATTTTCACAATAGTAATAACAATAATTATAATAGTAATTACAATAGGATTGATTTAGACATTAAAAATATATATATATATATTTAAATTTTTCAGAAAACGAATTATTTCATATTATAATTATAAGAAGAGCTACTTTATAGTAGATAATTGTAAACTTTGCTCTTATTCAGTTTAGTAATAAAATGAGATTCTACTTCAGATCTAAATAAATTACTCTATTGTTTAAGCAATATTTATTATTATCTTTTAGAGTAGATTTATTTGAAATTTGAATACTATTTAATATAAATAAGCATTATTTCTAAATATTCAAATCTAGATTAACCCTTAGTAGCCAATACAATAATTATTTTCAAGTAGTTATTCGACCAAAATAATTAATTATTGCGTAAATACTATATTTTAAATAAAAACTGTAATATAAAATAAAAATTTGTTTCTTAATTGAATTTACTACATTTATAGATTATATATGATCCATTCTAGAGATAATTCTAAATCGAGGTTTGGGGTAGTCAAATTAAAATAATGAGTAGTGGAATATTTTACCGATTTTTGGACTAAGTTTGTCTATATTGTATAATGTAAATTTAAACAAGACAATATAGGATTCTAAACCTCATCTTTTCCATTAATGTTCAATGAAAATTGAAAGATTTTAAGAATAGTAGCAATTAAATCTGAGATTAATTATTATTCATTATGTGGTATCATAATAGATCATTGGATGACATTAGTTTTCTTTAATGACAACTCTAGTAAGTTTTTAACTTTGGTAAGTTTGATTAACCAGAAGAAATGTAATGAGGGGATGGAAGTTGCCAATATTTTTTTACGTTGATTCATATTTGCATAAAAAGATGTAATTGATTATAATGAGGAATAATATAAATTAAATAATTTATACACGTTTAGATGTTACCCTAAAAAAAACCTTAATATGAATTATTAGGTGTGCAGAATCCTGAAAAAGAGCAATTCATCAAATTCATTTAATTCGACCATCTAGACATCAAGGGAATAATATTCCTAATTAGTCCTTTGGGAACATGTATTTTGCTATAAGTAATAAATTGTTATATATGTTGTTAGATTTTTGGTTTTTCGTACTTGATACAATTCATTTGTACTGTATTGCATATTTCAATTATAACAATTATCTTTGCGACATGTATTTTGGATTAAATACTAAGACATGATGATGTAAGATTTGATTTTTAAATAAAAGGGCACTAAAGAAATGAAAAAAATAGCGATGTCAATAGAGGAAGGAGCAGAAGGGTTTTTCAAGGCATAATACGGGACAATCGTAAATTTAAGTTTGATATTTGCATTGTTAATATTTCTGGTATATTGGCAGAAAGGAACAGGAGAATTAGAGAAGGATGAGATTCCTGTTGGAGGATTAGTGATTGGACTTTTGGAAGGAGGATCATTTTTGTTTGGGGCATTCTGTTCTGGATTCGCAGGATTTGCAGGAATGTGGGTTAGTATAAAGGCTAATTCTCGAGTTGCCAGTGCAGCTAGGTCTTGCTATAATACAGCAATTTAATTGTCATTTAGAGGTGGTTATTTTGCTGCTGTAATCAATATAGCTTTGGCAATATTTGGGATAAGTGTTTTATTCTTGGTGATATACTTTTATTGTTATATAACAATAGCTGATACTTAAAAATTAAATGAATAAATAGACAAAATACCTTTATTGTTAATTGGATATGGATTCGGTGCTTCATTTGTAGCTATGTTTGCATAATTGGGAGGAGGCATCTATACAAAAGCTGCCGATGTTGGAGCTGATCTGATTGGCAAAATAGAGAATGATATTCCTGAAGATGATCCAAGAAACCCTGCTGTGATTGCTGATCTTGTTGGTGATAATGTTGGAGATTGTGCTGGTTAGAGTGCTGATCTATTTGAATCTATCACTGCTGAAATTTTGAGTGCTATGATATTGGGAGCAACATTAACTCATGAAGCTAATCTTCACATCAATTATAAAGTTACCTTTATGCTTTTCCCATTGGTAGTACATTGTTTAGATATTATATCATCAACAATTGGAATGTATTTTGTACGCACTTAACCTGGAATACCAACTAAATATATAGAAGATCCTTTATGCATTATGAAGAAGGGATATAGGATAGCAATGATAATAGGCTTCTTTGGATTCTTTTTCATTTGTCATCATTGTTTAAATCCATTATAATATAAAGATGCTTGGCTATATTTTGGTTTTTGTGGGCTTATTGGAATTGCTGTCTCTTATTTATTTATTGAAGTTACTTAATATTACACTGATTATCATTATGAACCTGTTAAGAGAATAGCATAAGCAAGTAAAACAGGTCATGCTACAAATATCATTGCTGGATTAAGTGTTGGAATGGAATCAACTGGTATTCCAATATTGATCATTAGTGTCGGAGTTTTGGGAGCATACTATTTAGGAGAGTAAAGTGGTATAAAGAATCATTAAGGAGAATTGATTGGAGGATTATTTGGCACTGCTATTGCAACTATGGGTATGTTTTGTACAGGAGTCTATATTTTATCAATGGCAGCATTTGGACCTATTGTTGATAATGCTGGTGGTATAGTGGAAATGAGTGGTTGTGATGAATAAGTGCGTTAGATTACTGATAGATTGGATGCAGTAGGAAATGTTACTAAAGCTAATGCAAAGGGATACTCAGTTGGTTCAGCTTCTTTGGCTTCTTTTTTATTGTTTAGAGCATTTATTGATGAGGTCAACTTCCTATCACCGACGAAAAAAATATTGGATATTGATATCACATAACCTGAAATATTCATATCTGGTCTCATTGGGGCTTGCACAGTCTTTGTGTTTAGTAGTTGGGCTATGAGAGCGGTTGGAAATGCAGCTTAAGATGTTATTAAAGAAGTACGTAGATAATTTAGAGAAAATGAAGGTATATTATAAGGTACAGCTTAACCTAATTACAAATAATGTGTCGAGATTGTTACTAAAGCTGGATTAAGAGAAATGATCAAACCTGGATTATTAAGTGTCTTAACTCCATTGGTTTTGGGTATTACATTAAGAGCAATCAATGTGGTGAGAATGCAAGAATTGTTGCCAGCCAAAGCTATTTGTGCCTTTTTGATGTTTTCAACTTGCACTGGAATTCTATAAGCACTATTTTTAAATAATGCTGGAGGGGCTTGGGACAATAGTAAGAAATATATAGAGACTGGAGAACTTGGAGGGAAGGGAAGCGATGCTCATAAGGCTGCTGTAACAGGAGTAATATTTAATGGTTTCTATATTGTAGGATACTGTAGGAGATCCTTGCAAGGACACAGCAGGACCATCAATTCATATATTAATTAAATTATATTCTACTATTACGATTGTAATGGTTCCATTGTTTGTGGATTGAATGTTGTATTTTAATATTTATGGAATTAAATTTATTAATTTTTATTTATTTTATATGCTAAGCCCATCACAATATTCACAACTGTAAAGAATGTCTCCTTAAAGGGTGAACATGCCTGGAATGTCTCGAGTGGTAATCAATCCATTAAAATGAAGCCTGCCTTTGTAAAGACCAGAGAAGTTCGGCTGCCCTCTCCTGCCAAACAGTACTCTCCCACTAAATATGTAATCCACAATCCTCCATTGTACATGAGATCTCGAATGGCCAGTACTGAAGATATCCCATCCATGCCTTCAGATGCGAAAAATATGAACAACGAGAGAAAGTATTCAATGCACATCGATCCAAAAACATAATAAATATCTCATCTCAATGAAATTATTCAATAGCAATAACAATAGATTTTGACATAGGAGAGCAAAGTGGCTCTACTTTAGAATGAAGTGAATGCTTGGAAGCAAAAATTCATTGAACTCAATCAGAAATATCACTAAATGTAAGAGAAGTACTATCTTGCTGATACTGAATTATAACATTATAAATAATAATGAGTGAAAATATTGATGAACATATTCTCAAAAAATATGAGGTCATCTAACGTATTGGTAAAGGAGCCTATGGAATCGTATGGAAAGCCAAAGATCTTAAAACTCTAAAAATAGTTGCACTCAAAAAAGTGTTTGATGCATTCAACAATCCCACTGACGCTCAGCGCACATATAGAGAAGTATAATTATATTCTCAATGTGTGCTAGGTTACATTCCTTAAATAGCTGAAACACCCAAACATTGTCTCAATTATTGAAACCTATCCTGCTAATAACAAAATCGATCTCTACATTGTATTTGAATATATGGAAACAGATTTGCATATTGCCATCAGAGCTAACATACTATAAGCAGAGCATCGTCGATACATTACATATTAATTAATTAAAGCATTGAAATACATTCACTCAGCAGGAATGATACATCGGTAATTTATTTATATTTATACTAGAGATCTTAAACCTGCTAATATTTTAATTGATTCTGAATGCTAAATAAAATTGGCTGACTTTGGTCTAGCTCGTATGGTTGGATCACATGATTCTGATATCTTAACTGATTATGTGGCTACAAGATGGTTCAGAGCTCCAGAAATTCTCCTTGGCTCCAAATCCTATTCTTATGGTATTGACTTATGGTCCGTTGGTTGTCTAATGGGAGAAATGATCCTAGGGAAAGCATTGTTCTCTGGAAACAGCACTATAAACCAACTTGAAAAAATAGTTGATATTCTTGGTAGTCCCAATGCCTAAGAAATAATTGCCATGGGCGGACAATCATAAATATTTTTAAACCAATTCAGACCATCTAAACAAAAACTTAATTCTTTACTTGGCTGTCCTAAAGATGAATTAGATATCATCTCCAAATTACTATAGTACGATCCTGCTAAACGATTAAGCATTGATGAATGCTTAAAACATTCTTATTTTAAAGAATATCGCAACGTTAAGGAGGAAATTTGCTATCATGGATCTATTATACTCTAATTGCAAGATGATAAACAATATCCAATCTCTACATACAGAGATGTTTTATATAAAAAAATGGATTATTCAAGAATCATTACCTTAGTTAATAAGCAAAAGAAAATCGTTGAAGAACTTGCATTGAAAAAATAATAACAAACTTTTAAGTAGCTCATTGAATAAAAAAGTGCATAATCTATTAAATAATACAGAAGCACTAAATTCTTGAAAAATACTTATTCAAACTCAAATTTATTAGATAAAAGCCCATTGAATAAATCCTAATAGTAATAATAATAACAATAACAATAATAACAACAATTAAACTCTACCTCTAATATCAAAAATAAATTGAGGTCCATCTGTCAATAATCTGAAGCAAGACAAAGAAGTGCAATATCGAAATAATCTAATTCTTCGTCCAAATATAATATTCTTCATAATGTTACTAATACTTCTTTGAGTCCACATTCTGCAATTAATTCTAGGTATTTACCTAACAGGTTCCACCAAAAGCATAATGATTTTTGATATTCATTTTAACTTATACACTAATTTATATGAAAACCATTTCAAATATACATAGTCTAAACTAAGCTATTAGAATTAATATACATGATAGCTGAAATAATGTTGTTCATAGATTATATTTAATGATTTCTCTTAATAATCGAATATCATTTTTGATAATTTATTATAATTGTTTACATAGCTCCTTAATGATTTAATAGATATCTGCACAAATGAAATATCAATAATAAAATGGTAAATATATCAACATTGTTTATATTTATTTTATAAATATGTTAAATCTATAGATTAAACTATTATTATTCATATTGAAATTGAAAAAAAGGACAGATTAGATAAGGTTGCTAGTATGCAGTCAAATTAACTTCAATGTATTCCTCAATTTTTAATTTTATATATAACATTTAAGTCCAAATTAGAAGAGATATGATTATGTTGTTAAATTTAATACAAATTGTATGAAGGTTAAAACAAGAGAGGAATCCTTTAATATTTGATCAATAATAAGATTTAAAATTTCAATAATACTAATCTAAAATAAGTTGAATGTTTATATATGACAATAGAATAATAATATCAAAGTAGCTCAATTTACTTATAGGAAACATCAGATTAAATCTGGTTTATTTCATATAAAATAGAAATTTAATATAGATTACAAATTTATTATTATAAATTAGTTTAAAGTATTATTATTTATGAATTCTAAGAATGAAGGAATCGAAATGAAACCAATCCTCAAATAAGGTTAATAACGCTAATATAATAGATCGAGAGGAAATTTCAAAATATGATATAACAAAAGCTGCCCATCCTGGCATTTGCTTTTTTCATATATTTTTTAAATTTTGTGCATTTTTTTCGTAAAAGATAGTATAATAATTAATAGATATCTATTTTTAGGGTTAATAATATCAAGCACATTATTTTAATACATCCTGATTATGATTTTTCATTCTTTTGACTTTTATACTGTTAAGAATATTACAGGAAAATTTTTGGTTGGTTTAAGATGGTATTCAGATTTTACTCCAAAAGGAGATGAAATTTGGAGATTTGAATGTTTCGATAAATGCAAAAGAAGTAAAATAGATTCGTCAGTATTTTGGACTTTTTAATTTGGAGCATCATGTGCATGGGCATTTTTTGTATTTACTAATGTTTTGTCATTTGAATTTGTAGATGTAAATATGTGAACAATAATCAAAGATCATATTTGCTGGAATTGGAGCGAGTTTAAGTTGGATCAACTTATGGGGATTCTATAAATGCTCAAAAGATTAATAAAGAAAAATGAAGGGAGTTCAATCTTATTTGACTAAAAAGGGATTACAAATGGCTGTTTAGAGTTGAGTTAGAATTCAGTTAGAATTTCATAAATTCTACATTAGTTAATATTATTAGTTATATCACAAATAAAAGTGGAATTAAAAGTAATTTAAAAAACTTCGATAATGTATATTCATTAATCTGAAGAATCAGGATCTAAGGATTTCTCTTCATCATCATTTTTATGTTTTTTTGCTTATCTAAATAATTAAATAAGTAAGAATTACAATCTACTTGTTACATAAGCTTCTAATTTTCTGGCAGTTTTAGTAGGGAGTACATCAATGTCAAATTCTACTTCATCGTCACCATTTGCTTGGACACTCTCTTATACTATTTCCCAAACTCCTCTCAAATATTCATATTTTAATTGTTTTATGTTTTCCCCTAAGTTTAATTTCTCTTATTGACTCATTTGCTTTTACAACTTGGATCTTAATTTAATATTATTTATTACACAATTTTTGGACTTTATTATTGTTGTTGTTATTGTTATTGCTACGATTATTAAGATTATTATTAATTATATTAATGATGCTTTTATTTTTGCAGAATTTTTTATGGTTTATTATCTGGCTCTTTTTTATCCTTTTATTTTTGAGGTTGTATTCTTTATGCTCTTCTTGGTGCTATATCTTCTTGGCTTGTCTATTCCAGTTTATGGGTCTTGAAAGTTGCATCAAACCTGGAAACTTTTTTAGACTTGATATAATAGATGCAAATATTACAATCCTTTATTCTCTTTAATGAATTAGACTAGCCAAGTGTAAAGAGAAACCCTAGGGCAATTTCATTTAAATAAAATCCACTTGTTATGAATTCAAGTAGAATTCAATCTAATTATTGGAATTCATTTTGTTTTTTCTTAAATATTTATTAATATTTTAAACTATAAATGATCAATAGAATAGTGATTGAATATTGAATATATGTATATGTTTAAATTAAATATTCTTTCTTTGATAATATGTTATTTCTGATGACGTAAGATTCAAAAACATATTAACAACCCTCAATCCTTAAATGAAATAGCATAATCTAAATACAAAATATCAATCTTTAGAAGGAAAAACCATGGTTCTAACCCTAACCCTAATCATCTTAATTAATAGTTATTTATGTTAGTTTAAGATTGATAAGTTAATTGTTAAATGGATAGTTTTTAAAGAAAACTAAATTAATTATTGGTTTCCTTTTAATCTAAGAAATTTGATGGTATATAAAAAAGCATTTTGATTTAATTTGAAGAATAATTTTTCTGAATAAGAGTTCTGAAATAGAGAAATTCCTTTTTATAACTATAATCTAATATGAGATATTTATGTAAATATGAATAATTTTTAAAGATATTTTGAGATAGAATATAATTTTAATTATGAAAATTAAATAATATATTTATAAAACAAAAAAATTTTTTATTTGAAAATTTATTTTAATTTTTTTATTTTTTGAAAAAGTAATTTATATTTTATAAAAAATATTCTAAGTATATCGTATGCCTTGAAAAAAATAACTTAATTTCTAAAAAAATTGAAATAATTGTAATTTATAATAGAAATAAAAAATTTATTAAAAAAAAATCTATTTAAATAATTGAAAAAGTAGGAAACAATTTTTCAATTTAAATCTATAGGTAACAAAATATTTATGATAAATGAGGAATAAGTATTAATATACTGTCATTATTAATTTCAAAGTCCTTAAATTTTGATTATTACTCTAAAATACTAGTTTTTAAGTTGTTACTTATATGATATTCCATCAAAAATGAAGTAAAATATATATGATTTTGTAAAAAATGAATAAAAAAATAAAAACAATTTATTAAAATGCTTTTGGAAAATAATTAATTAATGTATAAAAAAAAATAAAACAATTTATTTTATGCTAAACAACCAGGATTTTTAATTTATAAGTAGATGATAGTTTGGAGTATGGGATAAATAACTTAAGTACTTTTTATTTGGTCATTTGAATGGAATGGAGTAGGTCTAGGGAGAGAGAGAAGATTAAAAATTAAAGGGAGAAAGAGGAAACAAAAAAGGAAAAACACTACAAGTTATAAAAAGACGAGATATTCAATTAAAGATATTTATTTGTGTAGGCGATTTCAGATGGAACATTTGGAAGAGTGGTGAGAGTGTTTGATGGAGGAGAGAATGACTTCAAGGCCATAAAAATCATTAAATCAGTCAAGAGACATATTCAAAGTGCCAAGATTGAGTATGGAATACTGAGAACCATTCATTAACAAAATGAGTATCATCCAGGGAACCAGAAAATTGTCAGAGCATACGAAGCCTTTAGTCACAAGGATAATTATTGCATTGTTTTTGAGGATGTAAGATTGGCATAGTAATTTTTAGCTTGGATTATCTTTGTATGATTTTATGCGAGGAAAATATTTCGGAGGATTTGAATTGAAAGCCGTTTAAGAAATTTTATATGACTGTCTCTAAGGATTGGATTTTATGCATGCCAGTGGATATACCCACACAGATCTTAAACCTGAAAACATTCTACTAATAGACAAATAATAAAAAGGGTAATCAAATTAATTAGTCTATAATTAGGAAAAAAGAAGGTCATTATCATGTAAAAATAATAGATCTTGGAGGAGCAGTCTTTTAGACAGAGTGCCATTCCCAATTGATTAATACTAGATAGTATAGAGCACCAGAGGTAATTCTTAGAAACAAATGGACTAATTTAAGTGACATGTGGTGTATGGGATGCATAGCAGTCGAATTATTTACAGGTTTTTATGATGATCTATTAATTATAGGCCAATAATTGTTCAAACCAAAAGGTAATGACTTTTATCATTTGGCAATGATTGAAAAACATTGTGGACCTATTCCTATAGAGATGATCCAACAATGTAGAAATGAAGCCAGAGAATACTTCAATGAATACTAATTGAATGACTCCTTTTTGAAATGGCCAGATGATTAATTCATGGTTTAAGAATTGAATTTGATGAAGGTGTTCAAAGCCTTGATCCCACAAAATTAATAGGAACTGCTTAATCTAATAGAGAACTTGATTGTGATAGAACCATTAAAAAGATTGACTCCAAAGCAAGCATTAGAACATGAATTTTTTAAATTAACATTTAATTGACTCTAATTTATAAATATTTTGAACTGATATTAAATGCACCCATTTTTGATTAATTAATTTAAAAGCGCCAAAAATCAGTCATGGATTAAGTTGACATTGAAACCATAAATCAATAAGCCAGAAAGGCTAAGGAACTCTTCAATGAGGGGAAACATAATGAAGCTGAGGTCATGATGCAAGGAGTAATGCAATAAGCATTAGCTTATTATAAAGATGAATTAGCAGTCGAAATGGCAGAAGTATATTTAATGATTTACATAGTATTACTACATGTATGGAACAATTATAGTTTTGAAACTCAGTGAACAACAAGATGTATTTGGTTAAAGAACTAGGGAAGCAGAAAACAATGCTCTTGGTGTTTAAGACCCTGAAGACACTTAGAGTGAAAACGAAGGAGAATAAATAGAGGATGGAGACATCGAGGAAGAACATAAAGTGTAGGAAAATAAACCTCATGAGAACATTGAAGATTTGGATGATTTTCATATTGCATGGGAAAATTTGGAAGTTGCTAGAGTCATACTAGAGAAGGAAGTCTAATCGCAGAAGGATAAGGGAGTCCAGGAATTTAAATATATGCGAAATCTAGCAAAGGTCTATATAAAACTTGCAGAGCTAGATTAATGGAGAGATAAATTCGATGATGCCTAAGAAAATTTATAAAAATCCTTATAATTGAGATTGTAATGTGAAAATCAAGAGATCTCCAGAGACATTGCTGAGACCTACTTCTTCTTGGGAAATGTCACTTTGTACAATTACAAGGAAGGTAAAGAAGAGGAAGCCCTTGGGTTTTATTTGAAAGCATTATAAATATTAGAAAATCACCTTTGCAAATTACAAAACAAAGAATAAAAACAAGTATGACATTTTAATATACATAGATTACTCTTCAAGATGCTTATGAAAGAGAACATCTTAAAATATCGTTTTTAGACAATGAAGATACTAAAGAATTGAAACAAGTTTTATCAATGCTTTATGACAAAGTAGAAGATACAAATATAGCATGGAAAGAGATTCAAACAGAGGAATGGAAGAGAGCACGTGAGGAAATGTTGAATAAAGCACAACTTATTGAATAATAATAAGTGTAGTAATAATAGTTCACTCAATAACCTATTTAAGAAGAAAGATAAATAATTTAATTGGGGAACTTTGGAAATGCAAGAAGGAGAGTCGAAGTCATTGAATAACAACAATAAAACCCTGTAGTATAACAAAATAATCAAGAAAACGTTTAAGAAAAATAAAAAGAAGAAGAAGAGGAAGAACCCAAGGAAGATGCAAGTAAGAAAGTCAAAATTGATTGAAATAATAGGTTTTCTAAATTCATGTTAATTATTTAAATATCAAATTGTTTCAAATTCAGTTGTGTTGAATTTCATGACCATTTTTGGCATCTAAGGATATTGTACCATATCGTTAGTAACAAAGGATCCCTTATATTCAGTCTTTTCTTCTGTTTAGAAATCGACAGTCTACATCATTTATTTCTATTAAGCAAAAAATTATCTTTTGTGTGCATTAGATGGTCCTGTTGGTGCAGAATTTGAATTGTATGTACTAGTATTAGGCGCAGGTGAATGGATTTCATTTTATTGAGTGGATGTGAAAAACTGAAACTTCAAACATTCCCCAGCTGTCGGTCTTAGTATAGGATCTTTTTGTAACATTTATTTTAAAAGTAACTTGAATTACAATATTATATACAATAGCATCTTATGGCAGTTTTCTTAATTATAGGAGAGTAAAATCTATTTGACATTTCTTATTTTATGCCAATACATAAGCAAAACCTGTTCCTGAAAACATATCTCTTCCTGTTAATAATTTATAGAAGACTGCTCCTGCACTAAAGATATCGCATTTCTTATCATAAATTTAATTTTTATCAGTCAAATTTGCAACTTCTGGAGCTACATAGCCTGGAGTACCGCATTTAGGATATTAAAATCTAAATTTATGGAATTTTACAATACTTCTTAATGTTGGAATAAGTAGCTAAACCAAAATCAACTATTTTCAACGTAGTAAGATTGTTTATCTTTTCCAATACTATATTATCTGGTTTAATATCTCGATGCATAATATTTTTTTAATGCATGTAGTCAATTCCACTTAATAATGCCTATTTAACTATTAATTTACATGCATAATTAATTTAGACTACTCAACTGTGAGACCAGTATGTTGATTTTTAAGTATTTATTAAAGATTCTTTCCAGACAATAGATCCATTATGATATAATAGCTTGTGTCTCCTAAAAACACTTCTTTTATTTTCACAAAAGCTGGGTGATCCAACAGATTATTAATTTCAATCTCTTAAATTATTGATTCAGTTTTGGGAACACATTTTGCAGCATAAAATGTATCCCCAACCTTTGATTTGACTAATAGCACTTTAGCACTACTGCCTTTTCCTAACACTTAGAGAGGAGTGTAAAAATCTTGAATTTTAGAAAAAAACAATCTTCCATTTAAATGCTCTTTTATTTTGTATGTTTCTTCAGTCAAATAAGTCTCATTGTCTATAGTGAATCCTACCAATCCTTTATCAAATTTCCATTTAATCAAATTAGGAAAATGTAACTTCAAAGAAGAAATAGGTTCTCCTTGTTTATAAATGTGTAAAAAGTCTTTCTTTAGAATTACTGAATGAGAGTCTTTTAAGTCAATCTATAACAGTGTGTCAGGGTCAATAAATTAGATTTATGTTTTTAACAGCAAAGAGTAAACATTAGGACAACAATTCAAGAACATTAATTTTAATTTTATTTTTGTACATTTGATTTGCTAATCTTTATAAGTACAGAAAAGTTTTCATTTATTAATTTTCTTTCTAATCTTTCTGATTACTTTAAATTGGGATGTATACTTTTTACAACCAATATGCTTAATTGTTGTCTATGATCTACATAAATTCTATTAAGTAATCCAAAGAAGTAGAAATCAATTCAATAGATATATATGAACTTAGACTAATAGAGTGAAAATTTTTACTCATTGAAAATAATTTATCTTTCAACTAATTCTGTTATAATTTAATTAGAAGAAGACTTTATGAAATAGAAAGGCTTAATAAAATGAAAATCATTTTGAAATTACTTTTTATTTCAGAAATATAATTCTTATTTTATAGAATATCCCTATAATTGGAAAAATATAGTTTTGATAACTACAAACAGTCTGTTCATAATAGATTTAAATCAGATATTCTCTAAAATTAAATCTTAATATGAATACTCATTTCATTTTTGAGTTGTTATAGAATAAAATTTAATAAAGAATTTATTATTATTTATTCAACTTTAAAATGAACTATTATGAATACAAGTTAGATGGTGATGATTTTAATCAATATTAGCAATTATTGTAAATGGTTTAATAGCTTAGGAATTAAGTTAATAAAGAAACTGATGAAATTGAGAAATTAATCAATCTAAAAATTCAAGAAGGCTTAAAATTAAGAGAAGCGTATAAGTTAGAAGAATACCAACAAATTTACTTTAATAATGATATTATAACATTCGAGAATCAATTTAATAACTTGGCATCACATTCACTAAAAAATATTCTTTCTACAAAGAATAATAAATTGGAATATATTAAGCCTGATATGTTCAAAATATTGTAAATATCACCAGTAATCATGAAATTAAAGGAGATAATATAATAATTTAATCTGAATATTAACGTTATTAAACCAATGATAATGGGGTAAAATGCAGTAGTAGTTTAAAATAATTATACAGTGCAACAAATTTGGAAGCATTAAACTATAGCGAAGAGCGGAGATAAATTTAAGACTTTTACTTTCAAGAAGAATTAAGGATTTGCAGAACCATTCCTCTGTAAATCTAGTTTTGAATTAAATGGAATTCTTCATGCATAATTATTTACAGGAGTCAATGCTGATGGTAAACAACTAAATTGTCAAAAGGATATTCATCGTCTGTAGTTCTCTATTCATGAAGGTCTTGATTTATCATCCTATTATTACACTTAGGAAATATATTTAGATCATTAAAAACTTAAATAAATGGAATAGCCCTATGAAATCATGCTATATAAGTCAATATTACTCAAAAAAGGTGTCACCTATACAATAAGTCTAAAGCCATTATCAGATGAAGGCTTTAGTACATATATGTATACTGGAAAATAAGGAGAAAATTAACAATTCTTGAAATTTTTGGATAAACAGATTGATCTAATTGATTAGATTGTTATTGCTTAATAATAATTTAATCAATCTCCAATTCCTGGGTTTATAATTAATGGATGAGAAACATAAGATATCTGACATAAACATGATTTTATTAAGGTATATTTCTAAGATATATTATAATTAATTCATAGAATTTGCACACCTTTTTATCTGAGTTTATCATTCTTAGTGTCTCTGATGGTCAAAAATGTCATCACAAGTGTTAATTATTTTTCCTCAGACAATAAAGAACCTATTTGCACAGCTATATCTTAAGAGATTTCTTAATTATTTATTTTAATCCTTAATTGTAAATCAAATTTTTAAGTTTTCTAATCTTCAGTGCTGTATATACCATCTTAACTAATCTAGATTTATTGAGTTTTATAAGTTATTGGATTCAAACTTACATTTTCAATAATATAATTTATTAGTTCATGCTGCAGTACAAGTTTTTTATATCGACACTATCAATGGATTGCATAGTAAAATTATTTCCACACTCTACAAAAAGCATATTACATAAATATCATTGCCTAACATTAGTGGTTTAACAAACTTTAGGTTATACTTGGATATTGTCTTTGATATCTTGGCATTTTGATCCAATAAAACCCAAGCTGCCTTCTAATCTTTTTTAGATGTTAATAAAGGAACTGTTTCCTTAAGATTTTCTTACTCCATAAATTCTCCAAAGCTCATACTTTTTTGAATTATGTAAGTTTAATTATCAACTTGAAAGCTTATTTATTCTTTCATTGCTCCAACTGGAACTACAGTCTGTTTATAAGCTATACTGTTATCATATTGAATGATTTCATCGATCATTATTTGTTATTGCAGTACTTAATAATTGCCTTTTCTATCTTTATATTTAATCTATATGTTATCAGGATGACAATCTTCTAATTAAGCTAAATATTCCAAAAGGTGTTGAGCAGAGTCATTTTTATTAAATAATTAAGAAATGCATTGATTTTCATTTACAACTCTGATTAATACTTCCTTCATGTTTTCAATTTCAAAGATTTTAGCCTAAAATTTATATTCGTAATCCAAATATACTTAATAGTATTCTGTGTTTTTAAATTTGCTAGATTATTTGATTTGCATACCGTCATTTTAATATAACACATTGACTTTAAGTTCTTGATTGAATTCATTCATTATAAAATTTTCCATATTCTCCTCCTTATTAAAAAGTAGGACTTATTTAAATGAAACAACCAAGTTATTCACAGTCTTAACAAAAATGATTAATTTATTATCATTAACTTTCTGTTCTTTTACATTTTTTACATTTTACTGAGTCTATTCCAGTTTAATCTTATCCAAACCTAAATAATTATTGATTAATTGTTAATCCTCAGGATTAGTTGAAATCAACATCAAACCCATTTGATAACATTTATTTGCCAAATAAAACGTTAATTATTTTTGATGTGACATTAATACTACTGATTCTAAATTTGGTTTAAGTTGAGTGATTCTATAAATGAGCAAATGAGCATTATTTTTATTGATATTAATCTTATCGCATAATTAATCAATGATCTACTGTATAGTAATTGTTTTTGGTACAAGCAAAGGAGTAGTATACTAATCAAAAAATTCTTCAACTGCATTAAAATCGATTGATTAATTAGATGCTTATCTATGGAATATAATTCCTGATTTAATTTATTATTTCTAATTCAAATTCAAATGATTTATAGAGAATAGATAGGTTGAGATATAGTTCTTTTATTCAAATTACAAATCATTGATCTTCTATTCCTGTTGTAAAATCCACTCAGGATATTTATCCGGTTAATTCAAGAGATCTGGATTGTTTTTCTCCAAATACACTAACATATAAGCTGTTTCTGGATTATTTTTATTTTCAACAATAACTTCACCTAAATCTTCATTGTATTCGGGCAGTTAGTATTGTCCTCCAAAGTTATTCTGAAATACCTCTTTTTGTGTGGCTCTAGTAACAAACTTATCATCAAATTTAAACCATTATTAAGATTGAAAGAATGGTTTTATGTAACAGTAATAATGGCCATGATTTATTGCTTCTCCTCTATGAACTAATACTGCATACAATTCATAGAATTTATCTTCCTCATCTATTAAATAGTCTTTACAATTGATTATGTTGTCATACTAGAAACTATCATGTATTTTAGTAAATCCTTATCCATCAAATTAATATCTTTTTAGATTAATGAGTAAAATAGGAGGTAATTTCTTGAATTTATGGAACTTTATTGCTTCTTACTTACCAAATTCTTCATGAATATAAGCATCTAATGGTTCATTTTCAACAAACATATCAAGAGACTCTCTTAACGAATTTGTAATATTAAGTTAAATATCCATAAATTATTCTTAATTCTTGTTATCAAATATTTGATTTTTAATGTGATTCTCAAGTACACCCTAGAATAAGTGATTGATTTCGTTTTCTATCTAGGGAGCTTTAGTTCCTAATGCTTTTAATAATTCCATAATGAATTCTTAAACATCTTATTGGATTGCCTATTAATCAACATCCCACTTGAATGATTTGATTATATCCTGAGTTGATATTGCTATTTTACTATGTTTCAGATTATAAAACAAGGATTATAACTAAAATGTTAATAAATTAAATACAGTGCATGGAAATTGATTATGTTATTCAGATTCTATAGAATATACAAGCTTCTAGAATATGCCCAAATTGAATAATATTTAGAATACACTATTCATATAGCATGTGGCAGCATTATTGATAATTCCGGTAAAGCCTACTTCATCACGACTGTTATATTTTGGTGCAACTTCAATTGAAATTTCATTCATTAAACAAAACTAAACATCTTTTTATTTCTAAGTCAATGGTATTCTTATGCTAACCTCCTTTGCCTCCAATTTAACGTCTTTTAATTTTTTGTTTTTCTTACAAAATATCGTACTAGATAATTTATAAATTTTCCTATATTAAACTATTTAGATATTACGATTAGTCAAGTATTTCATTCAAGGCGCTGCAAATCACTAGAATTGAAGCATTTCCATCCTTGATTTCAAATCCTATTTATATTTTGAACTCAATTCCATCCTTTGCATGAGCAATATAATTTATTGCATTTCTTTTATCTTCGAGTCCAAAATAAAAATGGGGAGGAAATATCGCCAATCTACATGATTTATTGCCAGGCATTTCATATTCCTCTGATAAAAATGCCTCTTAATCCATAGGTTATGCAATTTCTTCAATTAATATTGGAGCATCATCAACAATCATTATATTTGAATATTTATTTATATGAACACAGGATTCAGTGGGATTTTTATAATGAAAAATTTGTGATAAGGTGATAAATTTATCTATACTTTTTTTTTTGAATCAAATTTAACCAATCCAAAATTCCTCTCTTTTAATCATTATAGTTCCTAAATCCCCAAATTCTGATTGAAAAATGTAATCGCAAAACTCTAAATAAACTATTTAAACATAAATTTTGTAATTTCTTACTAATTAATTTTCATTAAATATATAAATATTTCTGATTGAAAATTATAATTTATAAACAAATAGAATTTAGAGTAAACAAAGTTTTTGAAAGACGAGTAGTTAGCAGTCATACAATTTTATTGTCTCTTTGATAATCAACTTCTAAAAATAAAAAGAATCATTAATTAATTTGTCACAAAATTTTAAATGGAAAGTGATATACAATTCTGATTTTAAAACTTAAAATTCTGTTAACCAAGATCACCTGAAAATTCAAAGTAGAATTGCAATGAAAATTTGTTTATTTTAGAGTAATAAGTATAAATATTTTAATATTAAATAATTGGGATTTTATTTTTTAACACCTACTACGATTCCATTCTTAATTTCATTATTGTATTCTTATTTTGATTGTTTCCTTATTAAAGTTAAGCTGATTTGAAATTACTATTTTGAAGATTAGAATTTATATGTTTAATCTGGCAATATGGATTTTATGACCTTATTGATATACAGGAGGATTTGGAGGTGCCAATTGGTGGCAGATATATAGATGAATTAGGGTAATGATAATTGTTAATCGAATAATTTTTATAAGATTATAATTATGAATTTAATCAAAATCACAATTTTTACCTTAATGGTACTAATTCTAGGACTGTGCTGCAGTTTAATAGCAATAATATTAGATTTAGATGATGATAGTAGTAGGTTTACAAACTACTTTATAATGAGCTGTGTAATAATTAAATATGATGCATGTAGTCTGGAGTGTTTATTTGTTTAATAATTATGGAAGGTTACCTGTATCAATTTAAACCAAAAAGTAGACATGTGTAATTCCCTCGTATTATGTTAATATATTTACTATTTAACAAGTCTTTTAATTCTAGCTATTTTAGTTTTGTTATATTCAGCCATAACTCAAATTTCTCACGCCTTATTAGACAATAATGGTATGTTTATGAAAATACAGAAATTAGGGAATGGAAAGGTGCCCATTATTGATCCACACGACTCTGATTGGTATAGATTAAAACAGATATCTCGAATAATTTAATATACTACCTGCACAATAGTTGTTATTATACAAGTATTGATTGGGTATAAAAAGAAGAAAAGCTTCAAGAAAGGTCAAGCGATCGAAAGTCTTATTGAGAATGATGTAATCATAATTAATTAATAAAAAGAATGTCTTGATTACGTCATTAGAACCCACATAAAAATTGACTTAAAATTAGGTTGCATCTAGTTAAGGAAATTCTCATATGATAAATACTTTTGAATCAAAAAATACTCAGTAAATATAAGCAATACAAAAATTAAATAACAACAATAATAATAATTCATGAGATAATTTTCATCAAAATTGCTTTATATATAATATTAGAAGCTATATTATAATCAAAACTATTCATCCCATGCAGATGTTTGAAGATTATTCTCATGACTATTGACTGTTTTAATTCTCTAAGTAATGAATTGATAGGAAGCACTCATTGTTCTAAAATGACTACTTGGGGGAGTCATACTGTTACATATTAGTATTTTAAATATCTATTAAAATTACATTATTGAAATACTTTGATGCAATCTAAATTTTATTCCCCTAAAATTTGCATCATTTCTTCTCGATTCTCCAATAATTATATAGGATCTTTGCTGTTCTCTAGCAAATCCTTCATCCTCTAAAATACTTCCTATCCTAACTTATTTTTCAAGAAGTCTGCCAATAATATATTTCTATTTGGGGATGTAGGTGTTTTGGGATTGAAAAGCAATTTGGCAAAAGAGGGTTTCTTTTGTGTGATTTCCTATTCTACTTTTTCGTCTAATTAAGTATTAATGGTCATAATCTTTTTGTATGGCTTTTTCTGAACTTAGCAGTAATTGTTATTTGGTGAGACACATTCTGAGAATATGTTTTACAATCCCAATTAGGTTTATCGATATTGAGGAGTAATGGATTATTTAAGGATCTTAGCCATATCTTTGGTGAGAATTGGTTTGTCTGATTATTTTTCATCAAAGCCTGGACATTCAATAGGACATATCCTTTTATTTAATAGTCCTTTACTTTTATAAAGCACTTACAGTTTGATTTGTTCTTCTTTAATTTAAGGGATATTGAGCAGTTGTTCTATATCTGGTCGAAGATCTGGATTTTTCTGCAGAGTGCCATTGAGGATATCTTAATAGAACTTGGGAAAAGCTTCGTTCAATTGAGGAGTTTGGCCATTGATAATAGTATTAAGAATGGCAGGAAGGGAATCTCCTTGAAATGGCTTTTGTTGTGTGCATAACTCGTATAATAAACAGCCCAAATTCCAGATATCAGTTTTGGAATTGTAGTTTTTGGATTGACAAATTTCAGGAGACAAATAGTATGGAGTTCCTTATTTACATAATCTAACTTACCTAAAGTTGTATTAGTAGAGAGATCGATCAATTTTTTCGAGATACTGAAATCACCCAATTTAATCTATGAAAGGATTAAGTCTAAATACATACAATTCCATCATCAGTAATGAAGACATTCCTCAATTTAATATCCCTGTGAACTATTTGTTGTTAATGCAAATATTGGACTCCCAAACATAATTGAGTAAAATAGTTCAGGATGTCTGGCTATTTAGTTTTAATGTATATTGAAAGATCAGCTTAGATATGGTCGAGACTCTTACAATTTTTGGCGTATTCCATGATAATGCACAATTTGTCATTATGTTCGAAGGAATCATAAAACTTGATTATGTTGGGATGCTTGAGAACTTTCATAATGTTGACTTCATTTTGAGGATCCACGGTATCAAATTGCAAATCTATTCTTTTCATAGCATATTACTATTAAATATTAATTTTGAATTACTCTCCCTTTGTTATCTTCCACCAACCAAACATCTCCAAAATTTCCCTTTCCAATCTTCCTTATCCTTCTGTACTTCTCCATTTCTCTAAGTATTATTAATTATTATATATAAATAACGAGAGAATAGTCATAATAAATTTTATGATAGTATGTTCTGATTCAATTGTAAATGCTTGAGAAATATAAATAAATAATAACATAATTATGGCAAGCCAATTGGAATTCAATCTTAATCAGATTCAGGTAGAGTTCATTCTAAGCAAAATGCCTAAGGGGTATTCTCTTTTGCAGTCGAATCTCTTGAAATCACGCGAATAAAGAGTGGTAAAGTTTCCCTCCTTATTAGTTGAATAGCCGAAAAAGGTCAACAAATACGATGCTTCATTCCAAAGCAACAAATAGGAAGTAGTCGAAGATAAAGGCAAGAGATCTCAAAGAATAGCTCCGATTCAAAAGGAATAAGTCAAAATTCAATTGGATGATAATTGCAAGAAGGGATTATAACTTCTTCAAAAATTCAAATCCCATCCAGCATTTAATGAGATTAATGCTTCTGGGTATTTAAATATCGATAAAATTGAAGCTTCCTTCAAATAGGAGGGTATTACTTACTTGTAAATTAAAAGGTAATCTGATGAATCTTTGGAATCAAATTAGAATCGCATTACAAAAACTAACCTAATCTGCTTCATCCACCCAAATGCAGGATCAAGTCACCTTCTTAGAAAACCACTTTTATCAAGTTTTCAAGCCAATCTAAAATGAATAAAAATAAACATCCACATCTACGAAGTATATCTTCATCATAACATGATTAGAAGCATCCCAATCAACAACAAAGTCACTTCCAATAAAGTGAAAGAGTCTTAATCCTAAAAAAAATAAGATACTCACATCACATTCGAAGAAAAAAGATAATTGGGACAACACATAAGAGAATTACCTTAAGAACATCTGAAGGCAGTCTGGGAAATAGTGTAGTAAAGTGTTTAAAATCAAGAAGCTGAAGAATTAGAATTTGATATTGATTAATTGCCAGCCAAAGTAATCCGTAAATTGTAAGAGTATGTTCAATCCAAATTGTATCAAATCAATATAATAACAAATAGAAAAACTAAAAAGGTTAAAGTTGATCCCTCAATCAACTACAGCTCCTAAAAATCCAACAACTAAGAAGATAGTTCTTTTCCCTCTGAGTCCTCTGATTGAGATATTATTAATATTCAACATCTATATTTAACTATTTTGAATTACAATATCTTAGTTAGATTTCAAATCGACCAACGATGTCATATATCATTACAAACACCAAATATCAAGTATTTTATAAAATATCCCTTTAACTGAATATTCACTTACTAAAATATATATATATATAATAATATCATTTACAAAATTTAGATATTTTAATAAATATAATTTTCAATAATTTCCAGAATAATGAATGAAATGACTTTATATATTATTTATACAATATATTATATAAGTTGATCAATCGATAAAGTTGTATTTCACTTTTTTTCTTTTTCTTCTCTCCTATATATCCAACTCACTCATGATGTCTTCACTATCAACCAGATCACTAAAATCACTCTCATCATCCTTCTATAGATGAAGATATTTATTATTTTTTTTGTCTTATTCAAATTCGAATTCAGACACTGAAGTAGGCCCATTAGATGAATCAGGTTCAAATAAAGGCTCATCATTGAATTATTAAATAGGAGCATGTTCCATATGATCTTTCATCATAGTTGCCCATCCTCCATCGTAAACAAACAAAGGGAAGTCCTTCTGTATACTGAATTGCATATTTCTCCACATGAGACCAGAAGTAGTTTAAAAAAATAGAATCTTCTTCTTATTCAACCATTACTGTATCTTCTTGAGATCTTCTCTGTCTATGGCTTCAATTCTAATCACTTGAGCCTCCAGATCCTTTAAGACTGCAACCAAATCAAATGAAATGGTTTCCTCTTGGACTCTTTCACAACACATAATATCCACATTCTCTAAAGTTAAAGTAAAGAATGGCTGATCAACAATGTTTACTAGACAACTCTAAGTCGGTTGAAAGACAACTCTTTCTTTAGCATAATTACCTTCAAAACTATACTACTTTTCTAATCTCTCGAATTTGATATTAAATCTTTTATAGTATTGTTCTGACTACTAGATGAAAGACTCAAAATTCTTGAGTTCTTCCAGTCTTCGATCTTACACCTTCTTATCGAAGACGTGATCAATATCAAATAGACGAACCTTCCTTCTGGCTGCTTCTTATTCAGATGCTCCTTCAATATCTCTATAGAATTGGATCTAAGAAAACATGATTTTACCACATTTGATGGGCATCTTAAAAATGAAATGAATGCATGCTATCACTTCATCTTCAGGAGAAACAAAGAAACAATGTTTAATACTGGTGAATGTGAAATCTATAACTTCTCCTCTAGCACTCTTATATCGAAATCCATTCTCGTGACATTCCACAAATCCTTCTGGTGATCTAGTCTTTTAACTTTAAGTGGGTCTCATATACACTTTGCTTAAACAAGGAGTGTTCTTTGGTAACACTGTTAATTTTTCAATAACAAAATCAAATTTGTCCACTTCCAGCTGTTTTTCTATTTATTTTCTTCTCGCATCATCTCTACATACATTAATTTCATTTTCGATATCCTATAACTTTATGAATTCCTGATTCCTCAAAGTAATTTCCTTTAGAAACATTTGATCCTGATCCATAGATGGAAACTCTCTTGTGTCTATATGGAATTCATTAGTCCAAAATCTGATAGTGATTTCCCCTGCACCATTTGGTAACTCCTTAACACTGACATTCTAAATAGTGAGAGCATGAAATGGGTAATGTGTTCCTATGATTGGAATCAGAATGGCTGATTTGTCTTGATCAACAGCTATTTCTCCCTTTGGATATTAATCAAATTGATCTTCTTTTTAAAATGCTTACAATTGATCCATTTTAACTAATAACTTTGGTTCTTGTCTAGTCTATTGATCATTCAATCTGACTTCCAATTCGTATTGCTTTATTTCCTTCAACTTCTCCTAATCATTCTTTATTTTATTCAACTCCGCCTATTCAAACTATTCCCTTGTGATCTTCTCTGACTAATGCAAAACATCTGAATTTTCATTCTTCTAAAATGTAGATTTAAAAAATCTCTCGCCTTCTTCTGTTGGTTGATAGGAAACGAATGTGAACTCCTTCTCAGCCTTTGTAATAACACAATCCTCAATTCCAGATACCACAAATATTGTGTCAGCTAAACAAATTGCTATATTGGTTCTCTCAGGATAAAATGGCAATTAGACCAATATGTTATCGACAAACATCCTAATCACCACTGCCATTCTATCTTGAATAGTCTCAATATTATGATTATCAATTAACATCTAAGATCCTATCAAATAGCCAATGTCTGTCGGAAACTTCATCTTCATTTCTGGATCATCCTTGAATATGGTTTCCCATATATTCTGAGTCTCTCTATAGATTTATTTAAATTATATGTCCTCCTTAACCAATCCCAATGCAAATGCATGTACATTCAATATCACTCTGTAAATCTGCTCCAACTCTTAATTGGGTTAAAATAATAATGTCCTTGTGCAATATGATTATGACTGCATGTATTAACAACAAAAACTATATATCACCACGTCACCTACCAATCTGGATTGAGTACTTTCAGATGCTGACACATTGTATTAACCACCACTTTGAACTGTGGAACTCAATATATCATAATTTCCTTGTAATCCAAATTTTCTTCGAATTGCCATTTAATTCAAATCTGAACTCTTTTCTCTTTTGACTGCCTGTGTAATTGAATAATTGGTTGTATTCTCATTGAACTTGATTGCCAACTCTATCCTCTGACTCATAAATTTCATGTAATAGGAATTTATCTTACCACATGTGTTGTAATACTCAAAAATGTCTTTATTGTCATTATTTATCAATTCCTTTAAAAACGAGGTGCAATCCACTTTGATTAAATGGTTCTGATCTATAAATTAATTGAATTCAGTTATCAAAGGACTTTTCTAACCATCAGATAAATTCAATGCCAATCTATAATTATTGCCTGGATATTCCTTTCTTAATCTCTCCAAAGCGAATTGAAATTACTAATGATTGTTCTTTTTTATGTTCTTAATCAAAAAAAAGATTGTAAAGGTTTTCATCTTAATGTCACTCAGATGTTTCAACTTCTAAACTAAATGATAATTAGCATAATAATTATACACATGACTTCGTCTGCTATTATGCACAACATCTTCGTACTCATTATCAATATGCAATCCATCAATTCACAACCCAAGTACCATTATTGAAATCCTTTTTATATCCCAATATTAGAAGTATGTGAAGTTCCAATCAATACCGCCAGACAATCAAATTGATTCGCTTTCCTCAATGTAGTTATTGCTAATTTATTATTCTTTTTGAATTTATTTTATAATGCTATCTACACTTTATCCATTATTTAATATTCTTTTACAATTGCCAAACATTTTATTTTAATCAAATTATTTCAATGCATTTTATTTTTATAAATTTTATATAATTTAATTTAAAATTCACACATCATCACAGTAAATCAATTGCAATTAATCAATCTAAAACACATTAGGTGTTTGATCATTCAACTTAAAAAACATAGCCTCCATGTACTCCTTTATCTGCTTCGATAATTTGATATCCTTCAATTACAATAACTCAAACAAATCCTACTCTTAAATGGAATATATATTACATATATCTGCAGCCTCTTTATTTGATGTCCGAATTTGACCACCAACTGACTCTTTATCTATTGGTATTCCTATTCATTAAACATTTGTGAAAGCTCTTTTTTAATGTTAGCAATCTCCTAAACTGATGGCAATTGATAATTATCAACTAAAGTTTTGAATATGCTACGAATCCTCTATTTGGATTGTGTCTCGTTCCCATCCTCTGAATCCATCAAATAAAGACCTAATTAATGGGCCTATTGATAATTCAACTTAAAGGTAGACCTCTGTAAGGACTCAACCAAATCTTTCAATTGGACATCCTCTTCCTATGAAATCTAACAGAACAAATGCTAAGATAAATGATGAAGTATTACTTAATCGATATTATTAAGAGTGATTCCATTAATAAGTAATTGATATTTTAGAATTTTGATAACTTGTTGGAGATCCTGTTTTGTAATCAAGACTAATTTCTTGCGTTGCGTTGCACTCTGAGATCTCTAAGAGGAAAGAACAAAGTCTTAATTCAATTTGAAATTGCCACTTATGTTGGCAAACGAAGACGGTTTGAATAAGGGTGTATGCTTACTGTTCTTTCTATTTCTCTGTTCCGAAAGTCCTGAGTGATCCTCATTCATCATCTTATTAAGATTCTCGATTTTAATCTTCAAGGTCAAGACTTCCTCTTCTTTTTCCATAATTATCTTCTCATATTTATCTTACTGATTTGAAAGATTTGCCATTAGATTATCAATTTAGGTTTATTGATTCTGACTTGATTGACTTAATTTGTTGATCTCAGTCGTTAATTTTTAAATCAAGTTTTCTTGCTTATTCTATTAAGTAACCTTACTAGCGAAGATGGTGTCTCTATCTTTGTACTATCTGATTTCTAACTACAATTGGAGAATTAGCTTTTATTGGTTCTAAATTTTGCTTTAAAATATAGTATTTTATTTTTTAATCTAATCAAAGCCCTTCAACTTTTCTTCAAGGGCAGTTACAATTTAAACTAATCGAATATTGTCTTCCTCCAAATTTCGTAAGACATTGGTTTTAGAGGGAATGATTATTTCAGTTTCACTGTTGAGAAGTTTCTACTTTTGTATTTCACATAGTGCTCTTAATTTTTACAATTATTCTTGTTGTTCATTGAGTTGATCCATTTTCAATAGTTTCTTGAGTTAATCGATTTCTGTTTCCTTTTGTTGAAGAGTCTTCAGAAGTTATTTGATTTTGACTTGCTATTGAAGTGGGATGGAAATGTTATCAGATTCCTAACATTATGATTATAAACTATCGAGTTCTTTCTTAATTAAATACTTTATACCTGATAATACATAAGTTAAGACTTAACTTGCTTAAGCTCAACTCGTAGGACATTATTATCCTTTTTTAACTTTTAAAGCTGATCGATGTAATCCTCTTTGTCAACGTATGACAATCGACTCATAGAATCACCTCGACTTATTTGAATGTTATTGCTGAGTATTTTATTATTCCTCAGTTTGTTTGGATCAGCTTACAAAGAAGTTATGGAAAAAGATTTCTTGCCGTGTTTACAAGATTAATTTTCATGAGAAGTTTAATTATTATTCATTATATAAATAAATGAAAGCAATCCTAGTATTATCTATTTCATTAATGATGTTGAACTCATAATTTATAAAGACAACCCCTTCCATTCCGGTAAGCACATGAATTAATTAATCTAAGTGTGATTCAAGTATCTACTTACTACCAGATATATATTATGTCAAAGGAAGTGCATCAACTATTGTAGAGCCAACCTAAGCAGTAGTAACCTTAGAAATAGAAGTCAAAGACTTGAAAGCTCAGGTTGCCCTGCAGCAAGCAGCCTAAATTGCTGACGATGCAGTTAAGTAAATAATATTCTTACTCAAATAGAGCCATTAAAGAGAATTGCTAAGGAGGATTGAAGATTCAAACAGCAGATTTTGCCATTCAACCACATAAAGAATACAGCCAAAACTAACCATATGCTGTGATCTATTCAGGCTTCAAAGTAATAAATAAAATCACAGTAGAAACTCTAAATACCAGTGATGTTGGAAAGTAAGATTTTCTTTATAATTTAAGGATCATTGATGTTGCAGTGAAAAACAAGGTAAATAAAGTGAATGGAATTCAATTTGATGTGAGTAAAGATGAGAAGAAAAGGTTAAAGAATTTCTTAGTTGAATTAGCCATTGAAGATGCCAAACATACAGTAATAAGATGAAATTATCTAAGGCTAATGTGGTGTTGAAGGAATTGAAAATGAGAATTGAATCGATCAAATCTGTCCAACTCTTGGAGAATTATGGATCAGAAACTAAAACTAAGATGGAGTAATAGGTGAATGTAGGATTTGTGATTAAACCGATTGATTGATGACAAATCATTAGAAAATATTATTTAGTTTTTTCACTATTTTTAGTAATTGATGAATTCAAAAATAACATTTTTAGATTTAATTTCTGATTGTCTCCTAATGATGGGGGATTTTAAATAATATCACTAAAATTAGTAAATAAGAGTTCTTTCTGTTGTTGAGTTTTGAGGTATTATTTAATATAAAAAAATGATTAGAATTTAAACTCTTGCAATTTGCATTACTTCTATCTTGGGATCATTCATCCAAAATTAATAAGCAATCAATAACATAGAAGTAAATTTGATTCCAATTCATTTCTAGTGCACTTTAGTTGAATACAGAAGACCAGACGTTTTTTATTCTGTAGGCACAGGATCTCTAAGCGTTGAACCTACAATAGCAACAGTCAATTTTGCAATTGAGATCTTAAATGAACTTGCAGAAGTAGCTTTGAATACTGCCAACTAAATATAGAGTAAAGCCTTTAAGTACAATTGCCTTAAATTCATAGATCATTGCAAAAAGTGGATACAACAAATGCAGGAGTGAAGATCTCCACTACATAATTTTAGATGTTCCCTCATACAGAATATGATTATACCTATTTAAACCCTTAAATCAAATTCAAAGGTTATAAAGTAATCATTAGCCAAAAATTGGAAACCCCTAATTTGAAGATTATTGGATAATTGATCGACGCTGCTATCAATGCTGGAGTTACTACCATAGAGAATGTTTCCTTTGATATCAAATAAGAATAAAAGTCAGAGTTGAAAGATTAAATTCTTTAATTAGCTATACAAGATGCAACAAATAAAGTATTTTTACTGATTAGCTTCGATAGGCTGAAATTGCATTAAAAGGTTTAGATATGAAAATACATTCAATCAAAAGTATCACCGTTGATTAGCCTTAATATAAACCAGTATATGAATACGCTAACACAACAATGATCGAATCTGCTGCTGCTCCAACTGAAATCTATGCTCAAGAATAAAACTTATCGCATACAGTCACAATAGGATTTATCATAGTTCCTATTGATCAATGAATATTCTATAATATCGCATAATTTCATTATAATATTGGATTTTCTTCAAATTTATCTTATTTACAATATTCTTTCTTTATGAAAGAATTCTTTATTAGATATCATTAAAATTACCATTATCGTAGATAAATACAAAAATCACGATATATGATATACTATACTTTTCTTATTTATTAGATAATAAATAAATCTTTTAATATGATTAAATTAATACTCTTCCTTAATCAAGTTTAAAAATATCATTAAATCTTTGGCTTCAAAAATATCATCTTGAAAGATATTTATAACATCTTGAATGAATAACTTACCTATTAATAATTAATCATTAACTCTTCTATGAAATAATTGAAAATCTTTAAGTCTCATTAATTCAAACAAATAAACTTTATGTATTGATTTAAGATCAAATTAATAATATTATTTCAAATACTATTCCTATGTAGATCTATTTTATCTAAAATCTAACTCATTTTTATTTTTATTAAATTGTTTAAAATTATATAAAATAATAATTAAATTATAATGAATTCACCTCTAAAAGATCTAGAATAAATTTAATTGAGACAAATAGAATTAGGATACTATCAGAATGATACTGAATAAATTAGGTAGATTCTAAATTCAATAAAGATGATCGCCTTTGAGAACATATATAAAAAACCTAATCAACAACCTCCAATAATAGAAAATGATTCTAAGGTTCAGAATGATGATGATGAAATTGCTTAATTTTATAGAAATCAATATAAATCGATTGACATTGTAGAAAGATCCAATTAAAGATCAAGAATGATTAATAAGAGACTATTTGAATATCAAAATAGAAATACCCCAAAAAATGTGAAAGTTGGTTTGCCTTCCCTTAAAAATAGTGGAAATCAAAATAACTCTATAAATAAGGTTACAAAAGCAGTTTTTACTCCTTTTACTGAGAGAGTCAAACTTGATAATACTAAAACCTTATTGAATAAGACGATGCAACAGACTTTAAATGATTTTAGTTAATAGTGGATCAAAAACGAGAATCATAATTCCCCTTCAATACTTAACAATGTTTAAAATTTAAAGCAAGGATAGTCTTTATTCATGGATGAACTCAGCAATAGAGCTAAGTCAATAATCGAATCTGCAACAATTACTAAAAAACTTAAGCAAACAATACAAAATTCTTAAGAAATACAGACATCAAATAATGTGAGGGATCAACAATTGGCAACAACTTAAATTTAATTAGGCAATCTCTCATTTTAAGTACCGAAATGCAATTAATTTCTGGTTGATCAAGAGATGAGAATCTTAAGAAGCAGAATAGCAAAGAGAATGAAGCCTAATATTCTTGTAATTGATTAGAGAAGAATGTAGGTATGAATTGATTTTGTAAACTAATTTAATTTTTTTATGTCTTTGACTTTTATAAACTTGGAAGACAGTCCTGATAAACCAAAACCTTTTGGCTTGGCAAGTGGAATGATAGAGGATTTTTTACATAATCCATTGGAAATGTTGCGGACTCTGAAATGTGATAAAACAAGCGGCAGTTGGGATTTAGGAAAAATAAGAGAGATTCTGAATAAAATAAATGATCTTGCCTTTTAAAATAATACTAGTCATGATTTAATAAAACCACGGAAGATATCTTTAGAACATTAGAATTTAAGTGAATAATTAGGTGACTTCGATAAACTCTACAGTTCGTTTAGGCTTTCTTAAAAATATGATAATAAATCTGAAAGAATTCAATAAGTGATCAAGGACTTCAAAAATAGAGTGATATATCGATAAATAAGGCCTTCATCAGTGTAGCCCAGGAAGATTGAGTAGCCTCAGAAGTGTAAATTAATGAGCAAGGAGTTCGAACAAAAATTAAATACTATAAATGCAAAATATGGGATGAAAGCAAGTCAAATGACAGTAAAAAGTAAATATATGAATCATTATTCATTAAATACAAACAATTAATAAACAACGAACACTGAGTTCATACGTCCTCAGACTACTTCATGCTCAGCAAGAAAGACATATTCATTTCGTAGAGAAAAAACTTATGATTTGGATTAGAAATTTCAACATAGTGCTAGACCTAGCAGAGCAAGAGCTTAATCAGGACAGTAGGTTTAGAATTTTGAATAGGAAAAATAAAATTAATCTATTATTGCTAGGATAATGAAAAAATCTCAGAGACGATTGAATTAAAAAGTGAATCTAAAAAAATATGATCTAGAAAATCATGATATCTAACCTACATTCATGTTGGATGACAGTGATTCCTAAACTAAAAGATTGATGAAATGCATAGAGTTCAATCCACTCAATTCTATACAATAGGAATATCGAAACTTTATGCCTAATGATGAGGATTTCATAGTGAAATTAGGGTTTTAATAACTACAATCCAAAGAGAAGAGATAGAATCAATTACAATAAAAGGTATTCTATGCAAAAGCATAAAGTAATTACATCCAAGACCCTGTTTGATAAAGTATTTGCTGTATTTTCTAACACTTTTTTTTCAATAATATAATAATTAAAAAACTGATATTTTGAGATCCTCGATCCTCTGTATACTAAACAAATATAACCGATGGAATTCATATGACCAATATTTATTATCTGATATTTAATATATAATTCATCCTGTTTTGAAGAGCATGATGGCCAGTTATCCAATGTAAAAATATATATAATGTTTTGTTTCGTGAGTCACATATGACCCAAAGTTTCTTCCTACAATACAATGCCACGTTCCATGATATTTTGCTCTTAATTCATCCTTAATATATGATGCTATTTATTGATCCTACAATTAGAAATGCTTTTACAGTAGAACTCTTATCTATGGCTTGTCTTGAAACTTCAATGACTTCTCTTTGCATTTCGTCACTCATATCGATTTGTTTAATGACAGGCTATAATTTATCGAAAGACATTTGAATATAAATTATATTAATATAACTTTCATGACTTTAAGAAGGTCATTTATAACATTTCTTCATAAGTTAAAAAATACTCAAATTAATAATGTAACACCATCCAATTCCTTGCATACATTGATTTAACAAGACAGACGCACTCTTAAATTATCTCAGAGAATAAATACCTTCCACCCTTTCCTTCCGTTGTCAACACATTGATTTCCTCTTAACTCTGGGGTTAGGCAATCTAAATGTTGCTAAAGTCATTCGAATTAGCTATTAACACTGAACAAGTAGAACATGAACATGAGAATCCACACTCAAAAGGTAATGGCACTTTGTGTCTTTTTAATTCCTTTGCCAAAACCTCACCTTCTGTAGCATCTATGGTAAGTTTGATCTGTGGATTTATTTCACTTTGAACATAGAGGCGAATTTTTCTTGAGAATCTAAAGAAATTATGAATTCTCTACATTAAATTAAATTATATTCTGAAAAATGTTTAATTTGTCAATCTTTTAAAGATTTAGCACAAAAATAAATTAATCAAGTTTCCATTGATGGACTTTGATCTATCTATTCTGTGCTATCACTTTGAATGACATACGTTTCGGTTGTAATTTCTTAAGATTCTGATTACACCACCTGTTTTGCCTTTCTCGACCAAAATATAACTAGAGCAAAAAAGTAGGGAAGAAAGAAAGAAAAGAATTTATCTAACAAGTCAAGACTTGAATTCAAGAAATTGGTCAAATTCTCATCATTCGGAAACTAAATTCATTATGAATGAGTTCTTACATTGACATAAAAGCATGTGTATCTTATACCTTTAGTGTGGTATATTTGATTCATGATCACAAAATAGATATTCTAAGTAAAACTAACAAAAGAACCTATTATATTTACAATCAGGAGCAACCTCTATATTGAGCATTTATACCAAATTTATTTTAATCTCTTCTTCACAACTTCAGTAAATTATCTGATTTCTCCACTTTGATCATATTTAATATTCTTGTTCACTTAACGAGTTAACTGTCTTATCTATAAAAAGAATAATCCTTAAAGCAAGAATCCGACTGTGGTAATTATATTGAAAAACTAAGCTAATTAATAATTAGCGATATAACCTTGGCATAAGTGATAATCATCCATATTCAGAAAGTAGTCTATGTAATTTAATACAAAAATGGCTGAAATAAAGAACACCAATCCATTGAACATCAATTGAGCCAATTTTATTTGCATTGTTGCCGTAATTGATAATGCTTCACCTGATCCATTGAATGAAGCTATCAATATAGACTTTCTGCCAAAATAGTAAATACTATAGCTGATGAACATAAATTGAAAATATGGAATGGGGAAATACAAAGCATCAACTCTGTTGCTTAACTGAAATGCCAAATAAACTAATATATAACAAGACTTTACAAGCTATATCAACTATTAAGATGGCAAAAATTATTTATTTCCTCGTCAATTGTTTTTTATATTATGGTTTTCTCTAATTGATTAATAAATAAATGGAACACAGTAAAATCATAAAAGCCATGATTAATTTAAGTAGAAATCCTAATTATTTAACGAATGTACGTAATGCACCAATCTAAAATCTCATTACTTTATCTTGTTAAACAACCAAAAAGTTCTTCAACTCCCGATTGATTTGCCATTAATATTAATAAAAATATATATTCAATATTGTATTTACATGATGTAATTATTAATTATTAAGTTAAATAATAGATTAAATGCAATTTTGACTTAATCTAAAAATTCCACTTTGTAAATCAAACAATAAGATGACTCTATTCTTTTTCACTATTTTAAATAGAATTATGTCGCTAAAGTCTTAGATAATAGTTTATACTATATTTTAAGATTATCAATTTCTATACATAAAATAATTGAATTGTTATTGATTCTGTAATTAAAACCTCTCTTTGTTCTTCTAATTATGAATATGGATTTCAAATAATCTAACTATCATATATAAATTATAAATTAACCTATATACTACTTTAGAGAATTTGAAAATTATCTGAATCTTCTTACATGTTTCAATTCTTAATTAATTTCTTGTTTAATAAAAGTTATTAAATTCATATCCAAAATTATCATCTTAACCTAGAATGCTAATTGAATTTAATTTTATTATAAATTGTAAACTTAAAAGTATCTAAGAGATCAATTATTTAGATTAATACTATTTATTAATACAACTAGAATAATCTAGTTGCTGAACATATCAATATGTTAAATATATTAAGAATTAACAAATACTTTTAATATATATCTTAATATTAGCATATTTATATTTGTATTTAATACAAGAACAAAAATCATTAAAGATTAATTTTCTTTATACATTTAATTATAATTATACACAAATTTGAAAAGAATCTAATAAAATATTAGATAATAAACACATATATGAAAGTTAAATCAATAGTTGTAGCTGGATACTCTCTTGCTTGAATATATGTATTTTTAATAGTTGATATAACACCTATGAAATACCTATCATGTAGTTATATATGTATACTGCATCATAGAAATGTTCTGCAAACTGTGTTTTAGGGTGAAACAGCAACACAAAAAAGATGAACTTAATGAAATGGTAATAGGGTAAGTAATATAATATCCAATAAAAGTAGTCATCCAACAAATGAACAATCATCACTATAACCCAATATGATAACCATTATTTGGCATTCCTGTAATCTAAACAAACTTATATAAGATATATTACTCTATGTTTCTATGACTTCTAAGGTCATGATGAATGGATAAACCAATGTCATAATTTTAATAAAGAATCCTCTTCCTATTCCTAATATTATGCAAGCTAATCCTAATAACACAACGATGAAAGCAATATATGAAGGACGAGAGATTTTGAATTTCCTTGCATACAATTTGAGAAAAGGGATTTCATCACAAGAATCCAAACCAAAGGTTGTTATCAATTAATCTAACTACATTTTTAATATTAAAATATATATGTTATCAATAATTTGTAATGATATTAAACCCTCTATTTTTTTCTGGTGTTTTTCTTCTCTTACGCACATAATCAACAGAAAGCATAGTAGATGGTACTTCTTTCTTAGGAAATCTTTTGTCTTCTAACTTTTCGAGATGTTTCAATTACAACATGGATTTGTTTTGAAATTTTCTTTTTGTATCTTTGAATGAACTATTCATACTGGTATTCAATGTCTATTTATAATTATCTAGTTCTTTTTGTTTTGGAGTAGTTATTACGCTAATATCATAATTCATTTTTTAATCTCTTGTTTAAGAGTGACTTAATTATTAATTATTTTGAAGATCCCCTTTTTATTCGAACTCTTTAAGATTCTGGTTGTCTTTTTTAATGGAGGATCTTTCGAAAGAAATCTCATCAATGGCATTTATTATATTTTCATTAAATTTAGGTGAGTTTAAATTGTCCTATTATATAGAGGATAATATAGATGATTATTGTCGAATGCCTAAATTAAAATTATTCTTTGATTGTGTTTCAAAAGTAGAAGGTTGGGTTTGGCAGGATTTGTGAATACTTTTTAATTGCTGATCAAAAAATTAGGCTTATGAAATTATTTTAGTTCTTATGGGCGAAACAATATCCTTGATTATCTTCGTGACTCTATCAACGTCTTTAATATTAGTGGGTGAAGGGGATTCATAGCGCTAACTTTATTCATCTTCTTAATTCTATAAATGTTTAACGATAAACTTCAATGATATTTGAAGCAGTTTTTCATAATCCATTCTATTCAATAATTCATGGATGTATTATTCTGATACAAAATACTTCTTGAATTATTTAGGTTTTAGAGCAACCAATTAATAACAATATTTCCTGATCTTTTGATTTCTATTTTATAAAGGTGTAAACTCAAAGATTTTTGAGGAGTTTGTTGTTAACATTCTATTCTTTTTTAACAAATACTATTTACATTGATATGTCTCATTTCTTCCCTTATCGTAATCATCTCCTCAACTAGATGTTTTTTACTCATTTTATTAATCAATTAATTTACATCATCATAATTGATCATAATCATAAACCACATGTAATTTTCTATATTCTATTCTCAAATTTTTTAGTCATAAATATAACTATTCTTACTGTATTAAATAACACTCCTTATATTGACTACGGAATTCCTTCTACCTCCTTTATTATTGGTATTTCTCTGTGTTCATATTTGACTAGGATTTGCTGTTGTTTCTTAATATATAGAATTTTCTAACTATATTTTGACATGATAATATAAGGGCGTTATTAGGATAATATTGTAAATTTGCTACCTCTTAATAATAAATCTAATTCTTCAATTTTATTTAAATCTTTTATCTTAATTGATTTTCTTTTATCAACCTGTTTCATAGACTATGACATAAGGCTTATGGTTATCATATTTGGATAATCTGATTGGAAGGGAAATTTAATAAGCTAAAAATCTTATTTTTCTGACATTTTTTTAAATTTATTATTTATAGGAATTGAAATAATATAAATGCTGATATCAATTCATAAAGACTGTTTATTAACTTAATTCTGCTTTGAAAATTAAGACATTGTACAAATATTATTTCGTTTATTACATCCTAATAAAACCAATATGAATTATTAGGAAATTATTATAAGTTTAAACTATTAATTAATCTACTTTTTAATAGAATCATAAGAAAATAAATATCTTAATTTTATTACATTAATTATGTGTCTATTATACAATATAATAGAAAGTTCATTTATAACCATTAAATTCAACTCTGTTTTTATTTACTTCAAATGAAATCCTGATTTCTTTTAGATTCTTAAAAACAGATGAAGAAATAACTCTTAAATAAGAAGACAAAAAATTTGATGAAAATTAATATAAAAATATTTATAATTCTATTATGAAATTTAAATACGATTATTATACAATTTAAATATAAGAATGTCATTTTGAATGCATTCACTTTTTTATTTTAATAACTTTATTTTTGTTTTTCATAAGATCTATCAATTTAAGACAATCCTTTTTATTATTATGATAAGAACTATTAGTTGTAGTTCTGACTTGTTCAAAATATGGTATAAATTAGGACTAATAATTAGTGAGAGACAATTAAGAGTTGGATCTGAAATGAAATTTGGTTTTTGATTTATTTATCTCTTCGTTTAAAATACTTAATGGTTTAAAATTAGTTTCTTTTTTGATAATCACATTTTTCTCTAAATCAATAATATAAATAATTACATTCCACATTCTTCAACATCTTCTCCAAATATTATTGAACTTAACTCTTCCTTGGTCCTTTTTAATATGATTAGTAAAATGGATTTTGTTAAGATTCGTTCAATAATAATATCTCCTCGTCTTAGCTGTTCTACTAGATGTTTTGTGATTTGCAAGAACAAGCTTCAACTGTTTTCTATAATGCTTTTGATCTGGCTAGTCTCTTTAGTTCAATTTAGGTTTCTTTACTCTTTTATATATATTATTGTTCAGATAGTTATTACATTTCATGATTTGCACACCCTATATTTAAGAATGATTCTTACCTTGGTTCTCGTTCAATAGTCGTGATTTGGGTCTTGCAGGAGAGGGATCAAAAGGTCTTAGTTCTTTTGGATTACTTGAAGTTTGTTGAGTGTGAATAGCATGAGAGTAATCATTGATTTAACTTTTAGAGGATTCATGGGAGTGTTTGAATGGAAATTGATGAGATAGATAGTTATTTCGTTCTTTCAAAAAGGAAAAAGTACTTGATGGGTTATTTCATTGGTTGTAGATTTGGTAATAAATGAACTGATTGAAGAACTGCAGGTCTTCTTATGATAGTTAAGTTTCTGGCTGCTCTGAGAATATGCATTTTCTTTTTCCACTTTTTGATTGCCTCCAATTTATAAATGAGGATGAATAGAATAGCATTTCCGATAGCCTTGAATCTTTTCAAGACTCTTTTCTTTTTCTAATAACTAATATATTTATATAATAGTACCAGGTTTCTTTGAGAGGTAATTCCCCATGAATCTTTAATTAGAACCCCACAGGTTTGCCACAATTAGAACATTCACAAGATAAATTACATCTATTTAATTCTAATTCCAACTGGAATTTCTGATTGACTTTACAACGAATTGATCTTCTCTTTTTAAAAGAAGTCTTGATAACCATGATTGACTTGGCATGCTTGAACTCATGGTAATCTGATGGAGATAAAGACCTCTCTGACATAAAATAATATGATATAATAAATTCATGGAAATTTAATTAAGGATTAATAATCTGACTTCTTGGGAATAGGTTTGACTTGAAATTCTTAAAAGTATTACTTAACAATATTTTTAATTATTTACATGATTAAGCGCCTATTTAGCGCTGATTCTTTGAGTAGGATCCAATTTTAGCATTCTAGTCAATAAATCAATAGCTAATTGATCTACATCACGATTTAACAATTGTTTAAATCCTTGGGGACTCCAATTGGGAAACGTAGTTTTATAATCCTTCAAATTAGTTACACCCTAGATATGTATAGAATTAGAGTCGTACTGGCCATGTGTTCTCATTTGGAGTGCCGAGAATCCTGAAAATTCTAAATAATTGATCAATTTCAGAATCTCCTGTGAAGAGTGCCTTTTTTGTAATTAATTCATAGAAGATGCATCCAACTGACCATATGTCGACTGGAGTGCTGTATTCAACAGCTCCCAACAATACTTCAGGTGCTCTATACCATAAAGTTACTACTTCATGAGTATAGGGTCTGATTGGCACTTGGAATGGTCTTGCGAGACCAAAATCTGCAATTTTTGTATTACCTACATTGATTTGATTTTGAATACCTTGTTTGTCAATTAATATATTTTGGGGCTTGAGATCTCTGTGCAAAATGCGTCTTTGATGACAAGCTTGAATTCCCTTCAATATTTGATGGATTATTTTTTTAATTGTAATTTTATCGAGAGATTGATCTTTTGGAGAAATATCCAAAAGTGCCTTGAGGTCTCTTTCCATATATTCAAAGACTAGTTAAAGTTTCTTATTTCTAATAACTACGTCCCTTAATTAAACGATATGTGGATTGTTAAGCTCTCTGAGTAAACTAATCTCTCTAATCGCAGTTGAAGGCACACCTTCCTGCTCTAACTAATGATTTGGCGGATTTTCAATACTTCTTAGGTCATCTTTTTAACAGCTACAATTTATCCATTTAATTTATCCAATGCTTTATACACAACTCCATAGGTTCCACTCCCTATTTTTTCTAGTTTTTCATATCTCTCCGCATCACTTTCACCGAATTCAGGCAACATCGAAATTCAAATTAATTTGAATTAATAAATATTAATTTATTTTTATAAAAACTGTTGTATATATCACTTTTTAATTCCATTAAATATAAATTTTCCAATGTCTTATTAATCAAGATCCTTAATTCTTAATTACTTAAATCATTACCTTTTTTACATCAATTCTTAAAACTATCTTTTATTGATCCTAATCTTCTTCCACAAAATTTGAAACCAAACCGGCTCGAACATATCTATGATTTATTATCTTAACTATTGCAAATTGACTTCATGATCTATGAAACCATCCTTGTCAGCATCAAGCATAACAAATATTTCATTAATTTTTTATTCCTAATAACTTTACACTAAAAATGTTGTTTACTATTTTTGCATATGTATTGTTTTATTGCTTGATACAAATCTCATAGTTTCTATGACTCTTCTAAGGAGTTGAAATACACTATAACTTATTCATCAAATCCTTGAAACTCTTTATTCTGTCCTACTTAGACTGGTGTTCGATTCTGCTATTACATAGAGTCCCATTGCTAATCATAGACTAAACTATTTTATTTAATTCTTTACTGATTATATGCTCTAATCTATCTATTATTAGGAGAAACTAATTTCCTGAGGAGAGATATTTCTCGAATTAGATTGCTTTGATTTTTCTATACTTATTCTACCTTTTGGTAAGGTTTGAAGAGTATTTTATTCTGGCTTCTCAGGTGAATAGATGGGACTCTATTAAACACTAATGAATTGATTTGGCCTATTTTTGAGACCATAATTCTAATTCGAATGGAAACTATCCTTAATATTATTGTCTATCTAAACACTTGGTCTTTTCATATACTCTTGATAAGGTATGCCAACTCGTCTGTTTGGAGATTTATTTGGTGATTTACTTGGTGATTTGTTTTTTAATCGATTCATTATTTTCTAATTCAATTTCTCCTGTTTTTGAAGATTCTCAATCTGATGAATCGAATTATTCTTAACGTAATGATCTACATGACTGTTTCCTCTGGAGGAGGATTAATATTTTTCAGGATTCAACATTTCTTATAATTTGTTTTTAAATGAAAATTAGAATTAATCCTGAATGTTTGATGTGTTGCCCTCATTGTTGTCTTTGTCAAATGAGAAATTGAAGTTCTCATCCTTATTTCGCGTTGATTCTTATTGCTTTGCAATTTGGATGCAATCATTTTAAATTTATATGGATGTGTCCACAATTTTAATACTCTCCCTAATACTTGCGTTGTTTATGAATTTATCAAAATGCAATCGTATTTATGCCTTGACTGTATTGTCTATGCTGGTGGAATCCAAAAGCAAGGACACAAAGGAAATTATTTATTTTGAAAGTGGTGATATAAAATTGAATTCCAAATTCTGTTGAGTGCAAAATCTATAGGCAATTTGCAAAGGTGTATCGAATGCAAAAATCTATTTAATACATAATTCTTACTTCTACTTAATATATCTAATTTTAATACTTGATAGGCACTGATAAAATGTTGTTCTTTTTCATATGACAGTTAAATTAATTAATGTAATAAGTTAATATGCCTTCACAATATCCAAATTTACCTTTTACAAATCAAACTCCAACACATAAAACCAATCCCTCCCACTCTCCTCATCAACGAATGCTCTTCCAATCCTCATCCCCCATTCCAGATAGCAAAAGCTACACGCCTGCAAAACAATTGGGTGAATTGGAATTGCTCTATCAGAAAATCAATTTGCTTCAAAATGAAAATAAAATGCTCAAAGTCCAATTGGAAAATGCCAATCTCCAGATCCAATAATTGTCAACCAAAATTAATTCCTACAATAGTTAAGCCATCTTCAAGACCACCACTTTCGAATTGGTGGTACTGTAAAAAGCATTAGAGCAATTGGAATAACTGAAAACGGCTTTGCAGAAAAGAAAAGTAAGTCCCTTGCATAACAATTTAACTCTGCCTACTGAGGAATCGGCTGAGGTCATAAGCGAATTGAAGAGTAAAGTCACATTCCTAGAATAAAAGAATATTAAATTAAGCAAGGAGAACTCAGAATTATAAGTAGACTACTCTTTCGTTATTTTAGCATCACATTCTATTTTCTGGCCAGTCTGAGACAAAAGAATTCGTCAGAGAAGGCAGAAAACAATTGCTTTCTGATCCAAGTGAAATTCGGAAAGTTAATAGGAACAGCCCCATCAGATTTGTCAATCAAAAAGGAAGTCCAAGTAATCCATATAGATCACCGAAGCACACAGAGTGAACAATTTATTTATACTTTATTAATATTTGCATCAAATACACAAATTAATTAAATCATTTAATTAAAATTAGATAAACTCAGCATGGATTCAACTAAAGATAGAGTAGAAGGCACAAGAGCCACAGTCATCGAAATCATTGGAAGAACAGGTATCCATCAATTATATATTGTGCAGGTTCCAGAGGTGGCATTACATAAGTTAAGGTTCAAATTGGTTGGCCAATAAAGAACCCTCATTAGAAATGTTATGGGACCAGTCAGAAAAGGTGATACTCTAGAACTCATGGAATGCGAAAGAGAAGCCAGAAGATTAAGATGAAATAAGTACATTACATATACAATTTGCCATATATTTAATTATTTTTAATGCAAACTACAAATATCACTATTTTCAAAGTTTTTCAAGAAATTATATTTAAAAATACTATTTTAATAAATTATAGACAAATCCTGCAGCCTTTAATTTATTATTTTCAAGGACTGGATTGGTCTATTATTCAATATAATTATTATCGTAAGATAAGTCTTTCATTTATTGAATAAATATTGCAGTAAATTTTTGTGAATATTATACTGTTTCAAGAGGTGCTTATAATATAAAATGAATTTATTATAAAGTCATTAATTTATCTAGAAAAACGAATAAAAAATTATTATTTATTTCTAATAGTTATACTTTATATTATAAATTTTATGAGTTCTTCTTTATTAAGTAGCTGCTATTCTTGATTGATGGAAATAACAAAAGGTTTACAAAAAGAATAAATCTGAAATATTCGTATTTATTATGGTAACTAAATTAATAATATTAATTCTCATTATCTTTGTAAATTAAGCATGTGCATTATTTACAATTCTCTTCCTCATTTTATATCCATAGATATATCAAATAATTTTCTAGATTGAGGTTTCTTTCACAAAAAATATAACATTCTTCATTACTTTTTGATCAGGTCCTGTAAACAATTTTAGAGGATTGAGATTAATGTCAAAACCAAAGATTATATGACTTTTCTTTTTGTTGAAGCAATTCTTTATGGTTTCTATTAATAAATACAAGTCTTAAATTATAGGAGCCATTCATTGACCAACTTTAAAGTATAATATCTCAAACTTTATTATAAGTTTTAGGAGATCAAAGTTTACAACTTCAAAACAAACTATTACATGAAAACTCCAAATGATTAGACTTATCAGAATAGACTTTTAAGTGTATTAGAAGTGTTCATAGCGAAAAGCTATGTATGCTTATCTAGTTCTCTTGATTCTTTGCTCAACTAAATGTTTAACTATTTTTATTGATGTCAAAATCTCACAATATACAATAATGCCTACACTAAATTGTTAACTATATATATAGTTCTATAGTTCTTCTTTTTCGACACCTTATGTGAACTTTTTGTATTAATATATGTATCAAATTATTCCTAAGGCATTATATTGTACAAATACAAATTAGTGAATCTATTAAACATATCTATCTTTATAGTTAAAATGATGAGTATCTTAGATTTGTAAATGCGTATTTAATTTTACATATTTGAAGGGGGTGAGTGTTTAATAAAAAAATAAATTTAATATGTATTATTTTTTTATGTTTTAAGTCAGGATATTGATAATTGTGTTTCAAATACTTTTTTTTTTTAATTAAAATGAACCTTTCAGCTGTCAGATCAATCGTTTCATTCTTATCACTAAATGCTTTGCTCTAAATTTACGAGAATCAACCCGTAGAATTCTGGGACTCTAATCAAATGATGTCACATCCTAAACTTACTCCTATATTTTAATCAAATTAGGTAATTATAAACATTATTTTAGTATATTAATTTAATTGCTGGTCTTGCTTCGATTGCTCTATTAGATAAGAACAACAAATTGTATTTGAGTAACGGCGTTTTAGTAGGAGCATCAGTCATCATATAAAATTTGAAGTAATATATTATATTTATCTCTAGTTTATTCATGCCTAAAACTATGAATATGATAACAATTTACTTCTAACTTATTGTATTAATTGTTCAGCTGTTTTAATTGCTGTCCTTTTATTATGATAAAATTCCACCTGCTATGCCCATAATTAAATAAGATATTATGAAAGAATAAAAGCAAACCAGGAAGCCTCATCAAAGGAAGATGGTTTCTAACAAAAAAAAAGAGAAGCTATAGCAAAAAGAATAACAGCCAGAACAAATTCAATAGATTGAAGGAATAGAACAAGAACAATAGGACAAATCAGAAGTTGAATCTATCGAAAACGACTTCAACGAATTCATGAAACCATAGTCAACTGATTAAACTGTGACAGAAATAGAAACTGAAAATCTTTACGAAATCAATCATGCTGATCTCTCACAAATATCTTAAACAAAAGAAGATGCAAGTATTCATTTCATATCATCTTTAGAATTAACTTTCCAATTGAAATTCAATGGAGAAGTATCTACTTTAAATTGTACTTTTGATACATTCGATTCTGCAATGAGCATTCTCAACTCAACACACACATCAGAATAAATTAAATAAATCAAAATACATTTGTTACTCAATCTCTATGATGAAAATGAAGACTGTACTTGTAGACTCTGGTGTTTAAAGAAGCTTCTAATGCTTAATTGATTATAGAATTCTATAAATTTGCTCTTTGTGTGATTTATTATTAATAAGTTAAATCATTAATTCACTAAATATAGTAATAACATTGATAAACAATATTAAAAAATATAACTTATCTTTTTTGAACAAAACTTATCGTTTCCCTCAGTTACTAAAATCATTTATAAATATCTATGTCATCTAATGAATAATAATGCCAATTATACATCTTTCATAAACTAATACTGTAGAGAATCTCATTCATCTAATTTGATTGTATTACTAATGATTTTAACAGTTGAGACTTACTTTCGCTTAAAATCAAATGTTTTAGAAATTAGAACTTATTAGTCAACAATCCCTAAAGGCATTGATTAATAAAGTGTAATATTAATAATATTCGTAAAAAAGTGGATGTAAATGAAATTTGTCAATATCAAATTCTTCTTTCTTTTCTATCATAGTTTCCAAATTGCTAACTTATTAAACCACCGCCAGCACTATAATCTAAAAATAACTATATAATTACATTTTTGTAAGTTTTGATCTGACGGTTATCTTCTTTAAAATTCATTTATTGCATATCTATCATTTCCTATTTATCTTTTTAATTTATTCAATCTATCTTAGTTTAAATACTATTCTTTATCATTTAATGGAGACTTCTAATAGTTGATCTTGCTGTTTCCAACTCTATCTACCATTTTATTTTGATTTTTCTCTCTTTCAATATATTTACTTAATGCTGTTCCTTGAAGTATATCATCAATAGCCCTATTATTATTTCTTTTATTTCCTTTTTCTAACCCAAAACCATCAGCGCTAGAGGATTCTTCATGATAACTATGTCTCTATCCATAACGATATTATTCTCTTTATTAATACTTTTATCCCAAATACTCTCTACCCCCAACATTCTTAGTTTAAATGGGTTCTGGTTTTAACCTGTTCTCAAACACCCTCTTTTTATCAAATTCTGACTTTTATGGGGCCAATTCTGATTTCAAATATCCATACTTTTTTTCCAACTCTACTTTAACTTAATTTACTTCAGGTTAGAATTGAGATCTTTTAAACTCTACTTTCTCTTAAATTTAATTATGCTTTTAAATATCATACTATTAACCATAATTTTTTGGTTCGGCTGATTACTTCAAATCATAAGTTTTAGTTTCCTATTTCAAAGCTTAATATATTTGGCCATCTTAGTATTTCTTTTTATTATCCTGGTCAAATTGCTGTAACTTATCATACAAGTTAAGCTTTCTTTATATTTCTTGAGATTAATCAGACTCTCTTTTAGCATGGTATTGCTATTTTTTTGATTGAGAATACAACTTGTCTTTATAAAGTAGTCTATCATAGGATTCATTAGAGAGACTTCCTTAATATCTTAGATCACAAGCATCTTCATTTACAGATTTATTTTGATAAATTGATCTATCAACAAATTTCACCTTATCGTGATTAAGATCAAATTCTTATTTTTAACTAAAATGATATTTTCCATAGTCTGATATTTGTTAGTATTTAGAATCATTTGTCTTTGTGGATGTTTGTTCATTAGACTTTCTAATATTTACTCCATAATCTTAATTGTAAATGTTTTTCCTTTCATTTTATTTAAATTTCTCATCTAATTGGGTGTATTTGAATTAATCCAATTCAAGTATTTCTTTGTTTTTTTATTTGTTTTCAAAATCCCTTTCATATTGTCTTTTATCTTCATTAATATTATACTATTTATTAGACTGTTCTTTCAATCTAGTCTATACTTCATTTCTAAGTTATTCTTAGAATTATTTCATTTTCAATTAGCTGCCCTCTAATCCTTATTATCTTTGGGAGTATTCTTATGATTTTGAATAATAATTAAGTCTTCCCTCCTATTATCCTGCTATCTTCTCTACTTATTCTCTCCTCTATTATAGTCTTCTTTCGATATCTTAGAAACTTGATTATTCTTATGTCTGTTTTTAATCTGTTCTATAAATTTATTCACGCAAGGCAGTTTTATCTGTTGTTGTTTCAGGATAAATTCTTTAATATTCTGGTAATTTATTGTCTCTCTTCAAACTCGAATATTGGTATTCGCTTTTAAACGCATTTTTTATTGCTCTATCTTGAGGAGTGTTTGCAATGAAATTAGCTTTTGGATCCATTGGAGTTCTATTACCAAAAGGCAATCCATTTTATTTTGATAAATATTTATCAGAGGAATGAGCTAACTATTGTTCTATTCTTTATCTATCTTCTGTTTTAAAATGTATTTGATCTTACTTGTCTTCTTTGGACTAATAAACAGCGGTTTAAGGTCTTGCTTAATCATAATAATATGATTCCTTAAGTTTTGAATTATAACTATTTAACTCTTTCTCTACTTAGCGATTACAAACTTATTTGAATGATTGTTAATGAATCTTTGAGTCCAAGTTTTATTTTTATCTTTCATAACTTCCAAATTCGTTTTTGTTTAGTTGATCAATTTGTCTCCAGTTTTCTTTTTTCAAATATTGATTGTCTCCTAAAGATCCTAACTTTGTGGTTTAGTAATCCTGCGCTCTGTTAATTATTTAATTGGTTCTCAAAACTCTGTCCTCCATCTAATTTTTATTTGAATTCTTTTATGAATCTGTTAAATTAAATTTGCTGTTAGTAAAAAACCTAACAATATTTCAATTAATAAAGATTTATCAAAGGTATGCAGAGTTCTGATCGATTAAAATCTGAAACTCCTTTAGTCTCACATATACAACTTAGTTTAATGATTGGATTCATGAAGTAATCCAAAACAAGAATATATATTTATACAGACAAAATAATTATATTTATTTTATTAGAAAGTCTGATAATCATTCATGATAACCTATTCCAACATTCCCCCCAGATCTTATACTCCAAAACCTTCCTATTTAACAGTTGTAAATCACTCACAATATTCTCAGCCTGCTCAACCGATGTACTCTTAAAAGGTTATTCCCATCCAACCTAAGTAGCATGTACCCACTACAGAAATTATTCGAGTCCTCCCCAATGAATCCCAACAACCATAACAAGATTAAAATCAATTCAATGGATTATCATTGCCAGAACTTAAAGTCTTTTTGGAAGATTTAATGAAACGTTATGACAAATTAGCATAAGAATTACAAAAGGCGACTCAGAAGGAAATTTAATTGTAAAATCAACACACTATTGCTTAAACCGAATTGAACAATAAAATATTATAGTTTTAGTAAGAGAGAGAATCATTTATGTCAACCATTAACAATAAGAACTAAGAAATAGACTTCTTGAATTCACAGATAGACCAATTAAAAGAATAGCATTTTCATGAAATCTAGGAGTTGAAAGCAGATAATGAACATATTGCTTTAGTTTTAACTGACAAGTTGGATTAGATGAATCAATTCTCCAAAGAAAAGATAATAGAACTGGATTAAGCCAAGAGTCTGCTTGTTCTCAGAGAATAGGAAGTACAAGAATGGAGATTAAGAAAAAACAATGGCGATGTCTATTCGTAAGAAATTAATCAATTGAAATAAAAAATCTATTTACTGCAATAGGAGAAGGATCAATTGATGGGTAGACTTAGATATTCTCAACAGGATTCTCAATTAGGCAATGAGAATTAAATGTTGAAAGCCTAGTTGTAAGAGAAGGAATCTGAAGTCAACACTCTGCGTTTGAAAGTACATTATTTTTGTTATCCAGTTGAGATATGGCTAGTAAAACAACAATGATCAATAATTACAGTAGGAATTGGAATAAGCCAAATCAGAGATTATGTACTATAAACAATAATTAATGAATGCGGGTCAGCCTGGTAATTAGGAGGAGATAGAGGATTATTAGGAAAGGATTCAAATATTGGAAAATGAGATTAGGCGATAGAATAAATAGGTAAATTGATAATTAAATATGCTAGCTGACCGATATGAGACACGAATTGGAGGATCACAAAAATCATAAATCTGATAACGAATTTCTGAGATCCAAGTTGTCAGATCAATAAAACCAAATAAAAGAGATATCCAAATCCTAATTGGGATTTAAGGACAGGATTCCACAATACTACTGATTGTTTTGTTTTTAAACTCCCACACTAAATTATTATAAATTAATATAACGATCATGAATATCGAAGATGTAATAAAAGAAAATAGTGAGTTGCTTGATAGACTTCAGAGTGACAATTAGAGATCATCAATAGATGTTTAACTAACCCAAATGAGAGAACAACTCAATTACTTATAACAAATAGATATGAAGAGGTAATTGAAGTATGATCAATTACTCAACCAATCTGTCAAATTGCAATAACTCTTCATAGAGTTAATGAGATTTGTGAATGATTCAAACATAAGGGGGAATCAATTCAATACAATTCTTCGTTAATATAACGAATTATCATTTCGATCTCCTGTGGCCAATGAAAGATCTCCTTGCAAACCCAGTTCTCCTTTTAAAAAATAAAAAAATTATATGGCAATCCATAATAAATTTTGATATGTATTAATTTAAACAAAAATCTATAACAAACTAGATATATAAATTTTATTTTCAAATTAATGTTTGGAATTCCTTTTCCAGGAGCATTTGGTCACTTTGCTTATCATGATGATGATTTCGAAGATGAATTTGAGGAGCAACTTCCACCCCAAGATGTAGATAATAAAGAACTATATGAAATATTAGAAATTCCTCCTCAATCGGATATTCCTGCTGTTAAATAAGCATATAAAACACTAGCCAAGAAATATCATCCTGATAGACCTGGAGGAAATTAAGAAAAGTTCTAACTGATTCAAAAGGCAAATGAAGTGTTGTCAGATCCTGAAAAAAAGAAAATTTATGATAAATTCGGAAAACAAGGATTGCTCAAACAACTCAATGTCAAGAATCCTTAATTCAAAAAATGCGAACCCCATAAGCTCAATCATAAAATTACACTTAAGGACGTCGCCTTGGGAGCATACCATAAAAAGACCTTAAATGACATTAGAAGATCTTGTGAAGAATGCTAAGGGTAGGGAGGCAAGCAATCAGTTACTTGTTCATCATGCAAGGGAAATAAAATAGTTTAAATGGTGGTGGAAGTGTAGCCTGGAATAAATATGCTGCAATAAGCGCCTTGTCCTGATTGCAAAGGGTATAATCTATTTTAGAATTATTTTTAGAAAGGGTAAGGCAATAGCAAAGGAGGATGAATGCAAATCATGCAAAGGATAAGGTAATGTGGAAGGAGTAGTGGAGATTGAAATACCAATTGAAAAGGGAGTTCCTGATGGCTATTGTGTGAAATTATATGGCAAAGGCAATTCTAAAGTAATTCAATTCAATACATTAGCCTGGATATGAAACTGGAGATGTCCATGCTTATCTTGAAATTGAATAGCATCCAAAATTTATTCGAAAAGGAACAGATCTATTCTATTAGCATACCATTTCTCTGAAGGAAGCTTTAGTTGGTGTTAATATTCAATTAGAAACCTTGGATGAGAAAGTCATTAACATAACAACAGATAAAGTAATAAAGCCAAATCAAATATTAACTATAAAAGAGAAGGGTTTACCTACTTTCAAGGATGAGCTTCATTTTGGTGATTTACATGTGTAATTTTACATCGAGTTCCCCAAAGAACTAGATCAAGATGTCACTAAGAAATTAGCAGAGGTATTTATTCATACATTATTATCTATAAATAGATTTTACCAGGACCCTCTTTTACACCCAAATAGAATAGTATAAAGTTGCAAGAGTTTAAATTTGATGAGTTCGAGAAGCATTAAGCAAGAATAGAAGAAAATGAGGATGATGAGTTTAATCAAAATGGGATTGAATGTTCAATATTTTGAATTTTTGTTTTAATATATAAAAAATATAATGAATCAAAATTAAAGGAAATTCGTTAGATGTTTCAATTGCAATATCAAACCTGCGACCATTAAATGTTTCGATTGCAATGAAAATGAACCAATAAAATTATGTTATCATTGTGATTCTGCCTTGCATATTGAATAAGATCATTAAAAATAGATTATTCCATATGATTAGATGGTTATAAGTGAGGACAGAACAAAGTCAGTGACTCCAGAGAAATAACAAGAAACCACTCCTCATTTGAGTTCAATTTTAAGATCCAGAATTAAAAAGAATGAAGAAAATGCTAATTATTTAAACAATAATGAAGAACAATTAAATAATAATTAAATTAAGTCTATTGAACTAAAATACAAAATAAAATTGCAAGAATAAGAGAACACCATTAATTTATTGAAACAACATATCGAGAATATCGAAAACAAACATAAAGAAAATTTATCAAAGATGCGAGATTAATTAATCAAATCCCAAGATGAAATATTTAAAAAGCAAGAGGAACAGATTCATGAAATTAACAAATTGAGAAAGTCTTATGATGACAAAATAGCTCAATATATCTCTTAAGTCGATAGTGAAACCCAATTCAATAATTCACTTCAATCCAAATTAGATGAGTTAAGGTATTGCTATTATTTAAATTAAAAGAAATGTCCACTAAATAAAACAACAAGAATCATAACAGACAATATCCCAATTAAGAGCTGAAATTGAAAGAAGAAAATTCTAGGAGGAGTAAGTTTTGATAGATGCTGAAAATTAGTAGATTAAATTGAAGAAAGAAGCTCAATAGGAATTTGAAAAAAACATCACAATTATTAGGAATGATTGTGCCTTATAAATTGAAGAATTTAAGCAGAAATTAGGAGCCAAGGTAGAACAAATTTAATCTTTACAACAATAAATTTAACAATTATAAAATACACTTAAGGAAATTGAAATTGTATGGTCTAAAAAACTATAATATGAATAATAACAATATGAGGAATTAAAGTAATAGATTCATTAATTTTAGAAATAAATACACACAAAGTAAGGATGAAAGTGAAAATCTCAAAAAAGAAATAAAGAATCTGTCATCAGAGATATCTATATACTAAAAAGAAAATGAATTGTTTTAAAAAGAGAAATTGTCATTAACAAAATAATTAAATCAATAGATGGAAAAAAATGAGAAAATGGATCGATTTATTTACGGATCCAAGAAATCATAAACCAAAATCAAAATCTGAATTAAAATCTTTGTTTAAATCATAAAGAATTTCAATATAATATATATGAAATTCAGTAAGTCAACCACCATGTAATGTGGATATGAAACTAACTCTATCATTGTGTTGTAATTGGGCTTCTTCTTTGTCCTCTAATTCCCAATCGGCATCATTTATTAGCACCAGTATTCCTGGTCTCAGTTGTTGAGTATAGAAGAAGTCCAATTTCTTAGGATTGCATATTGTTTTCAGCTTTAATATCACATCTGCCATTTTAATCTATTATTCTTCGAATTCCAAAGTTATCTCCTTTTTGTTTTCAAAACAGACATCCAGTCCTCCACCAAAATCAACAATAACTTTCATTTTATTAATTAAATATTTAATAATGTTTTAACTGAATAATAACGAGAAATAGATCGATTTTAGAAAATATCAAATGGAACCAATAGATCAAATCTATCTATCATTTAGTCCAAATCAAGAAGAATAAAATACACTCAATCTAAAAACGGAGGAGATGTCAATCCCCAATATACAATCCTTTTTTACTGATCGCACCAATATTTTCGACTAAAAAGTAGGATATTTCTAAGGATCAGTCCATAATACTGATCAATTTGATTTCTACTTAATATCAAAGAGTGAACTAACCAAATTGCTGAAATAATTAGATAGCTTGCAAAAAATTAAATAAAATTTTGACGCTCTCAATCAATAAATATAGTCAATATCAAAGCACTCATCTAAATAGTCCTAACAACATTCCTAGAATAATTTACAAAAGTCTGGAACCACCTAATAAGGGTCAGATTAAAAAGCGCGAAATTTACAACAAAGCTAAATAATGAACGAGGGGTAGCCTCACAAGGATGTTATCAGTGTAAGAGCTTTGGTAGGTCACAGAGACAACTCTATTCTTAACAACAACAATAAGGAAAATAATTAAGCTTTAATAAATAATTAGAGGACTACAAGCCAATAAAAATAATAGAACCAATAGTAAAATTATTCTTCTGTTAGAAAATTCAATTAACCCTTACCTTCTAGACAAAGGTCACAAACTCATATACACATGAAATATATAAATTGATAGTTTAGATTACTTAAAAAAATTACATAATAATCAAGTCATTTTTCTAAACTAGTTTAATTATTACTATTGTTGCTATTATTACTAATATTATTGTATTTTGCTTTATTCTTTTAGCTACTCTTAGACTAGTTCTATTCTTTTCTTCAGCTTGAGTTACCCTCTCTGCATCGAGGCCTTGGTCTGATACCTCTAGACAAATTCCGATTTAAGAAGGGAGAATTATTAAATGAGATCTGAGGTGGGTTTTTCTTATTAATGTTCTTCATTGGATGTTTATTATTATTTGACATATTTTACTCTTTCCTTTTGTAGTTTTTTTACAATGCCTTCATATGATTTCTTCATTGACTCTGCTTTGATTATATAGATTTCATTGTGATCATTGATTTCCCAATTAGGTAAATCACCCATCAATTTTAAATAATATATATTTAATAAATTAATTAATAAAATATATATATTTTTAAATCATTGATTATCGCTTGAATTATGAGCAATCATTCTTAGTTCTGTTTGAGCATTTGAGAACAACTGACTTTGCAATACAACATTCTAATTAGGTTGCTTGTCCTTTTGTTTGTACAAATTAAAAGTGTGATTAAGATTTTTATTGTACAATTCTTTCAATGACTTTTGATCCAAGGCAGTTCTACACAAAGGACAGTTCTCATACTTCATTACCCATTGATATAAGCAATCAGAATGGAAGATGTGATGACAAGGAGTGAGTCTACAAATGGCATTTTTTTAATATTCCAATAAACAAACCAAACAAGCTTCCTAAACTTCTAATTCCTAACACTTTGGGAATTCTAAGATTTAAGAATATAATAATTTTGGCATGTATTAATCTAGAAGATTTAGGTTCAAACTAGATTTATTCCTTCTCTTATTATAATTATTATTACTATTGATTTGTGAATTGGGTATTGTATTAGTTTCTTCATGCACTCTTGAACTTTTTCTAAATCTTATCAGTATAATAATAATCCAAGCCACCAACAACAAAATGGCTATTGAGACTAGTACATACACAATGACGAGATTTTAATCCATTTCGTGACTGACACCTAAGGAGGATGTGTTTGCTGAAATAAATATGAGAATAGGTGTTTATTTTGTGACAGTGATCAATAATCTTTAGAATCTTTCAATATATTGGTCGTATATCAATGGAGATATCTCTATTTACACAGATTGAGAGGATTGATCATGAAAAGAAATGTAATAATTGAAAAATGCTTCGTTTGCCAGTCCACATTGAAAGGTTTCATATAAATAAAAGCCTCGATGTCAGATACATGATTTTAGGAATTCATCAAACCCAAACTCAAGGTTATGTTGGAGATCAATTTCTCCTTTTAAAAATAGAAATATTCCTTTTTTTGTGTTGCAATATTCTTAAGTGGTTGTTCTAAAGATAAGCGTTAAGCCTATTTAGAGCAATCCAAGTCTACAAAATATGAAGAACAAGCACACCCTCCTGTTTCTGCATGGCAATATCCTGATTATTAATTACCACAATGATTCGGACATAGCTTGTTTTTAGTTTTTGTTATCTTAATAAAATATTAATAATCTGTAAAAAGGCTATCTCTTATTTGAATATAATGTAGTATTTATCATTGCTATCAAAGGTAAATGGATTTATCATAGAACAAATCATCCTGAGATCTTGCGTTGTTTTTCTTTTTTTTGTAATTGAGAACTCCAAATTTACATCTTTAGGACACTCAAAATTCAACCTATCTATTCCAACAATAGTTCATACTCAACTGTTATATATTTATCTTAATCAATTTAGTAAGGTTGAAAGTAGAAAGTAGTATTTTGAATACTCTAGATCCACTTGATATTGAGATTCGATCAATTTGATAATCGTACCAGATTCCTTATATCGTTAGTTGATTGTTAAGATATCTCTAGCAAATGCTTTATGGATACAACAACACTATTATATTTTCTATAATTAATAATGTGAAAATAAATAAGAGGAGCAACAAAGAATGATTCTTTTGATTTTAATTTTTAATTAGCAGGTGATTCCATTAAAATTAAATCTAAAATATTAAGAAACTATTTCAAATTTGCTCAATTTATAATAAGATCAATACAGCTAGATTTATCAATCAAAACCTACTGTGTGGGAATCTAGTAAATAATAATCATTCCCTTTATACTAATATCAAGATTATTACAAACAAATGTGATACTTTCTGATTATGAATTTAATTTCTAATATTATTTGATTTATTTCATGAGATTTTTATATATTCTAATTCAAATTAAATTATAAAAATGGATAGTGCTAGAAAAAATGCATCGAAAAGGGCAGCTTTAGTTCAAAAATTAGATATGCTTGATAGGTCAATTCTACATAACAGTTATCATCAAGATCTATAAAAGACATATTTAAAAAAAAGCACTGAAAAGGAATAAAAAGGAATATAAATAGAATTAGTTTAAGAGCAGGATGAATTGAGTATAGCTCAGAGGAGAGTGAATTAATTAGTCAATTTGAGTAGATAACTTGATGATCAAATTCAGAAGAATGATTTATTGCAATAATAAAAAGTGATGGAGGATATGAATTCAATTTTGAATTGCTCGCTCGATCACTTTATTAATCAATAGGCTGATAGAAATTAAATATTAAATCGATTATAAAGTGATTTTAATGCAAATCACTAAAGTATGTAAATATTGGAGGGAGAATATTTGATTGCAGAATTCAAAAAAATTAATTAGATGGATTAATAAATCTATCAATAATAATCATAAGAATATGCAGATCTCTATGAAGTCTAATATTAAATGCAGGAAGAATTGAAAGTCATAAATGGAGAACTTGAAAAATATTAAAAGTTGAATCAGACAAACAACCTGTAAAACTATGTGCTTCAAGGTTAAGCAAAAAACAAGCAGTTTAGTTTGCAATTGATTTAGGAGCAATATTATTGCCAAAAAAAAAAGATTAGATCATTCTGCATATTTTACAACAAAACTAATGAATATGATTAAACATATCAACCGTATTTTAAAATAAAGAATCAAAAACAACTTACATTCGAAAGCAATGACCAATTGAATAATGAAAATACTTCGATTAACTTATGGTCAAGTTCTAAGCAAAAGGTGAAGAAGATTAATCCCTATCGTTGTCAATTCTATAAATTTGATCAGATCTTATCGAGAAAGGAGAATTCAAGATTGAGTTAATATGAATAACTATTTAATCAATTAGAGTTGTTCATTAAGGGAACACTCTACAAATAGATCGATTTAATTCTAAAGAGTTATGCTTTTAATAGTCACGAATATCATTTGATTTATAATCAAGATTTAAATGAAAATGTAGAAAAACTTAGAAAATTATGTGAAAAAGAAAAGCCAGATACCAGCAATGTAAGAATTTATTCTATTTTAAGAAATTGATTGTATTGCTTTGTGATAAAAATAGAGGATTAGTAGTAAGTTTAGTTAATGATATCGTTAAAATACTTTCACATTTTAACAATTAATTGATTGAAGTAAATAGCTTGATATTAACACTAACCAAATTTTAGATTAAAGACTAAGTTAGTGAAGATATTTTAGAATGTAATGCTTAAAATATCGAAATGATGCTTGATTGCTTAAGAAGTAAGGAAATATTCAAAGCTGGGTAATTCCACTTAAAAATTGAGATCAACTTAAATAATAATGTGAAAAGAGTATTGCACATTTTGATGTTAGCTCCACTCTTAATAGAGAACAATGAATTGTTTTGTAAGTAATTCAAGAGCATCTTTAAACGAGAAAAAGCATTTAAGGAATAAATAGGTTCTAGAATTGAAGGCATCGTTAAAGTATTATATATTGTCATTATTGTAGAACATTGACAAAATTATAATTATAACACAAATACCAGAAATGATTCGTACTAAAGATAATTCAGTAAAGAAGATCTCCATAGTTTAAAATATAATCAACTTTTAATCATTGTTAGTACTTAAACAAGAAAATTGAGTTTATATTAAATTACTTTTATTTTTTTGGATATTCAGTAATTTTAATATATTTATGTAAGATTAAAATGAATATCTGTTATTTTTTAGTATATTTATTTGTTAAATTATACTTATTCTAACATTAATTCATCAACAAAACAAGAATTAAATAATGACGGTTTCTAATATTTTATTATTTTTATTATTAAAAAATCTTGATTTTATTCAAAAAGACTTTAATTCAGTTAATTCATGCATCTCTAATCTGGAAATTTAAATATAAGGTATTAATTTATAGAGAATGTATATTTTGACTATATTTTTAGTGAATACATAGATACTTTCAAAATACATTTCTTTAGATTCTATTTAATTTTTAACAATGATTTGATCAATTTTTAATTATATCCAATATAAATAAAGCAAAAATAGAAACAATCTAGTTTGGCAATAGTTAAAAGATAACTAAATAACAATTTATAAGAAACCAATAACAAATTTTTGATTTATAATTCAAATAAGCCGAAATCAATGATTCTAATGATTATGCTCTTATTACACCTTTTATCCTTATTAATAAAATGCTTCGTTTTTTCTTCCATCAGGATGTGTTTCTTCGCCATGGCCATGAGGGACTCCAAAGTCGGTTTCACCATGGTAAATTAATCCATTGGCAAAGAATCGCTGTCCATGTTTTGATGTTCCAATCTAAAAATAATACATTGGTTTTACATAATAATCTCCATTTGGATAGAGAATTCCTCCTTCTTGAAAGATATTTTACTTCCACAAGCCCTTAAGATATGTTCCATCGGGTTTTAACATTTATCCATATCCATTTACTTCTCCTTTGTTCCATTACCCATTATACACACTTCCTTCTGGTCCCAAGTAAGGGGGAAAAATGCGATCTTCATTTGTTGGTTTGTAGTTGACTCTATCTTTAAAGGTTTTAGGTAATTCTGGTTCTTCAAATTTTTCTTCGTATTCTTCCCACTCTTTAGGCTTGTCTTATTCCAGTTCTTCCTTTTTTTTCTATAACTCTTATTTGGCCTTTTTCCCTCTTAATCCAGTTTAAATTTTCAGAGCTGCCTCATTTTCTTCTTTTTGGAATTATTGTGAGCTTTAATCAACAACTGGTTTAATGTCTTCAGGCTTGGTTTCTGATTGATCAACTCCTCCTGGTAAAGGGTCAGACGTACAGATACCCATATTAAATAATTATAGATATAATTAAAAAATAAAATCCAATCAATTAATAATATATTTATCAAAGAATAAATGTCAGAAAGAACACTTGATTTTATTGATTAAAGAAATTAAGTCAGAAAACTAGTAACTTGGCCATGGAATTTTGTATTTGGTTTACAAAGTTTCCAAACAGTCCAACACATTTATAATTTCACTGCCAGAACTATATTTGCAGCATCAAGTCTAATTCCATTTTTAAGTACATCTAACTTAATCTATTATAGCCACCTATAACACTCATCAATTCGCTTATGCTGAAAACTCTGTCCGTCTAACAAGATATAGAAATTATCACGATGACATTATCTGATATCATTCAAATCATTAAACCAAAACCATTATCATAATAGTCATTATACATTCCCATTTCCAAAATCATAATCAAAAAGAAATTCATTTCAAATACAACATACTTTCTTAAATTTTTGTATTATTTTATCTCTATTTCTCGATATATATTAATACACTACATGTATAAATTTAACACAAATCCAAAATTAAACTATGATTAACAATCACTTTTATCAGTTTTGAGTTTCTATTTATTGTTTCGTTATTTCAATACTTAACCTTATGTTTGAATACTCTATTTTATAACATTATCGTTTATTAATAATCCTAATTCATTAGTTCTCCTTCAATTTTTTAATTTCTAAATTAAAAATACTCATATTTATACAAAGAATATCATAAAATTACAATCAAATTTCGTTCAATATTTAAATCTTTTCAAAATAATTGATTGATAACTTGATTAAGTATGCAATATACTTTGATTCTCCTTCTATTTTAAATTGTTTGTGAGCAGTAGTATTCTAAGTTTATTCAAATATTATTTTTCATAATCAACTCAACATATTGTGTTAATATTGAATAAAATAATATATTAATATTATAGATTTTATCTATACATCAAGGTTATGTTCAAAGGTATTCAACACTATATTAAGAATTGCTGTCTATTTCAAATTAAAATTAGTTTATGGAGAATAATCTATGTTCATAATGTAAAATAAGTTAACATAATATTAAACTTGATTAAAATTATAATTATTTATTTCAAAATTCAATTTTTTACAATGGAAGCATTATAACATATATTAAAAACTCAAGGAACTAATGTTACAAATATAGATCTGGAATTCAAGTACCATTCTATATCTATCTTAATAGATCAATTGAAAATTTAGAGGATTTATTGCCATAATTAGCAAATTTTAGCAATCTAAAAGAAGTAATTTCTAAATGAGATAAATAGCTTAACTTGCATGGAAATCGTTTGGCTTACTTACCTGATGATTTAAGTTTATTAGACACTGTCGAAGTTCTTGATATCTCCAATAACATTTTCTCTGATGTTAATACTTTTCATAAATTATTTTAGTTAGGCCAAGTTGTGGATGCATTATCAACGATGCCCAATTTGATTCATCTTGAAATTACTATACAATCAAAGGAAGAGGAGTAATTCATTTTAGAATGCCTATCCAATCTTTAAATTTTGAATTCCTAAAAAGTGAATGGAGAATAAGAGGGAGCCGATGAAACCTAGGAGTAATAAAGTGAACAACAATCTGATAGATCCATGAGTGCAGTTTAAGATATTACTCTTTAGTAATACGATCTAGAATAGATGGCTGTATTTTGATAATGAATATTGTTAGATATTATATGATAGCATAAGAGAATACAAGTAAGAGAATCAAGAAGATAAACAATTCGATCATTAAATAAGAGCAATAATGCTTGAACTATAATAGAAGCTAAAACAAAACAATCCTGATCACTTAACCAATCTTTATATTTTAACAGTAATACTTAAATTTATTCTTAGGCAAAATTTAACTTATATGAAATCTGCTTCAAATCAATCATTAAGCATTTCAAAGCTAATGATAAAAGCTTGGATGTAATAATCACCAAAATTCATGATATGCATTTATCAATTTTCAATGACCTGTTTAATGTGATTCAAAATGTCAAACCTTAATCTAAAAACACATCCTAAATTGTTGATAATAAAAAACAAGTGAATCAACCATAACAAGGAGATAAAGCAGTTGAAAATAGATTGAGATTAGAGTTATCAGAACTTCAATAATAAAATGCTGAATTAGAAAAGGAAAATAAGAGATATCTAGATTTACTCATAAAACATTCAAAAGGTGACAAGTCATCAATACCTAATTCGGAACATGTAATAAAATAATAAAGTGACTCATATCAATCGTAAAATTATACTAAAAATCACCAATCCTCTAGTCAATAAAATAATGTTATTTTTTAATCAAAACAATCTTAAAATCTTAATTCAGTACCTCAATAAATTAATGTCAGACACTTAACATTGAAATAACTAAAAGATGTCATTCAAGAAATCTATGAAAGCAAACAAAAATTTGATTAGAAATGTGCTGAATCTAAACTGCCCAGAGAAACCATGGAATAACATATGTATACTTTTCTAAATTAGAAATATGGACTTAAGAGTCTCATTATTGAGTGGGCTACATCAATAGTTAATGCACTTAAAAAGTATTCAGCTGAGGATAATGATGTGGCTGTGTTTGGTAAAATACTAAGGAATGAATGTGATGAGGAGTTTCGCTTTGTTTAGACCCAAGTCAAAAATACCATGCAAGAATTATTAAAAGTATATTATTATCAATATCAAAGATGTACTTAAGAGGCAAATTTCCATTGAAACATTAAGCAGAAATCAAGGAAATGCTTAATCAAAGGATAAATGGACAACTTTATGAGGAAGAGGCTGTAGACATTATCAAATATATGTACAACCAAGAAGATTCTGAATTACTATTGAACAAATTAAAATAATACTACATCGTACCTCACAAAAATCCAGATAGAAGGTTGACTAGGGAAGAACAATTGTCATTACTTCAAGAAAAAGATAAATATAAGTTAGAATATTCAGTGTTTCAGAAGATAATATTAGATTTCCAATTAAAATCCCATGAGAAATATCTGAAGAAATTTATTATGACTTTTAAACAAATGGATACAGATGCTAATGGAATTATTGATGAAGTAATTATTATAATTCTAGTCATTAGAATGAATTTCGAAACTTAATTGATGTTCTAAACTTTGGAGCAGGAGATCTTGATATTGAGAAATACTTGAACATCATTGACCCTTATAGTCATTAATAGATTACATTTTCATAGTGCGTTACTCTTTTTTCTTCAGAATCTGTGCCTGGCTCTAACGGATAAATCCAAATACTATAAAAGATTTCAGAATAATGATTTTATGAAACTATTAAATTGATAAGATTTATTACTCAAAGAATCATCTTGATAATTGAATTTGTGATTTAGACAAATATGAACAACAAAGAATTTATAGGTATTATTCTAGAGAACAGAAATATAATTTATCTTTATTTAATACTATTTATATTAAAAGCATCTTTAAAACTAAATATAATTACTAAACACTCAAATCTTTTCACAGTATTGTTTATAGTGATAAAAAAAGTGAATTTAAGTATTTATTACAGAAAGTAACTAGGAACGAATTTATTTTAATTAATATTTTTATAACTTGAGGCCTTCTAAATTCCAACATTCTTATATGTATTCTAATTCACATTCGATTGCAGCAGATCTAAATTCCAGTCCTGTAAATTATTTAAGATTTTCAAGAATGATAAAGAGACCTTTCAAAATTTGATTTTATAATAATGTTAAATTATATTGAAAATATCAAATACTATTAATAAAGATGAATCATAGATTATTTAAAGAAAATAATTTGATAATGATTCTTATATATATAATTCGTTAAATACAAAGAAATTCATTTTATTGCTATCTATTTACTTTATAAAAAGAATGTGAATTTTACATTAAATTTAATAGTTGCAATTTATTATTATCAATATCTATAGATTTTGAATATTTGACCTATTATATTTTGATATCAATCTTAGAAGAAGCAATTACACGATTCAGAATGTTGATAAATAGGAAAAAAGACTCATTTCAATTTCCAATTTACAAAAACTTGAATATATGAATAAAAGTTAAATGATTAAAAAAATATATTTTCCCTTAAAATGCTAGACAATAGATAGCAATATATATAGAGCCGTTGATTTTAAAAAATACATTTTGTGTCATAAATTCAGAAAGATGTGTTCTTCCTCAAATCTTCTAAATATTATTCCCATCTTAATTATTGGTATGCTTATGTTTTATAATTTGGTTTAGAAATAAATACTGATTTCTCAAATGTTACTTCCAGAAGCATTACAACATTACTATAAATTAAAAAGTCTAGAATAATATATTAATTTAAATTTTATTTAAATTAAAATATAGATTGTAATTTAATTAGATAAATTTAAAAATTGATATATTTTATAAAATTTATTATGTAAACCAGTAAATAGTTTTGCTTGATATTCTATATAAATTTTCAATAATTCTTAATAAAATAGATTTTGAATGTAAATATGATCCCATAAAAATTATTATAAAACTAACCTAAGCAAAAAGTAATCAAAGATAATTAAATTATAATTTGTTGATGGGTAATTCACAATAATCACCTAAATATAGTAATACAAACTAATTTCAAGTTGGTATTGATTTATACATTATCATCAGATATCTTGCAATAAAAATACTTAATTGAGGACACTCTTAATGAAAGCTCTAATTTGAACGAGGGAGACAAGCGATCTCCTAATATCGAAGAACTTAATTCTACTAGGGGAGTAACAAGGAAGACATCTGAAATACTGGAATTGGATTAAGGAAAACCTAGAAGTAAACTAAAATCTTAAGGGTTGAATCTAAATTTATATGAGACTGAATTGCCCGAAACTTTTGAGCTATTGAATCAATTGCCTTTGATAAAAGTAGAAAAGACTAGATATTCATTGACCTCATATGAATCTCCCTCTGGTCACAAAGCCTAGGCATTGGCCAGTTAACCTATTATTTAATTTATTAAGTGCAATGAAAGACTTACTTATTAAGGCTAATGGTTGAGATAGCAAAGAGATGGATTTGGACTGTGCATTTACTAGAATGGGTCAATATATGTGGGAAGTTGGATTAATGATCTAAAGGACGGTCATGGAAGAATGATTTATGAGAATAACGACACATACACTGGATATTGGATGTAGGGAAAGTATCATGGATTTGGAATTTTTAGTAGTTATGAATCATATTATGAAGGAAATTGGGAAAACGGAGAAAAAGTATTTTATAAAATTATAACTTAGGATGGTTAAGGATTAGAGATTAAAATGAATAAATCTAAATACGAAGGAATGTTTAAATGGGGAAAGAAAAATGGGTTTGGAACAATCAAATATATTGATAATCAATTGTATAAAGGGGAATTCGTAGATGGGTAATACGAAGGATAGGGAGAATATCATTGGAATGATGGTAGTCATTACATAGGAGAGTGGAAATGTAATAAGATTGATGGATTTGGAACATTTACTAATAAAACAAATGATGTTTATAAAGGTATAATCTTGTATGTAGATTATAGGATCGTTTGTTGATGATAAGAAGAATGGAATAGGGACGTTTAAATGGAGCAATGGAACAATCTTGAAAGGAATTTGGGTTAATGGATAGATAGAAGGCTAAGCAACGATAACTAAGCCAAATGGGGAATCAATTATAGAAAATTACATAAATGGATAAAAGGTTGCATGATTACAATGATTTTAAGCAATTTTCGTTTTTCAATATATATATTTATCTACAAATTCAAGATTATATATATCAAATCCATAAATTCTGTAAGAATCCTTATTATATGGATATTCGACTATTAAATAAATATATTTTAATTTAATAATAATAAAATATTAAACAAAATTAATCCGAATAACTATGAAAATAAACATAAATTCAATTCAGTCCATTGTTATTTGGAACATAGGTTACACCTCCAAAGTCTTATTTAAACTTTTCTATTAGTTTAGGATCCATGTTTACTATTGAATTCATTGCCTCTAAACATAAATGCTATTTAAAATACCTTCTCTAGTGAATTCTTAATCGAAATTCTGCACATCTAACTTGTCATACAACTTTGGAACAATAGGAGCTTAAAGTTTCTTATCAATCAAGTCTTGAAAAGGGTAGTCTCTGAACCAAGGGTGTTCTTTGATTGATTATGCATCTCCATTATGTCCCAATCTTTCAAAAGGGTTTTTGGTTAATAGCTATTTAATATAAAAGTATTAATACTTATGTTATGAGATCTTTGATTTGAATACTAAGAGTCAATTGAGATGGGAAGACAACATCGGATTCAACGATGGATTTAAATAATTATGATTAGTTTTACGAGAAAAAAGGTGGTCTTCCTACTACCATTTCATAAATTAGGATTCCAAATGACCACCAATCTACACCAAGACCATGTCCATTTTGTCTAATGATTTCTGGAGCCAAATACTCAGGAGTTCCAACAAATGAATAGGTGAAATCTCCAGGTTTCAAGAATTTAGCCAATCCATAATCAGTCATTTTGATATAACCAAATTCATCCATTAAAATGTTTTCAGGCTTTAAATCTCTATAAACAACTTGCATTTTATGTAAGTATTCTAATGCTAATAAAATAGACGCAGCATAAAACTAAGCTGTTGATTCTGGGAATCTTCTTTTATCTCTGAGATGTTTGAATAATTCTCCTCCTCGCATGAATCTCATGACAAAAAACAACTTCTCTTGTGTTTGGAAGGCATATTCAAGAGAAATTAAGAATGGATTATCAATTTCTTCCAACAATTTTCTTTCTGCTCTAGTATGCTCTAATTAATTCTTGTCCATGATGTGTTCTTTACGTAATGATTTGATGGCAAACAATTCCTTGGTCTCTTTCTTCTCACACATCATAACCTAGATGAGTATAGGGAACAAATAGAAATACTTTTCCGAATGCTCCTCTTCCCAACACTTTAATAAGATCAAAATCTTCAATTGAGATCATGTTGCTGCTCACTTATTTCTGAAGACCAGGACGCTTATAAACTAATTGTTCTTATGGCTTTCTATTGCTATATTCTCTCAACTCCGAGACATCCAATTCCTAAACACATCATGGATGATAGTATACTATTGGTTTTTCTGTGGGGAATCTTTTAATGCCTTTTTTGACATCATTCTCAGTTGTGCATACAGATACTAGTGTAAAATCCTCTTTAAAGAAGAATGGCAATTTCCTTTAATTAACCAACTAAAAACATTAACATAAGGTTTCCAATATTTATTTACGACTATTGTATTAATAGAGTTATTACTAATCAGCAGATTAGAAGCGATAATCGTATTCATTTGGAACATGAATTACAAACTCTGCTCCAAGACTTGTAACACTTACTGCTTGAATAGCAGACAACCTGATTTTTCTTTTGATCTGATTTGACATGATTTTGCCTATATGATTGATATAGAGAAATAACAATTACCAAAGATCTGCATAATTCTGCTGTCTGATTTCGGAATGATGTTGTATACATATTTATTGGTAATCAAGAAAATCCTTTCCTATTTCTTTTAGTTCTAATTAACTTTTATGATCAAGGTAGACAACATAATTTTTTCTATTATATTCGATTGTTCGAATCATACCTCCATTCTCAAACTACTCCAAGATTTCCTTATTGTTGATGATTTGAGCCTTGTCAGAAATTCCACTGCCAGTCATGGACGATTTATTCATAATATTTAATTATATATTGTTTATTTATGCATCCCATAACGTCATTTATTAACGCGCATACTTTAAATGAATTTCTCCTTGGCCTGATCTTGAGTGGCTGGATTGTTCCTACTATAATCACTATCCAACGATTTCTCTATCTTTTTGTAAGGCCTTGTGACCTACTCGTAATCCTCTATAATGAAGAGAGCCTAATTCAGTTCATAGCACGGCAAGACAGCATTAACTATTCCAATAACCACTCCGATTATCGCAAATGAAGAGACATCCTTCCCTTTAGTAAAAGTGTATTAAAACCAGAAATTAGAAAACTAAATTAAAACAATGACCTTACACAGTAAATAGGAATCATGTATTCCAACACCTCCGTCATTTCAATGGATAGATTGAAACTCAAAGATTATTTGAATGTTCTTCTCCTCAGGAACTAGTACTTATAGACCCAATATAATAGAGTCAAAGCCCCAATTGAAAATAATATGCCCAAAGGTATGATACTCGCATAGAACGAAGTCATTAGCATGGTTTTAATTATGCCAGCATAACGATCAGATAGTGTTTCCTCGTTGTTTTCAAATAGTCTATCAAATAGAAACCTGAATCTACTTATGCAATTGTTCTTGGGTACACACAGAGTACTTCCCCTTCTACTCTTCCGAATATCGCTAATACACTTTGAGCCAGTAAAATGGATCTAGAATTGCAGTCACAGCAGGGATTATCATATTGGAGATGAACACATAGGTCTGGTTATAAATTAGACCTCCATCTTTGTAATAGTTTTCATCGAAAAGAAGTGTGAACACTAGCCATGTCACCAAGGCACTATTCACAAATTGAGCAATGCCAGCTGAAGTAGCAATTGAAATATGATGACCAGTGTTGGTTGAAAACCCTTGGAATGCTGCAATCTTTTTAATGCTATAAGACAATAAGTAGTTTATGAATATGATGATCACTGAAGCAAGAGATGCTAACTTCTTTAAAAGCAGATTCTCTTTCTCCAACAATTCTTATTATAGTTTAGAAATGTTGAAAATAGCCCAACTTGTAAAACATAATTATATACCAATTAAGATTACGCTCAATATCCTATTAAATATCTTCTTGTTGTTTCCAATATGCAAGTTTTGCCAACTGATATCATTTGGCTCTGGAGCCTCATCCACAACGATGTTTTAATCATCCAAAAATATTTTAGTCTACTCCCCAAAATATCTGCCCCAAACAGTCGTTCTATTTAGATTTATGAAGGCTTCCTAATCTGCTTCCCATTAGAAGGTCACAAATGCAATTCCCACAAATTCCTTCTACTCGCTATTCGAATCAAGGAATTAATCAAAATACAGCTTCACTTGTTACCTACCTGCCTCGAGATTCTTTTCGATTTCATTGAGTTCATTATCCACATACACTCCATCCACCTTCTAAAATAACCCATCCTCTGGACTGTAATTTTCATACATTTTTTCCAGATACTTCTACTTCTCCTTCACAAAGGATTCCTTCTTAGCATTCAACTACTCGTATTTCGAAATGTCATAACACAGTGTAATTGAATGGATTCTGGGAGGAATCTTATACCCCTTTTTGACATTCTTTCTCTTCATCTTAGACTCCATGTATTTTAATACTTTTGGATCGTATGGAACATCTAAATGCATATCTCAAAAATGATTACTTTTTTCCAAGAATTCATTCAGCACTTTACTAAGTCGATCTTTGATCTAGCCAGCATTATCTACTGGAATATGACTCAATTTCACTCCGAAATCTGAAGGAGTGGTTGTGTGGAAATCACAATCTCTGAGGATAGTCCTTTATTAAATTCTAATGTATTGAAGCAAGATGATTATGATAAAGATCGAGACCAAATTCAACATCTATTGCAGGTTCATCAGTGAAGAATCCAAACGCTTATTTGCCAAGGATGACTATGTGATATAATTCAAGTCACAATTGTCACTTGTATTCGTATCATCCAGATCCTTTTGACAACTCGTCCCAAAAGCAATGTTGGTTATTAAATTGTAGTCTCCTGAGGTACAAAACATGATGATCAAAATGGTTATGCATTATTTTATGAAATCGAAAAATAGTGGCACTCCTGTTCCAAGGAAGGATAACTTCAATGGACTTACTTTCATTGACAGCGGAGCCTTCTCTGTCCATTTTAAACAGCATGGACAACGTGCTTCCTACATATTAACGATTTCCTCTTCTGCTGAGTTTTTGCCAACTGCACTCGCTTTCTCATATTCAACGGATTGTATACTTAATGCAGCCGTGCTATTTCAAAGTTGGGAGGGATGCAATCAGGATCAAAGGTTACGAGCTCATCTTTTATTTGCTATCCTGCCATGATAGTTCTCAATAAGAAATCATAACTCATTATTGTCAACAACGTAAATTGATTAATATAATGTATAAATGAGCACAAAATCAAAATATATCATATCCTTTTTGTGTATTTTGCAATTAATAATCACATTCAAATGTCGAGATCCATCAAATTAATGACAACTTCCTGTTGCTGGGATTGAAGCTGGTTCAATTCAAACTTGTCTTTCTTTACGATTTTATGTTGATTCTTCTTATGTCTAGATAAACTTGAGGGATGATTAAATTTCTTGCTACATTTTGAACAATTGAAATACTTGTCACCATTACTCCTCTCTTTGTTTGAATGTTTTTTTTTTGTTTTCTATCGCATGTGGTGTTCGAATTCAGGATATTCCACTTAGGGATTGCAGTTCTACTCCATTTTTATCTGTTCATCGGACTCCTGATCCAATAAAATTTGGGACTTCAAATACTCTATATGCTCATCTATGCTTTCTAGATTCAAATTCTATATATCAACTAGTTTCAAAAATTCCTTCAAAAATATTGCCGATGCCAATTAAAATTATTCCATTTAATATTGTTTTGTATATTTTGAAATGAATCCATAAGTAACAAATTAAAACAATCCCAAATATTTATATTTATTAATAATAAACATTATATTTTCTGCCCATACACCTTTTAATTAGTTCTTGTTGATATCCAACCCATTTTACCATGCATCTTCCTTTCATTTAACATTTTCTGCTTCTAATTACATAAATTTAATTAATTAATTCATGAGACTAATATTAATCACTGTATTATTTTGCTAATTTATTAGCCATTCATATTTAATATATAAATTGTAACTTTTTGAATATAAATTTATATCACTTATTAAGGAAATATTTAAATGAAATACTGTATAGTTTATTTGTTTTCACGGCTATTTTTTAGATAAACCCGTTAAAACAGATTAATTATAATATACTTATTTTTGTATATTTAACGCTAAATTTCAGCATGATTATTATAATCCAATAGAATTTCAAAAAGATATCTAACTATTAATTCTAAATTAGATTTATACATTACAATTAAAAATATTAAGATTATTGAGTAAAGAGAAGATCAAATTGACTTGAAAAAATAGATTACAAATAGATGATATTATTTACTAAAACCTTTTGATAAGATTACTACAAAATTACTAATTATACTAAATTTGAAATAGTGTTTATTTATGATTCTTAATTTCATTGTTATAAAATAACAAAATTTGAAAGGCTGTTTAGCATTTATTTCAAATTAATTATGCCTTAAGATTCTTGTTCTCTTGTTTTATCTTTCGAATTTATGATTCTTGAAATTTCTCTTATTTCTTGGCTCTTTCTAGTATTTCCATGTCAGGTTGAAATCCTTAGAATAAATAATCACTTTTATTTAAATCGCTCTTCTCTAACATATTAGTGGTGGCTCGAAACAACTGAATCAAGTCTTCATCTGATTTATCCTATTCATTCAGATATAAGCCTGACAAAGTTAATCTATCAGGTATACTAATTGAATAAGAATCATAATTACTCTTAGAAATTACTCTTGTCTTAGTTTGCAAATGGATACACAATTTCTCTGGTCGTTTTGAGAGATCTCAGGTTTGTGATATATTCTTTCTCGATCTTGATAAAATTATTAATTAATCCTAATAATTAATAATGCTGCTTTACTTCTTGTCATTTCCAGAAATCCAATAACGAAAATAAACAATTCTTTATTTGTTATATTGAGATATAGATACATATTTGGTGATACCGTTAGTATCCAAGTCAGTCTCAAAAAGAAGTTGGATATCCCAATAAAATAATAGATACATGGATGATTGTAACCCAAATCATTCCTTAAAAATCTCACATTTGACCCTTTCTCAAAAAACAGCCAATCTTTCTTCAAATCCCACCAGTACTAAAACAAAGAACAAAATGCAGCAAATGGTATCCAAATTATCCTATAAATATAATGCTTATTAGCTAGAAACGAGAGAACTGCTACCCAAGTTGCCAATAGGGTTTTAAAGAAATTCCACATTTCATCAGTATGCCAAAACTTTCCCTTGTCTCGGGCTCTCGTTATGTAATGTATGGTTTTCATAGAAAAAGGTATGATAGCAATCAAAGCACCTGTCAATCGATTAGAAGAAAAGCATTCGTTATCATGGATCTCTCCGGTTTGCCACTAATTATCAAATTATTTGTACTATCGTTTTGTAATAGCAGATTGTATAGTCAAGATCCCTCAACGGTATAGCCATCGAAATAAATTGATCCAAACAGAAGGTGAATCTGGATTCATATTTAATGAAATGTCCATATACAGCTCCAGCCAGGATTTTGTATAGCCAAACTCTACCTGGACCATTTAGAATGGTGGTAAACGGGAAAAATATGTATAGCAACAAAATACACCACAAAACAAGGGGTATGTATTTAGTATATGAATCCCTATATGAAAAGGGATCTATGTTTTCAGCTTAGAGACTGTAGAAAACAAAGGATAATAAGAACATCGCTGAGAAATAACTCACACGTTTAAACACTTCCTCTACAGTTGAGAAATGATGATTGAATCCTAGGTATATTTTATAATTTATTCTGAAATGAGTCCAACCCCACAAATCCAGAGCTAAGTACCAATAATATATTATGAACAAAGCCAATCCTCTAAAACATGGGAACATCTTCTAAAAGATACTGTGCTGATTTTAATTATTATCTGGATCGATGTACCCTTCAATTCTTAATAAAAATATAAATGTTAATAATACTAAAGCGAAACCAATGAACAAACCAAATTTAAACAAAATTTCACCCTTAACACTTTTTTGTTGCTGATACTTCCTAAGATTATATCTCCCTTTTTTGGGATTAAGGGCATAAAAATTGTTAAGTAAAAGTCTTTCAGTGACATTGAGTAACTGAGAACATTTATCTGGAACTTTCTTGAGAATTAAAATTTCATTCATAACTTCGCTAAGAACAAGGCTTTCAAATTATTTATCCCTGAATTATGTGATTGACCACTTTTTGTATTTTTTTAATATCTTAATCAGCCCTTAATGATTGCTAGTTACGAAGCTTTTGTATTGTAAAATTTCAATATAGAATTGATAAATAGTTTATTTAAGAATATATGATTTCTCTTTGAAATCCTGCAAGTGTTTTTTAAAATCTGTTTCATCACCCATATATTACTTTAATTTAATAAACTCTAGTTATTTCTTCATAAGTTTTATTTGCTCTTGTAATTTATTGTTTTTTTTTTGGATATCCTAATATTTCCAAATGAGAAAAGATTATATCTTAATCAAGTCATCTTTGATAGTGTCACAAAAGCCACGAAGATCCCCCTTAATTTTAGTTGAGACTAGTTCGTTTTCTAGCAGTTTCTGCTTCTCTTATTTATACTATTTTTTTTTTGTCTTGTATTTACTTTTCAATAATTTTATTTTTTTCTTTATGAAAACTGAACTGGACAATTGGGTTTTTAATAGTTTGTAGTTTAAGTATAACTTTATCCACTCAGGTATCATAGCATTCAAAAATAATTTTGCAAACTTCATTTTTATGTGAAACCAATTAAATAATATAAATAATAGAAATATTATTACAATTTCATAAATGCATTGAATAATTTATTTATTGAGTCCTAAAATAATTCATTTATGAGCGAAGACTGGAAGAAAAAAAAAATAGATAATTTTGTCATTTTAAATAAAATCTTAGGCAAAGGCACCTATGGCACGGTCTATCTCGGCTACATGGATACCGGATAGAATCAAGTGAGAATAGCTGTCAAAACAGTTCCCATGGATGTAAATTAATCGATTATGGCTAGTCGGTAAAACAATCCCCACAAATATTAAATCTAATTAAAAGAGAATCAACCATTCTCAAGGCTGTTGAACACCCCAATATTGTTCGACTCTACAACGCAAATCGCACATAAAATTATATATATATCTTTTTGGAATTCTGTCCAGACGGAGATCTAAGAAAGTTTATGTTGAGCAAGAAAGAGAAGCATCTATCTGAAGTTACTTTTGTTTTTATTTATTTTTAGTTGGAGGCCATTATATTCCTAAAACACATTGTTGAAGGATTCAAGGAGTTGTTTCAAAAGAAAATCATCCACAGAGATATTAAACCTGAAAACATACTCTTATCTAATGGAATTGCTAAAATCGCAGACTTTGGATTCGCTAGAGTTATGGAAGTTGAGATGGATGGTATTTACACTTTTAATTTCTAATAAAGAACCTGGAAAGTTTTCCAGAAACGGAACTCCAATCTACATGTCACCCTAAATATTAAGAGGACAGCCATTCTCAGCCAAATGTGATGTTTGGTCTCTGGGTATTATGTTCTATGAGATGCTCTATGGAAGAACACCTTGGCAAGCTGAAAGTTAGATTTAATTGGAATAATTGATTTTAAATAAACCACTTAAATTTCCCACAAAACCTGTTAGAAGTTAAAAAGTTAAAGAATTGGTAGCTATGATGCTTCAAATTGAAGAGAAAGTAAGTTAATTCAACAAAATAAATAGGATAGATTAAATTGGCAATAAATATTCGAAAATTAAGTTATTAAGATGAATGAGGACATGGTTAGATAAAACATGAATGAAATTATGAAAGAAGATCCAATGACCAAATCAATGAGTTTGAATAAAATATATTTGGATCAATATAAAGTTGTTGGATACTTGCATACAAAAATTGAAGATTATAGAGAGGATAGCAAAAATGATTTGGATGGACTCAAGCAAATGTTTGATGAAGAAAATGTAATAAAATATTATTAATTATTCTAGCCAGATTTGATATTATCATAGTATTAGAAGGAAATGAAAAGAAGAGAGTCCTTCTAGAAATTTTATACTTACTATCTTTATGAAAGGAATGTTGCCTTTTTTATCAATTATACGTAATTAAGAATCATCAAACTTTAAACGTTTGGGGATATCACACTTGTCAAAGAATAATTTCTGCAATTGATTTTTATGTTGGCCAGAAATCAATTATTGCATTTAGACAAAATCAATTCTGCTTTGAATTCAAATAAGCATGATTAGTTTGATCAGGAATTATGGGGCAGATTTATAGTCAGTAAGGTAAAAAAGTTTATAAGTTTTTTAGGATTGCTCAAGATTACTTACAACAATAAAGAATGACATCCTTATCATTAAAGAAGTGTTTATTTAAGTAAGAGAAAAATGTCCTTAGTTTTAACAATTCTTTGACAAAATTGAAAATGTCAAAGATTTTCTGGGATAATATAAATAAATTATATCTAAAGCAATCGAAACTCTTAAGGCTGCCTCAACTAATTCATTAGGAAAGGATATTTATTCTGGAATATATTACTTGAAAATTTGCTTGAATCCTTATGATTTTTTCAAATAAGTTGACTTTGATTTCAATGCATTTTATGAAGAAACTGAAAATGCTAATTTAGATGAATTATTAAATCTTATATGAGGAAATTAATGATTCCATTTCAATATATATCTAAAAGCCATTGTAGTATGTTATTTTACTCTAATACCAAAAATATTATTTTTTAGTATTTAATTAATTATTAAAAACACTTTAGAATTTATTAATTATACATTTATAATATTATCTTTACTCTAAAATATTCAATAAGCGAATTTGGTTTGTAGACATCTTACATAAATAGTGACGAAGTAACAACAAAGGTGCAGTTTATGAATTTAGAAATCTTTCTTTAGTAAAATTGCTTAGATGTCAAGGATTAAGAGTTTAAATTAATTTTAAAGAATCAAATATTCAGAATAAAGATCCTACAAACCTTAGCCAAGAAAAAAACCAAGACTTAAGTTTGTCCAATAAAATTTTTAAATGGAAATTGAACAGCTCTAATACATTTTGACATTAATTTTATAAATAAAATTCTTAAAATTTGTCTACAAATTTATATATTTAATTTATTCTTATCTATAACTCATTTGTATTATTAAAGGTATTATTATATTACATTATGTATTACCATAATAAAATCATCCCAGGATCAAAGATGATTTATTATGCTTTAATAAGTCAAGGTGTAAAAAACGCTCTATTTACAAAATGGACTTAGTTGTGTATTTATTTAATGCAAGTCTCAATAAATAACCTGGGAGGTTACATCAAGATATAAAAAGGAGGATCAAAAGAAATTTCTTAATTTAATATTAATAATAAATAAGTATTTAATTAATATATTATTTATTTACTTTTAGTTTGCGTATTATTTTGTAAGTTTCGTATTAAAGTTATATTATAAAAAGCATAGCAAAAATTAAATTTTCAAACCTGAAACATTTGACAGTTTAAAATATTTCTTGGATATTTACGACCATCTTTTCTTTAAATTCATGAAAATTGATGATCAAACTGATCTCTTAAGTATTTATTGATAATTTGTCTCCATAATAAAAAGTTTATTATTAAATATGGAGAAATTGCTTATATTATTGATAATATTAAAAGTAGCCTCCTCTTACATATACTATGATACTGGAATGGTAGATGACTTTCAAGCTTATGTATACTCAAGCTTCGTTTGCAAAAATGGCTACTCCAAAATTGCAACGAAGTCGTTTTCTAATCAATTTGAGAATACTCCTTAAGTATTTTTCGTACATGAATAATTCGACTTGAACAAGGCAGAATTGGGCTTTCAATTGGCAATTACAGCTATAACTTAAACATGTATTGATAAAATCTAGTATTTTAATAGCTTTTACATTAGAAATTAGTTGCAATATGAATAGAGTAATCACAGTATCATTAAGATGGTTTGCTATTGACGATTAGAGAATTGAGGTCTACAGCAACTTCAATATGGCAAATCCTGATGATAAAACATTTCAAATAAAAAATCCTAATGCCAAGACTGGATTTGTTGCTATCACAAGTTTCAACTATACTAACACAGAAACAACCTTGTCTTATAATTGGAAGACCTGTAATTATTTATAATTATTAATTTTTAAAGGGTTTGAAACTGACACACCAAATAGCCATTCTTAAGTTTGGGTAGCATATTAGTTTACGAAGACTTTCAAACCTTTAGAGTGTTTTAGTATAAGAACAAGTAGAAAGGAGGTTTTGAATTTAGCCACCCTACCTACTTTTACTGTAGAATTGATTTAAACTAATTAAATTTACACTACCAATGGGAATTATTAATATGTGGTTGATAAATCAATCACACCACTGAAGATGGGTATCTAAGTGAAATGTGAAAATGGAATGAAAATCTAGGCCGATTTTAACAAATGCAATTCTTGTAGTACTAAAAAGAATCAGTCTTTTATGTATAATTGCTTTAATTAGATGAATTATGTCGGATTCTTCCCTCTCTTCTAATAAGCATTTCCTCAATACAATCTTTTGAAAATAAACATGTAATCATCCTTATTAGAAATAATAAATGTTATTTATGATCAAACCTTAACTGAGTAGGTTATTGTGAAAATTTAAATATTAAATTAATGATAGTTTTATCAATTTAACATTATGATATTATTTTTAATAATTTAGTAACTTTTATTCAACAAAATTTTTAATAGAAAATTAATATCCATAAATATAGTAATTCATAAATTGTAGAATTCTTGAAATATCAGTCTTTAGAATCTTAATGGAGTGCAAAGTCCAGTTAATAAATAGGATTAATATGATAATATAATAATCAACCAAATATCACTATCTACAAACACAAATTCGTTATATTATAAGGAGCATAATGCACTTGAATAAAAATAAATATAGTGTGGAACTCATTTATATGCAAGATATTATTTAAATTAAATTATCTTTTATATTAATATAAGAAAATTTAATTTATAAAAATAAGTGACTCAATTATTTTTAATGTTTGAACCAATCAAAAATTATTATAATTTTAGATTTTAATGCGAGGACTTGACTACATATTCTCGTATAAGGAAGTGATTTTCTTAGAATTCTACATATTCTTTTCCCTAAGTATTAAGCAATTTAAAGGATGTAAAGAATATATGGGAATTAAATGATACTGCTCTTCTAATACTGAAAAAATATAAAATTCGATATAATTTTATGTCTTTTTATTCTATTACAATCGCATTTTATCGTAAGGTCCAATCTTACGAATAATCATCAATGATAATGGTATTTCTAAATCCAAGGGCTTTTATGAGTTATGCAGTAATTCTCCTAAATTTTAAGGGTTTATGATTTGCAACCCTTATAACTATTAATTACTAAGATTGGGGCCTTAATAGTTGATTTTAATTTTAATTACAGATTTACTTGGTTAGCCATGAGTATCATGTTATAAGGTGATTGTTACAGTTTGAGAGGAATGAGAAACAAAGAACAATAAATTGTAAAATAATTATTTGAGTTATTTCTCATCTTATTATATATTTTATTGTTCAACGTTCAATTAGTTTATGATGTTAAATTTAATATCTTTGTTTATGTCATAATAACTTATTGCTCTAGTTAGTTCATTAAGACAATCAATAATATTAAATTTTTTGATAAGCGACTGTTAGAAATCAGAATTGATGGTATTAAAATCGATAATATTTTAAAAGTCGTTATTGGCTTTGATTATTTATCCATGAATAGACTATAAGCATCTATTAATCAACAAAATTTGTTCCTTTTTATTAGCAAATTTATAAATCCATTAAAAATAAATCAAAGATATACGTACTTGATGCTTGAATATTAATGAAGTCTAATCTAGAGATTTCTTTAAAATTTTATTTTTCAAAGATAGTTCTTCAAGTTAAACCTCTTGTTTCTTTTCCTATAATATAAGAATGAAACAAGGATGGGTATCAAATACTCTGGAAATTTGAATCGAATAATAATCCTACTCATATATAGCCTCTCCTAATATTTGATTATTTTCATATTAATTTTCTTTGATAGTCTTATTTATTCTTTGATCTCTGAGAAATAATTCAAATAAATATGATTTTAATTCTTATTTTCTCTATGATTAATTTACAGGGTCTTAACCTAATATGGATGCGAACTTTCCTGAACTTCTAGACTATTGTATTTTCATGTTGTTTAAATAATCATCAAAGTCATCCAAAATTTGCTTCTATATCTCCTATTGATTATCTTTCTACACTAATTCAATTTTTTTAGTTTCTGCTTTATAATGTATAATGAAGGTTTAAATATTTGTCAAGTCATAAATGCCCTTCAATGTTGTTGTTCTTTTCAAATGGTCAAGAAAACTGTTCTTTTTGTGCTTTTCCAAACAATACAAATTTTATAAATAAAGTGATGTAAAGATTGTCGATTTTATGAGTTGATTCCAAAAATTCCCATCTTAAATCATGCTCAAACTCACTAGAGATGTAAATATTATAGCTATGATGATGGTTTTATATCTGAAACTAAAAATATTGATCACACTAAAAAATTTAAATTTCGATTTTACCCAAAAGTGCCAACCGAAATAAAGTATCCATCCACATAGAAGTTATCACTCTATTCTAGTGAAAAGTATTTAGTTATCGGAAAGTATAAATTATAACTAACAACTACGAATGTCAGAAAGAAATCATATAATTTGTGGCGTTGAGCTATAAATTTGTAACTAAAAATGACGACTATCCAATTAAATAAAATGAATCCCAAACTTACCCATTCTTATTCGACAATTTTTATAATAGTAAAGTATAGTCCCATGACGATGAATATCCATTTTTGCTATTATTGAAATTCTATAGATTGCTTTTTGTTTATAGATTAGTATTACTACTCTACATCTTTGTTCAAAAAGGTTAAAGTAAACCGATGCATTAAAAAATATAATTATTATTTTAATATCAAATAACTACTATTATCAAAAATCAAGTTTCCATTTTCAGATTATTTCGTTTCAAAAAAGTTAAAATACTAATTTAAAACAAAATAATGCTAAATATTTTTATAAATTAAATCAATTCTTCTTTTATAAAGTGTGAACTTTCTCAAAAATTATTGATCAGATAAGTTGTAATTTATTGCTTAAATCTACTCCAAAATCATTACATAAGTAATGATCATACTAAAACAATACAATTTCATTCTAACATCATCCGATTTCTTGATATTTTTTAAGAAAAATCATGAAATCAATCATTAATCAGTAGTATTCTAGGCTAAATTGCTTATTCACATTGTAACCACTTCTCATAATTGTATTCAAGTTACTCATATGAAAGAATTCGAATAGAAAATAAATTTCTTACTTTTTTTTTATTGAAAAAATAAAATAATATAATTTAGTAATTTCACATTTTGTTAAAATCAATTATTATTATGTTGAACCGCTTTAGGTTAATTTGTTATAAAATTTCCTTTGGATGATTATTGCTTTTTATTAGATTGATTGAATCAAAAATGCATTGCTGAATAATTTAGTAATTAAAGCAGTGGAAAATTATAGAAATATTTAATACAGAACATGTAAAATTTTCTGTGCAGTTTAATCGTTAAATATATTAAAATATATGGGTAATTGTATATTTAATTAATCTGGATATAATTTAAGAATATTATTGAGAAATCTATTTGAAAACTAAATTGTTTTAGAAGATACTTCAAAACTAAAAGAATTGATTCTAAAATAGGAAATAAACAAAATGATATTTAATTTACTCATTTCATATTTATAATATAGTTTTAATCAAACAAAATCAATAATAATTTATCATAATTCATTCAACAATTGAAAAGTCTTACTTTCTTTATTCTAACAATTATTTGAGATCTTGAATTTATTTATGCGATAATTATATTCGTAAATTTATTTTAATTATCATCAAACCCATCAAATACTGATATATGTGCATTTGTAAAATCCAATAATCAAATAATAAATTTTACTTATATATAATTTTCATGGATCCTTTCACAGAAATTTAAACAACTACTTAAAAGTCAGCTTTAAGAACAACTCTAAATATATTAATGCTGTTTATTAAATTGCCTGTATTTGCCATAATGGTATTAGAAATAGTAATCATGAATGACTTGATATTTCTTTAAATACAAAGACGATAATTTCATATTGTACTGCATAAATTTCTGAGAATTCTAATCTTAGTGCATAACTATATAAGCGGACGATTTTTATTGTTAGTTTTAGGATACTTTAAATATAAATCACTTTTTCACAACAGTACATAACACTTTAGATATATGAACTTATAATCGTATTGCATTTATTGTACAAGAACATCTCCGGTTGACGTGTTTGTTTATATCACATAGTAATATATATTTATAACTTAGTTTTTCTCCATCTTTTACTCATTTATCGATCTAGAAAGATGAAGTCAAGTGTAAAATAATAAGTTATGGAAGAGCTATTTTAGAGTCATTTTAAATAAATAAATGCGGTTTCAAGGATTTTACAGATGGCGAGAATATAAAGGATTTAATGATTTAGATTAGAAGTCAAAGAACTGGTCCTTTGATGCTTTTTTGGGAGGGAGGAGTAACCAATGGATAATCTTTCTTGAAAATTGATGATATAATCATCAAGGAAATCTATAGTATCACTAGGTTTGCGAAGGATCCACTCCAAAAACCTCTTTACATGCACACAAATCCTCAAGGCATGATTTGTTTATAGAATGATGATAGAATGATTTTGATTGGAAATACTCCTATCTAAATGCTAATTACTATTTTAACAAATTCATTTTGTAGCTTAGAGATGTTCTTCTTAAAATTCCAACCATACAATTTTATAGATCATCTCCCTGATATTTACTAGGGTTTTGTTGAAGGTAAAATAAAGAGAGAATTAGTAAAATATTTTAATATTATTAGAGCGACTACTCATGGAAGCATTTTAATGAGCATATCATTCAGCAGAATGAGTGAAACAACTTTGGATCATATTTATTTGTAATGTATTATACACCATTCTAATATCATTGATCACATTTTATATCAAATCTAGTTCTATTAATTTATTAAATTCCTTTAATTTCATGATAGAACCTTATTGTTTTGAAAGTCTCGCTTCGTAGTTTTTAAATTCAGTTATACTTTTTCATGATTTTTCTAAGAAAAACAAAAAGATATCTGATATCTCAAACTTCATTTTCTATTAATATTATTAAACCTGGTATGCATATAAAACTCTTTTTTATAATGTAAAATTTCAATAATTGGAAATATTTTGAAATAATATTAGAAATTTTTATTTAAATGTAAGTCAGATATATTAAAAATAGCAGTTAAATTGAAATACATAATAAGAATTGTATTAGGTTTAATTGGTTCTATTTACTAATTAAGTTTATTAGGTTATTAAATACTGAATTTAAATAATTAAAGTCAGAAAGTATAAGAACAATAAATTTTAACAATATATTATGCTTAATAAATAATCAACAGCAACCTCCATCTTTTTATTTTTTTTAGTTTGTATTGCCAGCACTTAGTTATTTTGATTGTTAAGTGTTGGTGTTAGTTTATCTAATAAAATATAAAATATAATATACCCTCTAGATTATGATTATTGTGAAGCATTGGATGTCGTATTGGTAGTCTTAGGTGGTTGTGAGGCATCCTTCTTAGCCATTAACTTTCGTGAGAGTTCAAGGAAGGCATTATTAACATGATCAGCTGTCTTAGCACTACATTCCATGAAAAGCATATTATGAGACTTACAATACTCTTCAGCCTTTGATGTTTCTACTCTTATTTAAATATATAATTTTCTTACTATTTCTATTCATCTAAATCATTTTTATTTCCGATGATCAATAATTACACATTTTTTTCTCCATATGATTCTACCTCGTGCAACCAGAATTTATCAATATCATCAAATGATTACCCTTAGGTGACATCATATACCATAACAATTCCATCGGCACCCTAAAAATATTAAAAATGATTTCACATTACCTTGTAGTATGCACTTGTGATTGTTCTGAACCTTTCCTATCCAGCAGTGTCCCAAATCTATAATTTAACGTTCTTTCCATCGATAGGTAACGTTCTGAATCTAAAATCAACACCGATAGTTGTTAAATAAGATTCACTAAATTAGTCATCTGCAAATCTCAACAATAATGAACTCTTTCCCACTCCAGAGTTACCAATAATAACCAACTTGAACAAATAATCATATTCTTTGATCATCTTGCAATTTCTTTTCTTTTAATTAAATATTCAAAAATTAGAATTTATCAAATTTGGTATTTCTCATTAAATATTTGAGTGCATTAAAATAAAACTTGTCAATATAATAATCCAATTAAAATTAATATATAGGTTTCAATTCATAAAATGTATATGAATTCTGAAAATAGCCTATAAAAGCCATAATAATTATAATGCAAAATGGAAGATTGGAATAAAAATAAGTTTATAATTTACAACTAATATTGATATCCTATTCTATGAAATAATAAATTTATGACTATTAAAAATTATATGTAAAGACATTATTTACTTATAATTAAAAATATACTAAAATTACTTATATTATGATTAATTCAAATGAAGGTCTTGATATTTAACCATTTTAAATATGAGTGTTTTAATTTATTTTTTATTAGATTGAAAAAATTTAATAAATGATATCAAAGATGAAAAAATCAACTTTTAATTATTAAACTTATCAAATTAGGATGTTCTTAATTGTTTAGAATTCTTGACCTTCAATTATAATTCTAAAATATTATTAACACTTTAAAACCAAAACATCAATTCTTATTTCTTCAAATACCATTATCTAAAACATATGTCTAGTATTATAGCGAAAAGAAATAATGAAAATTATTTTAGTTGTATACTTAAAAGATTCAAACTCAATTTTAACAATGGCTTAAAAAAAAATCCTAATTGCTAATCTTAATGGTTTAAATAGAAGAAAATTTTTGTTGAAAATAGACATTAAATCATATATTAACTACTGGGATAGTAGTCAGTAGTTATTACTTAATAAAACTTAAAACAATCTATTTATAGCTCATAGGAATTAAATCCTTATTTTTGAACAGAGTATCAATGGATGGAAATGCTCTCAATCATTTTAAGTCAGTTCTAGGTGTTCTGTGAGTTCAATTTTTTTTAATTTTTAAGAGGATGAGTTGTAAATTTATAGCTTTGATGGTTATGATTTGATAGATAAACTTTATATCTTCCATAAATAAACCTAGGAATAAGAAATTAACTGGGTTTTAATCTAGAAAATAGGATTGTATGGATTGAGTGGATAGGTGTTGGGAGGATTTTTAGATCACATATATTTTGCTGACTGCTATGGTCTTGATGTTTATAAAAAATAAAATTAATCTTAATACTATATAATGTATGCTTCTTCAGAGTTTAAGCATCATACCAAAGGGTTTTTTCGGTGTGTGCACTTTGTGCAAAATAAATTTCTATTGCTGGAAGAAGATAATAACAGTATCAGAGTTATGAAAATAAATTAACAGCAACAATTAGAATTCATTAAATAAATAGACATACCTGCATTGAAGAGCCAAAAAAGCAGCAGTAATTCTTAGAGAAGATCTTTTTTAACTCAAGATGAAAAATTTTTAGTAATTTAGAATAACGAGATAACTTTATTAATAGAATTGATTTATGCTTGATTTTTTAAATTTACAAAGATGCGATAATTTAGCAATTATGCATAAAAATACATATTAAGTATAATTTAATTATAAATTAGTAAACTGCCAAATCAATTTTGGATTTTTTATTTTGAGAAGGTTGAATCGAATATCCTAATGAACTGTTTCTTTAGTGTAATCAACTTTGAGGAAAATTATTATACTTCAGTTATGGTAGTAAAAAGCAAGAAAGAATGAATTTAGGACAGAACTAAATAACAGATTAATATCAAATTTAGTAACACCTGAAACTTGATGAATTTAAAAAACAGGAAACGATCTAGTTTGATTAACACACCTTCAAAGCTCAGAACTATAAAATAACAACATTTATAATTAAATTTTTTGTTAAAATAATTGAAAAGATAGGATGTAAGAGTAAAAGTTGTGATATAACATTTCGTGTTAAATGGAAATTAATCACAAAATTTAAACAGTTATTCTTACAATTAATCCAACTTATTTAATACTTTGGTGATCATTATGATTATTAATTTCATGTCAAAAAATATTGATTTTTTTATTTTATCAATGATTAATACTACAGATTTACTTCTTATTCTCATCGAAAATATCCTAACCATTTTGCCATCAGTTGAATTATTTAATATCCTAAAATTTTGCTATGTTTTTGACATCAAATGCACAATTATTTAATAGCCTCTTTACAAAAAATTTAAAATATTTAATTAAAAATCTAAATCATAGTTGTAGATGAATTCAGATATATTTTATAATCCATATTAGTCCACTGGCTATTATTTCCCATCGGTTCCTACTTACCAATAGCAATTTATTCCATTAAGTAACTAATGTTAAATAGCTTTAAGTGACATTATAATAGGAGAATATACCGATGTATTTCCCATCATTAAATTATGATTGGAGAGCATAGCCTATGAACATCTACACGAATTGCAAATAAAATGTGCCTGAAATTTAGACAATTGACCAGAATAATCATCAAACTTTAGTAGAGTTAGGATTTTAGGAAAAATCCCCATCAATAGAATAAGACTTATAAGGACGAGGCTATGGTAAGAATTTCATATATATTCAGGCCACTGGACAACCTAAGAACATTTATAATATCTAGACTTTATTAAGAGTCATGAAAATACCTTAATATCGAAGTATGAAAAAAAATCTAAAAAAATATTCAAACTCATGAGTGAATTCATACCCACAAGAACTCCCACTTAGTGTAGATCACACCATTAGAAGTTTAATCCTTTAATCAAAGGGAAAAAGAATTTTAAATCACCTTTTGGATATACTACATACAATTGATAATTCACACTCTATATATAAATTATATTCAATACATCACAAATCAGTTTTATTATATTAAATACTATAGTTATTCATAATGTATGTTATAAATGCTTATTTTATTAGAACTATTTGTTCGAATAAATTCTTAAAATCAACCTACCGTTCTTCTCCAAAATTTCATGATTTACTTTGTATTCTTATAAATTCATTTATCAACAAAGTTTTATATTCATACGAACTTACCAACATTTTTATAATTTACATTAGATGCAAATTTAACTACAATAAATCAAAAAAATTAATATATTAATTAAGAATTTATAATTCTATCTAATCGATTCAGCAATCATAAAATTTGCACTTCTCTTCCTTAAAGGTGATTACTTTTAAATATTTCACTCTTATATTATTTGAAAAACTGAAATAATTCAAATTATCACAGAGCAGTAATAATTAATAAATTGATTGAAAAAAATTAAATTTTTTTGATTAAACACATAATTCAAATTAATTAATCATCTCTTATAATATAATACTTTAATTTCATTAATAAATCGATCGTTTCTGCTTATAAAGGTATAAACAATTAATAAAACTCTCCTGAGAAGAAATGGATATGCTCTACTATTTTATTTATATATTAAAATAAGAATTGGTCAATTCAGTTATTTTTTTGTAAAAATATGATAGATTGAGATTTTTATTATATAGGAACTTTACTCACAGATATTTATTATATAAATACATATAACTCTTAAAACATCATTATTTATTAAAAATTTTCTGTGAGTTATGTTTCCTTGAATTAATAAGATTCTATTATTTTTAGGCTTTATCAATAATATCGAATTTAGATTAATTCAAATTATGATTATATGTAATCATGTATTTATTGGATGGTTATGAATTCCAATCTAATGATTCCATCTTAAGTGGAGTTTAATTAGTAAAGATCTATTTTATCTCTTAGCCGGCAAACAAGCCATCAGGATCGTATGAAATAGCATCCTTATTGTTATAAAGTTAAGAAAGAGATGAATTACTCTTTTAATTATTTTATTATAGACTCTAGCTCCTTACATTAGTGTGATAATATTTCTACTATTATAAATTAATTTGAGAACTCCCCTCCCCTAATTTAGGCAATTACATGTTAGCATTATACTTGATTTAATTCATAGATTATATACTTTATCTTATTTAATATGGTTTATCAATTCCTCTCTGCTATTATGAAACTAATTAAGATTGCTTTCCATCAAAGTTATCTTTTGCTTAGTAATTGCATGTTGGATTGTTACCCCAGAGTTTTCTCTCAGCTGATATTAACCAAAAATTGCTATTGAGATACAAATCTGCATTCTATCGATATGCTTATAATTCATTAGTTTGAAATTCATTTGGCTTGAGTTTTTTTGGATCATTTTATATATTTGTAAGAACTGATGAATCCTGTAGATTTAGGGTATTATTGCCATTCTTGAATTATTCGATATCATGATCTTTTTCTTTAATTATTTTTTCCAAATCTGTGATTCTGTCACTCATTTGCTATAGTTTGATTTCATAGTTCCTTGAAAGTTCAGCCATTTATTTATCTTTATCAATTTACTATTTTTTCAATTATTTAACTTCCTCTTGTAAGTTTAGTATTAATTAATCCTTAGCTATTAACGAAGCCTATAGCAAATTAATTTTCAAGGGTGTTTGGGTTTTGGATGATTTAGAGGAATTATACGACATTTAGGTTTATTTCTTGAGATCGAGATCAGTTAAGTGAGTATCCTAATCATGGGATGGCTATTCGTATTGGTGATGATTGTTTAGTTATTAAATTGATTATGTCTGCCTAGTTTTATTAATGGATGTCTAAAAATCGGATTCTGTTCGAGATGGCGTTGGAATATTATTCAATAACAATCTGTTTTGAAGTGAATCCGAATCCTCTTCCAATTCGCAGTCTTCATTATTTTCAGACTGTTACTCCTTTTATATCTCTAAATTATTCATGATTTATAATAATTTTTTATTGACCTCGAAGCAAGGCAATTTGATATTTTATGAAATGATTAGAGAGAATCCTTTAATTTAAATTAATCAGGTGCAAGTAAGAGATATCAAATTTAAGTATCAATAAATATTATAAGAAAGTTATAGAAGAATTTCAGGCTTTAGGTTTTCTAAAACTACTGTAGATAACCTTTTATTTTTTATCGAAGGTGACCTTTTTAATTGATCTTTGAGATCCAATAGACTCATTGTCTTTCTGAACATCCTTGGAACTGAAAGAATTCGATCCAGCCATTGCTTTATTTTTTAAAATAGATTTGTGTTTGACTATATAATAAATAACTAGTAATACCATCTTGTATTCCACTATTTGAATCATCTCTTGAATTATTTTGGAGATCCAATTGATCATTTAAAGCATTTGCTAAATTAAAGTCCGAAGGCTCGTGTTTGTTTCCATTTAATTCCTATTTAGTGAGAGTATTGTCTGAGGAATTTTGTTTGGGCAGAGAATTCAATCGTTCCTTCTCAATCTAAGCATTTTCTTCAGGGAACAGTAACTTTAGTATAGGTTATGGTTTTTGTATTTGAGGAGGGTGATGGATATTAAACTTGAATCTCTTCTCCTGTGTAAGTTATTCTTCGTGAGAGGGCTACACGTTTTGACAAATCTGAGAACCCATAATGACTGATATATAGAGTAATTAAGAAAGATAATAATAATTTGAGTTGAAAATTTTCAGGAATTTAAGTACAACAAATAATATAAAGCAAAAAAACTTAATGTTTTATAAAGAAGTTTAATATTAATAGCTAAGCAATCCAGCATTCACAATAGGATTTTCTTTTTAAATTCCTAGTTATAAAATTGTTCGAAATAATAAAAAAACAAAATAATTTAGTTATCACACAACAATCTAGAATTTTTTAATTCTGGAAATATGAATTTTTTATCTAAGATTAAACAATGACTTCGCCTTATCACACCAAGTCGTCGATGGAATAATACCTCTGTCTGCAATCTTCTTTTTCTAAAGCTACTCCTTCGTTGTTTTTCCAGTGTAAGCCAAACAAATGTGAAAGCAAACAAATACCAAAATACATAAAGTCAGTAGGATTGTGGGAATCCCCAAAGCAAATAAAACTATAACTAAAATTGTTTGATTCTCTATCACTTTTCAAAATATTATTAATAATCTTACATATCCCATCCTTCCCTGAGATACCCTCTCCAAAGTTTCCGATGAAAAGGATCAAGAATCCCCCCAATTCTCCCAAGGCCAATAGGAGCAGCGAAATCAGAAAGGCTATAAAAAATCTGTAATTTCTTTGCCCTATACAATTATTTACAAAGGGACAATGATGGTCAAACACTTAAACACAATTTCCGCAATCCTTGCAATGAGAACATCTCAAGGGCTTCACGATTTAACAAGTTGGACAAACTCTCTGTTCTTGATTTTAATACTTCTTCTTCCTTTTGTCTGGACACCCACCAGTTCCTTCGATTTTAACCTCCGCCTTACTAATGAAATGAGTGTTCTAATCAGATAGTTCTAAAATAGATTTCCTCGGTATTATTCCTGGATCTGAAAACTATTTAAACATACTTTTATATTCTTACTTAGGTTAGCACTAAAAATAGTATTGTATTTAGGAATAAATAAATAACTATTAAAACATAAAGCCAATGCAATTTCTACCAAACGTACGGAGCAGCTATTACAAAAAAACAAGTGCTTATGCCAATTATCATAATCCAAGTAAACGCATTGTGATACCTATCTCCTTTTGGGCCTGTCATCAAGCAGCCTTAACAAAAGATCTAATTGAATGAAGGCCAGAATTCATACAGAAAGCGAAAACTTAGACTATCAATATTTCATCATACTTGTTTTTCTCTGATTTAGGTTCAAATGGAAATAATTCCGTATCTGCTGGTTGAAATCCTCTTAAATCCGCATTGTTGATAAACGGCGGTGTAACTTCGTTAACATGTTCTGACATTCCATTTAAAGAAGAGGCAGCAGAATTACTCTTATTTTTCGAGAACTCCAAGTTCCCATTAAAATCAGTGCTCTATTTGGATTTATTATACAACCCATCAGATTGAGCATCTTCTTTCAAAGTGCACCCCGAATTAGGATATTTACTATTCATAATTTTATAATATTATATTAGTATTTATTATTAAATTTTTTACTTTGATTCATTTTAAACCGAGAAATCAGAATCTCAATACTAAATTTAAACAATTCAATCTAATAATCAGGATGATTAAATATTCATTTAAATTTTCATACAATATTCTTTGATCTCTTAAAACTAATTTTAAATATAGGCTCTTAATTGTTATAGTTTTTCTGAATATGGTTTCTTCCTCTTATTTATTAATCCAATCTAAATATTAGCTAACTAAATAACTCACTAACTAATAAGTTATTAACTCAAAAGATATATTATTAGTATCAATTAATTTCATTTTAAAAATATTTAGTGAGGAGAGAAAGAAGTTCTAATTTGTATTTTTGTAGAGAATGAGTTTTGATTGCTTACTACTTGGAGGATTAGTAATGGATGGGTTAAATTTGGGAGGGTTCTGATAAAAACAGAGAATACTCAAATAGTCTTGAAATTATTAAAGAATAATGCAGATAAATTATATTTGAGTCTCAATCAAAAATATTTGACTTTAAATAATTTTAATTAATGAGCAAATAATATAATAAGAGGGGCAACTATAAGCCTCGCTAAGAAGCTTACGAGTATGTAACGAAGGAGGAGTATGAGCAATAGCAAATATAGTAGAATTAAGAATAATAGCAGAAAGCATAAAATCCCCCAAAAAAACAATAATAATAGATTTAAAAGAATAAATAAGATGATGAGAGGCGAGAATAGTAGTAGCAATAGCATTACTAAAAAAAGTAGCCTGAGTATAAATAGTATCAGAAACAAAATAATTAGAAGGACAACAAACCCTATCAAAAAAGATTTTAATAGAGTGTTGAGGTGGATGAAGATTACAGAAGAGATGATCCATAGGTCGAAGAAGGTATTTAATGATATACAAAGTAGACACCTAAAAGTTCGACATAACAAAAGTGAAGTAAAAGGAGTTGACATAAACTTTGATAAAAATGCTCAAATATAGAAAAATCGAATGTCCAGTATGCTATGATAAAATACATCCATAACAAAAGATATGGAGTTGCACTTAGTGTTATTTCCCATTCCATTTGTATTGCATGCATAAATGGATAAAGAATTTAAATCCAAAAAATACCAATTAATTGTACTACTGGAGTTGTCCAAAGTGCAATCTCATGATCCAAGATAAGTTGCCAGAATATAAATGCTTTTGTGGAAAACAATAAGATCCAGAGGCAGACTCCTATTCTGTTCCACATTCATGTTCATAGAAATGCGAAAAGAAGAGAGGATAATATTGTCCTCATCCTTGTCCAATGGATTGCCATCCTGGACCATGTCCTGAATGTCATGTCCAAGGAGTGGAGATCAAATGTTTTTGTGGCAAGAAAACTAAGCAAATGCAATGCAGTGAAATAAAGAAGGATTTTTCATGTGGATAACCTTGTGGCAAGTTATTGAATTGCAATAATCACTTTTGCTAGAAACCAGTAAGATATATCATAATAATCATAGTGTCACAATGGAAATTGTTAACCTTGTGTAGAGACTCATGAAGTTTAATGTTATTGTGGATCCTAATAAAATACAATAAATTGTGCCTAAGCTTCTTATTCTTGTGGTAAAGTGTGTGGGAAAGCGCTTGATTGTGGTAAGCATCAATGTTTTGAATAATGCCATCCCAAATGTTAACCATGCAAATTAAAGCCAGAATTAGTAGTATATTGTGCATGTGGAAAATATAAAATTAATGATTTAATCAAGGAACAACGAAAATCCTGTTTGGATCCAATTCCCAATTGTGGAACTCCTATAGAAACCACTCTTGCATGTGGACATAAAAGTAGAACTATCTGTGGTTCTGATTATCCAGAATGTGTATAAAAAGTAAAAGAGAAATGTAGATGTGGAGATTCTACAAGATTAAAATTATGCAATGATAAATCACTATTTGTGTGTGATGATGTATGCAAAAAGAGAAAGTCATGTGGAGTTCATTTCTGTTAAAAGGAGTGTTGTCCATCTGGAGATTAAGAGGCTCATTTATGTTTGAAAGTCTGTAATAAACCACTTCCATGTGGTCAACATAATTGTGATTAATTTTGTCACATTGGTGCATGTCAATAATGCCCAATTATAATTAACTAACCTCTATATTGTCCTTGTGGTAAAAGTGTAAAAAATCCACCTATGAAGTGTGGCACAGCTCCACCTTCATGCTTAGAGGTTTGTAATAAGGTCTTAGAATGTGGACATAGTTGTAAATCATTATGTCATCCTGGACCATGTCCTAATTGCATGGAGTAGATTGATAAATTCTGTAGATGCAAACAAAACAAACTCTCAACTATCTGTTCAAAATAAGCTGTCTGCAGGAATGTCTGCAGTAAAGTATTAAATTGTGGACATAAATGTTAAGAAATATGCTAAGCTCAAGAGGAATGTCCTGGAAATGGACCTGAAGGTTGTGGTTAAAAATGCAATGCTAAAAAGCTATGCAATCATTTATGCTAAGAAATTTGTCATCCAAATGAAGCTTGTCCCAAACAACCTTGCAAAATATAGATTAGAGTTGTTTGCACTTGTGGTAACAGAGACACTTTCACAGAATGTGGAGTCGTGGATGAATTGATTGAGAAGACTTTGAAATGTGATTAGAAATGTTAGAACATCAAGAGATTTGGAGCTTTTTATAAATCAAATTCTCTTGTCGATATTGAGAAAACCTATTATCCAGACATCTTACTTAAATATACTCATTATAATTTGTAGAATCTCTAAAAAATGGAAGAAAAGATCGAACACTTCCTTGTACATTCCAAACCAGAAGATGGATATGATTTCTCATTCCCAAGGTCTGAATGGTCTGAATTGAAGAAAGTTGCTCTACAGACTCTATTTTCTAGACATTACAAATTTGATGTCCAAATTCTAAAAACATAAAACAAGTAATACTTGTTCAGTCTTTACAAAACTTAGGATACTTGCATCCCCAAGATCAAGCTTTCTGAATACTTCATTAAGGTCTAGAAAGGAATCATCAAGAGAGATCATCAACCCTTCAAAGCAAAGGTAAAGACTTTTTATGAAGTGTCATCTACAGATGCTGTTAATATTGAAAATGCCCTCTCTGATTTCAAAGGAGACTTTTATTCAGAAAGATAATCTCAATAATACGTGCTTAATTTTTGGGATGAAGCTCAAGCTGAATTAGCACTCAAGAAACTCAAAAAGGCAGTTGGATTATTGAATGTAAATTGGGTGTTGGAAATGAATCAATAATGTTTGGATGAATACAAACGAATCTTTGACCCTGCTCAAGAGAATGACATCATTGTTAAACCAAAAAAGGCGAAGCAGTATGAATACGAAGAATAGACCCTCGAAGTCTAATACAGCAAATTAGAGGAGGAGAATTTCAGCAAACTCTAGAAGCAGTATTCTGACAAAGCCAAATTGACCAAGAAATGTGATGATGAAGAAATCGAAGAAAGAATCAATAATCAATAATTGTCCATTTTCGAGTAAGATGGATTTTATTAATATGAAATTCAACCCATCAGAGAGAACATCATCAGAGCATACAAATCAGAATAGAAACCCTTCGTGCCAGAGTATGTGAGAACTCCAGATACATTATGTAAGACTGTTGATTTCCTCCTCCAAAACTTCTTGAGAGCAGATGCTCCGGATTCAGATTTCAAAAAGCCCATGAAAGGAGACACTCCAAGAGACATCGGGTATTTAGACATCTACGAATTCATACACGATAGATTAAAATAAGTGAGAGTTGAATTGAATTACCTTCAATATGAAGACGAGAGCATTTATGGTATTTTATTAGTATTCTATGTTTTAGTTAGTATCATTCGATTTTATGTGTTGTCTCATTCTTAATTAACTGATAATTAAGACAATCTTAGAACCTTATGTGAATTGCTGAAGACATTCAGAAACGAGGAAACTCTGTAATATACTTTAATATTATCTTGTTTCCACGAAATCCCTGAATGTCAGGAATTCTATTCTCAAGTGTTGAAGATGAAGGAGTAGGATAATTAAAATCCCACTATTTAAATTTTTATAGACTTAGTTACTCAAATGGATTCAAAATAATATCACAAATACTTTGATTTGTATCAGAAGTCTGAAAATTTGTTGGTCAAATCGTTGATGCATGGTTTCTTAAGCCTGGTCATAGGATAAGTGAATCTTTAATTCTAACAAATAGTTTCAAGTTTGGAATAAGATCAATAATTCATAGCTATTGCTAGATTATTGGAATAATTGTAAATTGGAGAAAAGAATAATTTAGTTGAATATTTAAATTAATTGGGGATCAGTGATCTGCAATTTTAAGTTTCACAATCTGATTCTGAAGTTGAAGAAATAAATATCTCATAAATTTTGTAATAATTAAAGAAAAAGAAGCCATTGGAAATGCTGGATCTTGATAGATTGGCAGCAATATTCTGATATGATTATTTTAGAATTTTATTTGTCCAAAAATATTATGTTAATAATGGAATCCGTTTATTATAATTAATAAAATGTATAAACAATATTTATTCGTCTGTCTCTTGCTAGCATTAGCTGTTTGTGAAGGAGGATATTAGAATGTCAAAATTAAGGAATTTATGAGTCAGAATAATGAAATTTTCACCCACATCAACGAAATCCTAGATGATGAAGCTGGCCCAGAATACTTCCTTTGGAAAATAGAAAGCGTTTAATAGCAAATAGTTTCAGGAATCAACTACAAAATGGTCGTTGACTATTAAAAAAAAGACGACCCTAACCAGTATATTCAATACGAGATCATACTTTATGATTAGTAAGACTTTCATAGTAATTTAATTTAAGACCATGGACTAACACTCGCAAAGTGACTAGCATGGAATCAAAAAACCTTAGAGTTGATAACAAAAAGTCAAGCAATTTCAAATATCATGGTTGGGTCGATCTTGATGCCTAATAATTTAATACAAAATACCCTCAAATCTAAACATTATTGCTCTCAAAATTGATACCCAAGTTTGACTTAGAAGACAATACTTCCATAATGGAAATATAATCAGTCAAAGAATAATTTATAGCTGGCAAAACCTATTTAATATTTGTACAATTATCAGATGGTAAAAAGTATAAAGGAACATTGTATGAAAAGTAATGTGTTTGATTTTTAATAAAGTCCATGGTCGAAGAAAATGGAAGTGGTAACAGTGGAACTAGAGGAAGAGGAGTGATTCTTAAATTTATTAATAATAAACAATAAATGTTAAGTAAAAATTAAATGAGAGTTCATGTGATCAAAAGAACTGTTTAAAAATATCGAGTTTTCCCTTTTACCTCAAGACTTATTTATCATAGTTAAGTGATATAATTTCATTGGAACCACCAACTTAATCAGTAGGTATAATTTTCTTGAAAATAGCTGGATTTTTCCTTTTCCCACAATTTTCATTCTGTTCTTTGATTTTCTGCTCATCCAACATTTTTTAGACACTTTGTGTCTCCTTCACTAATTTACTCTCTCCCTCTACCTTTAATTAAGTCTAGTTCATACCTAAAGATTATCTAATTACGGGCCAACACTATAAACTTCATTTACCTTCTCTTTCCTTTCTTCAAATCTCTAGGCAATGCTCCTAGGTCTCTTGTAGATGGCGTGACAATTGGGATTTTTAATGATCTCGTGTCCTTGCTCCTTGATTTTTTTGTGTTATTCTACAGCATCAGATCTTGATCTAAGTTATCTTTCCTAAAATGAAACTGATTATTACCCATAATTTATTGCCATATCTTTCTGCATCTGTTTGTATAAGGTCCAATAGCTTTCTGTCTTCCACTTTTTCTCGTTCTACTTATATTTAATTGTAAATAGATTAAGAAGTTGGTCTATTGCATTGTTGGGCTGAGGAGACTACTCTTCGTTGCCATTTTTATTGTTGAGTTTCAAATTGCTTGATGATTCTACTTTCTTTGACAGCAGCAACTTGATCTGCCTTACTCAATTTTTTGAGATGCAAGTATTGTTATTAGGTCTTTCTATTAAGAATTTATTGGATTTCATTTTCAACTTAACTTGGTTCCATGTCAATTTGAATAAAATCAGCCTCCTCTTCCACACTCATCTATTGGGATTGTTTATTTTTAAACTCCTTATATGTTGTTGGCTTGATTTTGCGATGAGGTTGAACAATCTCTTCAATTGGTTGTGATTTGTTCAATCTCTTATCAATGATCTCAGGTTTCCCAACAACATAATAAGGCACAATCTTACCATCCCTGTATAATTAAGATTCATCGATGTCGTGTTGAGTCATAAAGATGTTCGGATGCTAAATCAAAGTGATTTGTTTTCTCAACAAATAATGTTAAACCGAAGACATTAACTTAATATATAATAAAAATAATAAAATGAGCATCTTAATGCTTTCTATGATATGCGTCATTTATACTTTCGACTTGCCAGGCATCCAACAAAAAACCTATTTTGAGGGTCAATAGATCCCAGTCTTAATAAACGAGATGACCTCAGAATCTACTCAACTCCCATATGATTATTATGATCTTGATATCTGCAAACCAGAATCGACTGAAAATCAGAATTAAAACATCGGATCCATGATCTTAGGCACTTTAATATAATAGTCCAAGTATTAAGTAATTGCATAACTATAATCGTAGATATTTATGAATTATGAAATCACTGATGAAATACTCTGTACCAAACACTTTACATAAACAGAACAGAACAATTTGAAATGGTTTATTGATCATGACTATAGAGTCAACATGTTAATTGATGAATTACCAATACTGTCTAGTAATCCTTTGAATAATACAATCATTGGAGTACCTCTTGGAATTAGAAATGTCAATTAGTATTCCTTTTACAATCATTACAATTTCAAAATTGAAATCTACAACACCTCTAAATCAGAAATCAATTAGACCTTTAGCATTAATTCAATAACAGTTGAATTTGAATCCAAGTGCATGGATAGTTCTGAAATAGATTCAGGAATCAATTGTCCAATCAATTCAATAGTGAATGTCACTTATTCAGTCAGATATCTAATGACTAACTCATCAAATAGATGGTCAGCCTACTTAAATATAGTCACCAATACTGATTAAGAGTGGATGCCACTTAGCATAACCTTATATGTATTTTTTGGCTTGACTTGTCTCATTGCTTTGTTTATTAGATTCACTGTTAAGAGAGATGTGCTAACTTTTGAAATGTTGCCACAAGAGGATAGTGACGGTTAGATCGATCAAAAGGGATGGAAATAAATCAGTCGAGATGTGTTTAGACCTCCAGCTGGCATACTATTTTTGAGTGTTCTGATTGGAACTGGCATTCAATTTACCATCATGACTTTTTTCGTTTTCTTTCTCTCATCAATAGGATTTATCTATTCTGCACACACTGGGTATCTAGCTACTCTAGTGATTGTTGTGTATGTATTCACTGGTAGTTTGAATGGATATTATTCTTCTAAATTTTACAAGTATTTTAAGGGGGAATATTGGCTGTTATGTACTTTGGGAAGCAATTTGGCATTTCCAATTATGGCTTTGTTTATTTTTGGAATTGAAAATATTGCCTTAATGTTTGAGGAGGCTTCAAGTGGATTAGACTTTAAATCTGGTATTACATTCATAGCCTTGCAACTCGGTATTCAAACTCCATTGAATTTAATCGGATCACTCATTGGATTCAAAACTGAATCACCTAAAAATCCATGTAAATATGGATAAATTGCTTAGGAAATTCCTTAGCAGCCATTTTACTTGGATTATTTTTATAGCTGTTTGATTGGAGGATTCGTGTGTTTTATGTAAGTATGTTATTTACTACCTAGATCTATTGGTCTTGAGATTAGTTAAATAATGCAATCCATTTGGAAGAATTCTTACTATGAATTCTTTGTTTCATTGCTTTTTACTGCAATTTTGTTGATTATTATTAGTGCTGAGGTTTCAATCTTAACGGTTTATTTTCTGCTTTAAAACTAAAATCATAGGTGGTGGTGGAAAGCTTTCTTTGTGCCTTTTACTTCAGGAGTATATTTATTTATATATTCAATTTAATATTACTTGGATTCGTTGTAATTTACTAGGTATTTTTAATTATTTAGTAAGATTCTCAACAATTTTATACTACTTTGGTACTATGTATATGGCATCTCTATGTTTGGGATTAATATGTGGAACGGTGGGTTTCTTGGCAAGTCATGTTTTTGTTAAAAAAATATATTCTATGGTCAAATTAGATTGACTATGTAGATATTTATTTTGGTTTTATATACATAAATAAAATACGAATTTAGATATAAATACAATATATAAATAGAGAGTAAATAAATTTATTTGAAATATTATTTTAAATAACGGAAGATATGAGTCATCTTTTGAGACATAATGAAGGTGCAGGTATGTTTTTAATGGTATTTCTATTTGGTTAGATCCTACATTAAGCATTCCTAGTCCATAGCCAAAAGACTATGATTGGGTCTTGATATCTGGATTTATCGTAATTTTGACACAGGTTGGATTTGCATTTATCGGAGCAGGATCAGTCAGATATAAAAATGCTTAATCAGTTGTAATAAAAGTATTTTTGGGATTATTTTTGACAATATTAATTTGGTGGTTGGTAATAATGATTTTCTAAATTTAGTTTGGTTATGGTTTTTCTTTTGGAGATGATTTCTAAACCAAATTTTTGGGAGGCACCAAATTAGCAGGTTCTAAATGGGAAGCCACTCAATATGGAAATGATTATACCAATTTCGGTAATTGATTACAAATATATACTCAATAGTATTCAGAGCAGCAGGAGCAGCATTTGGAATTGCAATTCTGGCTGGAGCATCTGCAGAGAGAATGACATTTTTAGGATGGTCTGTATTAACACTGATCTATTCTGGATTCATATATGCAGGTTTGACTCATTGGACCTTGGCTGCAGGATGGTAATGCTGATATCAATACTAAAAAGGTTGTCATCATTGGGATTCAAGGATTTCTCAGGTGCAGGAGTAGTCTTTTTCGCAGCAGGAGCAGCAGGATTGATTTTGACTGTTATCTTGAAACCAAGAAAAACAAGATTTGATAATGGAACCACAGTAGAATTCAGCAGACATTCACCACTCTATATTGGATTTGGATCATTATTGGTGTTTGCAGGATGGTTATTCTATAATGGTGGTGTTGTTGCTTAAGGATCTAAAACCCAATATGCTTAAGGTTTAGTTGCAGTAAATACTTTGATTGCCGGAGCCACTGGTGGATTTGTTAGTTTTGTTATCAGATATTTCTAATATGAAACCACGAATTTGGTGGCATTGTCAAGAGGAGTAGTCAGTGGACTCGTTGCTGTCAGTGCTGCTGCTGATGATATGAAACCATGGACTGCATTCATCTATGGATTTGTGGCAGCATTATTTTACAGTATCTTAGCCAAAGCAACACCATCAGCTCATATTGATGATCCAGCTGAAGTCATTCCAGTCTATCTTGTAAGATATCACACACTTATACTAATTAGGGTAGTGGATTCATCGGAATTTTCTTATCAGGATTTTTTGATACTAAGGCTGGAGCATTCTATGGATTTGGATTCAAATTGTTGGGTTATCAATTGTTAGGATTATTGATAATCTTTGCTTGGGTTGTTTTCTTTACTTTACTAACTCTCTTGGCATTGAAAGGATTCGGAGTTCTCAGAATTGATGATGAAACTGAAAGAGTTGGAATTGACAAGTCTTTATGTAATTACTCATTTCTAAACTATAGGCTTGGGTGAAGCTGTTGTATTCGCTAACCAAGTAGATGAAGCACCTCTTCTTAAACAAACTGAATTAGCTAATTTACCAAGTTAGTTAGGATCAGGATACAGATCAGGATTCAAATGAAATTTATAAGATTTCGAAATTATTATAAATTTTTTTTATATTGACAATTAATTAATTTGTTCATCTGAAACCTTGATTTAATTTAATAAGATGGAATAAGTATTCTTGTAATTTTACCTATTAATTTCGATTTTGTTTGATAATCGATAATTATCTAGAATATTGTATGTTATTTGTAATTCATTTATTAATTAAGATTAAATAGAATTATGTGTAGAAAAAAGAACTTTAAAAGTTTTAGACATCAAAGTTTCTGGGTGAACCATTAACTTAATAATTGTATCCTCACAATTTAATAAAATATTAGTCTTTATGAGTTCGTAAAATATTATGGTAAATTTAATAAAAGTGAATAATAAACAATATTTTTCAGGAAAACTAAATTTTTTTATTAATATTTTCTTTGTCCAAACTGTCCTGTTTAGATTTTTTAATGGTTAACTAAACTGACCATTGCTTTTTTTCTGATGATTTGCCTGATTCTAATATTTAAGAGTTTTTGTCTTTCAAACCTAAAAGAATAAGCTAATTCGAGTACTTTTAAGGGTTAGTTATGTTCTGATCCTATTTAACTAAATGAGTAAGTATTTTTTGATTGTTAAACCCTATTGTTGAGCTGCATATTACAATTTTAATTTAAGGAATATGAGTGCTGAGAATTGGATTTATGGCAAATCTCTGGATTTGAGAATCCAATTGCAAAGTAATGTGAAGGCACATAATTTTCTGAATGATAGGAAGACGACTGATAGCTGTTTCTTCTTGTGTAGGATTGTTAACAGGTATTCAGGGTAGAGATCATATTTTTTGAGTGCTTTCATAACTTTATCATCTAGTTGTTGGTACTGAAATGTGATTTCATTAAGCGGGACTAAAAATTTGTATTGAGGTACTTTTTTTGAAGTTTTTGGTCAAAGGAGCATCAGAATATCTGATTTCTGAATAATTGTCGTTGATCCAAAGATACCTTGTAACTAATTTTTTATCAGTCTAATTAATTTTGAGGATTTCTTGCCTATTACACACAAATTGTTGGATTGCTTATTATAATCTGATTTCGTAATTCTTGATTGCATAATCCAGTCGGTTAATGAATTGTTTGTTGAAGTTTTGCAACACAATTTTATCATTAATTACGAGCTTATCTGATTTATATTAAACTTTGGTGTGGTTATCAATTTATGTTCTGGAAATGACAAGATTTCTCTACAACATAATGAGGGTAACGTTACTTAATTCAATTCAACCAAATCTCCTTTCATGGTGATGTACATAGTTAACTGTTAAATTTTTATCTATTTATAAAATAATAATTAATTTAAACGACATGGTATCAATATTATTGTCAATATTAATTGGGACATTATTTACAATGACAATAGGTTACTTGTGGTACTCAGTTGTATTTCGAGAACGATACATGAAAGAAGCCAATGTGAAGCAGGAGAAAGAAAAAGAAAACAATAAATAAAATAATTGGCCATTATTATTTGAATTGGCAGGAAGATTCTTGTAAGCGTGCTTGATAACAATCTTTTACAACGTATTAAAGTCCAAAGTAATGACTCATAATAAATTATAGGACGAACGCGATTTAATTTTGGCGCTTACTTTGGCTGTGTTTTTTAGTTTGAGCTTTTAAGTGCAATACTACACATCGAAGGTAGTTTGGGAATAGAAGACATGGAATTATTTTGTTATAAAGGTGGGTGAACAATTTATTTCGCTCTCCACTCTTTCCATAATTGCATACATTTTTGTAAAGTGATCTATGATTCAAATTTTTCATATGTTATCAATGCGCCAAAATTACTTGTTTTCTCCTAGGCACATTATCAGGCACAGAACCAGGCTTTTGGTTTGATGCCGTATGTTAAGCCAACTCCGGTGGAACATTCTGCCCACTTTTAATCAAATACTCCTTTAGATCATAAAATAGATCTGAATCCGAATTAGTAAGAAATGTCACAGCCAATCCTCTTTTCCCTGCCCTACCTGTTCTACCAGTTCTATGAATGAAATCCTTTTGATTATTGACACAAGTACCTGAATATTTTTTGGAGCATCGAAATTTATAACCATCTGAACTCCTTCAACATGCAAACCCCTAGATGCCAAATCTGTGGCGATCAAAATATCAATCTTTTTAGACTTGAACCCTTCAACAGCTGCTTCTCTTTGCTATTGCGTTTTGCTTCCATGATACACAACAGAGTTATACTAAATTATTGTATTAGCATTACTCCATATTTCTCTAATGTTTTACTCAATATTTCAACACTCTTCTTTTGATTTGCAAAAATTATAATCGGAGGTTTATTGGATGCTAACAACTACAAGAGACGATTTCTACTCTTAATAATCTTAATTACTTTTTAGCTGCCTCATTAATCATATCTATCTTCTATTCAATATCCTTCTTACCACCGCCTGGTTCTCCAATACTAATAAAACAAAATGCTCTCAAGTATCTCTTTGCCAATTTCTCAACCTGAGGAGGCATTGTGGCTGAAAATAGATGAGTCACTCTATACTACCTTTCTCCTGCTTGAGCCAACTTCTCCTCCAATTCAGCAGCTATTTCATCCTCTGATTTCATCTATGTAGTAATTGAATCCAAGATGTAATTCACATCTTATTCAAATCCTAAATCAATCATTTTATCTGCCTCATCCAACACAATCCATGAGCATTATTCTAACACCAAGTATTTCTTCATCAAAAGATCTTTGATTCTACCTGGTGTTCCTATCAAAATTTCTATCCCTTTCTTCAAATGAAACTCCTATTCTTCTTCCTTCCTTCCTCCCACTATAACAAACGATCTCAAATTGTATCCTTAGGATAGCTTCTAGAATTCAGCCTCAATCTAAATTGCCAACTCTCTTGCTGGAGCCATTATCAAAGCATATGGTCCATCTTTACATATCTTATCATCCTATTTGGGGAGTGTAGACAAATAAGTAATCAATGGAATTAAAAATGCAGCAGATTTACCACTTCCCGTAGGAGCAATACCGATCATATCTTTACGCTCTAAACCTATTGGAATGGTCTGCATCTAAATTGGAGTTGGCTTAACATAGTTTAAATTTCGAATAGAATTCATTAAATTTTTAGGCAATTAGACTTCATTCCATTCTCTTATAGGATTTGGAACACGACCGCCTTTAATTATGATGTCCATGTCTTCTCTGAATATTCTCCAATCTCTTGGTTGCATTTGGCCTAAGGATTTCTTGCTCCAATGATCTGAGGACAACAACTGATCAGGATCCTTGTCCTCCTAGGCTTTAGAATGTAGACCGCTCGCAATTATTCTATTCATGTAGAGTGGATTGAAATCAATTGAAGTATCTTCTGTGGCATCCCATTCAAAATTGAATATGTTTTTAAACTTCTCGGAGGGCTTTAAGATCTTTTTCTTCTCTTTATTCAACCCCAAGTACTACATTTTAATATGCATTAATTCTTGATTTTCCCCATCCATTTTCACAGGCACTGTGGCTCTGGTGTTTGATGTAATGTAGCGATTGTTTTTCTCCTTGCTTTTTGATCTGCTTCTACTTTTTGATTTTCTTTTCTCCAAAATTTACCTTACTTTTTAATCATCACCTAAGCTATTCGATATCACTTTACTTCTAAAATGTATGTATTCCTTGCGAATCTGTGCAATCTATTATTGCTTTTCTACTTATTATTTATGTTGCTATTCTTCCTATTTTTATTTTTATTCCTCCCTTTGCTATTTAGAGAGAAACTGAGGCTTAAATGTTGACTTCCCGTTTTGAATCAATTAATTGTTATGCTCCTGTTATTCCTCAGCTAGTTCTTCAGCAGCAATCATTATTTTTAATAAATTAATTATGTGCTTTTAATTTATGTTGTCCTAATACTAACTACACACTTGAAATGTTGCAAGATATTTATTTTGATATGAAAATAAGATATAACCATTTTTATAATCCATAATATTCTAAAAATATACAAAAATTAAGATGATTAAAATCGAAATTAATTTATTTATTAATATTCTAAATGAGGTACATCATAAAAGGTAGAAGTTTCTTCTTAATTCAAATTTAGGTGGTGTTTGGAAGAATAGTGAGGATGAAATTCTTAAGGCAGCTGTCATGAAGTATGGCCTCAATCAATGGTCACGTATTTCATCACTGCTTGTTCGAAAATCAGCTAAATAATGCAAGCAGCGTTGGTATGAATGGCTCGACCCATCAATCAAGAAGACTGAGTGGACTAGAGAGGAATAGGAGAAGGTCCTACATCTTGCCAAGATATTCCCAAGTCAATGGAGGACCATTGCACCTATAGTTGATCGTACTCCCATGCAATGTGTGGAGTAATATGAAAAACTACTGGATCTAGTATGAATTTGAATTCATTGCATTTTAGGCCCAAGGCAAGGATCTGAATGATCCAAACGATCCCAGAAGACTGAGACCAGGAGAAATTGATCCAAATCCTGAAACCAAAGCTGCCAGGCCAGATCCTATTGACATGGACGAGGATGAGAAGGAAATGTTGGCAGAAGCTAGAGTCAGACTTGCTAACACCAAAGGTAAGAAGGCCAAGAGAAAGGCAAGAGGAAAGTTGATTGAAGAAGCCAGAAGACTTGCTTTGTTATAAAAGAAAAGAGAGTTAAAGGCTGCAGGCATTCAATATATTAATCACAGAATTGAGAAACATCATATCAAATTACAAGATCGTAAATACAAGGGTATCAATTACAATAGAGAATTGGCCTTTGAAAGAACAGTTCCTGATTTTGTTCATGAAACTACAGGAGAAGAACCTGAACCTGATAAAAAGATTTCAAATGTTAGTCTGTAAGCATTGGAGGGTTAGAGAAGAGATGAAGAAGAAGAAATAAGAAGGAAGATAGATTAAAGAAGAATTAAGAAATTGAAGGAGAGAGAATTGGATCAAGCTGTTTCCTTTTAGAATAAATACCAAGTTAAATTCACACCTTAAACCAAATTATAATTGCCATAACCCTAATTGAAGGATTAAGATCTAGAATTATTGGGTAAGATTAATGCAGTCAATGAAATATCTGAACACACAACCTCTGCTACTAGAGCTCTTGTAGGCAACTACTCAACAAGAGATTAGAGTTAATCTAATATGAGAACTCCAAGAGCACCTAATACTGTGTTGAGAGAGGCACAAAATATTATTGCTTTATAACATACTGAAACTCCTTTGGTTGGGGGAATGAATAACCCTATTGATATTGTCAGGAATATTGGAAATTAAACACCTAATCAGCTAGCAACTATGTTGAAAGAGACTCCAAGGAGGCAAGTTGACTCATCTAATGATGCATTCGGCATTAACATTGAAGAATACGAGAGGACATGGGAAGAACCAAGTTAAAGTGTTGCATATGTCAATGCTGAATAAGAGAGGCAATAATAATTAAAGAATGAATAGAAGTTAAAAGAAATGATTAAGCAGAAGTTAAAATCATTACCTAAACCCAAGAATGAATTTACTATTGAAATTCCTTAAATGGACAATGAAGAGCAGAAAGAAATGGAATTGTATGCTATTATTTTTATTTTAGGGAAATGGATGCTGAGGACAAACTCAAAATATTAAAGCAAAAAAAATTAGTAGATTAATAGAAAAAATTTAGATAGAAAGACATAGGCACATCAAAAGAATCTACCTACACCTAAAGAATTACCATCTGGATAGATATATGAATAAACAGAAAATTAATTTAGAAATGAAATAGAAGAGCTTCTTAATTATACTGTGATTTAATTGATCAAAGAGGATATTTATGATAATTCAAATGGATTGGGAGATATTTCTGTAGCTAAGGAGTTATTGTAGGAAGAAAGGGTCTCATTGATTGGAGATTAAAACTTAAATGAACTTGACATGATTTGGAATAAAGTGAGATAATAATTGTATTTTGATTATGAGGAAAATAAGTTTGTCAATATTGAGAAAATAGATGAAGAGGTGAGAATGGCCATTTTCACTGAATACTTTAGAAGAACAAGAGTGCAGTATGAAAAGCTTAATAAAAAATAATAATTCTTTGCAAATAGAATTGCTAAATTGATGAAAGGGTATGAGATGAGAAATGTTTAATTGGAAAAGGAAATATCACTATTGAATGATAAAATAAGCGAAATTGAAATGAACAAAGAAGTATATTCATAAGCATTACATCATGAGAGACACATATACAGAGATAGAGTTCAGGAATTAGTTAAATATCATGACATGCTTTAAGTGAAGAGTAATGAATTGTAGGACAAATATTAATATTTGACTAAATAACTTTAGGAATTAGATTAAGATTAAGAAATTTTAGCATGATATTTATAATTATTATTATGTTAATATTTTTAATTTATATATCATAAGCTATAACTTTCTCAAAATGATTTTGCATCCTTGTTTTTAATTTGGCAAACCTTCATTGATATTATTTATGAAATTCTTATCTAGATTAATTGTATGAATTTAAGCAGATGAACTACTAGAATTTATTAATGATGATGAAAATAGTTCAAATAAGTTTGGAGTTAATTTACTCAATTTCTTTAAACAAATCGATTAGAAACTATTGTTAGATAGAAATGTAAAGTTAATACATGGTAAAGTACTTAAGCTAAAAATTATGATGATAAAATCAATTAAGAAAAATTGAATAAATTCATTATAAGATGGCTAATTATTTATTAAATTCAAAGTGAAGATGTTCTGGAAAATCTGAAAGAAACTTTTTGGGGGATAATTTTGATGAACATTGCAAGGATATATAATTTGATTTATTTTTACTCTTAAGATAACGATTTAAGTTCATAAATGCTCTAGAAATTTAGTTAGATTAAATAATCATGTCAGATCAGGAAAGACTTCAATCATATCAACTCAAATGAGAATTGGTAAAATAAATGGTGAACTGAATAAAATTAATGGACTTAAATAGATAAATACTCTACTTTACACACAAATGTAATGAACTTCAAGACACTTTAATAGTATAAGAGGATTGAACTACTGAAGGAATGTTAATTTGAATAGAGAGTATGATTATTTGATATATTTATTTATCAATTAAAATGACTAGCAAGTCTCAACCTCCAATTCAAGAGAAGACTTTCCATGAATGGTCCAAAAATAACTTTTATAGGACCAGTTACATCAATCATTACACACAAGTAAAGGAGTATTCTTAATCGATTAAGTTGCCTTAAGAGCCTAAGAATTCAGCTGTGCCTGGATATGCAGGATATGTGCCATATGTGCAATCAGAAAATCTATATGGAGAGAGATTCTCTGAAGTAGCTAGAAAGTCATTTGCAGATTCTAAATTGGGCAAGTTCAATAGATTGTCATCTACAGGATTCAATTTTGATGCTAAAGAGTTGATTGATCCTCATAAGGAAGCATATTCACACAAATATGGTTGTCAAACATTATTAAAAAACCATCCTTGCACTCACATTGATAAAATGATCACTACTTATCAAGACGGTTTCAAGAAGCCCTAAAATCTTGTTGCTCCGACGTAAGAAATTTAGATATCAATCTAGATTTCGAAAGACTGATAGATATTTAGAAACCTAATAAGGCTAAACTAAAACTTCCGGTTTCCAGAAGAATCATATGTAATTTGATGGATCTGGTTGGATTCCTCATGAAAACATGAATGGTTATAATGATATTTTTATTTTCAGGTGATTAAGTGAGAACAGAGTATCGTATACAATACAATTAAGAAAAACCCTTCCACAGAAATCCTATCCAATTCAAACTAAGAAAGATGAAATAAACAGAAATGAATTATAAGCATACCTGATTTAATAACATATTGAAATATATAAATATTGATTGTTCTAAGATAAATGCATTCTTACTATATATATCTAAAAATACATTTTGAAGAAGTTATCTAATGCCATACAATTTTAGAATCTAATTCATTTGAATCTTATTTTGGACAGCAAATAATCACACAGAGTAATTGGGGAATCTTTTTTCAGATCTTCCAATTTTATCCATTTTGTCTAATCATCAGTTATCTATAAGTAAATATCTCCGTTCTCTCTCCTTATGTTCTTGATTACACAGTACTTATTAGGTCTTGGTAAGTGAGAGTGTTTAGTAAATGTCTTTTTCAAATATAACTTAGAGTTAGATTCTTCTTTCTATTAGATTATATCCTAGGGTAGGACTGTATTAGATTTGTTAATACTTTTCTGGGGAGCCTTCACAGGAGCCTTATTAGTAAGTCTAGACGGTTGTTGTTTTTTAATCAAGGATGATTATTGGAAATCTGTAAATGAGTTTGGAAGGCAATTATTAGAAGATTTGGGGGAAATTTGATGTGAATTAAGTTTGACTTTCTTATGTATTTGGTGGTACTACTGCATTTCATATTCATGCACAAGTTCAAGCATTTGAGGTGTCAATTAATTCATGGGTTCAATAGATATGGTGCCATTACTCCACTTAAATTTATAGGCGATTGTATGTTCGTAAACCTTCTTTTTAATTAATTCTGTGGGGAACTTGATGCTATACATTGTAATGATTAATAATGTGAACGAAATAGAAATTAAGGCAATGTAGATGGGGATGAATTTTGGCATCCTTTTTTTAAGATGTGTTGTATACAAAATTATAGTATAGGATAATCAATTATTGTTAATGAAATTATTAAATGTTATAATAATCAGATAAAGACTTCACCCTTGAATAAGTAGTAGGCACTGGAACATTTGGAATGGTGTATTTGGTATATTTGGTTAAGAATGTAATTAGGCTACTGATAACAGGACTAAGGAGAAGGTGGCAATAAAGAAGGTGTACCAAGATAGAAGATATAAGAACAGAGAGCACCTTATCATTCAAGAATTGAATCATCCATGCGTGGTTATGTTAAGACACTCCTTCTTCACACCAGGGGAAAATGTAAGTCAATCACACATTCATTCTCTAGCCATAAGATGTGTACCTAAATCTAGTTATGGAATATGTACCTGAGACACTTTCAAAAATGATTAGATAAATGCGTAAGTAGAAGCAAAGCATTCCTGCTCCATTAATAAAGCTCTACAGTTACTAGATGATACGAGCATTACTTTACTTGCAGGGTATTAGAGAAAATATTTCACTCTAGCTATTGGGATTTGTCACAGGGACATCAAACCCTAAAATATCTTGGTTAATTTGGAGAACAATGTTTTAAAAATCTGCGATTTTGGCTCAGCAAAAAGACTTGTTGTCGGAGAACCAAACATTGCATATATCTGTTCACGTTACTATCGAGCCCCGGAATTGATTTTTGGAGCCACAGATTACAATACGCAGATCGATATGTGGTCAATCGGTTGTGTGATTGCTGAGATGGTCATCCTTGAACCAATATTTCCAGGAGAGAGTGCTCAAGATTAACTCCTTTAAATTATCAAGATTCTTGGCACTCCCACTCCAGACGACATCAATTAAATGAATCCGTCTAAGGCTGATGTCAGATTGCCCACTATCAGAGGGAATCCCTGGACACGAGTCTTCGCAAAGTAAAAACCGGAACCACTCTTTTTAGATCTAATTACACAAATGCTTACGTATTCAGCTATACATTTATCTTAGATATTCACCGAAAACAAGAATCCAACCCATTGATGCTCTTTTACATCCATATTTTGATGACCTCAGAAAAGAAGGATTCTCTAATCAAAATTTTAAGACCCCCAATCTTTTCGACTTCAATAAATAAGAATTAAGCATCAAACCAGAACTCTATTCCAAATTGGTTCCATAATGGTATTAAAAGCTAAACAAATGATGAAGATTCTTCAAACAAATATTATATATTATATTTTATCTTCTTTGAATGATTTCCTCTATTTTACATCCACAAACAAGTGATTAAATTTCCAATAAAAAATTATTATTATTTTTAATAATGTTAGACCCAATGAGAATGGCAACTGTTCGTCGATAATCAGAATTAATTAAATCAAACAATTAATTGATAGAATAATAACCCAGAGGTAGATAATAATGTGTCAAATCCAATCAAATTTTAACAGACATTGTTAACTAATGCATTCAACGTTCATAACATTCCATAGATGCACTACAACAAATCAGAGCCAGATCCAAAGACAGACGAAGTTCCTACAAAAAAACAACCCGACAATCCACTATAAGCAGTTACAAGGGGCAAACTTCTCCTAGTTTTAGGCAGGACGACCAATCAGTCACATCCTCAATCCAAGAATCCCTGCAAAGTTAGTAGCCTGTGAGATTGTTTAGTTTTATAGAAAACGAACCTAGTTTCAGAGCCAAGGACATGCCCTTATAAATCAATAGAGCAAGTCTAGAAACCAAGAAAAAACCTATCATTTAACTTAAGGAAAATTAAAAAAAACTCACCAATATTGATCAATTATTTTAAGAAGCATTGCGTAAAAGTTAATAAATTACAGAAAAGTTTTATCACTGAATACTAACTTTATATAAATCAATAATTATTTCCTCAAGTCAAATCTATTTATATCTCTATTGTAATTTTGATGACTTTCATGAGAAATGCTAATTATCTTGATTTAAATATAAGTTATCCTCCATTTCCCTAATTATTATAGATCAATATCACTTTTGATAGTTTATTATTATTAAGAGTAAAAAATTAATTATTTAATATTAAATAGGTAGACTTTCTAAATCTTTCTTTCAATATAATTCTAAATTAGCATTTCTTTTCAAATTAATAGATATCATTGTTATTAAAATTGCACAAAAAGAATGCTTTAAGTTTTAATTAATTAGTAATAATTAGATAAGAATTAAACTATTATTTGCAACTTAACAATAAGTTTTTTATTTGATCTATCAAGGATAAAATACTCATTAATGTAATAATTTAATGATTAAGACTTTATTAGATGTAAGTAATGAGGAATAAATGATCTGGAACTCTAAATTCATAGTGATTATGATTAATTCAAGAACACTAAAATTATTTTAATTTTTTTAGATAAAACTTAAATTATTTACAAACCATTTAACTTCAATCTAAGCGAAAACCTATGTAATTTCCATAAAAGAATTCAGAGGAATAGACTAGTAGATTAATAATCAATATGTATTGAGTTTATACAGAAATGATATTTTTAAGTTTTCACATTTCTTCCTCAATTTCTTTCTATGCAGCTTCTTTCAATTCACGTTTTTTCTATTTCTTATCTGATTTTTTTTATTTTTTTGCAAGTTCTCTACGGTCTTTCTTGGTCATGTCCTCAATGCTTTTGGGTTAAATGGTCTTATTTGACAGAGCTGCCTTTTTGATCTATTATTTATGAAGTTTCTTTTTGATTTTTCCTGCCTTCCTGTAATTGACATGTTTTCGATTAATATTACGATCACCAGTCATTAATTAATCGTTAATTTTATTATTTCAAAATACAAATATGTTCCATACTCGACCTCATTTACCCACCTATCCTCAAAATCGCGGTATTCAGTGTCATCTACTCAAGCTCATAATAAAGGAGGGAGTGAAACTAGAAAGGCAATTGATCATTATAGTTATGCAATCAACGATGAAATTGGCAGAGGCTTCAGCAGTCGCGTTTACAAAGGAAGAGATGAAAACACCCTTGAGCCCGTAGCCGTTAAAGTAAGGAGTGACTCATTATCAAGGTTATCGACATGAAGATGGTTAAATAATCAATTCATGCACAACTGCTAAAAAATGAAATAAATGCTTTGAAGGCATTCAATAGTAAAAATATAATGAAACTTTGCGATGTCTTTTAAACATAGAATAATACTTACATCATAACTGAGTTTTGTGATTCGGTAATTCTAATTGTAATATGTACTTCAGGGAGATCTCAACAACTATATCAAGAAGAAGGGCAGAATTGATGAAAGCGAAGCAATCCGAATCCTGCAATCAGTCGTGAGTGCTGTCAATGAAATGAATCAGAAGGGCTACATTCATAGAGACATCAAGCCAGCAAACATTCTTATTGATAAGAATCTTCCAAAATTAGCTGACTTTGGTTTTGCTGTGCCTGCTCATGAAGCTCGATTGTAAGGGAAGAATTTCAATGTAGGAACTCCCCTTTACATGTCTCCACAAGCATTGAGACAACAAGGCCACACTGAAAAAGGAGATGTTTGGGCTATCGGAGTTGTGTTCTTTGAAATGTTGTATGGTAATGCACTTAACCCTAATTTCTAGGTAGAACACCGTACAATGCCTCCTCAGAAGCTGCCTTGATATCCAATATCATGCATCAGTCTTTGGTGATTCCTTCTTCTCCCCCTGTGTCAGATAGGGCCAAGGACTTCATCAGAAAATGTCTCTCCGTAGACGAGAACAAACGATTAAGAGTCAAAGAGATGGCTCATCACGAAATAATCGAATAGAGAGCCTTAACGCCTGTTGAAAGGGCTCCACCTAGGAAACCCTTTGAAGAGATTACGAATCTGAACATCCCAACAGAGCCCTCATAAATTTAAAAGTTTAAGCGCTCTCAAAGTCAAGGAGTCAAAGAGGTTCCAATCAAGGAATACAAGACTCAATTAATTGAAGAGAAGAAGAAGCAACACGAAGCCAAACAGAAGAAATTATAAGAGCAGATTTAGAGGTCATCTAGTTAATAGCAGGCACTTCAACCACAAAAAATTACTAAGACTAGTGCTTTTGAAGAATAAGCACTTCCAGTTTAGAAATAAAAATCTATTAGTTTGGAATTCAAATCTAATAATGAAGTTCTATTTAGTTAAATCAATTTTTGTAGATTCTTATACAAATTCTCATAAAATCTCGCAAGTTGCAAAGGAATTTCAACGGAAATCAGAGACAAACTGTTATTTTTGATGGGTAAGAATATAGCCTTAAAAATAAACAAATTGGCAACAATTTTGGATAAGGAAAACAAATAGGTTAACATCTTTTAGTTAGATGATTATGAAGGATACAAGAAGAGCGAATCTCATGGCAAATTTAGTTAAGCAATCTCTGAATATAATGACAAATACATGAGACATTTCGAAAAGGTGTTGAAACTTGCATCTAAGAATGGTATCTTTTATAATTGATATTTAAGAATTCTAAAAAGATTAATTGATTGGATGCCTTTGTAATAATGACATTACAGAGAATGAATCTTTCTATAAGATTGCATTACAATACTTAAAATAAAGTATTACTGAAATTAAACAAAATTTTAAGTCTGTCTCAGGTCAAAAAGAGTAATTATTGCCTGAAGAAGTAAACAATTCACCTTAATCTTAGTTGTAAATGCCTTCATTCATTCTTTTCGGTCTGCATGGATATTCATAATTGATTTCGAAAACGATGGAAAATTGGTCAGATTATAAATTGTTTTAAAAAGCATCATCCCCTGAATTACTGATAGAAAGGAAACCAGGATAAATGAATTATGGATAATTGGAACAACTACTTTGAAATATCGATTGTTTCTTTATCGAATATCATTAACTGTTTAATATCATCAAGAAAATGCTCATAAAATCAATTAACAAAACCTGGTCTTCTGTAGTTTACGTCTTTGAATCTCACCATCTTTTTCTAAAAGGAGTTCGTCTCACAATCGGAATCTCTTCTTTTCAAAATTGGACTGGGCGTAAATGACTTCACCTTTGAAACACAATCTGTCCCAATAATAAAATTATGATCATCAATTGAATTACTAATCTTTCTTTTAACCTAGGTTTTTTCTGTCCTTGGTGGAAGATCGGAATATTTTCTTCTTGAAATTATTTCAATCTCATTAATTTATTTTATTTTCTATTGGCTTGTGGATGACTTTTTTCTATTGCTTTTATTAGTTTTATTATTATCATAATTTTAATATTATTGGTTTCCTAATGGCGATGTTGATTTTTATTTGTTTTTTTTTTTTGGACTTGAAGAGTGATATTTAGGCGTTATTTCACATACTTCCTTTTTTTTATGCTCTTTTTTAGGCACTTAAATTTAAGGACGAGATGGTTAATCATGCTTCTTTTTTATTAACTTAACTTCTTTAGTTTAGACAAATTGATTCTGAAACTAGCTCTCTTCTGATGGTACTCTCACTTTGGAAGTTGATAAAGGCTCAAAAGAGATACTCTGTCTTGATGGGGATGGAAGCAATGCATTTGGCAAATCTATTTGAGTTAATTGACTTGCAGGAACAAGTGTGATCAACTTCTCTTATTCTGTTAATCTAGTTAAAGTTATTGAAGGTTGCCTTAAGGAATAAGACCTTTCAGTCATTTCTCTTTAGCCAGAACAGCCATTACCCATAATATATTACTTAATAATATATAATTATCAATTAAATTTTGTATCCCAATTTAAAACCCTAAATCTTTGCTGTCTTTAAATATATCAAGGTTTGTAATTTTTAATTTCTTATTATTTTAAATACAGATTCAATAAATTGACGATTGAGTTGAATAATTGCGCGATTAAGTTAGAAATTGTTGGCAATTTCTCTATTTATAACACAAACTAATTCCCCAAGTTTAAATAACATTATTAGTATCATCAAACGGAGTTTAGAATTCATAACACTCCTTCCTTTTTTCCATTCGTTTTTAACTTTATCAAATACATCTAAGATATCTTTAGATCCGCAACACCATCTGTTGAGATACTCCAAATAAGCAATAAGATTATGTATAAATTATACTATACGTCATATATTTGGTAATAAAAAAAGAAAATTTTAATTAAAATAACATACAGTCTTTCAATTTCAGGTCAGTCAGGTTTATGCAAAATATTAATTACCCTTATTAAGCATTAAAGGTATACAGTGACTATATTATTAGATAACATGGATTATTCAATTAAATATTTGTTTAATTTAAAGATAAAATCAAAAATTAATCAATAATGTTCAATTTCTAAATGGCAATTTTTTTATTGTTTCAATTATTATAAATTTTAAAATAGTAATGGCATATTCTAACTTAAGCTCACAATCTAGTATTTATCATAGATTATAAAGAAAATTGAAATGAATTGATGATATTATATTATAGCAGTTATATTTTTATAAAGTAAAGACTAAAAATACATTATTCTTAAATTCTAAAATATCTTATAGCTACCTATGACAATGAGATCTAGATGGAGTAGTTACTATTTATATAAATAAAAGAATTAATGCTTAGATGATATTTTGTGTTTTAATATAATAATTGTTTGCAAATAATCAAATCTATGGAATATTCTTTGATAAATTTTGAATTCTTTCAACATCTTATTAAGTTAGGCTGCTTGAAAGATAATCAGAGTCCTAGTGTAATTAATTGATATGATTACTGATTTAGCTCCACTCGTTTAAGCATTGTTCTTTACTACTGTAGTGGATGTAGTCACAATTTTTTACTAACTTTAAGGTCTCTTCAATAAATCCAATTCTGCTTCAGTCAAAATCAACTTCTCTTAACAAGCATGATATGTATCATTTAACTCCTTAAATTTAGTTCTCCAAATTTTGGCTTCTTCTTCATAAGTCTTGACAGACTGACTAGTTGTAACCTCTTCAGTCAATGTTTCAATGTGTGAACGAAGTTCTTCAATTTCTGCTTCCAGATTTTAAATATGTTCATCCTTATCATCACATTACGATTTGTAAAACTATTTCTGTTATCTCAAGGCCTCCAATTCTTACTTCAAATCATTATTGTCATTATTAAGCTTTTTGATCTAATTATTTAGAGCTTATAGAGACAATTAATTCTCTATTTTCATATCAGAAATGGTTTAATCTTTTTCGTCATTTTCACATCTAACTTTGTACAGCTCATCCTGTAACTGTTTTATCAAAGCATCCTTATCCTCGTCATTTGAGGCTCTCAATTCAACAACTTAAGGTTCAGGCTATTATTGAGATTGACGAATTCTATCTTCTAATTCCTTCATTCTCTTATCCCAAAGTTCTTCAAACTTCTCTAAATCCACGAATTCAATTGGTCGTTATATCACAGTCTAAATAACTATAATGCTTACAGTCATGACAGGTTGAAGAGGAACAAAAGTAGGAGGCACATATGTCTACCTCAAACCAGATAAACCCAATCCAGAACTTTGAGAGGGTGCGTATGACTGTGGCTACAAGTTATTCTGAGAATAGGGTTATCTTTGTGACTCCAATGTTTGCTGTGGCAATTGTTTTATTGATCGTTAAGGAATTTAGGTGTAGCTTTGTTAGGGCACCTGTTGTGGTGGTTGTGATTGTGGAGGAGGCTATTTATTCAAAGTTTAATATACTTGTATCGACTAAACCGATGGTTAGCTAGGAGGATATGATGGTTGTTGTGCGAAAGGCGGATTGCTCTTTTATGGCTATTGAGTTGGATAACCTTTTGGAGGAGTACTCTGTGGATATTGTTGATAAGGAAAAGATCTCTAGGTCTTAAGTTTAGATGCATTTATACTAAAGGTTAATTCATTGGGGATTATTGTCCAGTTAATGGATATGGATTGCCACCATATTGGGGATTTTGGTTTATCTGATTTGGATACCCATTCATCTAAGGTGACCTGGCACGATTTAAAGGATTAAACATAATAAATCAATTTTTTTATTAAAAGTTTAGCAATAATTCATAAATAAATATTTATTTTATAATAGACAAACTACGCAATTCTTATTTTTGATTTGCACATCTTTTTTTCATCCAATGGAAAAACATTTTTATTAATATAATATTTCTAATTGTATTTGATCCCATCATTCCGCAGGATGATTAATTGTTTCTACACAATCTAATCTAAATTATAAATATAAATCAAATATAAGAAAATTTGGGTTTTTTATTGAAAATATTTTTCATCTTAATTATGCACCTCTCATTCTTTATTTTCAAGCCACCTCTTCTTTTTTACAGTCATCTTATACTGAAACTATCACCTTTTATAAACACTATCCTTTTTTAATAAAATCAATTAGTGTGTTTAGTCATTCAAGAAATTTGAAGAATATTGTTGCAAAAGGTGATAATAAAATTGAGGTATGTATAAAGTAAAAGGAATAAGTAGGGTAAATTACAGAGAAAGAAGTTGAAAAGTCTATAAATAACTATTTTACCTTGAATGTATATTTGTCATATTATTAATTTCTTAATCATGATAATAATGCAAAGTGATTTAAATAAGCAAATTACTATGAAATATTCTGGTATATAATTTCTTACAAAACTCACTATTACTTATCAAATTAATTATTAATTAGTAGTTTGAATAGGCTGAGGATGATGGAATTTTTGTGTTAAATAATAGTAAGTGGATTCTTCAAGAGGAAAATGTAAATATCATAGAGAGAAAGTGTTTTGTATTAATAGTCAATTTAGAACACTATGGAACAATGCACTTTTATTTTGATGTGAAGGAATATGATGATCTTTTTATTTATTTTTACTAATTAAGCTTAAATACTTTTATAGATCAAAATGTTTGTTTTATTTTTATAAGCAATGTAGTATTAGGAATGAAGTTTGAAATTTATGATTGTTTATTACAAGTATATTATATTTTTTTGAGCCGCTTAGAAGTTTATCATTAATTTACCCCTTAAGAAGTTACATATTAAAATGAAAATTAAACCACAAATTTATACAAGTATAGATTCTGAAATAATAAATGAGATATCTAAAAATCATATCATTGTAAAAGATGAATTAAAACAATTTTGTAGTACTTTCAACAATTGCAATTATATTAGTAGATTTGGTTGCAAAAGATTTTGTTTAAATCAAGTTGAAAAAAAGCTAGAAACCATAAGAAAAAGCCAAATATCTTTTTCTTCTAATCTGAAGACGTTCTGGCAACAGCACATTTGTATTAATGAAAGAGAATGGTGAAATTAAGGGCTAAGGGAATACCAAATTAGAAATATGATAGCAGAACTCTTTAATCATATAATTTGATATTACAATATGAGTGTATAAGATGTTATTTAAACCTATGTTTGCCAAAGAAGAATGTAATGGCTGTAATTATAGATCATGATATTAATAATTTTAAATTCTTAAATAAAGTTGAAGAAATTTCATGGATTATTGATGGATTTTATAGAATGTAAAATAATCAAGAGGTTTTGTTAATGAAGCAAACTTATAGTGTCATTAAGAAATTTATCATAATTGAAAAAAGGGGTTTAATGTATGCTATTTAGAAACTCTTACTCAATTATAAAGAGGCTTCAAACAACATCCTATTAAGTATCATTAAAGAAGGGCCTAACATAACAAATAATTGACATATACAAAAAAATTGATTAAACACTGGTTTCTTCTTTTTATATTAATAATTGCAATCTCCTTCATGATTAAAAATAAAATATTTGAATATTTGTTACTTTTTTGAATTGATTTCTAAGGCATTATTAAAAATTGGCTAGATTATTTTGAATACACATGTTAATTGATTAAAATTTAACAAACTCAGAAATTTAATGAATAAATGTATTTAGGAATAATATTAGTTTTTTAAAATATTTATTTAATGCGTAATATTAAGTAATATTTTATCATCCTTACCTTGCTTTAATTTAATTATTCTTAGCTAGATTAATTCATGTTGAGATTAGATCAAAGAAATTTAAGAAATAAAACATGGTAATGAATGAAAGTAACATTTTCCTCAGATTGCATATTTAAATTAAAAATAAATGACAAAAAAGAATAAATAAATAAAATATTTTATTTAAAAATGAATGATACAATTGAATTTGATGATTGCTTAAATGAAGCTACTCCATAAGAAAAAGATATCATCAATTATTTGTAGGAGTTAAAATTAATATTCTTGACCGACCCTTAATAAAAACAGTTTAAATTTGAGCAGGCAAAGAAATAATTGATATTTTCTTTTCGTTCATTAGATTCCGATACAGATGCATCTGAAATGACACCACCTATGTTAGTTAAAACATCATCCCTACTATTGACCAAATCCCCATTAAGATAAAAGAGACTCTCTATTGTTTCAGAGCACCCCTTGATCTGAATTATTTTTGTATTATAATTCAATAAAAGTTGACATTTTTAATTAATCTTCATAAGTTGATAGGCAGACAAGAGAAGAATGCAGGAATGATACTCAAATCTTTTTAACAATCAAAAATTTATAAGAATGTTGATGGTTTCATGATTTTAATAACTCAAAAAATCAATTAAAATTGTTAATTTCCATTTATTGTAAGTAAAATTTGAGTATTCTTATTCAAAAATGCGTGCTTAATCAAAAGTAGATTTCAATTAAATCAACTAAATAACGATCAATTAAATTATTATAAATTGAATATATTGAATTCTAAATAGATGTTGATTAATTACTTATAAGTAGTTATTCAAAAGAAAAAGTACTCCATAAAAAAACGATAGGATTTTATAAATTATTTATTAATTCTGTTAGAATATAAATTTAGTAATCATAATTTATCTTGGAGCTCCTTAATATAGTTATTGAGCATTTTACTAAAGTGGTATTTTTTTTCTATTTGATAATTAACAACTTTATACATTATAAATGATTTTCAACTTCTTGCAATTCTTTCTATTTCTTGATCTATTCTATCATAAAGTTTTATAGAATTAATTTCAACTAAGGATTAGATCCGTTAGAATTTTTGATTAAAAGTTATAAATCTATTTTAAATTGATCCGATTGAATTAATTCCATTAACTATTCTTCATTGATTAAATCCTAAATTCCTTCTACTTTTTGACATAAATGCAAAACCTTTATTGGATTTTACAACACATTTGTTATTCTGTCTTTAATTGATTTTTATTATTGTTTCTACTAACAACTATTAATTGTTTATGAATGTGTTCTTTTTTATCTATTTTCTTAAGCTGAATTGATCTTCTTAACTTTATCCAAGGATGTATTTAATGATTTTCTAAATAATGACTTACTTTTTAAAAGTGGGGTGTACTTTTCACTGTTATCTTAATCATTGCTTTTATTCTCATATATAGAAGGAGGCAAGTTATAATTGATTTATGAAGTTAATGGTCTTCTAGGTGTACATGGTTTAAGTTAATGAATTTTTAGTAAGTTCTCTTTTTCGAGCAAATCAACAACTTCTGTTATTTGTGTGTTCGAGGGTTAAGAGAATTAAGTTGGATATCGCTCTTTAAAAGGTTGTCTACTGTTAATTTGAGTCTGGGTATAAATTTGTTGAGATTGCAATTGTTATACTATTTTCTAAATATCCTTATGAATTGATTATGAACTATTTGAACGAACAATTGCAGGATTCTATGAGGATATATTTATTGAATGTCTCGGCTTTCTATAATAAAACCGATGATGAGTATAAAGAGAAGTATTAGTTTTGGCAAATATTCCTTCCTTTTACATAATTTCGTACTAGGTTGGAACTAAGACTGGATTTTTGTTTTCTTTATTTGATTGTCTATTGACGAACATATCCATTGGCGAATAATTTTTATTATTATTATCCGTTAACGATTAAAATTGTACTTTATTATAATTAATTCTAAAGTGAAGCAAAAATCAATAAAGGAGGAACTAATATAATCATAAAATATATATTGATATTTTTAGATCTTTATGCTTGATTGAGGTGATAGGTTGTGATTGAAATAAATAAGAAATTGTAAATAATTATAGTATTTTAACATCATCCAATTTCATTATTTAATAATGATCAAATAGCAGAAATAATAATTCAAAAAGAATTAATTGAAATATAAGAAACAAAACAATTAATTATGTATTCATCAAAATATGAAATCGAATCTTTTTTAGGATAAATAGAATATTCATCATATATCTTTGTTCTATATTATTATTTCCCAAAGTTCAGGTAATTTAAACATAATTAAATACAATTTAACTATAGATTTAAGTTAGACAAATCAAGGAAAATATTATATTAAAATCTAGTTGAAATTTTGAAAATCTAATGAAGGAGGTAAAGCTTCAACTCATTTATGAAGATAAAATATCTAATAGAAAGAAGTAATTTGGATTAATACTATCTCATCTTCTAATGACATTTAAAACTTTATTCTATATTAATTAATATTAATGATATCAGAAACATAATTCAGAAGAGATTTGAATGAGAAGTTTTCTCTCACTGGTCTAGTTCATGATCTCAGTGAATATGGGATACAGTAAGGATCTAGCTAACAAGATTTCTCTATGAAGCTATCCGATTATATAAAGACACAAATAAGATGAACAGGAAACAAATGGTTAAATCCCTTCAAGAGATAGCTAATGTAAGGATTTAAACGACCTATTTCTAGAAACCTTTGACTGAATCACAATAAGTTGAGTTATTTGATTGGTTTGAGGATTATTGCATTTAATAGATAAGGAAATTTAAATAGTAAAAAAACAAAAGTTTATTCATTAAATCAATCCAAGCGATCAAGAATGACTAAGCTAGGGAATTAAATGAGAATTAAAATAGGCAACTATCTTAACCAATTAACAAAAAAGTAAAAGTTAATGATAACAAAAATAATGAAAAACCTTATACGTAAAGCGACCACGAAGAAGACCCTGAACCTATTTCATAAGAAAATAATTCTAATTAAAAGTAGATTTACATTGTATTTTTCACTTAGTCAAACTGACTAATTGATGTTACTCTTACTATTGACAGCAGTAAATCAATAACAAAAAACTACAGAAAGTCAATCGTAGGTAAAAGTACAAAATTTATCATTAAATTTAATTAGCAGAACAATAAATTCATCAATGAAAGATGCAGGTACTTTCCCAATTGTACCAATAAGCATTGTTAATATGTTCATCCTACAATTAAAGTATTAGATTTAGAAATTTCATATAGTGCAAATATTTTCCGCATTGTAAAAAGGGATATCAATGCATTTATATGCATCAGCAATGCAAGCATGGAATTCATTGCAAAAACCCTTAATGCAGTTATGAACATCCATATAAAAAAAAATGATATAATTAACTAAAAAGATTCATTAATAATTATCTTATTAATACTTGGTTAAGTTAAAACAAAGATATAAATTAGATTGCTGATTTACAAATAATTTTAAGTATCTTCTAATGTTATTAAAGTTTGTTTAATTTTCTAAAGTTATTGGTAACAAAATAAAAGATGAATAATTGTGATTTATATATAATGGATTATATAGATTTATTTTAGAAAGCATCTAATTATTAAATATATTGTAGATATTTTAATTACAACACTGAATATTTTGATATTAAATTGTAAACTTGTTAAAATAAATTGCTTAAAATAAAACAGGTTCTAACTCATACATTAATTCTAGATATCAAATTATAAATATCATTCTGAAAGCATTTTCTTATAAACTTGTTCATTTCTTTAATTGTACTACTTTATTCTATTTTACAAATTCAATTTTAATTCTTTTGTTTCCTCTAAATCTTAATTTAATTTTTTTATCAAAGCCTCGCACTATTCGAAATCATCTTTTTGATATGAAATCTTGGCTTGTCTAAATATGGCTTTTTCACTCTTTGGGTTTACTTTTAAAGCTTAGTGAGAATAATTCCACGCTTCATCTAAACTACCTTAGAGCAATTTACACTATGCCATATTATTATTACATTGCTCCAAGAGTAAATTGTATTTCGATTCTTCCTAATCTCCTTCTGGAAATGTATAATCAAAATATACTAATGCCTAACTAATATACAAATTTATATTACTTTTTAATAAAAATAGGCTGCTTTGTCATATTCTTTATTTTTAAAACCCACATTTCCTTCTTATTTAAAGTATTCAATATTTTCAAATTTTTCTTTATTAGTTTTTTCATAAATCTCCCTTTCTTTTCTTCTATCATGAGTGCAAGCGATTTAAGAAAGATAAGGATTAGATTAAATAATTTTTTCTATTTCTATTTCTTCAGCTGTTTTTGGTTTAGTTTTGTCGCTATTTTCTATGTAATTTTAAAATTTTTAGTAATCTATGGAGTACTTCGTCTTGGAATCTACTTTGTCGAATGACTGGCTTATTTCTTCTTGAGTTTATTATTATTATTATTCTTCTTTTTATTTTTTTTGTTTCAACAATATCTTTGGCGAATAGTATTTAAGAACCAGATCAGCAAATTCTTATGATTCCTTATTGACCTTCATGCTTGAGGGATAATTAATAAATATAATTAAAATAAAGGTAATAAATTCAATAATTAATTTGTTTTAATTTCGATTTGAACAGGTTGTTCTCTTATTTGATATAAGAGAGCTCTAATCTCAATTATTCAGACTCGATTTTCAATTATTAAAATATTCTTAGAGCTACTATGTATTATTCATCAATCTAAAGTCTAATAATTTTAGTACTTCCTAATTACTTTAGTAATTCTGTTCAAGACTAGCTATCTGCTGCTTCAATTATTGTACTTTTTCTCTCAATAAATCATTTTCCCTTTCGAAATTTTCTTATTGTTTTTTCATACTACTCTGAGGTTGTTAATCAAAATGAGAGTATGATCTTTGTTGCCTAATTGGGGTTTGAGTTCTATATTATTGAACCGGAAGAATTGTAGACTATCTTAAAAGTTCTATAAAGTATTCATTTAATCGATACTTTAAGGAGAATGTCTAACTTATCTATAAATAATTTATTATGGCAGCATTAGCAGTTAGAGTAATTTTAAATAATATTAATTTCTTTAATTAATACAAATATCTATTCAATATCTAGAAGTCGATCGATATCAACCTAATTATTTTTTGCTACATTTATATCAATTTGCAAACCCTGTTAATATAGATATCAATAATTATTGGTGTCATATAAAATAAAATTAAAATTTAGGCGTTTCTTTTTGGTATGAAAATAGACAGGAAACAAATTAATTGAAATAAAAATGACAATTTTCCTGAAATAATTGTGATGTTGATTTCACATTATAAAGAGATAAATAATTAACAGGATGAAATAAAACGATTTGGATTTTATTTATCCATTAGTTTCTAATTATTTATGTTATGACTATTGTATTTTAACTAATAGTAGAAAAGTTAAAAAAAGTATAATTTCAAGTTCTGATTGATTATTTTAATTGTTTATTAAAGTTTTTAAAGGAGAGGAATAGAATTTATTAAATTAGAGTTATAATAAATTAAAGAATAAACTTTTAAGTAAAATAAGAAGTGCAATTCATAAATTCTGCTTGAATTTTTCACCTTTATTCTAGACATTGAGGTTTAATTTATTTTCAACTGAATAATCGTAGTTCCTTTTTATAGTATAAATTTAATTAGATATAAATAATTTGAAAAATAATGCAGGCAAGATCGTCACAGGAAATGATTATTTTTTCTTGTAGATCAATATGCAATCCAAATCTAAGAATGACTCCAGTAACTGAATCTTTTGCTACTTAACTAATCTATAAATTAGTCAATATCCATCATTTATAATAGATATTCAATATGTAAAATATAAAGCATGCCTTTCATAATTACTAATTCTGATCAAACTTTCTGATTTTTTAATTGAAAATATATTACCGTCTGAATCAGCCCATTTGAGTTAAATGAAAATACCATATCATCACTTTCATAACATTTTATCTTGAACACAATTATTTTACTGTCTTCATGGTATAGAAATCTAGATGATAAATTTAAAATTATGAATTAGATTAGGAATTCTTTATTTAATAAAATAAACTTATTATTACAGATACTAATAATCCTTAAAAAATGCAACACATCGGTTTCATTTTCTAATTGCAATGATATTTTAGGTATGACGATCATATAGGTATTATTGATGTTGAAAACTTTTACAGGTTGGCATATTTGGAATTTAAGACTATATTTTTATAGTATTACAAAATACTTTATATTTAAAAAATAATGTGCAATTTAGAAAATATCAATATTGTGTATTATTGGAATGAAGACTATTACTTTGGAGAATTCATTTGCTGGCTTGTGTAAAGTTATAGTTTACATGAGAAAAGGTTTAAATAAAAAGAATATAAATATTTTAATTACATTATATAAAAAGATATAATAATATTTATGATTTTTTTAATATTTATTTTTCTAAATTGAGAGTAAAGAATATCAGTATGTCTGCCTCTTTAGAACAAAAAATCTCAAGAACATCATCAGTCGATGAAAAACAAGATAACATACTTATAAAGAGCAAAATTTAAAAACTGATTCAAAGCAAGGATAATAACAATCTATATCAGTTATTGAAAAAAAACAAAAAGAGCAGGTATTTACTAACCATATAGTTAAAGAACTTCATACAAATAATTAAAGTACGAGGGGATTATTTATAAAATTGGTTAGAATCTCTGCATAAAGGCAGATAGAAGAATAGATTACGTTGCTAAACTCCTTAAAATAGTCAAACTTGTTGATAATGATGATGAAGTCTACCCTTTAATAAAAGTTCAATGGTATTATAGAAAATTTGAATTGGAAAATATACCTAAACCGTATATGGATTACATTTCTGAGAACGAGGTGTTTAAAACTAATGAATATGATTATATTGAGATTGAAAGTATAGTGAGTTTAGCTTCCATACTTACTTACGAGGAATTTGATTAATTAGAAACGATGAATGATACGACGTATTTTATGAGAGCGGCCTATATAAATCGAACTTTTTAACCTCCAATTGAAGAATGGGCAACAACATGCATATGTTAAAAGCCTCCAAATCCAGATTTGAAGTAATTTAAATGATTAAAGATTTTAAGGTATATATAATGTGAGGCATGTCAAGGTTGGTGCCATTTGATATGTTTAAATTTGTCTAAAGAAAAAGCAAAAAAAATACTAAACTTTATTTGTCCGAAATGTTAATAATGAAAGTGATTGTAGCTAATTATTATAAATGTTATAAAGAAAAAATAAAACAAATGTGTACTCTTGTATATCTTTTCTTTTATATGAAATTCTTTATAAAGAAAAAATTCTGGTTCCGAATAAACTGAACCACGTTTAAAAATTTACATCAAATGATTTAAAAATATTATAGAAGATTCTTGAATAAAATAATTGATGTTAATGCAAAAAATGTATTGAAAATTAAAGCAGACAATATTCAATTCAACCAATATTTCTTAACAAAAAGTCTATTTAACAATTCCAATCAACTTGATGCTTGTATACAACTTCTTCATCTGGGTCGCAAAATATGTATGAATCATATTCTGCAACTTGTTTTTCCATAAATTAAGAAAGGTCAGCTTCGTGAACATCGTCTAATGATAACATGTAATCAACAAATTTATGATCAAATATCTTTTAACTACTTTATTGTTCAATTTGTAATATTTCAGATTAATTATTATTTTGAATACTTTCTATTTCATCAACTTTAATAGATTTATTTACATTATTGACTGCCTCTATACTTTATCTCTTTTTTTGTTTGTATCTAACATTCTTTTTCTTAACTTTTTTTTCCTTATGTTTTTCTATTCCTGATTATGTTGGTTCAACTTATTCTGTTAAGGCTTATTCCAATTAGTTTTCAGATTCTTCAGACTCCTTTGGTAGATCTATAAATTATTAAAAAATTTAATTCGATTAATATTATCTAATTTCTTCCAGTATCTCTTCTTAGCATTCCTTTTGTGTAGATACTCGACAGGTTTGTACTTATTATTCATATTCCTCTTCAATTTCTTCTTTATCCCAAAAGTTTAAAGCATATGATTGTTTTGTTCTTGGTTTTATTTCAAATTTACTAAAATCAATAATTTTTAAACTCTTGTGCTTGCTTTTGAAGTCTAATGAAACGTTATAATAATCATTGTAGTTTTGCATAGCTGTCTAGAAGTTGGTGGGTATTTTAATTTTAAATGCCTCCTTCTCAATCCTATCTACTATTATTTCAAATTACTTTACTAAGTTTTATAATCTCAATATTATTATTTTTCATACTTCTCATCATAATCAGTGTTTTTCTAATTTGTTAAGTATTGCTTATGTTATTATATTAAACTATCCTAAACTGCTTCAATATTATAAGCAGGATTTTGCTTTTTAATCAACGCGTCCACTGTTAAATAATCATCTTGAATAACCGTTGGTTACAGAGCAACGCTTCTTGTAAAATATTATCTTTTAATTTTAAATAACTTAGAGCTTTTCTTGTTTTAATTTAAGATATTCTCGATCTTTTCCTTAAAACCATCTAATAAATACTTTTTCCAACCAGCTCTTTGAACATGATTCCCTTCTAATAATTGTGAGTATTTATTTTGCAAGTAGTTTTTTTAGAGGATTTTCCCCTCTTTATAATTAAGACTTAATGGACTGATATTATTCAATAATCTCTTATTAGAGTTAGGAATATCATTTATTTTTTACTAATGTGCTAAGATTTAGGATATGTAAGAAGATTCAGTGTATAAATTATGGGAAGGAGTGACCCTTTAAGCACTTCTGCTATTCTTAGTGTGTTTTCCTTCCAAACGCGAAGAATGTTATATATACATAAATAATTAATTAAAGAAAAATGCTTGTCATATTATTTTTGGCATGTAACTATATTTCTTAAGTTATCCTCTTTATGAATGACTAGAAATTTCTTTTTTAATTGAAACCAACTCCTTTTTGAGATAATTTGCCAAATTTTCATGCAAATGCAGTTACTCCTTAAGGCCCATTTGCAGTTCCCTCGAAGATTTATTCTAAAAGTTAGAAACTTGTAATTCTATATTTAATTATTAGATTTAAGCTAAATGCTCACCCAATTTACTAGGATTAGAATAATTATAATACATTAATGCCAAATCTAAGAAATCTTTAAGTTTAATATTTTAACTATATTCTTCATTTTCTTTGTCTTACATTCTTGAACAATAACTATTGGACTTCTAACTGTAGGCACTCATGTTGTTGGATTTCTAGATTATAAGAATAAGGTACATTTCTTCCAAATTTCATAAAATCGTAAGATGTGGCTAACTAAATTGCCATATCATGGACTTATTAAATTTGCCTTGACAATTTTTCTAATTTCTTATCCACTTCTTTTTACAAAATTTCCTGACAATTAATCATGAGAAAAGTAACAATCCCTTCCAACCAACTTTAAAGTGACTCACTGATATTCATCTTTTATAGGATTGTTTGCACCCTTTTTGAATTGGTTTATTATGCCAATGTATTTAACCCATAAAAGGTTAATTAAGTCTCTGACAATACTACATTTCTTTTAGAAAATTTCTAAACCATCTAAAGTTACTTTGTTAATGTGGTTATGGATTTTTAGAATTAAGAGGCTATGTAATCTACTCCACAATTCAGCAATTGTATGTTTGTCTCATATTAGATTTTGAGTTATTGTGTTTATTTCATCATATCTGGAAATGACTTTTTTTGTTTTTCCTCTAATCTATCAACATCCAATTCAAGATAATTAACTTTTGTTTCTGTTTCTTTAATCAATTATATTGCTTGTTCTGATTCTCTTAATCTGTAAGATATTGAATTTAACTAGTCTTGAAGTTCGATGATTTGTTATTGATAATTTTAATTCTGTATGAGCACTGATTGATAATCTTAAAATAAAGCTTCATTGTGTTGCGAAACATGATGCAATTTTGATTTCAGCTCTTGATTACTTCTATCAGAACTAGGTTTTCTGATATCTCCTTTTAGTCCTTTTAATTGTTCTGTTAATTATGCAATTTTTTCATTTCTTTCGTTTAAATCCTTAGTTGAGCATTTTAGTTTTTATTTCAAATCTAATATTTCCTCCTCTTTTGAAGCTAATTTTTACTAAGCGTCATTTAGCTTTATAATATTTTATTCTAAGAGTCTATTGGTTTAATACAATTTGGCTAATAATTCAGGAGGCTAATATAGAAAATGAATTTATTACGTGTGAAAATACTTCGGAATTTCTTTTAGTTGAATTAGAGATTATTTCTGGTTTTGGGGGTTTGAACTTCAATTGGGTGTCAATACTTGCATCATGAAATGAAGCTGATTTATGTTTGAACATATTAATTTTAAATTTTATAATAACGATGAATTTATTTGATAATCGATATTGAAAATTCATAAATGTATATGTTGATGTGAAAATATTAATAATTCACCATTTTTGCATAAATAAACTAACTCTAAGTTATTCTTTTGAATTTAATTTTGAGTGTATATTTTGATGTCTTAAATCATTGCAATCTTTTAGGATTTTAGAAAGATCTGCATTTTCTTTGCGAGGTAGAAACAAATCATTCATTTAAGTGGGGTATTAAATTATTATTCGATAGCTTAATTTTTTATAGCCATTTTCAAATTATTTAGAGTAATTTATTTAGTACTTGCCCCAATGAATTGGACATGACAAATTTGAAACAATATTATGTGAAACTAAGACAACTTTTAATTTATTCATGAAGTAGCAGTTCGTATAATAATTAATATCATTCAAATACTTATCCATTTGAAAATCACTTAAAGTTGATTTAATTGTATTGGACATGGATTAAGGATAAGTGTTAAGATACTCAGGCTTGGAGGGATGTTGGAGAATTTATACAATAAATTTTATATGAATTCAATCGATTTGTAGTTAAACCATGAAAACAGAATAAAAGAATAAAGAAGACTAAAATAATCAATATGAAATTTGTTGCAAGATTGTCTTTTTAGTCATTTATGAATAAATCACTTTGATTTATAGCATAATTTGTTATTACTTGAATTTTAAAAAATATACTGATTCAAAAAATTCATTTAGAGGAATTCAAATCAATTCTTATTTATAAGAGCTGACCCCAAAGGTGATAATATTTCTCCCTTTAGAATTAATTTCTTCAATTCGAGAAATTTTTAAAAAATCGATAACAAACATAAAAAATGGCTGAATATAAATTAGCTATAAATTTCCCTTATTAGCTATTTGAACATTTTTAAGGAAATCTACTTTATACTAATTTGATCACTCCTTATATTTTATTTATTATCAAGAAAGAAATTACAGATTTTGGAATATTTGTAAAATTAGTATGAAAAGGGATTTTTCTTTCATATGTAAATTTCAATGTTTGATTCCTCAAATTTCATTTTAATTTATTTTTATTATGTCTAACATAAATATCATGATGAACAAATCAATTTAAAAATTTAGAAATCATTAGCGTATAGACAACCAGAAAAAACATTCTTTAATCAACTTGGTACTCTAGGAGAGTTTATCAACGAGATAAGTAATAAATTATACGATTTAAGGCAGCACAGAAGCTATAAATTAAATATTCCACAGCTAAGTATATTGTGAAGAATTTTAAAAATAAAGGGAATAATTTAGATGAACACGAACAACCTCAAAGTAAATAAAAATCAATGGTCTCAAATGTAAGTATTATCATAGATGTCTCTGATGGAAATATTTCTCTAGTGAAAAATAGCCAGAAATTATGCTATTCTAATCAGCATTCTCTGTAGGAGGAACTCAAAAACAGCAATTTACTTTAAACTTCAGAGTTAATTTTTTAGAAGTTAGGGAAAATTCCTTGGAATAAAATCAATTACAAAGACTGTCGTGACACTGAATTTTTAAAGGCCTATATACTTAAATAACATTATCTGATGAAAAAATCATGAAACATTTTATATTTATAGTTAATTAACAAAATCTTAATCAATCCAATTTAAAGGATAATTCGTTATATTTGTTTTCGATTGAATTTTGTGATATTACAAGATCAGTATCATAAATTCATCAATCTAATTTTTAGTTTAAGTACTCTCGAGTTCTGCAGTGTTCCCATGTCATTTTATATTTTCTAAAGCTAAATGCAATTTTTTACTGACTATAAAATTATGGTTTATTCAATATCAATTTATTTTTAGTCTTCGTAATTAAATACAATGCTAATCAAGCATTAATGTTGAAACATTTTGAAATCTTATATTTATTTAAAATATATCCTTGAATATCAAGTTATTTTTGGTAGATGTTATAGAATGAATAATTTGAATAAATTGAGGAAGTTGAAAAATTCATTCACCTTTCCCATCCTTACAAACTATCTTTTGGTGATATTCCAAAAGAATATCAATCAATAACTCTCATAGAAATGATTTTATTATACATCCAAAATAGATAAAATATTCATTTCTGAAAACTTATTCCTTAGTAAGAATTCCCAATTAAATTGGTGTTAAAATGATATTTATTTTATTTCGCCAGAGAGAAGCTATCAGCCTTGACGAGATTATAATTAATTATTATTTAAAATGGTTGTAAGAAGTATTTAAAGTAACAGAGAAAACTTGATAATATTTTAAGATTTTAAGTTATTTGACTTTAAAATCTGTATATAAGCAAGGAAAAATATTTAAGAGTAATTGAAATTAAACTATGATATATACTTTTCAAGAGTGGAATCTTATGCTTGCCTATGAATTATGTAATTAAATTAAATATTAGTTTTTTAGCTAAGTACAATATATTATATATATATTAAATTCAAATTAAATAATTTATTTAAATTTATTGCTATTAACACTCATAATCTAAATAACTATTTAAAATTATAAGATTTGGAATATAAATAAGAATAAAAGGTTTATGTATTCTGTTAATTTTTTTTATTTATATGGCTTAAACCTAGATTCAATGTGAGTAGAAACAATTCATACAAAATACAATGAGACAGCCTTATCAAAAAATAGGAAATGACATTAGAGAAAAAGTGATTTACGACATAGTTTTCTAAGAAAATTCGATTAAACAAGTACTCCTTCAATTTCATCCTTTAGACAGCTTTAAAATATGGTTTGAAGTATTCTACAGCCAATGGTATTGTGTAGACGTATTAACAATAAGGGAGGTCGATGAAAAAGGATAAGAGAAATAAGAAACAATATTATAAGAGAAACAAAATTCTTGTCGTTGTCGATCTCAAAAGTGGTGATCTGAATCTCTATCAATAACAAACAACATCCAATGTATTAATTATAGAATCCTCAATCAACCCCCACAATGTTGGTAACTTCAAATAGCCAGATTAATTTCGTAATTCTAAAGAGTGTACTTAATAATTCATCCTTCAGGACATAGAATCTATCTCGAACAATTTAATCTTTTGGATGAAACAGAATATGAAATTTGGAAATAGCAAAAATGATGTTTCATTTAATAATTTCAAAACTCAAAAAAGGTTGGCAAAAAACTATAGTTCATAAACCTAATAGGAAATTCAGCCAACTTGTTAATTACACAAAGCAATAAGGAGGGAAGAATTTTAGAAAAAATATACATCTAACTCCTTAAATTATGAGAAGAATAAAAAAGATGAAGAACACATTGATGAAGAGTAGTCTGATTAAATGAAGAATTATTTTGAATTGCCTGTCAATAGTTTGGATAAAAATTATACTATCGACAGATAGTTAGGTAATATGCTTAGTTTATGGAAATAGTAAATTTTTTTAATGTCATAATAATGATGAAATATTTAATTTAGATATTTCATATAAACTTTTTTAAATATATATGTTTATTAATTTACATAAATTTTAGGTATACACCTTAATGATCATTAAATTAATACGTTTTTATAGTATAATCATTATAATTCGTATCAAATGCAATAATTATCCATCTATTTAATTAAAAGATAAAAATTATTGCATATTTAATTCTGACTAATAAATAATTTAAATAAATATGATAAAAGCTTGAATTTTTGAATATTCATACTGAAATGAGAAGAAATATTTTTATAATTTTATCCATAACCTAAAATGCACTTCATCAATAGTGTATTGAATCAATTACATTAAAATATAAGCTTGAATTATTTTTTCACAAAGATTTGTTTTTTTGATTAATTAACAAATAATAGATAATTTATATTTTATTTGATATATGAGATATTATTTAATTATTGGTTTAAAATATTTAGAAATAACATTAATTATCAAGATTAAGTATTCATCAATTATATTAATGTAGTTGCCAGGGTTATTGTCTTTATATTAGAACATATCTTTAATACCTATATTGAAACAGTTTATCACTAGGAATATCATACAATATAGGTACTTAATTCACTTTCCTTTTCTTGTTTTTAAAAATTTTAAATTTTTTTGTTACTAAAATACTATTTGGTATTCTAGTCCAAAAAAAACAATAACAAATTTTCATTATAAAAATAGAAAAGTGAATTTGGATTGAAGGTAAAGAGGGAAAATACTGAATTATCATAAAAATATGTCTTTAGAAAACTAATATTGTAAAATCAATATAGATTATTTAATTGAAAGCTATTTATTTATTGACTTTAATTAGTTTGTGCATCTGTGATGATATTGCATTGTTTTAAGTAGATTAGAGACATGAAAAATACACAATAAATAAAGGGGATATCTCAAGTCGCTTTGGCATGGGGTTACTATAAACACGAGGTGATTCGATAATTTTCATGAATAAATTTTTATAGTTCATATGCAGCAAGTATTTACTAAAATGTATTCAATAGGGTATTTGGAAGGACCATTGATACATGAACATATATACAATCACTCCTGGTCTTGGTATAATTTTACTTTGTAAAGTAAAAAGTGAGCAATGAATTGGAATAATATGTATTTGCAAGATAATTGGTTGAAGACAATAAAGAAGACTAATATTATGAAGCCTTAGGTAGAACCTTAGCATAGAATGATGGATTATATTAAATAATCCAAGATAAAGACCAGCCAATACGAGGCTCATCATGGTGCAATTGCTTTTATTTTAAGCATGTGGTGATAGCTACGAATTGAAAAAGCCTATGTGACCTAAAGCTGAAAGAATTTAATGGCATTTATTGACACTTGAAAATTTGAATGGAAAAAGGTAAGGAGAAAACAGAATTTCTTGTTATGTTTTAATTAAGGCATTGGATGATTGGAGTGATGCTTGGATGGCTCACACTACATGGTAAGTTATTAGAATGTACTCAGAATATTTAAATACTATTAATCTCTAGCCAAATTCTATTTAGAGTTGGTTTCTCATCAAAGCCAGGACTTTCATATTCTAAAGATGATAACAAAGCTTTACCAGATATTAATATGGTAGTCATCAAACAACAAATTCAATCTTAGATATCAAGCTCTATGAGTTGATGGTACCAGCTACTCTTATTGACTTGGGAAAGGGTTCCAGAAGCTCTTCCATTCTCAAAGGGAGGAGAGAGATTAAAACATTTATTAAACATAACTCAGAACATATAATAATCAATATATATCTATTGATCTTAAAGTGGTAAAAAAAGATTAATAGCTTTTAAAAATTTAATGTTTCTCCTCAAAAGATTCACTTGGATTTCCAAAATTTCCAGAATTTGCTGTTGCTAAGGCTGTAATGGCAAAAGTGAAATCAAATTATTATTCCTTGAAGAATTATGACTTTGCTTATATTACGATAAAGCTCATTATACTAAAGCTGTTAAAAAGGATCCAATAAAGTATTCATATGAGTACAAGAGGATAAATGATGAACAGCAATACTCCTTAGAATAAGAACTTGGATGATATAAAAAATTCATAAGATACAATGTTTATAAAAACGATGCAATTTCAGTCTCAAATGATTAGAAGTAATGAATAGTTCCATTTTAGCTAATCCAAGAGCTAATGGATCGATCGATAGCAAAGTTATATCATTTCTTTGAGTTCCATAAATAATTAACTCCGTTTAAAATGAACCTACAGCTGATTATTATCTAATATGCTGTTGGACTCTACATTAACTGTTATTCTTTTTTGGATACCAACTAAATTCAATTATCCATAGGATGAAGTTAAGGAATAAAAAATGGTCTGAATTTGAACAATACAGCCATTAATTAATTTATTTTATTCTCTTGTCAAATAATTAAGGTGTTGATTTTCTGTTAGCATATTAAAGTGAGAACAATTTAAACTTAAACCTATCTATTACATTAATTAAATAAAATTTCAATCTATAAACTACTAATAAGTTATAATAAAAATTGAAATTGGAAATAGAGAAATGATTAGCAACTGTGTGATTCATTAATAAACGAGATTAATTAAGTGTAAATTATTCAAAATTCATTCTTATATCTACCTTTTCTACTTTATATGACTAATCTCATTAACAACTAATTAACCTCCCTCTGTTTTTATTCTTAAAATTTGTTAAATATTCTTAATATAATAGATAAATACTTTTCTACATAAATAACATTAATTGGATTTAAGCACAACATCTTCTGCGCATTTTTAACATATTCCACCATGTCTACATGGTATAAATAATATATTTGGTTAGTTCTCGTAACAAATTAAACATTTATCTTAAATCGATTATTGATCCTCATTAATGGAATTTTAATTCTTGTTTGATTTATCTGGTTCTTCAGAGATGTCTTTAGATTGAACATTCTCTTTAGCTAATTCTTCAATGTTTACTTTTTTTATATCTTGCATTTCTAAATTATTAATCTTATAATCTATTGAATTGCTATTCGCTTTAATTTCCTTCTAAAATTCCATTCTGTTCGATGATTATTATCCTAATGCCCTTTGAGAAAGTTATTCCGTTTGTTTAACATTCTTCTAGTCAAAGCTTAACTTATCAAAAATAGCAAAGAAGGTGCATGACATTTTAATTAAATATAATGGTGCATTTAACTTAACAAACCTAAAAGGTGCCTTTCTTTTCTTTTTGGACAAAATTTCATTAGAATCAGGTAAGTTATAAATTCTTTATTCTTGTTCTTACTAAATTTAAATTGGCTGTTGAGGTATCCCAGCAGAATATGATTCAAATCCTTAAAGTTCTTTCAAAAACATTCTAATAGGTAGACTTTCACATTTACTTAATATTGTTTGCAAAAAATGTTGTATAAATGGTTATCAATACCATGAATATTCCACTTAGGACAATTAATTAAATAGTTTCATCTTCTCCAAAGGATTCCTAATTATCATACAATTGAGTCAATCTATACAAAAATGTGAATGGCAATAAGGTGTAACCTATGATATTGATGAAAATCCAAATATTTCCTATTACTATAATATATATGAGGAATACAATAATTTTAGTTAGTTTGTTTTTTTAAGAGATTTATGAATGTCTCAATGCATCCTATAAAAGAGATAAATAATAATAATGCAAAGACGACCAAAAATACCCACAAAATTATAAAGATCTAGGACCAAACCCAGTCTATTTTTTCTTCCCATTTCAAGGCAATAAGTGTTATTTATACACATAATAAAGTTTTAATGAATTAAACAATCTTTTTATAAATCGAATATTTACAATTTGTTGATTGTTCTGTAATTGAAATTTCAATTTTTGAACTACTCGCATAAGCAACACGAGAATTGAAAGCGAAATCATCATTATAGTAACAAAGTAAATTTTGAATTTTTGTATTTCATAATAAAACACTATAAAAACCTGTATTAATGCTAACTTTTACTTTTAAGAAAAATAGAAACATAGTCTCAATGAGTTACCAAATGCATTCCTCTTATTTTCTATAATTAAAATATATCAATATGAATATGGTAAACAAATCTTATATCCATAATTATAGTAAAACATAGCGAAAACTGTATTACCAAAAGACGTATCCATAATAGTTGATAAAGAAACCTTACAAAAATATATTAAATAACAAGGATTTAGTAATCTAAGATTGGCTAGACATCTACTAATTTGCTAGGTTAACAAATTTACTTTCAAAGTCAAAGGAGCAATAGGTTATTAGAGATTCTGTCTAGTTGTCTATTATTGTCTGATATTAAATTAATTTTTACAATTCTTGAAATAGTGGCAAAGCCGTAGGAGACATGAAATTCCTCCGTCTTGTGGAAGGTTATTAATCATCTGTCATTTCTATTCTTAATTGGGAAGGTCTCATTCTCAATGAACCCATTTATGATTCCGGCATTTGACTAAATTAATCTATCATTCTTGATACATCATTATATTCGAATAAATAGTTTATAATTTTTTAATAATGTATTTTGTATTCATTTTATTTTATGAAGTTTGTCTCACTCCTTTATTTTAAAAAGAAGATTTTGAAACCTTAAATATTTTGGACTTGATTCTTGATCAAATTTATTACTTATTATTAACATAAAATAAATAATGTCTTATCGTTAATAATATTAATATTACAATAATCCTCAACAAACAAATTAAAGCTATTCCACTACTAGTTAAAGATCATAACAATCATTATAACAGTAGCCTTTTATACCATAATAACAAAACCCTTATGTTTAAAACAATTAGAAGAATTAACTAAATTTAAATCAAATGATACCTAAAAGCACTTCAAACCCATTTACTCAACAAGTCAATATCTAATAATCATAAAAGTATAATTTGAATAATAATTAGAGGCCCATAATTTCTATTTTCATAGGAACAATCAAATGTCAATTAGCCTGTTGCTCAAAAATTATTAAATAAATAACAATATCAATAAGACCCAAAAATACTGTAGAATTAGCAAAATGGTAAGGATAATTTAAAGTAAGCAAAGAATAATAAGATTTAAAATGATGAAGAAGAATTAGAGTATGAAGATGTTGATTATGAAGAGAATTAATAAGAGGAAGAAGATGATCAATAAAAAGATGATACTGAATAATATGATACCGAAGAGGAAATAGAAAATTAAAAAAATATTAAATAATAAGTAGATGTTGATAAATACAAATCGGTTACAGAAATAGACTCTATTAGAAAGGAAGTTAACAAAATAAATAAAGAGCTAGATAAATTAGATCAGGAATTATAAGGAACTTTAATTATGAGTAGAATCAACTTTGGTGAACAAACAGTTTTAGATATCTCTGCTTCTAGAGATTTGTCATATTAATAATACTTAAAAGAATTTGAATAGTTTAAATAATAAAAATAAGTTAATCCAAGATCAATGAATAAGTCATGAATAATAATTAATTTTAATTATATATTGTTAATATTTATGTTAGGAAGAGTTCGTTCAAATTATTAAATGACAGCAAAATATGGGGAAAGGAAAGGCTTCAAAAAAAAATCTAATGAAAAATTATTCCGAAATGACAAACCTTATTTGTTAATGAATAGATACATATTCATTTTATTAATTTGCAAATAGGAAGTGACCATTTCAATAGGAGCAGTTAAGAAGCCTTATTATACAACCATCTATTAAATATTATTATAATTAACATAAAGGAGTACATCTTATATAATCATTAATTCAATTCTATTTTCACTTTTTTTGACTTCTCATCAAATAATAGAGTTCTCAGATCAGAAATATCTTCAAAAATTTCTTTATTGGTTAATTTAATTATTGCTAGGGGTTATTTTGTTTTAGTATTAATATATTCTTGATCTTAAGAAGTATCTTTGTTTAAATTCAACTTTGCAGATTATTTTATCTTTTTATGACATTGGGAACATTGATATTTTGTTTAATATGTAATTTTGGTCAAATTCTGCTTTCCTAAAGACTATTCACATTCAACATGATTCTAAGAGTATAATAATTAAAATTTACCCATCTGTTGCATTTTTCGCACATAATCCACTGTTTATCGTCCATTTCATATCCAAGATTTGGATCATATATCTTAAATAATAGATTTTTATATTACTTGAATACAATATTCACAATAGTTGTTGGAAGTGAAATTGATTGAACATCTGTTGCATAATAGGGTAGTCTGACCATTGATCTAAGTTTCATTTAAATTTTTTCTTTTATTCTAACAATTATTATTTTAACAACTTATCTATTGTTACAATTATTTTGGTTATACAGTATTTCTATTAAGACATTTTTTCTTAGTTTAATGAATCTGGGTAGGACTACTGGATTGAGAATCTGAATTTTTGAGACTTAAATCTGTTTTGATATGTTAATCAAGAGAATTTGAATTTTAAAGCTTATCTATAGCATTAGAATTAAAAATCTTAAGAAATTCTAAATAAATAGGAGAAAACTATTGTAGGTTGGCAAAATGGAATGATTCGTTTAATATTGATTATTAGTTTTGCAACATGTATGTTTTTTAAATTAATGAAATTTTATCTATTTTATTATTTCTATATCATAGTTTTATAAAAGAAAAATATTAGTATTAATCATTATATAAATTGAATACAGCAAAAATGATATAATTATATTTTACAAATTATATAACAAACCATGAATTAGGAATAAAGTGAATTTTAGTATGACTATCAACTCGACTTTGAATATATAGGGAATTGCAGAATTACCTATGAAAACTACACTCCTGCATCAGAAGAGGATGTGAAACTCAGTGATTTGGATCCATAATTTTTAGATGATTTCAAAATTCAAGACGATTCTAAATATTTTTTATATAAAGTAGAACCAGATGATTCTTATTTTGGTCTTGAACTTAAATTCAACGTCAGGTATTTAAGTTTGTAATAGAAGTGCAGATTAATTGATGTAAATTAATGAAATTTCAGAAAATTCCTTATATGAGGGAATAACCATAAAAATACCAAGAAAATAATCAGTGCCAATTTATGAGTAAATTATAAACTAGGAGGAGAAATAAGAAAACTTATTGGACTCGTTTTAATAAGCATCAAATAAATTTTTCGACATTAATTATGTTACAAATTTAGGATACATTAAGGGATAATTAACAGTTCATGAAGACGTATTGTTTTTTTATCCTGATTACAATAATCTAGGCAATGAAAAAATAATGTAGGAGGCAAAACTAAAGAATGTGTAATAATTGCAATTTTAAATATTATTAAAAAATGTCATAAAGGTAACAAAGAGGGATTTTCCAGCATTTATTTAACTAAGTAGCAAAGAGATCTTTAGGATGCATTTGATAGAAATACACCTATAAACTAAGCGGTCCAAAGTTGCTTTAATATAATTAATTGATGTTTCATAATTAAGTGAATTGATGGATTCAATTAATTCTGTGTTGGCATCATACTTTCCTCCGACTCCAAACAAAATAATAGAGACTCCAACCAAGCCTTAATTGAAAACTATACTTCCTTTTTACTATAACAATGATCTAAAATTAGAATAAAGCATTCAATTAGCATTTGAAAGTATTATTATCAATATAAATGATAAGAGCTGATGGGTTCGAATGCATTCATTTCTTACTTAGAATCAGAATCTGAGATTATCGATTAGAATCTTTTTATGAAGGTTGCCTGTTATATTCCTGCTATCTTTAAATCCCAAAGATGGAATATATTGTACTCATCAACATTGCATGGATCATCCATTAAGACTCTGATGAGAAATACTTAATTTAGTCAACCTGTAATTATGTTTGTTAGAGACTTGCATAAATATGTATTTGGAGCCTATTTATCTGATGGGATTTAAAAAAGTAAAGATCATTTCTATGGAACTGGGGAATCGTTTTTGTTTACATTTAAGAATACCTAATCCTTAACTGTTTATAATTGGATAAATTAGAATAATTTTATAACTTTATGTGATGAGAATGGATTAGCGATTGGATGTGGTGATAAATATGGGTTGTATGTGGATTCTGAGATATATCATGGATATTCTCATTATTGTGAAACTTTTGGAAATGAAGTGTTGTCTAGTAAAGAGAATTTTGTAATCGATAGAATGGAGATATGGGGAATATATTAAGGTTGAATAATGCAAACACTTAAATATAATATATATATGATCAAAATTATTTCAATATGTTGAAAAAATCTTGAGGGATTCTTCCTTATACTATTATTTTTCTTTTATTCTTTTATTTTTATTGTTGGAATACTTTTTTTAGATCACAAGTATTAAGCAATAATAAATCGAGGATTCTTTCTGTTGATTCAGGAAGTTCTTTTATCTCTTTATTTTAAACTTTATTAATTTCATCTAATTTTAATTACAAAACTGATTACTAGGTGCTAATTTTGTGTAAGTTAACTCTGTGATTATTGGCATTGGTGGTATAGTTTGAGAATCTTAAAGTTAAGGAGATGGAGAGGATCTTTTTTTCAAAATTGGAAGTGAATATTTTTTGCGCTGTCTTTCTTGTTAATCTCCAGGCTTTGATTATTCCTCAGACATATAATTTGTAAGAGTACCCAACCTCTCGAAAAATATCATATACAAGTATCTTGTCCTCTGATTTTTAACGGTTATCTTTTCTATATTGAATACTTTTATTTTAGTCTTTTATTTATTAGTTTTCTAATGTTATATTCACTGAGTTAAAGTATTCGATTTTCTTTAAGAGCTGTGTTTTGTCATTTACTTTCTACTCATTGAAAGATTTTCTTTTTTGTAGTATTTAATATTTCCCCCTGATTGGAGTCTAATGAGCTGTTCTCTTGGGGCTAGGTGCTTAATGTATACTAAATGCATGTAATGAGAACTTCTATGTGGAATCATACTTTTCCCGTTCGATTGATTTTCTCAACCTCAAAGCTATATTTGATCTCATTATTATTAATATAATAATGAGATCTAAAATAATAATTGTAATAATTAAATATTATTAATTGTATTTATAAAAAATTGACTTCCTTGACTTCAAACAACTAGATCTCTTTCCCTTTTGAGGAAATTATTATCATGATTGATCTGGGTTTTTATTACTGAAAATCTCTTATTAAAATTTCTTACGGATTTTATATGCCACTTCTATAATTTGTTGTTAGATTTCATAACATCAAAGAATATAAATTAAACTTTCTCTCAATTTGGTTAATAAAGAGAGTTGAATCTGCTTTACTTTTTTTAATGGTATATTCTTTTTGTAATTAAATTTATTGCGAGTTTAATTTAACAGAAATAATTAAATCAGTAGTCTCAACATTACAGGCATTCCTTTAGTTTTCTTTGGATTCTTGCTATTCTATTATTTATTTTAAATTTACAATCTTGGGTATAAAGTATACAGAAAGACTTTAAAGTTGTAATCGATCTAATGATATTTCACTCATGAATAGCATAAAAATAAGCATTTAAACAAAATTAAGATGATTATAATTAAGCAACATCCTAAAATAGTATTGATTCATCAAAAATTGCCATATTTAATATTAATCTATTAAATCAAAAAGGAATTTAAATCTATATAAGTTAGTTTTTGATGATTTAATGATATATAATATAAAGTCAAATATTTAGTGTTTTCCCAGAATATCTTTACAAAATAATTTAATCATGGACAATTTCGTCATAACCACCAGCACTTTAAAAGGGGGAAATGCATTTCAGCATAGGAGAATCTATTTATTTCATAATGTAATACTTTCAACAGAATTAACTCTTCCCGTAATTACTGGTGTTCTCATGATTATTTTAAGTTCCTCATCTGAGGTTTGGTTTTATTTTAATTCTTAAGTAGCCTATAGTCTTAATTCTTTAATATTCTAACTATTTTATCTTTTGATTCTAGTAAAGTCGACCTTTTCTGTTCTAAGTAATTATAAGAATGATATATTAACTGTTTATTTAGAATTTAAATTCTTTCCATTAGATTAGGATCATCATCGGTGGAAATATGTGCCTCATCATCTTCAATCAACAAAGCACTTTACAAATATGGATGCAACAAAGCCTCAATGCTTTTGATTCTTAATAAAGGGTCTTTTTAAAGCATTTGAAAAATGAGACTTTGAACTTCCTTAGGAGTATTTTGGAAATGTGGAGAATCAAAATTAACGTTAGCCTCCTTGTTTTATTTAACAATAGTATTATAAGTCTTCCCAGTAAAGGCGGGTCTTCCAGTCAATCTATAAATAAGAAAAGAAAATTACAAGATATAAAAGACCACTCCCATTGAATAAACATCGCAGACTGAATCATAAGGCTAATACATATTTTTAAGATTGATTATTTCCGGAGCAACAAATCCAGGAGTACCGCATTTTTAATATAAATATGGTTTCTTATTAACATGAGTGGCCAATCCGAAATCAGCAATAACTACAGAGTCAAAGTTACTATATCTATCCTAATAATCAATACCCTTATTATTTAAATAGAATGTTCTCTAATTTCAAATCTCTATGCATAATCCCCTTTTAATGCATGTGCTTGAGTCCCATTAGCAAACCAACCATTATGCTTTGGACTTGTTTTTCTGTAAATTAGACTTTCTTCTTTAAATATTCGAATAATTGATCTCCCTCTAGTAACTCTAGACCCATATAGATGGAATTTTTGGTTTCATATACTTCGTACAATCTCATTAAATTAGGATGCTCTAGTTCTCTCATGATTTATATTTCATTTATTAATCCTTCCTAAAAAGTAAAACAGTAATCTTACTCTTCCTTTCTCCTCATTATAAACAATTTATTTGGAAAACGCCTTTACTGCCATTCTTAAATTATCCTCAATTCTTTCAGCTAAATAAACAGATGCAAAATTTCCTCTCCCAATTTTTTTATAAACACGAAATAAGTTGTGAAATCCAATTTAATTGATTTTGTTGCCTAAAAAACTTCTAAATTGATGCATTTATTCAGTTTTCCCCTGAATTTCATAGGGTTTATCAATGTTTTCAACAATTAAACGAATTGCTACAATTTCCCCTAATTCTAAGATCTCTTCACCTCTAACTTTGGTATGATGTTTCTCTTGTTTTAATTTCGAAGGAGTTCTTATGACTTCGAATTTGCTGGTGAATTCTAAATCAAATAATTTATATGGGATGGTATAGAATGGATCCTAAAATCCATTTAAATGTGTTACTTTATATTTTATCAGATAATCATTAAAACATCCAATATAAAGTTCATTTGATTTCCTGCCTACTTTTTGAAATCTGAACTAAAGAATAGGCTTTTCTCGAATATCATAATCAATCTTTCTCCAAACCTTATTTTGTTGCATTAATAAATAAACTTTATTATAAAAAATATTTTGGACTGTTTTCATGTATGTGATACTTTAATTTAGCGAGCAAATTACATCCAATAATTCTTTTAAATACATTTTTATCTGAAAATTTTCTATCATTTTTCTAATATATTAAAACTCGATATCTTTTATAAACAGTCTATTAATGTCTCCACTTAAATGAATAAATTGTTAATGCAAAACCAAGATAATTTATTGTTATATAAGACTGATTAGGGTGTAGGTTTAAAAATTGTCTAAGCTAAGTATTATTCAGACTAGATAAAATTTGTCTCAAGATAAATAATTTAACATAAATTTTCTATTTTTATGGTTCTTTGAGAGAGTACTTGAAAATAACTCACAAGGATTAGATCTAATTTTATATGACCTGTTGAACTATAATTAAAGGAGTTCTATTTAGCCGTTTCATTAAACAAGAATAGTAAAAAGATATAAACAATAAATAAAAATACATTTTTTAATTTGCTCAATTACTATAATGTTTTCACTATATTGACAGTTAAGAAATAGCTTAAGATTTATGTTTTGCACTTGAATTCAAAGTTGTAAATAAGAAAAGTTAGTTTTGAATTTTTAATATCCAAAACTTTCTCAGACTTAAACAAATTCAGAAAGCTAAAATTGTTTGAAAGTGTAATTAATTATACATATGAAGTAATAATTTATATAATCTCTCTTTAAGAGTAGTCATGTTATAGTTTAAATATTATAGAAAAAAGTTTAATTCAACCTCTGGTTTACGATGGTAAGAAGAAGTTCATAAAGCCTTTCAGTGGAACTTTGAATTTGATTGGAAGTAAATATAGATTGGTTGAATTGTATTTGATAATATTTTTACACTCTTAATAAATTTCTAAAATTTTAGGTTTTAAAGAATTACATTATTCAATAGAAAAACTCAAAATTATACAAATGTTTCTCAACCACATTATAATATTTAATCACTTCTATTGATGGTACTGGGTCAATGAGTTCTGAGTATGAGTCTATTGTAAAAGCTCATAATACCATATTTGGACATCTTGAACTAAATTAAATACTAATGAAAATTACAATTTTGAACAATTAGAAGACTCGATTGAAAAAATGAACTCAAAGACAATATTAAATTTATAGCTTTAGTGGTTGGTGATGCCTACTCAACTAACCTGAATTCTTAGTTAAGTGATAAATTACATAAATAAAATGCTAGTTGTTTTTCTACTTTAAATACCAAGACCCATTGGTAATAATGATCTCAAAGAAAAGCTAAGTCATACATTCAAGGAAGTTGAAGAGAAACTTTGTGTTTAATCTAACGTTTTCAAGTGGATTAGCCTGTTTAATAAATAATAGGCTCGGAGTAAACCAACACCGTGTTTTCAGATGAACCATCTATCAGAGTTAGTGATGGTTCAAAACTAAAATTAAATGGTTATGAAATACTACCAACTGTAAAACCCTATTCATATCTCTCTTCTTATACTTTACTCTTTGTAATATTAGATCAACCAGGCAATAGCCTGGAAAGCACATTAAACTAAAGTTTTCTAAAATATGCATGGGATCATTTATCTATCCTATAAAAATGAAAATTGAAGAGAGTGAAAAAAATGAAGATATTGTTTAATTAGTTTTGCCCCTTTTGGATGTTGTCTAATGTTTTGCTAATGGAAGTTTGAGCGTTGAAAATTTAAACGAATCATAAAAGGCTGATTTTTAATCTTGGATAAAAATAGAGAAGAAATAGAAAAATTTATTTAAGCTTTTAAAAACAAAGAGAGAAAAATTGAATAAAGTCTAACTTAAGATAATATGATAGAAGGCTTAATTCACGATTTAAATATTCTAAATTTTTAACGAACAAACCTATTACATAATATATCTCAATAAATATGCTATCATACAATTTTCAGTCTCACGTTTAATGAAATATCCTTTGTGTATGGATATTTAATTGATTTATATTAGGACTCTTCTTAATAGCGCCTTTTCCTGCTTTTAATGTTCATTCAAATGAAGAATATGTAATCAATTTAATACAATTATTTTCATCAAAAATATATACTTGTACTCGGAAATGGTGTATAAACGGAAGTTTAATTTGTTGTTGTGCAATACAAGTTCCAATCCTGATCAATAGTAAATTATCTTCTGCTTTGTTGGTGCGATGATGCAGCAGTTATTTTATCACAATTTACAACTTATGCTGTATTTTGGTGCATGAGTGCTCCTTATTATAGTATTATTCTAATAAAATCTTAAAATCATCATATTTGTGGCTATTTTATTGTGTGGAATGCTGCAAAAATTTAGTATATTCCAAAATTTGATCAGAAGCCTTAGGAGCAACATTGCCTACTTTGCCAAGATAGAAGCATCCATTTAAAATGATCCACATGTATAAATTACTTTCAACCGATTTCAGGCTTCAGCTTTACAATAATCAGTTATTATAGCATTAAGATGTTCAAAGTTACTAATTGATCCAATCTTATAAGCAACTTTCTTATTTATTGGAGATATGCATAAGTATTATTAATCATCAAATTATGTTGATTGCATTGAAAATAAATTGTTAATTGAATTTGAATCATCTGGAGATAAGAATGTGATCAAAATTAATGAATTTGACTTATATTCTGTCTTGAATTGAATTTTTATACTTTAACAGTAATTGATTTTAATTTGCAATTTAGCCAAGAGGCAATAATATTGTCAACACTTCATCTAAGATCTCCGTCATTTATTGAAGAACGAACGCTCTAGAAAGATTTAAGATTGTTTATTATACTTCCCTAAGATTTTGAATCGTTTCAATTTAGCAAACCTTATGGGTAATTGGATAGATAAATTTTTATATCACTTACTTGTGTCATATTTATGAAGAAGAACTTTTGCCAACAATCTCATAGGACAATACGAGCCATAGCATCTAGAGCTGAATTATCTTAATTAGGCCAATATTGAATATCGAGTAAGATCAAATAAGGAAGGCCAATAACTATATAAACTGTAAAATAATTAGTATATAATCGAGTGTCCAAAGGATTTGTTTGAATGCTATTGATAGACAATAAAAATTTTGGAATATTCAAATCACAATCTATGGGCTAAAATTAAGTTTAGATAATTGCTCTATTAACAGCTCATGTCGTTATATAAACTAAAGGAGTTGCAGTAAGTGATGAATCCTATTTTAAGCAGCAAAAATTTTAATACTAATCTAACCACTGCTTAATTGATTTATGGAAGAATTTGTTTTGTTTGTAATAATATGATGATTGCACATATACTGTTTTTACTAAGAAAATGGAGATTATTTTAAATTTATCCTTTGAAATTTAATAAAGCATTTTTAGGTTTAGATTCTAAAAATCAATAAATTTATTTTGAAAAACTCCAATGTTTGTTTTCATCCAAGTTGTGGATATTAAGGAAGTTAGGTTGAAATAAAATTTTAGAGCATTAATTAAACAGTTGAAAAAAAACTTAATTTCAGTTTAGAATGTAAAAAATTGAATATAAAGTAATGATAATAGAATACTTCTTATCAAAATATAATTTTACCTTTATGTATAGAAAGTATTATCTCACCGATATAAGTACATTATTAATTTTCTTAAGAAAAAGACATTTATATAATTATATTATAAATTATCTACGAATAAACAAAAAATAAAACCAATAAAATGCTAATTGAAAGTTTCTTCGATTAATAAGAAGAGGCAAATCACCAAGAATTTACCAAAAATAAAAAAATACCAATTATATATTTCTCAATGTGTAATATTAAAATTTATTCAGATTCATAGAATATTTAGTTAATCGTAAATTTTATTGATTTAGCTATGATTTATAAAGAAATAAACAAAATGACTGACTGGGTTATATTCATTGCGTTTAATACTGTCAAGAAAGGGTCTGTATATAACAATTCTTATATAAATCGCAATTGGCTCATAAATGAGAAAAACTAATAATAAAGTACTCAAAATATTTAAGGATATTTGTAGATCCAGTTCGGTTTTAGTTATTTAACTATTATGAGATAATAATATACATTTAGTTTAATGCCAAAATCATTAGGAAAAAGGATAAAAGGCAGACAAAGATATAATACAACCATTGCTATAGAAATTTTGCCTTGAAACATATAAATTGCTTAAGTTATTTTTGAAATCGCTTTGAATAAATAGAGATATAAGGAGATTTAGCCATGAATTGATAATGACTATATCAATTAATAAGACTTCCCAAGTGGATATTAATATTAATATACTTATTTAATTACTAAACTGTAAAAATCTAAAGCTTTTTTTCACAGGGTTTTAATCATTTTAAAAAAATTACAAAATAGAATGCATATACTATTTTTATATTAAAACAATTTACTTAAAAAGATGTTTTAAACACAAAGAAGTGACCTGGATACAAATTTATTTGAAATGACTTCTTAACTGGCTCTAGAGTATCTAATCTATTAATTGAACCTTGATCAGTGATAATTTCATTTTGTCTTTGATACTCTAAATAAACGAAGGCATAGTAAACCATAATAGATGATATAATAAATGCGCTTTATACATATAGATAGCTCTATTTAAATACTTCAATATTCTTTTAATCTTCTTACATTTAATTCGAAGATGTATGATTTTATTAATTCATAAATTTATCCACAATTTTTATCAAAAATAAATTTCCAAATGATTTGCATTTACAATAGAGTTGTGCACTTTGATTATTAATTTCTTCCATTAATAAATCACAATTTTCATATGTATTACCCTCTATATGAATAATACAATAATAATTATATTATTAAATTTCAGGGGCATCTTTTTAAGTATCGCAATATTGAAATTCAGTCAAGTCAATTCTATACTAAGTTTATTATTACGGTTGATTTATATAAGTATTAGTATAAAGAAAAGTAGTTAGAATTGATTTGACAAAATAATTTTAATTAATCTCGAAATCTGATCTATTTAAGTAAATTTGAAGCATAGATCTTTAAGCATTTGATAGATTGTAATAATTGTAATTAACTTTTAGTTGTTTCTTCTATAAAAAGCCAATTAAATTATCCAAGTAATCATCTTCCAATTAAAACTCTTTATTATATACAGACTTGGTAATTTTTTAAAGTTATAACTTCAACATCATTCCTTAAATTTATAAAACTTATCCATTTACTTTAACTTTATCAATAATTTGCAGTGTAATATTATCAATTAATTAAATTAAGGTTTAGGATTATATTCATTACTTTCTCTTAATTATCTGTTGAGCTTTAATTCTGTGAAATAATTAGCAACTAATTATCAATCAATTGTACTGAGCTCTATAATATTTAGATTACCCAATTCATCATCATAACTTATTGAGTATCAACAATTAGATTGTCGTTTTTGTTTTCTTTTTCGATACTTTTTTTCAAATTGATTAAATCTGCTATTTATAACTCAACTTTTTAAGAACTTGCTATTAAGGATGAGATATTAATGCTATTTTTCTTGGTTGATTCTTAATCAGTAATAGTAAATAGAAATGACTCTTTATTGTAGCATTCAATTTATTATTTTTCTTCCAACAATCTGATTGAAGAATTTGAAGCCTTCTGTTTTAGTATTAATTTTTTATATAGGTTAATAGTTTAATAGGCCAATAATTTTTCATAAATAACTTTAGAATTCATTACTTATTCAACAGAATTATATAATTCATCTTTTAATTTTATACAATTTGATTAATCATTATGATTAATCATTATTTGAAATATCCATGATATTTTTTACTTTAAATTTAATTGGTCTGGTTTTTAATTATTGCATAATACTTGTGTTTTAGTGATACTGAAATTCTAATGGATATTAGTAATAGATCCTCTTTAATCTATGATCTAAAAAATTACATTGACTTCTGAGCTAGGAAAATTTACTATGAAGTGATTTGATTTTTAAAAGCCGTAATAAAGTAGTGAATTATCTGAAGATTTATTATTAAACTCTTCAAAATCATCTCTAAAAAGAAACACTTTCATTTAATACTAATATGGCTAATCATCAGAGTATTCGCAATTAATTGCCATCTTCAAGGATTCGAGGGCTTATATATTCTATTACAACATTTTCAAATTACAAGTAGGAGGTTAATTTAAAAATAAAGTCAAATCTTCTTGGCTAGGAATAATATCATTTGTAAATTAAACTAAAAATTTAAGTTGAAATTTATTTCCTTTATTAAATTTTTAATAATAATCATATAATTGAAAGGAATATTAAAAGTATTAGGGTTTAAGTATTGAGATTAATTGATAATCATAAATTAATGCAATTGAATAATCTAAAAGGTATTATCTTTCCTAAAATGGAATATTAAAAGTAAATTATAAATCTTCATAATTATTAACAGGCCTTATCAAATATCCACTATTATAATCTACATCCAGCATTTTGAAATCATAATCCAAATATACAACATTGAACTTATAAGAATATGATACCGAGTTTTTTGAGGCAATTACCTTCCAAGATTAAATTGTGTATGGTTCCATCGTTGCTTTTGGAAATGTTTATCTTGTCTCAGTAGAGTTATATTTTAGTTTCTAATTTTTAGAATCTTTACATTCTTCTTGTGAAATTAGCTCTAAACAACTGATCATAATTGATAAACTTGGATCTTAATTCCAATCATTTAAGACATCGAGATCTTTGCATTGGATATAGATATTTGTATCATGTAAGTAATTTTGCATCCTTTTTGTTCCTTTAAATAAGCAGAGAACCCCCCCTGATTTAATCTAAATATTGATAATTCGTTAAGAATCATATTAAACTGAAGAATCTGAAATCGTAAAGTTAAATTTATAGGCTGTTTATGCACTTAAAGAATAGCTTTCAATATTAAGTTCTAATAAATTAGAACTAATTAATCCATTAAAATTGAGATTTGAAGATCTAGATTTAGAGTTATTTTTGTAGATTTCAAAAAATTAAATTTAATATTAAGAAATATCTTGTGAAATATTTGAATTGTCCAAGCAATTTTTCTTATTCATAATAAAAGTCATTTTGATTGGTTCAAATGTATAATAGTATTGTTTGAGTTGATACAAAATGCTGGGATATTATCCCGCATGTGTTTGTATTTGTACTTTAAACACATTTTTTTATGAAACAAAGTTTTGAACTTCAACAAATAATGTAATATTTGACTGGATAGGTAATGTGTTTTCTGGAATGGTAAGATCTAATACTTATAAATTTGTTAATTCAGTAACAAAACTCTCAAGTTCACCAATTCCATTATAACCCTCAACAATAAATGACCAGGAAACAGAAATAAAACTTCTCAATCCATCATAGAGTTTTGATTCTTTTAAAATGATGTTCTCTTAACAAGGGTTCAATTGATATTTAGGTACGTCATATTGGATAAACGGAGCAAATGGGTGAGAGGGTTATTAAAGTGTATTAAAAATGAAATACTACAATTTACTATCACAATTAGCGTGGCCAAATGAATTTTACATGAAATAAATTGTATCTCCTGGAAGAATAGTAGGGTTTTGACCAACATATAAAAGTAATTATTTATCATTTACAGGATCTATATTGCATTGAGGATTCATTCCTAATTTGGTCAGAGTTGTTTAATTCAAGATAATGAAACAAGTATTGCTTTCAAGGTAATTTGAAAAGAAATTTGGATTTAAGGGGAAATCAAAATGGATAATTATTGTTGTCAGATCATCTGATAATTGAATTTTTACCACAGCTACTTCGCAATCTTTAATATTAAGGATTTTATACTTGAACACCATGGAGTTAATAATGAACTAACAGAATTTTCAGGAGGTTCACAAGTCATTTGATCAGATAAGATTCTATTGCCGTTGCATTATAAGCATTCATTCAAAGTACATGTTTTACAAGTGTAATCACATTTCAAGCAATTTAAACTCTCAAAATCGTCAAAATATCCATCCTAACATCGACAAAATGGAATTTCAAATCGATCCCCTTTACATGCTAAACAATTGGACGAATAAATGGCACATGTTTAACATTAAAAGTCGCAAACTTAAGGTATTGATTCAATATTTACTGATGCATTCAGGTTGACCACCTTCAAAATATCCATCCTCGCAATCACATGTTTTGTTTAAACGGCCTTATTTACATGTTACACAATTTGAGGCTCGAGTTTAACAAGTATCGCATTAAATTTCACAAGCTTAGTTTATTATTAAGATTATACGTTCACAATTTAGTTAATCAGTTTCAAAGTAACCATTCATACAGTGACAATCAGGAGGATCTATTCTTAGATTACTTTAACATTTAAGACAATTATTTGGATCGTTTTCACAAGTTATACAACGAGTATTACATTTTTTACATATGATTTGGATATCATCATCATAATATCCATCTTTACAATTACATTGATTTGAAATGGTTAATCTGTTTGAACCTTAAACATATTTGCAACTAACACAATTATTTCTTTCATTTACACATCCAGAACATTTTATATGGCATTCTATTAAATATTATGTTAAATACTTTAGCAAGTTCCATTAGTATCCTAATAAAAATTAGAAATACATGGACATTTATGAATAATAGATTAATCTAATCTACTTTAATCTACATCGCAACTAGTACAATAATCTCTCTAACTTTTACAAGTTTTACAAGAATTTGAGCATTCTAATTTAATATCCGATTAATACTTTCACAAATTAATTAGCCATTATCATAATATCCAGGAATACAAGTACAGGAATTTTGATTTAAAACACGAAGATGATTTGGGTAACACGAATAGCATTTAGTCGAATTTGTTTAGCAAGTTAAACAAATTTGGCTGCATTTTTAACACATTTCTATCCCAACTTCATAGTACCCGTTCAGACATTAGCAAGTATTCAAATGAAAAGATCTAAAATTTGATGGTTCACAAGATAGACATTAATTTGATTAAATCTAACATGTTTTGCAACTACTATGACATTCTATTGTTAATAATTTTTAATACATAAACATTATTTTTGATTAACTTCATAAAAACCATCCTTGCATGTACATTTTTATGTTTCATTATCAAGATATCTAGTGATTTATTCACAAGTCAAACACTATGTTTAACTTAAACATTCCATACAAGTAAAATTGCAAACTAAAATTAAGTTAATTAATACTTTCACATTATTTAGAAATAATATTAAAGAAATGCCCTGATTTACAAACACATCGATTTTAATAATTGAGTGTTAAATTTAGGTTTGAATCACATTAAGTACAATATGAAGCAACGCCAAAACAAGCTAAACATGTTTGGTCACATTAAATACAGGAGATCCTAACAGGATCTTCATAATATCCAAATTTGCAATTACAAGTGTGATTTGTAATATCTATAATCCTATTTTAATCTGAGAAACAAGTCAAACAAAATGAGTCTACACCAACACAAGTTGCACATGTAAAATTACATATATAACATTTACTATTTACATTCGACAAATATGTTCCATCAATACATATACATTAAGAATTAATGAGGATTTTTGATAACCCACAAGAGGTACAATTTGTAGGAGTAATTGAACATTCCAAACAGTTCTCATTACATATCTTACATTATTCATTTATTTCAAAAGTACCTGATTAACATTAACATGTATTCGTGTTAGTGTTCAATTATCTAAAGATGTTTTTATCGCATTCTGTGCAATATTTTGAATTGAATTTGCAATTATAACAGTTTGAATCACATTTACTACAATTGCTTAACCCTTTTTCAAAATAGCCAGTATTGCAAGGACATAGATTTTAATCTAAATGTCTAGTGTACTCGCAAGATGTGCAATAAGTTGAAGAATTAATGCAACTTAAACATGTATAACTGCATTATTAACAACTTTAAGAAAATCCATTATCGTAATATCCAAGAAGACATTCGCAAACTTTTCCATTTAATGTTCTAAAAGATGATACTTAAGGTTAGCAGCTAATACATTAATTTGCCCCATAAGCATTACATAGTAAACAAGAATAATGGCATTATTGACAAATCGGAACTCCTGAATCATAATAATGAACATCACAATTGCAAGAAAATAATAAAGAATTGTAAGTTCTATATGAGTTTACTTAACAAGATTCACATCTATTTGAGAGCGTTTTACACGTTTAACAAGTATAATCGCATTCTAACTATTAAATAATATTACCTTAGCAGATAGGATTGTCTACAGCATCATAATATGAATTCGGGCAATTACAAGAATAGTTTTAAGGGTTATAAATTCTTAGGCTTGATAATGGGCAAGATTTACACAGAGTAGGTAAGGTTAGACATCCATTACATTGAGAATTACATTCTTAATACATTAAGGAATAAATTACTTATACAATTAGGAAAACCAGTATCAAAGTAATTTTCTATACATACGCAATTTGTACCAATCAAAATTCTTGATTCTGATATCAAACAAGATAAACATTAATTTACTAATGGACCACTGCAGGAAAGACAGCTATAATGACAACCTTATTATAATTTTGATTTAGTTACTTTGACATCTATTTTTTGATGGATCAAAATATGTAGTAACTTAGTTTCCCTACAGTTTTGTTTTGCATAAACAAATGTTTCCAAGCAAATATTTACCTGGGTTGCAAGAAATACAATTTGTGGGAGTAGTAATGCAACCTAAGCACTCAGTGCTGCAAGCCTATTAATATTATGATAAGTATATACTTGAACATTCTTATATTCCTGTATCATAGTATTTACTCATACAGATACATTCTCCATTTGTGCTTAATTCTCTTTTGCTGAGAGGGTTACAAGCCGTGCATTAATTATTTTATGGCCCTTTACAGTCATAACAGTTAATATAGCACTCTAAAATTCTATTTAAAACTTTACTTATGCATAGAGGGTTTCCAGGTTCATCATAATAATAAGCTGGGCAAAAACAAGTGTTATCAATTCCTAAATCACGTTATGATTAATCTGGACATGTTAAGCAATAATCAACTGCTATATTACAAGATGAACAACGATAAGAGCATTCTTAAATAAATGAAATATTTACTTGCACACATAGCATCTGTATTTGAAACTTCCATTGTGTTATTCATGCAAATGCATTTGTTTGCTTTCATGAATCTATTTTAAGCTGCTGAGCAAGCGATACAAGCATCTTCTTCCTTAGAATAACATGTAAGACATGTATAATGGCATTCTAATAGTTAGGATTAAATAATCACATGAACATTAAAGTATGCCTGTGCTATAATAACCAGGGTAACAATCACATTTTGATAGAATCAATTATCTATAAGTAGTATCACAACTTAGACAATTAGTTTAATGAGTGCCATTACAAGTTTTGCATGTCAGGTGGCATTGCTAACATTCTAAAAATTTTGGGTCGCTATAATAGTTTGAATCATTGCATAGACATTAGAAAGTTGTTCCAACTCTATCAGGATGTCTTGTGGATGGACAGGAAGTACATTAATCCTAACCCTAAACAGTACAATTATCACAAGAATGATGACAAGCCGCTAATTGTCATAATGAAATAGAAGTTACAATAACATTATGGATCCTCGAAACCAGAGTCATTATAACCTTAGTTGCAGAGGCATATCTAATTTAGTACCAAATGTCGATGGGCAACTGTGGAACATGAAATACAATCAGTTTAAAGAAGTCCTTTACAACTCAAACATGAATAATGACACTCTATTATTATAGTTATAATCTTATACTAAAGCAAACATCTGAGATTCCATCCTCTCCATATCCATCTTAACAAACGCATTGAAAATCATTAGATACAACTCTCTGTTGACCTTCAATACACAAAGTACAATATTGATTTGTTGTATTGTCATAGGGCTGATAACATTTCTCACATTTAGGATGACAGGCTAATTAAATGATTATTTAATTTACGTTTACAAATGCTATTACCATCTGATTGAATTTACAATATCGTTCTTTAAATGCAAAAACATTTTCCATTTTAAAAGTATTTATAATAAATGCTAGGATCACCACATTCAGTACAATCATCTTCAAAAATTCCTTTACAATTATAACAATTAACATGGCATTCTAATTCAAGTTAATAAATACTTAAGCATATCAGATCAGCATTACCAGTCTCAAAATATCCTTATTTACAAATGCATAAAGAATCAACAAGCTCTCTATTTGTATTTGGTTTACAAGATGTGCAATGATAATAATCCTGACCGCAAGTTTAGCATTACCCATATAAACATTTTGCACATCCATCATCCTTCTTTACACAACCATTTTAAGAATCACAAAGACATTTTCCTGGATCAATAGCAGAGCCTTCACATCTTTCAAAGTAGCAAGTTGTACAATAATTAGGATCAGTATAAAGACAAGTTTTACACTTTGGTGAGCAGCCAATAAATGGTATGCATTTCTTATCTTCGGTTATTACGTGTGTTCCTTTGCAAATTTTGCATTCCGTCGCGTTAAAACAAATGAAACAATTTTCCAAGCCAGGCTCATCTTTACATTCTAAAATATTTGAATGTAATTACAAGTGCATTTCTGTTGGTTTTGATTATAAAAGTATCCAAAGTCACAAATTTCACAAGTCATCCCAACGGCTAGTCCAGTATTAGGATCTAAAATATAAGCCACTTTAGTGCAGTTAATGTCTCCAAAACATTAATTGTCTTTTAAATGATATTAAAATTCGCATGCAGTACAAATACCCATAACACAAGTAATACATTTATTAGGGCATGCTTGAATTCATTTAATTGTAAATTTATACCTACACATTCATTATCAACTAACTCATAACCTTGCTTACATCCTTCAAATGCATATATACTATTAACAATAGTACACTATTTATGTTTAGCTTGACAGGCTATTATAACTTAATTTTAATTACTTAAAGTACATATTAAATCATTGCTATCTGAAGGAGAAAATCCTTCCTAGCATGTTTCGCATAAATTCTAAGGACAACTTGCACACCTAATTCCACAGGCTAAATATTGAATTTATTTTACGATTTGGTAGTTGACAATATTCACCATATGTTTGAAAAAAACAGAATTAACACTTTAGAATGTCTCCAGCCTTTTGAGCTAAGATACATTTCTTCTGATGGTTTGGAATAACTTAACTCGAAATCACAAAATCTGTGTTTTCAGAATAATCAAAAATTACTGATGTCTAATCAGACAATTGAAATCTCGGATGGCATAGGACTTCATGTTGATTAATTATGATCACTTTTATTTCTTAGACCAATTAACAGATATCGTATTAGCCTAAATCCATTTATATACTTACCAACGCAAGGATGAGGGTGCATTCCTGGTGAATGTATATGATATAGTGGACATGTAACCGGTTCAGCAAAATCATATACATACTTAAAATAGGTCCTATATCCAAAAATAACTTGAAATATCAATAAATGAATCTGTTTGCTAATCATTTTTAATTTAATTATTAAAGAATCTCCATGATTTTTAGGTCGATTATATATTCTTCAATCTCCATTATCTTAAAACTATATTATATATTAAATTTATAAAATATTCCAATGTTTTTGGTAAAATCTAGATGCTTTTTGTTTATTCAAAAATAATAGAAGTAATTTTTCACTATGATTCTAAAACGATCATAAGGGTTTGGGAAAATTAATTAATATGAGATAACTTAAATTTACAATTAACAATAATTAATTAATTCTCAGAAAATTACTTCTTGAAAAATCTTATTATAAAATGTATACAATATGTTCAAGTATGAATTAATTCTTAGCAATTTTTATTCAAGGGTTTGCTTCTTTTTATGAATTTAAACGATTATATTGACTCTTATTTTTTTAATCATAATTTTTCTGATGACAACTTTTAGAAATGATACAAAAATCAGAAATTGTATAAAATGATGTTTTAAGTATTGAAACAAGTCAAAACAAATGTATTTTAGGTGGAAAGAAAATAACTATGGCAAGTTGCATTTGATAAATTATCAAACTCATATAAAATGCCTAAGAATTTTAATGAGAATAACTAGATGTTGTAAACTCTTATTAAGGGCTAAAATTTTTGAAAGGAATTTGTAATGACAAAATTTGTAAGATAGTTAGAAAATAAATGCAAATATCTCAATTAATATTATTTAAATTGTATATTCATTATTTTTCTTTTAATTTTATGGTGGTCATTCTTTAGTACATCCTTTTTTGCAAAAGGATAAAAATTACCCTCTTAATTTGCTTTTTGTTAAATGAAAATTGCAATATGAGATTAAATTTTTTAATGATTAATTATTTATAATTTAACGTTTCAGTTATTAATGCTGTTTCACAAAATTGATTATCCCTTTTCATATCAAACCCTAATTAAACTTGCTCTCTTTATTTGCTATCAAAGCTGGATGATCATATTTAAAACATAAAAGGCTTGTTAAAATATAAATGATTTGGGATGTATTAACGTTAAAAGTTATTAGTATTGTTGATACTGTTTTCATTAATGGGTTTTGGTTTGGCCCTTTATATAAGTAGGTGGGAGTCCCATTAAACAGTGTCTGTTACCTTGTGCAATTTTTTTTATAACTATTACCCCTGAAATTAGTAATAAGAAAATTGTGTAATTGTAAAAAAAAATCGAAAAATCTTTTTTTTCCAAATTCTTATTAACATTACATGTGGGGCTAGTCAGGAATCATTGGCTGTAGATCACAAGTCTCAGAG